CGCGATCGGTAGGACGAATTCGACGGCTCATAGACTCCAGCGGCGATCTTGGTTTTGATAAGTCGGCACACTTCGTCGTAGATGCCTGGTGGAATCGGAATGTTGCGTTGAACCCAGGGCTTGTGTTCGACCACCGGCATATTGACTGGAGGAAAGAAATCCTCGCGGAAACGTCCGCGTTCCGAATCGTCCCAGGCAAATCCCATCTCTTGTAGACACATGAAATGGTGCATGAGCTGTCGTTCGGCCGGCCAAAGGAAGTCGTCCGAGTGGACTTTGTCGATGAGGTCGCGTCGTTCGGCTGTGTATCTGCCGGTCGGCGTGAAGGGTGGGGGATTCGGTGTCAGCGTCGGAAGGGCAGCGAGAGGGTCACCGAGGATGTTCCGAACGATTCGGAACTGTTCGGGGAGGTCGGCCAAGACTGGTCGTGTTTTCTGTGCGACCGGTTTGTACTTGCGCTTGGCGGCGAAAATGGCGACCGGGTCGGCGATATTAGTGGAATGGAGAGAACCGGGAACGAATGAGGAGAATAAGGACAACATATCGGAATCGAGATTGTTTTTGAGATGATTTTCGGGCCCCAAATCGGAGGCCATAATGTACTTGAGACAGAGATCGCGACGAGAGGGAAATGGAGAATGGAAATCTGAGGACGCTTCGATAAGTGGGAAATTGGGGGTATCATGATCGGTGGAAATGATCAGTGCAACTTCTCCTTGATCTCGGATCAATTCATCGAGTCGCGAAAACCCGCTTGTCTTCGGTGAAGGACTCGAGGGGGTCCTCGTCTGATCGTCGGAATGGTGGCTCGTCGTCCCGTGTTCGGGTCGCTGATGGTGATCGTCTGGTCTTCGTTTGAATAATTTTTGACGATACTTTCGGTGAGGATGTCGAATGGCCGACCGAGGAGAACGTCATAGGCGGGGTTCCGAATGATGTGGACTTGGAGGTACAGGGTGATGTCGCCGATGAGGAATGGCACGTTGCGTGCCAGGCCCAAGGATCGGTCGATTTCGCCGTTCGCCGACTGCATATTGAGGACGATTTCGGGGTCGTAGATGAGCGCCAGTTCGTTGCAAATGCCTTCCGACATGGCAATGACTTGTGAACCCGGGTCGATGACGCATTCGACTTCCTGCTGATGATCGACGAGGGGAACAATAGACCTTAGGGCAGACGATTCTTTAGCAACTATCAATGGCTGAGGAACCTGACCGGGCTGTAGATTCTTCAGGTACGTTTCGTACATGTCGGGGATGATGATCACGCCCGGCGGGGGTGTTTCCGGTTGGTGCAGGACATTGACGAAGGAGGAGACGGTCGGTCGAGTCGGTGGTTCGAGGTCGTCGATGGCATAGGGTAGATCGGCATCTTGGTAGAAGGTCCGAACATTGCTGGCGTCTCTGGCAGGCGATCGGCGTGCCGACGTGGCTTCCCTGACCTGTGAACGGACTTCGGCGGAGAGAGAGAGTAGTTCGCGCTGGGTAAGCGTCACCTGAGTGGCCATTGCCCTGTTGTAGACCTCAGCTGCTACCTTCTCGTCGTAGATCGGCGCCGTGGTTTTGTAGGCCGGAGCGTCCTTCTTTGCCGATGGTATCTTCGCCGGGGCTCCCATGTTGCGGTCGTGTGGCGGTGCATAGGTGGCGTCCTGGGCTTTGGCATATGGGTGGATCGGAGCATCGTCCTTGGCTGGTACCGGGGGCGGTCGCTGAGTCGGGGTGGTCGGTCGGGGTTCGGGTTCGGGAGTTTCGGTCCTCGCTCGTCGTTCGGGGGCCGGTGAAGGGGTAGGTGCCGAACGTCCTGCCTGCGCCATTTCGCGTGCCCTTGCGCCCCGCGTTCGGAGCGCGAATAGTTCGCGTTCGAGGCTCGCGATTCGCTGGACGTCGGTGAGTTGGTAAGTCGGGGTGACATCCAGCAATGAGGGTGAATCGTGACGGGAGGCTATCGTCATCGGGTGAGTCGGCACCGCGTTTACCGTAAACATCATCTGTCCGGTCGCCAACTGGCCTGGATTCCTGCGATGCCATTCGTCAACTCGGTCCTTCAGGTTACTACCCGTGATTTCTCTCGGTACGAATGCCCCACTTGACAATACCACCTTCCCCTCGATATTCCTCTTGCATTTGCCGATCCGAATGTATTCGGTGACCTCGGGACAGGCGCGCATGAAGTGTTCGGGACTGCCGCAGAACATGCAGTTGTCGCCGCCTTGTCCTGGCTGTCGGGATGGTCGATCGGCTGGCCTGGTCGTCCCCTGAGCTGTGATGGCCTTGACAAAGGTGTCGGTGAGCCGTTCGAACATGGTCGCCAGGTCTTCGGCCTTGATCGCGTTGGTGGGCGGCGCGGCGGGGGCTGCTCGAGAGATGTCGGTAGGGATCGTGCTGTAGGCAGACGTGGTGCCGTGCAAGACGAATCGGGCCGCGTCGTGGATGTCTTGGAGGTTGTATGGGTCGTCTGGGAAATGATCGGGGAACTTGAGTTGTAGACGTTGAGAGATTCTTGCCCATAGCTCCGGTTGGAATCCTCTAGCGAAGGCGCGTCCTTGTTCGGCGACCGAGATCCGTGCCTTGCTGAGGAGGAATACCGTGATCGCCAGGAATCGCCGATGATAGTCGCCGAGTTCGCTGAGAGACAAGATGCCGACCCTGCTCGTTTCGCCGACTAGCTTGTCCATATCCGATACCGACCATTTGCGTTCTTCCTCCGATCCGGGGTATAGCCTGTAGACCTCTTCGCAGAACTCCTTGAAGGTCTTCGTGGCGTCGGTGAAAGTGGTGAGCGATTCCCAAAGCTCACAGGTGTCGACATCTAGGAATCGGCAAGCGTGTTTCTTTCTTTCTTGTTCGTCCACTACCGCAGACCGAACGAAGTGGAAGTCCAGATCGGAGAAATATCGTCTCAATTCGCGGGGTTGATGGGGGTCAAAGGTCGGGGCCGTTCGATCTCCACGAGCGGGCATGGATGGGGTCGCCATAGTGAGAAAGTCAAAGGTGGGGGAGAAGGTATTGTTTTCTAAGGTGATCGGGGATGGAGTCGCTGGTTCGAAGGAGCGTTCTAGTGAAGTCGGTCGGATGGTCGGCGTCCAGAAGACGGGGCTGCGTGGGATTAACGGAGAGATGGAGTCGTGGAGAGATGGGATAGGAGACGGGGGTGATTGTTCTAAGAGTGCAAGGTCGAGGATAGGGGAAATCGGTGGGAGTAACGATCGGTTCGGCGACGAAGGTGGGGTTAAGAAGAAAGTGGAGTCGGGTGGTGGTGAGAGCGATGGCGAGGATTCGAGATCAAGGTAGTGATGGTGGGATAAGTGTTCTGGGACTATATCGGCGTCTCCGAACAAACTTCGGTCGGCAGATGTTTCCTGAGTATTGAAGCTATCGATAACTGTTTGTCGTTCTTCGCGCTCCGCTGTTGGTCGGGACGAGCGACGTAGATTCCTTGAGGTAATTTTGAATACTAACCCCTCGCGGTGGGCTCCAAAATGTTACGCTAGAGGTGGCTCTAAGTGCCGAGCACAACACTAAAACAACCTCTAAGGCAGGGGTGCTGGAGCTAGTATCTGATACACAAGGAATTGTAAGTGATGACTTTAGAAATTGAAGGCGTACTGAGAAGCAATCGGGGAGTGTGAGATTATAGCGCCCCGAACGGTTTCGGGACTGCGCCGAACACCGACCGAACGTTCGGTCGGTCGTGTCGGCGATGCGGTCGGTAATGAGAAGGTAGTGTCGCGACCGACAACTACGTGCTTCAAGAGCCACACGGGACTCTGACAATATACGAGGGAGGACGGGGGGGTACGAGCGAAGAGACGAGTACGAACGCGAATGAGGCCGAACGACGAGGATGACAAGTTTTTCGGAAGTCGACGAAGACGATTTCGATGGTTGAGACGAGTGCGAATGAGCTCTGAACTGTGGGGTGCGAAAGCTGGTTTATTCCAGAGTTGTATGTAGGTTTTTATAGTAAACAGAGCCCCTAAGTAAAATATTAAACAAGAAATGAGAGTAGATGTCGAATGGGCGCCAAGCCCCAGCGATCAGAGAAGATAAGAAGGTAGGTGAGATGTCCATATGGGTTCCGAAGGTGATAAGGTAAAAGGTAATCAGTGATGTCGAAATCCCGAACGTTCGGGATCCGTCGCCCGAGCGTAGGTAGCAGGAACAGGCGTTGGAGAGCCAATGAAAAATAAAGAAGAGGTATCGTACGACCAGGGTGGCCAAGCAATGGTGCAAGATCGCGTTTGACCGACCATGCGGAAGTCGGGAAGATAAACGATAAGGACCGACCGACTCACGGAGGACATCGGCCGATACGGAATACTGGCTCCGATCTCGTAAACACTTATCGTAACACTCCTATGCGGTCATGGTAAGTACGTGAAGTGTGGGCGAACTGACCCAAGTGCTGCCGAACGTCCTTCGGTGGCTTGTCGTCGGTCGGGTAGGGACCGACCGTGTTCGGTAATAGTCGGCGTCTTCGGTACTTGTCGAGCGCTGTTCGGTATCTCCCCAAAGCTTCACGAATACCTCCCTCGGACCCTAGCGCGGGTGCATGCTCATCAACGGCGCAGAACAAAGGACGGTGGGGAATGACATGATGACAGATAAGCACCTTCGTCTAGCTTTATTTCCGAAACAGCAGTTGAGGATGTGTCGAATCTATGTCATATTGGTCGATCTGTCGAATGCGTCGTAGCATTCCGATAAGTTAGCCAGATGCAGTCCGAGGCATCAATTTCATCCCACAATCCCTGACAGCCACCACAGTGAATAGCCCTGCATGTCCTGAACAGAATGAGTGCCAATTCTCACCTCTTACCACTTCAATACGTACAACGGCATCTCCAGCGCGCAATTCTTACATACATGCCAAAAATTCCAAAAACTTGTTCACCTGATAGCTCCCGATTCCACGCTCCTTCCGTCTGCCTGCTTGCCCCTCCTCTCCCCTCCAGCTAATTTGAACTGCGCGCCCACACCTCCGCCCGCAGACCCATGTGCTCAAACATTGCCCATTCTGTCGAGCACGACGAGGTCTGCATCCGCCCCGGGGCGGAGCGTGCCCTTCTTGTTCTCGATGCCAAGGCACCGCGCCGGGTTCAGCGTCGCGCACTTGAGCGCTTCGTCGAGGGAGCAACCCGTGAAACGGGCAAAGTTGTGTACACATTTGTCTAGTGTTACAACACTGCGCACATACAGGTAAGTAGCCGTGATGAAAAGATCGCGAGACAAGGGCTTGGGCTTGCCTGCCGGCGAGGTGTCCGTACCCTCGAGATAAAGCCGGTCGCCTTCTTTGACAAAGTGTTTGCCCTCGCGCCATTCATGTACGCCGTCGCGCGGGTGTGGGTCGAGTATCTTCATCGCTAGCAGCAGTATTCAATCATGAGTGAGGCATGCTCAATCTCGACGTTTCCAACACCTGTGATCAAAATACAACCTTCCGAGAATACGTTATACTCAAGCTAGGTCGTAGTCAAATGGTCAGGTTCAAGCATTTTTGCTGCATAGACTAGCAACGGACGTGATCAAGCTGCTTACCCGGACAGAATTCGGATGCGAGTGGATCCCGTCAACGATTATCTCGTAGAACGGCCGCTCAAACGTCATATCTGTGACTTGGCCCTTGTCAAGGTGCGGCTCGCCGCCGTTCTGGTGTTTGGCAAGCATAGGGGTCTGCAGCGGCGTCACGCCGTCATCGAGCGCCTCTGAGTGCACCGCGGGTTTGCGGCTGTTCATATTCGTAGGAGTGACAGGACCCGCTAGAGTTGTTATGGTATCGGAGCCAGCAAGCATGGATGTGGCGATGGTATCAACAACGTTCGCAGTAGCAGGGGTGAAAGGTGATCCAAGATGTGGAGAGGCACCGAGGAGCCCGATGATGGACGGATCGCGGTGGTGCAGCTGCGGCATGGCATTGAAGAGGTGCGTGATGAGACGCACGCCGCGCCGTACGGCTGCCGTCGCAATGTCTGTCGTCGCAATGCCAATTGTGCGCAAACAATAACAGCGGGATAGTGTGCGTAAAGATTACCTGTGTCCGATGGAAACACAATACCCTGCGCCGTCAGGTCCTTGATGGCGTCCATGACGCCCTCAATCTCGGGCGCGCCCGTGATGATGCGCACACCGACACCGCCGTCCATGGGCCAGTCCTCTGTATGGGAGATATTCGGCACACCATAGACGTCTTCGAAAGCAGAAACACCTTTGGGTGTGGTGAGAAGGAATGGTGGGGCACGTGCGCTCCGCTTGACCATGTGAAGGAAGAGGCCCTCTGCATGCCACCCGAGAAGTGTTGCTCCATTGGATGAGGAGAAGGGTGGAGAAGGGTCGAAGGAGGTTCAGGAAGAGTCGGATATAGGGATTTCTCTTGTGTCTAGAATATGGAAATGAGAGGGGTCGTTTGATCTTGTCGAAGCTCACAGGCGAGGGGGAAGGGAATAAGACGCACGATGACTGTAGGTACTAAACTGATGAGCAGAATTTCAGACAAGTTCGAGGTCAAATAAGATGCAAAGGGGGGTACACTACATACGATGTGACGCCTGTTTCTACGATGTTCTCAGAAACAGTTCGCATCCCTCGTCTGTACGCCTCGTCGTCACCTTCATATACTGAGAAGTCAAAGCCGTACGCCCCGTTGATCTGGATATCCAAGAAGCCAGGGCTACAAGGGCGGAAGACCGTCAGCAGCGTGGTGCAGAGTTCGCGTGTCAACTAGCGGTCGTAGCGCTGTGTACCTTATGATGTTGCCGCCGAGATCTATCATCCTTTGTGGCCTCTCTTTCCTGTGATAAAATGTGTGCTGCAAGAGCAAGTGCCGACGCCTATCAGAACCCCTCGGAGGCTTCATAGGCAAAATTCCACTCGTCTGGGAATCCAGGACCATATCTCGGCGCTCGTCGATCCACAAGTCTTTCTTGACGAGCTCCCATCCTCTAGTGGGATTAAGCAGTTAATAAAGCATATGAGGCCGTTCGGCGAAGTCATCGAGATTGTTTCGGTAGCAGAAAGCACGGTGTTGACGTCGAACAGTCGCACAAGATAGTAGAACAAGAAGAGAAGCAGCTATAAGCGGGCGAGGGAAACACTAGGGAGCTGTATCATCCGTGCGTCGTGCAAGCGATGAACATCTCAAACGTGCGCAACATACAAGGAGAATCGAATTGAATTTACTGTGGCAGAGCTACCCATCAGATACAGGATGAGTTTTGCAGAATATTCCATGCACTCTCCAGCTGGAGTTTGTTGGCCCGATGAACGAGTGGAGAGGAAGTTATTCGAGGACCAAGGTTGTTCGGGCCGGATACAGTAACCCCCACCCTCCTCCACCGCCTCCGTGCGACTCCACTGCGACTCCGTGCCCGGTCTTACTCAGCGTTTTGTCTCACGTTCCTCTTCCTACCCCACACTCTCCCCACAGAGCTTTATATCCTAAGAAAACAGTACGTTCGAGAAACAAAACCTAAACAACACCGTCATTGCACCCATGTCGATCCTCGCACGCGCCTTGTGCGTCTCGTCGCGTATGACGCGCTCCAACGCTGCTCTCAGCATGCGCTGTGCATCGTCGAAATCTGGTCCGTCTTGTCTGCCTCGACGCACTGTGAGGGTATTGACTGACTGACCGCACAACCAAACGTGACACCAATTGCTACGACGTGGTTGGACGCGTGCAGCCCTGCCTCCGTTCCAATGGGAGGTGCGTCCGATTTTCTTGCTTATTTGTTCTGGATCTAACACTCTCATCCACTCTCTCACTTTCCAACGTATACCCACACATCGATTCAACGGTGGAACAATTGCCTTTGCGCCTCCTGCCACAATTCATGCACAGGATCCGCTGGACTTTGAAAGCCTTCTAACGGAGGAAGAAATCGCGATCCGGTGAGCCCATCTTTCTACCCATCCTTCCCGTGACATCCGCAACCAAGGTAGTCTTCTAATGTGACCCCTCTTTTGTTCCACGTTGATCTAGGGACACCGCAAGGGACTTCTGTCAGGTATGCACCGTGTATGCCCGTTTCATTGCGCAGGTTATCATGTCTGGTGGACCCTTGTGTACTTCTATGCACTCCGCATCTGTTTCGATGCGTAGGAATACCTCGCGCCACGCGTACTTGAAGCTCAAAGGACAGAGAGTGCGTACCTTTCCCTCTGCTCTTCGTAACTCAAGCGCTTGCAGTTCGCGTATCACACCATTTTTACTGACTCACTCTTCACATGATCGTTCGCCTGCTCACGCCCCCATCAAAATTATTTTGACACACGACAATAATGCCGGGTCATCTGACGTTCCCCGTGTCTCACTCTGCCGCGGCGCCTGCAGACTTTGACAAGTCGATTTTGCCGGCCATGGGCAACCTCGGGCTGCTGGGTCCGACGATCCAAGGCTACGGCTGTGCGGGCGTGAGCTACGTCGCGTATGGGCTGATCGCGAGGGAAATCGAGCGGTGAGTCGCGTTTCTTGCACCCATCCTTCTTCGGGATCTCACCGCGATGTTTGCTGGCACCGGCCTTTTGCTGCTGCTTGAACGGCACACAGCGTTGATTCCGGATATCGCTCCACTGCCTCCGTGCAATCGTCTCTCGTCATGCACCCGATCCACGCCTTTGGAACAGAAGCGCAGAAAGACAAGTACCTCCCAGCGCTCGGTACGTACTCCTTCCCATCCCTTACTTTCGTCTTTCCCATCAACTTTACTGATCTGCCGTCGTGTCGCCTCTCACAGCAAAGGGCGAGCTCGTGGGCTGTTTCGTAGGTCCATCCCTGCTACTCGGTCTGCGGCACCGGGCTGACAGTGACCGTGCGCGTTGCAGGGCTTGACGGAGCCGAACCACGGCTCGGATCCCGCAGGGATGGACACCGTCGCGGAAGAAGTCGATGGCGGGTTCGTGCTCAACGGGAGCAAGACGTGGATATCGAATGCCCCCGTCGCGTGCGTGTCCTTTCTCGGATGGATTGTTGACACTCCGGTTCTGATGCATGTCACGACGCATTGTCCTCCACAGGGACGTGTTCATCATCTGGGCGCGCTGCAAGTGGGATAACCGCGTGCGCGGGTTCGTGCTCGACAAGGTGCGCTTCCTGCGTGCTCCACGTTTCGTCCATCTGACCGCGCTCGCCCGCCTCTGCGCGCCCTCAGGGCCTCAAAGGCCTGTCCGCGCCGAAGATCACGAACAAACTCGCGCTGCGCGTGTCGACGACGGGCTCCATCTTCCTCGACTCCGTCAAGGTCTCCCACGATGCGCTCCTCCCCGGTGCAGTCGGCCTCGGCGCCGCGTTCTCGTGCCTCAACAACGCGCGGTACGCCCTCGCCGACCTCCTCTCGCATAATCGCTCATCGCTCACGCGGCGTGCGCCCGCACCCGCACCCGCAGGTTCGGCATCTCGTTCGGCGTGATTGGCGCGCTCGAGGACTGCCTGCACCGCGCCCGCGCGTACGCGGGCGAGCGGACGCAGTTCGGGCGCGCGCTCGCGTCGTTCCAGCTCGTGCAGCGGAAGCTCGTCGGCGCGCAGACGGAGGCCGCGCTCGGGCTACACGCGAGCCTGCAGGTCGGGCGGCTCAAGGACGCGGGGCGCGCAGCGCCGGAGATGGTGTCGCTCGTGAAGCGCAATAACTGCGGCAAGGCGCTCGAGCAGAGCCGGGTGCTGCTGGACGTGTTTGGCGGCAACGCGTGCGCGGACGAGTGAGTCGCGGCTTGTCTGGGACTTTTTTTTTTTGATGAGGGCTGGACGCCGTGTGTGTGTGTGCGTGTGTGTGCGCGCGCTAGGTATCACGTCGGGCGCCACGTCGCGAATCTGCAGGTCACGAACACCTACGAGGGTAAGTCCCGTGCCCGCTCTCCCCTTTCCCCGTCCACCGCTTTGCTCACATCATATCACCCCTCGCGCTCGCGATCCAGGCACCCACGTGCGTTCTCTCTCTCTGTTCACGCCGTGCTGATTGGGACTGACTCGGCGCTCGCGTTCCTCCCGCCACGCCCGCGCCCAGGACATCCACACGCTCATCCTGGGCAAAGCCATGACCGGCATCCCCGCGTTCGCAAACTGAGCCGCGCGCCGCAGACGGGACGGGATGGCTCTGCGCGCGCACGGCATGGTATGGAGCGCAACGCAAAGCCCGAGGTTGGGCGCGCGAACACCACGCTCGGAGAATCGTTTTTCTTTTCAGTTTGTTTCACGGTGCGCTCGGGACGCGATCTGGCTACGTGTATTGTATCTATCTGCTGTCTACGAACGGAAAGGGTGCGGTACAGAATCCAGTCTGCGTCAAGGCATGGCACGCCTGCGAACGCACAGACGAGAACGGGCGCATATATACGAGTGCGCGTGTGCGTGCGTGCATGCGTGAGTGAGTTCGGAGGGCTTCGCGCTGTGTGCACCCGTCCGCGGCCTCTTAGCCCGCGGCGTCGCGTCGCCCGTCTTTGCCCGTTGGGCTGCGTCGCATCCTCGGTCCGGGACCGTGGACGCGGGCACGCAGGCACACGAGCGCCCGGTGGCGTACGGCCTCGCTCGTGCTAGTCTATGCTAGCGCGGGCGGGCGCTGTGCATCTGCCAGAAAAAGAAGCTTGTCCCACGACCCCCGACCCTGCGGTCGTGCGGTCGGCCGTGCGGGTGTTCTGGGCTGTGATGGATTCAAGGGCGGGAGGGCGTGGGTGGGTTCTTGCGTCGCCGGCAGAACGCAGAACGCAGAATGCAGAACGCGAGCGTGGCCGATGCGTGCGCTCGCGGCAGAGCTAGACAGACTCAGAAGGGTGCCGCCGCCGCCGCCGCCGCCTCGACGAACGGCGTCCCCTCCGTGCGAACAAAGCTTACTTGACCGAAACCCGTACCTGGCTCTTGACTGACACGCAACACGGGATGGCGTCATGCCGCGGCCCAGAATAAGATAGGCGTGGAACTGCGCGGACGCATGAGCTCGAGAGAGCGGGGGGCCGTGTCGGGCGACGTCCGGGGTCGCAGGCATCTGACGCACCCCGTGGTACGGCAGGCGGAAGTCGGACGTCCGTGGATCGGTGTCAGATGTCGGCCGACCCTGAAAACACAGAGCAGGGCTGCAGGCTGTGGGCTGTGGGTTGTGGGTGAGAGTGAGGGTGAGGGCGAGGGGGCCGGGGATGCGAGCGGGCGGGCGATGGGAACGGGGACGAAGGCGAAGGCGCGATGTGGCGGTGGAGGAGAGCGGCGGGGATGATGACTCGGGGAGCGTGGGAACTGCGCTCGCGATGCGAAGTAGAATTGTCATCGGCTTATTTCTGCGACCGCCCCAGTCAGCCTCTCCCTCACACACACACACACACCAGCAGCCACTCGACACTCCCATTGCGCTGCCGACGACGACGACGACGACGGAGACGCACGCACGCCATGGCTGCCCAATCCGTCCGCAGCAGCCCCTCCCCTCCGCCCTCCTCCCCATCAGCTACCCTCTCGCCCCCACCCGCATCCGCCCCCGCCCCGCCGTTCCCCAACCCGCCCTCCTACGCCTTCCCGCACCACCGCCTCGCGCGCACCACGCGCAGCGCCCACAAGACGCCGCTCGTGCTCGTCGCGTGCGGCTCCTTCAGCCCCGTCACCTACCTCCACCTCCGCATGTTCGAGATGGCCGTCGACTACGTCCGCCAGAACACCGACTTTGAGGTCGTCGGCGGCTACCTGAGCCCCGTCAGTGACCAGTACAAGAAGCCCGGCCTGCTGAGCGGCGAGCACCGGTGAGTTTGTCGCTGCCTGGGCCCGTGCCCGTGCCCGTGCCCGTCTGTTGTGTATGTGGTGTCTTGCCTTGCCTGGTGTGAGGGCGTGCGAGGGCGTGTGTGTGCGTCAGGGCTGCGTCACGGGCGTCGTCACGGGCGTCTCTCGCGCCCCGTCTTCCGCATCTTATCTCCCCACCGCCGCTTCCCGCCCGTTATGGCAACGCAGATCCTCGCTCGCTCGCTCACCGTCCGCCTTCGCAGCGTCAACATGTGCACCCTCGCCGCAGAGGAGACCTCCACCTGGCTCATGGTCGACCCCTGGGAGGCCCGCCAGACAGAGTACCAGCGCACCGCCGTCGTCCTCGACCACTTCGACCACGAGATCAACACCGTCCTCGGCGGCGTGCTCGTCCCAGCGGACGATGGCAGCGATGGCGGCGACGGCGACGGCGAGGAGGTCCGCCAGCCCGTGCAGGTGATGCTCCTCGCGGGCTCGGACCTCATCAGCACCATGTCCGAGCCTGGCGTCTGGTCCGAGGCGGATGTGAGTGCCCCCTCCTCCCCCTCCCTCCCCTCCCCTCCCCGTCGTCGCGCCCTGCTCACGCGCCGCAGCTCGACCACATCCTCGGGCGCTACGGCACCTTCATCGTCGAGCGCGCGGGCGCGGACATGGACCAGGCGACCGAGGCCGAGGCGCTCGCGCGCTGGCGGCACAACATCTTCTTCGTCGCGCAGCTCATACAGAACGACGTCTCGTCCACCAAGGTCCGCCTCTTCCTCCGCCGCGGCCTCTCCGTGCGCTACCTCGTCCCCGCGCCCGTCGTCGCGTATATCGAGGAGCACGCGCTTTATCTCGACGAGGGCGGGGCCGGCGCCGGAGCGGGGGCGGGGGGGCAGCAGGGGCAGGGGCAGGATAAGGGCGATAAGGATAAGGGGAAGGGGAAGGAGAAGGAGAGGCAGTGGAGCCGGAAGGACTCCACGCCCACGACCACGACGACGACACCAACAACAACAACGGCGGCGGCGGCGGCATAGTGTCACAGAGGCAGAGGCAGCGGCTCCCGACGACCGAATATGTAAGTCTATATATCAGACGACGCGCGCGCGCGGCATGTATCATCTTTTACTTTTTACTTTTTTTTCGTTGCTTTTGCTTTTGCGGAGTATTTATTTCGAACGTACATAGAGAGGGGGCGCGGCGGGCGCAGGCGCAGGCGGGGTTAGGCGGACGGGCGGGGCAGAGCGGGGCGCTGTATCCAAAACTGACTCACGGCTGGCACATACTACACAGTAGCACTAGTACCTATATGCGTGCGCGCGCGGACGCGGTCGAGGGCCGCAACATCGTAGAGTTGTTTCTATCTCTTCTCGCCGTGAGGATGTTCGAGGGTCTGAGTCCCCGGCGTGGGATGTAGGACGCAGCCTCCCCTTTGTGCTCCCGCGTCGGAGAAGCCCACGCTTGGCCGCTCCACGCGCGAGTGACGGTCTGAGATACAGGCAATGCGCGCATGCGATTGTGAAGCCGCACGGAACGAACGACGGTGATACAGTTATACAGTGATACAGTGCTCGTATATCCCCGGCGGCATAGTCTAGGATACAGACTTGACCCCCGCGCGCGTGTACAGTCGAGTCGAGTCGCGTGCGAGGGCGCGCGGGAGGCGTGCGGGCGCGGCTTACGGTGCGAGCGGCGCCTGTGCGCTGTCGGGCGTCGAGGGTGGGGTGGGGGCGCGGGGCTCCGCGGCGCGGTATATCTCGAGCGGGACGTGGCCGATGAAGTGCTCACTAGGAAGACGGAGCGCGGACGCGCGGATGCGGGCGTCGGCCAGTCAGTCAGTCAGACAGACAGACAGTACGTGGTTGTCGCCGGCAGGCCCAGGCGGGAGGGGGGGAGGGGGAGACGTACTCGCCGAATCCGCCGACGAAGTATACGGACTGGGGGGAAGGGGCGTCGGATTGTGATGGGTTACTATAGGACGACGGAAGAAAGGGAGGGAAGGAGGGACGCACGTGTGGGTCGAACCGCGCCCAGTACGCCTGTGTGATGTGTGCATGAGCGCGATGACGGAGACAAGGGCAAGGGCAAGAGCAAAGCAGGGGCCAAGGCGGACTCGGCACCCACCGTATGCGCCCCGTCTTCGTCCCCGGGCAACCACGCGCGCGCGTCCGGATGCGCGCGCACAAAGCACGCCCGCAGCGCAGCGTCCCCCTCCGCGTCGCCGAGCAGCACGACGCTCCCGACGAGCGCGACGCGCGCGCGGGCGGCGCCGGGCGGGTCTGCGGACACGGTCAGCGCGGCGCCGTGTGCGGGCGCGCGGAGCACGTTGTGGCCGTGCTGGGAGATGGGGAGCAGGATGAGCGCGAGCGAGCCGTTGGCGAAGCAGCTTTTTGTGTGCGTGTGCGGGCGACGGGCGACTGGTGAGCGAGGCGCCTGGAGGGCGGGCGGGGAGAGAGGGTGCGTGCTTACTTGGCGTAGTACTCCTGCATGGCGTAGGGCTGGCCTGGGGTGGGTCGTGGGTAAGCCTCTGCGGGGACGTATGCGGGGGCGGGGACGCTTACCTGCGAGCGAGGGATCACGGTGGTCGGCGGGGTAGAGGGTCGCCATCGTGCCGATCGGGGACTCAGAGGACGCAAGCAGCCCGCGCGCGAGGGCGGCTAGGGTGCGTCCGACGGTGGATCGAGGTTGAGCGATTCGAGGGCGCGAGGGGGCGTGAGGGTCAGGCTCTGGTGCGCGTGGGTGCGGGAGAGAGAGGGGAGAACGGATACTGGCCTGCTTCCTGGACTGTTTCGCGGCGGTGCGCGAGCGGGGTGGTGAGCGCCCCAAGCGGGAGCGCGAACGTGAGGAGGAGCGTGGTGAGCCAGTTCATCGCTGTCGTCGTTGTCGTCGTTGGACCTCGACCTCGACAATCAAGATGTGATGCGGATGAGGTTGTGGCAGGGGCTTGCGTCGTTGTAGCTGAAGGTCGCCTCAGCCGGACCTGGATACCTCCATTGGGACGACTCTGAGATCCCGCCTGCAGGCCCTGGTGCCCTGGCCTAAAGCACGACATGAGGAGGATAAGAAAAACACCATCATACGACTTTCAAGAAATTCCAACGAGACGAGTCCAGAGGTCGAGGCCTGAAGGCATCCTCGTTTATGCGGACTCGGGCGAAGTGGTGGTGACAGCATCTCCCAAGCCCGAAGCAAAGACACGACAAATAGCTTGAAAGTACTGTACATACAACAAAGTCATACAACAACCCCGAGGCATTACAGACGATGCACTGTGTGCGGGTCGAGAACGTCGGAAATGATAGCAGTCAGCGAGAGAAGAGGAATTGACAGCACTACCGCAGGTTGCGGCAGCGGGCCGCGGCAGTACGTAGTGTTGAGTCATGGGAATGTCATGGGTTATGAGGAACGGCAGGGGATAGCGTGGATAATTCGTAAATCAAACGTAAGTCCGGGTTAGGCCACCGTCACGTCTCGTCCGTCGTCGCGTTCGGAATCAGGCTCGCGAAGGCCAGAAACCGAGCGGCAGCTTGCGGTGGAAGCCTTGAAGGCCGAGCTGGGACCGGGAAGCGAGAGGCCGAGGATGGCCCTGGCAGCAGCGCTTACCGAGCGACGATGCCTTGGATATGCGGCGGCAAGAGCATGGCGTCGCCCTTTGACCGCGGGCTCTCCTCGTCGACGTGTCGGATGAGCAGTTCAGCCGCGGGCGACCGAGGTCCAACGCGATATTTGAACGGCTTCGGGTGGCTGCGGGTGCGCGCGAGGTGCATGCCGTCAGATACCAAATCATTCCATGGGACAAGCACAATGAGGCTCGGGCCCTGGGTGTGGCACGCACCTGATCAGATTCGAAGCAAACTCGGCGGGGGGCACAATCTCCGCGCCATGCTGATCTCGCGCCCGGCTGATGTCGAGCGACGCCAGGATCATGGCCGCGTACACGAAGAGCGACACCTCGGCGAGCTGTCGGCCTGATGGCAAAAATGACGAAACGTGTGATAAGCGAGGGATGCGCAATAGAGACATCAGATCTGGCCAACGCACCAGGGCAAGCACTTTGCGGCGACCAGGCATGAGGCCATCAGCTGCGCAGCGGCGGGAGCTATCATCTTTACTTACCGGCGTCCGAACCCGAAGACGGCTGCGAATGGATCGGGCTCTGCGTCTTCCCCCAAGAATCGTTCAGGGTTGAACTGCATAGGCTCGCTGTAGACCCTCTCATCATGACACATCGCCCTAGGGACAAGCCCATCAATATATACATCACGGATGGTCGATGAGCACACAAACACGTACCAGATATTACCCACAATCGTCGCGCCCTTGGGAATGAAGTACTCTCCGTAAGCATCGTCCTGTGACGACGTATGTGGAGTTCCTAAAACATGTCCGGTCCCGATGAGCATCAGTAAAAATGAAGTCATATTTATTCAATCCTTACCCAAAGGGGCAGGCGGGTTCCAGCGAAGGACTTCTTTGAGCACGGCGCTCACATATGGCAGCTTCTCTTTATCGTCCCAAGTGGGAAGCCTAGTGGGTCCGATGTGCGCATCGATCTCCGCCTGGGCTTTTTTCTGGACTTCGGGATGGAGTACCATGGCCAGGAAAAGGGTGCAGATGGTCGCGACCGACTGGGCATAACGTCCAATCTTATCAGCATGGGGGTCATAAATCTCACTGATTGATGAGCGCACCGTATCGACGCCTCCGGTGTCGAGAGAGATCGCTGTCCACTTGATAAGAAACTGTTCCTCCGCAGACGCGCCCTCCTCGAGCATGGCCGATGTGAAGGAGCGAAGCGCTTTACCGGTAGACTGCATACAGTAATCATGAGCATGTTTGATGTGCATGACAAAAATTGCTCATTGACGAACCATCTGTTTTTTCACGAACTCGAAAGGAACGTCCACGAGCTCCTGGAATGTTTTCCGGAAGTCCCGCGCCATCTGTTTGAAGCCGGCACCGGGGAACCAGTCGGGGATGTGTCGGACTATGTTTGGTTCGTAAATCGGAGCCAGAAATCCTGTCGAACATGTAATAAAGACTCACGAATGGGGAGAGAATCGACGAGCAATGCACCAGGCTCGTTGGCGACAGTGAAGTCATTGATCGCGAGTCGGGCTAGTTCAACGAGAGGATCAGGCTTGGTCGTATCAACTGTGTAGCCATGTGATAGACGCAGAATGAAGGAACTGATCGCACTGTGATGGGAATATTGAGTCTTTTCTGAACATCTGAGATGGAAAGCTTGATAGACATACATGCGGGCGCCTTCTTGCAGATCACCTGGCTTCTCCAACATGTGCAACAGGAACCGTCGTGTCTCGATCTCCCGAGCATGTTCGAACTGACAGACGTTGACCTTCGTGCCGATCAGCTGGTGAATGTACCTTCGAGTCTGTCGGAAGGGCTCTCCGTGATTGAGCATAACGAGAGTAGCATTCCACCCAACCCTTCAACATTCAAGCATGTCGTACTTTAGCAATCATTCTACAAAGACGTCACGTAGACGTACATGTCACCTGAGAAAGTGGATTTAGGCCGATCTGAGTTGAGCACCGATCGCTCAACGAGGATGTCATCCGCGGCTCGGAGGCTATTCAAGATGATGATGGGGCGTCCGACGATCGATGTGTACACGATGTCCCCTACGACATTGAACGGTTGAGATGAAGCATCACTGAGAAGCAAGGAGGGGGGAAAGTACCGTATTTCTTCCCCCATTCCGCAAATTTGATCCACCTGTAGTGATCAGGGAGATCGAACAGGTTGCCGATGACAGGCCATCCCCGAGGACCTGGTGGCAAAGGAAGGCGTCGACGAGTGAAGAGCGCATGGACGAGATACAGCCCGGGAACGACGAGCGCGACAGGAAGGAGGGGGAAGGCAGAGTAAAAGGCGTCCATGCCTGACGCGAATTAACCACGGGATGATAGACTGAAATCTTTTTGCCACACCTTTTTATACCGATCGCATGCGCTGCGCCCCGCATCGGATGCGATATATCATTTCCCGTCTCCATCATCATGTGTCTGCTTAAACTCGGCAAGACCTCTTCGGCAAGTGGCCCAGGACTTCCAGGACCCATTCGAGATAACTTAATTGTGTCATAAATCCAAAGCCTAGATGCGGAACTCCTGTTGATCTGTGTGAACAAACAATACAAGGCTTTGCAACAGGCTAAGACTGTTTTAGAAGGATGGTGCCAGGCCCGCCAGAGCTTGACGATGAAACTCAGAAAGAACATCTGAGGATCAAGCTCAAGAATCATGCCGTTTGTACGGAACTCGTACTCACCGAATATAGCCAGGGTACGCCCCAGCACTGGTGATAATCGGGAACATATGCCATTGGACTTGAATTACAAAGAGTCTGGCCGTGCCTTGAATCATCTTCGCATTCCATCATCAGTCGATCGATTTCCATCGGTCTGAATGGCATCGGGACCTAACCTGGCCCACCGCGGGAGACCCTGAGAGACCATCGTCGTTAGGTGGCCATAATGACTGGCGTCGATGTCTGGAACAAATCGCCAGGAAAGGCTATATGATTTTCTCCACAGCAGCCGAAAAATGCGCATTTACCGGTGACAGAGAAAATCCTGTGAGAGCAAGACGGTGAAGCGATCCGTAACCTAGCATATGGAAGAGACAACGTAACACGGAAGCTCCCGACGTTACCACAGTCGGCGTTGTTAGTCGCTTATCGCCAGGATCGAAGGCTCGTCGCTCAACGTTCGGGACCTTCGAACGTCATAGAATCATTGCGTTCGTTCGAGCCATGGAACCGGACACGAACAGCTCTCAGCGTCTGTACTGGCTTCGAAACTCAGGAACGCGACTGGAACACGTCGCGCGCCGAAGCAGGAACTGTATGGCAGGACGAAAATACGTAACGGCTCGGACACCAAGATGCCAGCAGACAGCAGCGATCGGCTACGAAGTAGATGGCCACGAGGATGCGAGCGCTGTCAAACGTACGTGATCAGGCGCCTGGGGATTGAGCGCGTCTAACAACGTGTTTTCGCATTTTACTGGGATTTTTCCAATATTTTTTTCGGAGCTCTGGACAATCACCCCGAGCATCAGAGAGGCTCCCGAGATCACGATCGACTTGATTGATAATCGAGATGCATGTTGAGCCGGATGAGTGCCGGATGTCGCTGAGCTGGCCGAATTCAAGGCAACGTAGAGAGATTTTAGATCGATGGCGTGATGGCGTTCGGCAAAATGCATATGCTCAAGGCAAGGAATGGTCGGCCTCGAGAAGAATTCGGAATATCGTGAAGAATTTTGCACCGCCTGCTGAGGAGAGTCGTCATTAGAGACGATATGACATAAATGTATGAAACTCCATGCCATCAGACGAACTTGATAAATGGGCTCACCCTTGAGAGCATGACGGATGAGTGCTTACCAAAAAGATGATATTACTCGTCTCAGTTAGAACATCGTCGGAAATAGTACCCTGCCTCCTAGACCCGAAACGGATTTCAATCCCTTCCAAATTTCCGGACCAAACGAACGAAATCCCGTATGTCGTGGGTTATATGCCCTATGAATGAAGATGATATTGTCGACGCGGTGGAGCAATAAAGATGCCTAAAAGTTCTTCAATTCTCCTTGCGACGGAGGCTAGGCTGGGTTGGGCGATTTGACCAGATTCATACTGCTGGAATGCTGATTTGAACACATAAATAAGTATGAATAAACGTAACTTGAGGTCAAGATACCAGGATAAAACATCAACAGCGCTTAATGACAGACCGGGTATCCGGTTGATACGGATCGCCTCAACTTCTGCAACAACTCAGAAGTACTTGTAGGGCCGGGTTGACGTTCCAGAAAAGAGTGTTGTTTGAATGGAATAGTGTTGGCTAGAATATCCAAGGCAAGTGTTGCATGTCGCATGATGGACATACAGAAACTGCTGTCAGAGTCATCGTCACAGGAAGCGCATCGTGGGCAGGGCATCCGTCACATGAGGGCTATAACGTATGAGGGTCGAGTGCCAGCCCCACCGATGACCATTGGGGTTGTTCTGGGCGAAAGGAACGAGGTCGCTGATGGTGTCGTCAAGAGTGAAGCCACGACTTGGTCATGCAGGAGACACGGCTTGACGAATTGCATCATTGTTACATAGATGGTTAGTCGCCAATGAGTGGGGTAACATTGAGGACATGTGGGTGTCTTTTGCACTGCGATAGAGAAAGATGTGGGCCCTGAGGCCTGAGGCCTCGAGGCGTGAGGCTGTGAGAGGCTTCAACGATCTGATGAGATCTGTAGTGCACAAACAGGTGGAGTTGCATATCTCAGATAGCCTCAGTAGATCTCAACTTTGACTACATACTCCAACTACCCGTAGTATGTCAAAGGAGTGGAAAAAAAGTGCAGGAAGACGAGACACACCACTCAAATGTGTTGCAGCAAGACGGCTGGCAAACTGGTCCGTGCATAATTTGAGGCGCTATCCGAAGATGTTGACATAGAAATCCATGACTGCGCATTTCTGGAAGTAAGCAACTGATTGAGATTGTATGATCAAGGCGAAAGCTGAGGCAAAACGCTGAGTAGGACCGAGCACGGAGGAGCACGGAGGCTGTGGAGACGAAACCAAATTCGCTCGGAGCCAACCGGGGGAGGTTATCCGGCCCGAACAACCTCGAACAACTTCCTCTCCTCCCGTTCATCGGGCCAACAAACTCCAGCGGATTAGCTGGAGAGCATGGAATATTCTGCAAAACTCATCAAGTATCTGATGGGTAGCTCTGCCACAATAAATTCAATTCGATTCTCCTTGTATGTTGCGCACGTTTGAGATATTCATCGCTTGCATGGCACACGGATCATACGGTTCCCTCGCCCGCTTATAGCTACTTCTCTTCTTATTCTGCTATCTTGTGCGATTGTTCAACGTCAACACCGTGCTTTCTGCTACCGAAACGACCTAGATGACCTCGCCGAACGGCCTCATATGCTTCACTAACTGCTTGATCCCACTAGAGGATGGGAGCCTCGTCAAGAAAGACTTGTGGATCGACGAGCGCCGAGGTGTGGTCCTGGATTCCCAGGCAAGTGGAATTTTGCCTATGAAGCCCCCGAGAGGTTCTGATAGGCGTCGGCACTTGCTCTCGCAGCACACATTTTATCACAGGAAAGAGAGGCCACAAAGGATGATAGATCTCGGCGGCAACATCATAAGGTACACAGCGCTACGACCGCTAGTTGACACGCGAACTCTGCACCACGCTGCTGACGGTCTTCCGCCCTTGTAGCCCTGGCTTCTTGGATATCCAGATCAACGGGGCGTACGGCTTCGACTTCTCAGTGTATGAAGGTGACGACGAGGCGTACAGACGAGGGATGCGAACTGTTTCTGAGAACATCGTAGAAACAGGCGTCACATCGTATGTAGTATACCCCTTTATCTTATTTGACCTCAAATTCGTCTGAAATTCTGCTCATTAGTTTAGTACCAACAGTCATCGTGCGTCTTTTTCCATTCGCCTTCGCCTGTAAGCTTCGACGAGATCAAACGACTTCTCATTTCCATATTCTAGACACAAGAAAGATCCCTTTATCCAATTCTCCTGAACCTCCTTCGACCCTTTCACTCATCCAATGGAGCAACACTTCTCGGGTGGCATGCAGAGGGCCCCTTCCTTCACATGGCCAAGCGGGGTGCACATGCCCCACCATTCCTTCTCACCGCGCCCAAGGGTGTCTCTACTTTCGAAGACGTCTATGGTGTGCCGAATATCTCCCATACAGAGGACTGGCTCATGGACGGCGGTGTCGGTGTGCGCATCATCACGGGCGCGCCCGAGATTGAGGGCGTCATGGACGCCATCAAGGACTTGACGGCGCGGGGTATCGTCTTTTCTATCGGACACAGGTAATCCCCACGCACACTACACCGCTCTTATTTTTGACGTACACTCAGCATTGCGACGACAGACATTGCGACGGCAGCCGTACGACGCGGCGCGCGTCTCATCACGCACCTCTTCAATGCCATGCCGCAGCTGCACCACCGCGATCCGTCCATCATCGGGCTCCTCGGTGCCTCTCCACATCTTGGATCACCTTTCACCCCTGCTACTGCGAACGTTGTTGATACCATTGCCACATCCATGCTTGCTGGCTCCGATACCATAACAACTCTAGCGGGTCCTGTCACTCCTACGAATATGAACAGCCGCAAACCCGCGGCGCACTCGGAGGCGCTCGATGACGGCGTGACGCCACCGCAGACCCCAATGCTTGCCAAACACCAGAACGGCGGCGAGCTGCACCTCGAGAAGGGCCAAGTCACAGATATGACGTTTGAGCGGCCGTTCTACGAGATGATCGTTGACGGGATCCACTCGCACCCCAATTCCGTCCGGGTAAGCAGCTTAGTCACATCCGTTGCTAGTCTATGCAGCAAAAATGCTCGAACCTGACCATTTGACTACGACCTAGCTTGCGTATAACGTATTCCCGGAAGGTTGTATTTTGATCACAGACGGTCAGTATTCAGCCGTTGGAAACGCCGAGATTGAGCATGCCTCATCCATGATTGAATACTGCTGCTAGCGATGAAGATACTCGACCCACACCTGCGCGACGGCGTACATGAATGGCGCGACGGCAAACGGTTTGTCAAAGAAGGCGACCGGCTTTATCTCGAGGGCACGGACACCCTCGCCGGCAGGCAAGCCCAAGTCATCGTCTCACGGTCTTTCATCACGGCTGCTTACCCGCATGTACGCAGCGTTGTAACACTAGACAAATGTGTACGCAACTTTGCCCGTTTCACGGGTTGCTCCCTCGGCGAAGCGCTCAAGTGCGTGACGCTGAACCCGGCACGGTGCCTTGGCATCGAGAACAAGAAGGGCACGCTCCGCCCCGGGGCGGATGCAGACCTCGTCGTGCTCGACAGAATGGGTAATGTTTTGAGCACATGGGTCGGCGGGCGGGAGGTGTGGGCGCGCAGCTCAGATTAGCTGGTGAAGCGTGAAATCGAGAACTATTAGGTGAACAAGTCTTTAGAGTTTTTGCCATGTATGTAAGAATTGCGCGTTAGGGGCGTTGCCGTTGTACGTACTGAAGCGGTAAGAAATGAGAATTGGCACTCATTCTGTTCAGGACATGCGGGGCTGTTCGCTGCGGTGGCTAGCAGGGATTGTGGGATGAAATTGATGCCTCGGACTGTGTCTGGGCAACTTATCAGAATGTTACGATGCATTCTACAGATCGACCAATATGACATAGATTCGACACATTCTCAACTTGATCTATTCATTGCGCACCTTCTAGTTTTTAATTAATTATATTAGCCCAGGAATTACCGATCGCAGACCTGAAATACTCCTGAAATGTGACGAATACATCCGTAAATCAAACTAAGCTGTTAAATCAAATGAAGCCGAAATGAAGAAGGATTCCATAAATAAAGCCGGATGAAGGTGCTTACCTGTTATCATGTTATTCCCTGCCATCCACCGTCCTGCGCCGTCGCGATCGCAAACAATTTACGAGGAAACGTGTTTTTCAAACGCGCAACTCCCATCGCGCAACCCGCTGCAGCCCGTTGTTACTCGGGGTAACGATACTCGCAACGGGGTTTCGGACCTGTGTTCCTACCTAGACTTCCTCGGCACCGCAGCATAAAGATTGCTCGCGTCTAGACAGGTTCTACAACGTGTACGATCCCTCGAGACCTTCTGAACGCTGTTACGAGCTTTACGGCGCCTCGGCGACATAAATCTCCAGGATCAAAGACCCTCTGTGATGTCGGTTTCAAGCATATGGACCCCTTGGCCAAATCTTGAATCCGCGAGATCGCTATTCCCAGGCCTAGTCCATTGATGGGTATGGGAGTTTCAAGGACTGTCGGACCCTCAGGCCATAGGCCTGAGGTCAGCAGGATGGTGAAAGACCAGAAAGTGACATAGACAAATTCCCAAGAATCGAGTAAAATCATTACAACGTACCGTGCGTATTGCGTTTTCAACACGACTTTTGAAACTATTAACGCAGCACATGCAGCGGCAGTCGTCAAACCTCGTTGTCTCAGATATTGAGGGGTGCAAAGGCGAGTTCCGGCGAGTTGGCCCGTGGACCAGCTGTCTCACGGTCGGGGTACAGTATCCGGGACGAGTCGGAGAGCCTGCACGGAAGCAAAAACGGAGCAAGCCGGACTCATCTCTAGGATATTCGGATTTTTCAGCGCGCGACTCACTGCCTGCATTTCAGTCTTGGACATGGCGGGAGGCCTTCCTCGGATCCTTCAAGACTCTAGTGAGTTTTCGTGGATTGGCTCGTATATCGATTACAGATGACTTTGCTGCTTGAATCATTCGAGCATTGACAATATCGTAGGATATACGCGAAGGAATCGCCTATATCATGCTTATAGCCTCCAGATTGGAAGGAGTCAGTGCTACAAGCAAACCGAGACTGACAGGTGCCTGTCCTGAGCGGCGTAGTCAAGTAAGTGCCGGAGGCGAAATATCATAGCTCACAAACGAATCAACAAATAAGCTAACCAATAAACTACCCAGTGAGAACCATATCTGAGCGAAAGAGGCCACTATCATGCAACCAGGCGCAAGGGTGTACTCACTTTCTCTGAACAAGCGACAATTTTCAAGGGATCCCCGCCGTCATGGCCATAAATCCCTGCCCTTCTCGCCGCTTTGACTCTGGCAGCTTCCCTCTCTCTTTCTCTCCGATAAGCCTTCTGAGATTGTCTCTCTCCAAAAGTCAAATGGCTTCTTTATGCTCCCTGCGTTCTTCCATTCTCTCAACCACGCGCCTGTGACATCCGCGCGGATAATCAGGAGCCGTTCCTCCGCCTCTTGCAGCTGCTTCACTCGTGTCCAAGCTGTCGATGCCTGCCGTACTCGTTCCTCCAATTCATAGTCGCGATCTCTGTCATACTCTTCGCTAGGCTGCTGTATCCTCGGCAGGCACAGGCCGACGATGAGGCAATGCAGTTTGTCTCGCTCGTGCAAGAGCGCAACGACATCGTCCACGAAGTCGTCATCCGTGTCGGGCCACCTCATGATTACATGCGGGACGTAGAGGTGCGTGAGGTTGGGAAGCGATCCGAGATGCTTGAACATCGCACGCGGCGTGGTGAATAGCCCGAAAGGGTCCGCGATCCGCAGGTGCGTGAGGTTGCTGAACGACGGGCGCGCGTGATTCGGAGGGATGTTGCTCATCGAGAAAGATCCCAAGGTAAGATGGGTCAGAGTCGTGGGCAGACATTGCGGGTTGTCATCCGCGAGCAGGCTAGGGACCAAACAGCCTGGAAGGGCGAGGGTGTGCGCTTCGGTGCACGCGAGCAGGATATCGCGCGCGAAGTCCAATGTCTCCTTAGATGGTTGACCCTCCCACGTGAAGATGACACGCTTTACGTGCTGGCAGATGAGCCCCGGAGCTGTGCTGATGACGTCCTCCGCGAAGCTTCTAATCCGCTCAGGACTCGGAAGGAGGACAGTGCTGTAGAGCAGTCTGTATAGGAGCGAGGCTATGGCTTTCGACACGAGCGCGAGGTCGGTGATGTTATGGGGCTCGGCGAGAACGTCCTCAAGGATCTCGAGGATGAGCTCTGGGGGGAGGCGGATGGGGGTCTGGGGAGCTTCGGAAACATTAATCTGCGCTTGCGCGGCGCAATCTTCATGCATGGTGGGAGGAAATATCAGTTGTGCTGGGTGGGTATGATAACTCTCTGATATTTATCCAGCGTTTCTTTGCTTTTGTTTACTGTACAGTGACGCCGCGCACCCAATGCCACAGGGATGGACATTCGCCTTGTTTGAGCTCCATGCTTGCCACAATGGATTGTTGGCTTTCAAGACCACGTACAGGCCAAACGATGAAACGCAGGGCTGATTTCTTTGATCTCGAATGAGTCCTCGATTCAAAGTGTTCGGACAACTTATAGCACGCGAGCGCAGCAACTATTTGTTGGTCCAATCGTAGTGAGATAATAGAGACTTGATCAACCAGTAGAAAAACTACATGACTGCCATACAAAGGGGAAGACTACCGAAGTTCCAAAGAGCGCGACAGATTGACCCGTCAATCATGGCCAATCCCATCTCCCGATTGGCCTTACCTCTTCCGGCAACATCTCTCTGTCCCTTTGCAACCAACCTTCTTTGACCGTCTCTCCCCAAAAATCAAATGGCTCTGCCCCGTTCGTGATATGTTTTCCTTTGCTCCATTCTCTATACCACCCACCCCTGAAAGCTCCGCGTACAATCAAGAGCCGTTTCTCCGTCTTCTGCAGCTCCCTCACCAACGCCCACGTCGTTGACACCCGGACACACTCTTCGAACACCTCGAGCTCAGATTTTTTGATGTGGCCCGTGAGCGGCAGGCACGCACCGACGATGAAGTATTCCAAGGCCGGGCGCGCACGCAAGACTTCGGCAACGTCCTTCACGAACTGCTCTTCGTCCGTCTCGCCTCTCCCGACCATCTTCGCGAAATAGAAGTGCGTGAGGCGAGGAAGCGGCCCGAGGTGCGCGAGCACCGTGCTCGGTGGCGTGAACAAAATCCAAGGGTCCGCGATCCGCAGGTGCGTGAGGTTGTTAAACAGCGGGCGCGCGAGTTGCAGGGGGGGCAGGGGCTCTCGGACCAAGAGATCGCTTTCTTTGAAGTGGCCCAGGGTGAGGTGGGTCGTAGAGGCCGGAACGACGCGTATCTGTGGTGGATCGCTGCGCGCGAGAAGGGAGTGGCTTATGATGCCGGGGACGACGAACGTGTGGGCGCCGGTGCATACGTGGAGGATATAACGTATGAAGGAGCATGTAACCATCGGGTACGGGGGGTGGTCGACGAAGGTGATGATAACACGCTTGACATGTTCGCGAATGGATCCCGGGCGTGCACGCCCTGCCGATAGGACGCCGACGAAGGACTCGACGCGTTCTGGATTCGAGAGGATCACATTTCGATACAATAGCTTGTAGAGGAGCGCCGTGGTGCGCTTTGACACGAACGCGAGACTGCTGGCGTTCCGGGGCTCGATGAGGGCGATCTCGAAGATTTCGAGCATGAGCTCGGAGGGGAGCCAGGGAGTGTTGGCATATAAGGGCGCGGGCATGTTGTCTAGGATGTGCACGTCGAAACACGCACGAGTAGGGACAATAAGTATGGTGGTGTAGAGCAAGTAGTATTTAGTGGTGGCTTTGCCACAAACATAATTGGGGAGTGTGGCATGTTTGAGATTTTGAAGATCGAGGTCAGGTCAGTCGAAGTCGTGGGAGGATACGTGGTGGCGCGGCGAACTGATTTAAAAATAGACCAATATTGAACTGGCATTGGGCACCTTGAAGAATTGCTTCCGTACTGTACTATAAACAGTTACAGTATCGTGATATATACATAGGAATGAAATTCACTTGGCGTCTAAATATTGTGAACGGCATTTCTGTTCGCATTAGTATGACCACGGATTTAAAGCCGCATAACCGGCAAAGGCACTCAAGCAGTGGTCCTATGGGGCCAAAGCATTCACGGAGTATTTACGGCCACTGCCACTTCCCGAGAGGCCTCTCCGCCTCCGGCAGCGCCTCTCGCTCCCTCTCGAGTAACCCTTCTCTGACGACATCCGCCCAAAAGTCAAACAATACCGCGTCCCACTCCCGGCACCACACGCCCGCAACGTCCCCGCGCACCATCAGGAGCCGCGCCTCCGTCTCCTGCAGCGCCTTGATCGCGCGCCACACCGGCGCGGCGAGACACTGTTGCTCCTCCGCCTCGGGGTGGCGCGGCTCCTCGTAAATGGCGTATTTGTACTTGCACAGGGGCGGGCACGCGCCGACGACGAGGTGCGCGAGCGCAGAGCGCTCGGCGAGAATTACGCGCACGTCGTCGACGAACGCGGCGTCGTGCGCGTCGTGCGCGGGATACACGTCGAGCCGGCGCGGGACGCAGAGGTGCGTGAGACGCGGGAGCGGGCCGAGGTGCGCGAGGACCACGCGCGGGGCGACGAACTTCGGGGCGGGGTCACGCGCCGCTTATAGTCACGGTCGACGAAGTTGCCGAAGGTGAAGTGGGTGTGGCGCGTGATGCGGCGGATGGGGTCGGAGCGCAGACGCTTGAGGAAGTAGGGGATGAAGGGGCCGGGGAAAGCGAACGTGTGCGCACCGGTGCACGAGCGCACGATGCGCCACGCGTCGTGGCACAGGGACTGCTCGACGCAACGGACCGCAAGGAGCTCCACGGAGGCCCAGGCGAGATAGATGATGATGACGCGCTTGACGTGCTCGTGGATAAGGCCCTGCTGCGCGTCTATTGCGGTGCGCTCGAAGAGCTTAATGCCGCGCGAGGTGCGGGGGATGATGGTGCGGTAGACGAGCTTGTAGTACAGCTCGGTGGTCAGCTTGGACACAAGTGCGAGCTCACGGATATACTGGCGTTTGACTAGCGTATATTCGAGAATCTCGATCACGAGCTCGATGGGGAGGGGGATGGTCCGGTGTGGCCCTCCGTCTGTGGTACCCTGCATTTGTTGATCGGGCATAGACTCGTGCGTGCTCGCAACTGGAGCAAAAAGAATACGTGTCTGAGATGTCTGTCGTTCTCCTTTTATGCCCTCCAGGAAGCTGGGAGTGGCGGGAGGGGGCAGGACGTGGCAGGTCGGGGATGGAACCTTGCCACACTTATGTCTGAAGCTAATCTTGTCCAGACAATGAGCATTTGAAGAGTTCGTCGCCGGCACATGGGTCCCACCGCTTTCTGAGCTTTGACGCCGGAGCACGAAGACCGTGTCTTCATGAGCATAACGCCATGCCACCCGATGCACTTGAGAGATCAGCTTGTTCACTACAAGGATCTGGATGTCACAGCAAGAGCCCAACAGGGATAGATCCGCGCACTTGAGAAAGCAGCTTGTTCATCACAAGCAAATCACAGCAAGAGCAACTCCGCTTGGCAGGTCAAAGAGCGCAGAATGCGGCCGACAAGACCGACAACTCCAGTCGTCTCTCCAATCTCCACCGGCGCATGCGTGCTCCTCTCGGACTCAGACAGAGCATCCCGCGCGCGACCCCGTCACGATCTGGGTACTGCGTCGAAGAACCCACCAGAACGCCGCGCGTCGTTCGAAGCGCCATCGCAAGACCAGCGCAAGACTCCACTCATCGCAAGCCCCGAAGCCTGATATCCAATACCCACGTGTAGTGTAAGTTGCACGCGCGGCGCCGCACACGCGAGAGACGGAACACTGCACGCGGACGGGGCGTCGTTCGTCGACCACATCCGTATGACCAGGACCAGGACCAGGACCTACTCACACTCGGCGCCGCCTTCTGCCACTGTCGACGGTGGCCCCCACCCGACCCGGAGGAGATGATCGCAGAACGAAAACCCAGCGTGCCTCCGAGGGCAGACGTGTCTGCCCCCATGCCGTTGGAAAAATATTCTGCAGTCTGCGCGAGATCCAGCCCAGAAGCGACGGATCACATACTGTACCAGTGCTGCAGTACCAGACCAGCGCCCGACCACACTCCACGCGATGTATTGCAAGGCGAGGCGTAAGGACGACCCGTCGAGCTCACTTTACCTTAGAATAGCTCAACGACCCATCGTGCCAGGTCGCGATCCGCCGAGGGCCTACTGGAAGAAGCTGGGCCCCGCAGATGTCAGTTGGTTGGCCACTCAAAGGCCCTCGAATCGGCAGGATGAGGAATACAGAAGGACTAAGCAGAGCGTACAAGCGAAGAAGATTGATCATGTTGAACCGACTCGCAGTAGGCGTGTGTCACTGTGTTGCGTCGTCCTGAGCCCCAAAGGTTGCCCGAGCCACGACAGCGCCACCATATACCATCACGTCGTCCGCAAATGGCGATTGGCATGGCTGGACGCGCACGGGCGGCATAAAAAATGGCGAATCTGACGACGAGGATGGCGGGACGACGGGAGAGCCGTGGGGTTCGGGATCTGTCGCACAAGGATCAAGGTCGGAATCGGGACGGGCCGGGAAGCAGCCGCCAGGTCACCAAAGCGGCAACTCCGCCACCTCAGCAAAAGTATCAAAGAGAAAAAACCGTTATCACAGGCTCCTCCATCGTCCCTCCTCTCCTGCGTCCACAATGTCTCCGACCACCATGACAACTCTCTCTGCACTGCACACGGCGCGCCCCCGCGCACTCTCCGTCATCGCCGAAGCGGAATGGAGAGCACAGGGCAGCACGACGTGCGGGGTAGCATTCCCCGCCCCCGCTCCCGCCCCCAGAGCCACCTTTCCCCTCCCCAACGAGCTCATCATCGACATCCTCGAATACGCCGTCGTCTACCCTACCCACCTCGCGCACCTCGCGCTCATCTCTAAACGCACCGCCGAGCTCTTCAACACCATCCTCTACCGCACCGTCCTCCTCCCTACCGCGCGCGCGATCCTCCACTTCGCCCGTACTGCCACTTCTGCTGCCCCGGGGTTCCTCCACCAGCACGTCAAGCGCGTCGTCTTCGCCGAGCTCCATGCGCCCCTGAGCGTGCACGACGCCGTGCGCGCGATCCTGCGCGCATGCACAGGCGCACACACTTTTGCGCTTCCCGGCGCCTTCGTCTCGGACCTCCTCAAGCCCGACAACTTCCCAGCGACCTCTTCGCACGGCGCCATCCCCCTCTCGGCCCCGACTCACCTCACGATCGGCTACTTCGACGACCCCGACGCCAGCCGGCGCTGGTCCGCATTCCTCCCCCCAGCAACAGCACGCACCGCGCCCCTCCCTCCCCTGTGCACCCCGCGCGCCGCGCCCGCGCTCCTCGCGGGCCTCACGCACCTGCGGCTCGGCGAGCCCGCGGAGCTGTTCCTCGCGCCGCGCGCGCTGCTCGCGCACCTCGGCGCGCTCCCGCGGCTGACGCACCTGCACGTCGCGCGGCAGATCGACGCGAACGAGGACAACGACATCGCGTTCGTGCAGGACGTCGCGCAGCTGCTGCGCGCGCGCCCCGCGCTCGCGTGCGTCGTCGTCGGCGCGTTCCTCCCGCTGTTCGGCCCCGCGCGGCACCGCCTCGCGGGGTTCTTGGACGACGGTCACGAGGACCGCGAGGGTGAGGGTGCTGTGAGGGAGAAGGAGAAGGGGAAGGCGGAGCAGGGGGCGGAACGGTGTCGGGCGGCGACGATATGGCGGCTGGTGGAGGCGCTGCAGAGGACGGAGGAGCGCCTGCTGCTCGTACCTGGGCGGTACGGCTCGTGGTGGCACGAGTGGCAGGGCGCGGGCTGCGTCGCGAATGCGAGCGAGCCGGTTGATTTCTGGAGGGAGACGGTCGCGGAGGGGCTGCGGGAGAGGGAGCGGGGCAGGCTGGCGGAGGCGGTGGGGGAGGGGAAGAGGGTGTGATGGGGACGAATGCGAGGGCGCATACTATAGACTATAGACTATGCGGGGGCGTGGGGTGCGCTAGCTGCGGGGTCATGTGGTGTGACTGACCTCTGGGGGACTCTGTCACCTGTTCCATGTCCTGATGGACGTGCGCCCGCCGTGGCGCCTTCTCGTTCGGGTCCGCTCCTCGCCCGCTGCGTTATTTTCTTTCTTTCTCGCTTTCGTGCATCGTGTTTGTTTACTCCTAGACTATCGTCTATCAGCTTGGATGCCTCTCCGCGGAGAGCGTCGATGCGCTGCTTACTCTAACTTACTACTACTGCAGAGCAGACAAGAGCGTCTGTTAGAACTTCGGCTCGGAGCTTTCATAGAATGCCGTTTACCTATTATTCGTATACGGAATAGACTTGCTGATTGTTTATCTACGTGCCAGCCAAGGTGATTCACGCCTATGCGAGCGTGCAGCAACGACTCCGATCACAGCAGAGCCTGAATGGGGTCCAGCAGGAGTCGTGTACCTCCGAGAGGTAATAGGAAAAGCGAGGCACGAATCGAACAACCACTCAAATGATCGCCTGCCGTTCTATTCTCACATCTTTATGCTTGACTTCCGGCGGCGCTCCTGTGCAGTAGTGACTCACCGTCGTCGGGACTCAGCGTCTTCTGCATGTGATCTCAACTTGGTCTATCTCTCGACAAGACCATGTAATAACGATTCAGCTACCCTAGTCGCGCACACAAATACAGTTCCGATGACAAAACACCTACACTCCGGCGGCCCAGATATCTAAAGTACATACAGACACTAACCAACCAACTATCCAATCAACTAACGAACTTACAAACTTATAGACCACTGCTCGCCGTCGTATCAGTACCACAGGAGAACGAAAAACAAGAATCAAGAACGAGAACGAGAGACCGCGGAATACACAACGGAATAAGGATAGCGCAAAGCGGATGCACGGGGTATTACACTCCAAAAAAAGCAGGTGAGGTCGACGCCGGACGACGAGGGTGTCGGGCGGGATAAAAATAATAAAGGTGTTGCGGTGGGAGCAATACGGGCGAACGGTAGAAGGCGAAGGGCGAAGGGCGAAGGATAGAAGACGAACCAGGGCGGCGCACAGCCCAGCCCAGCCCGAGGGCATACAAGCGAAGAAAAGAATAGGACTGTAGGTTAGTATGAGCGGACGCGTCCGATAGCACGAACCGAGGCGAAAGCGAAAGCGAGCGATAGCGAGAGAGAATGCAGGACAAGGAAGGGAAAGGGAGCGCTGATGGAAGGACGAGCGCTCCTGGGACTTTTTTTTTTGTCGGGGGTGGACGACTGCGCGAGCGGGTGGTGGGGTGATTCACGCTGTGGCCGTGCGCTCCAGCCCACTCACAGACTCAGTTCCCGGAGTAAGCTCGTCTGGAGTTGGCGGTGACGAGGAAGATGATGGCGGTATGGGCTCAGTGTCGACGTCATCAATCTCGACAGCAGGAGCCATCTCCGAGGATGCCGGGGCGCTTTCTGCGTCGTTGTCATCGGAGGGCAAGGGCAACGGGAAATCTGATTTTGGAGAGGACGGGGGACAAGAAAGGTCGACGGGCGCCAACGACAATTCCACGGAAGGTGGCGATGAAGGCGACGAAGTGGAAGTGGAAGAAGGGGAGGATAAGGCGGATAGGATCAAGTCTAACAACTCCAGCAGCTTTGATCCTACGCTCGGTGACGGCGAAGACGAGGAAGAGGGTGATGAAGGCGAGAGGGTAGTATTTGAACTGGTGCTGGATACGCCTGCGCCTGCTGGCTACAAGAAGTAGGGAAAAAAACAAGGACCCACATCAGCACCCAATGTCGGTTTTTTGATCCACGGAATATGCCTGCGGCTAGTTCACTAAAGACTCACCACGATGGCTTCTCGACAGTCCCACATGCATATCCGACGTTCATGCAGCGCGAAGTATGGCACGGGCGATGCAGACATCATAGGAAGCTCTAAGAGTGTTATGCCCAGCGGTCAGCGACACTTTCGAACACGATCATAGGGAGAGGATGGAACTCACGCGAGAAGAACACGACGAAGCTAAGAAGCTGGAGAACGAGAGGAAGGAGGGGCGAGAATTGCATGGAGAGGGAGACAGTACCAACGAGAGTGATGTCGGGAGGTCGTGAGCACGAAACTATGCAGTCTTCAGCTCACTTTGCGACCAGAGCTATCCAACAGGAGTGGACGACAAGTTGGAGGACGTCGGAACGCACGAAGGAGCACGAGCAGCTAAGCCGTGAAGTGCACCGTCCAGGGCACGCCGTCCGTGCTTTATACTCGCCCGAAATTTTTGCCCCACATTTCGAAGCAGAACGCCGACAGCCCACAAAGGTGCTCACGTCCCAAGCGAGCACTTCGCATGCTCCCGCAAAAGGCAAGTCGAAAGGAAAGCAAATCTGGACCCTGGCACCCCTGCGCGCGCATCTCGCTACCGTCCATCTTCACACGATCGCGAGGCGACGGGATTGGGCACATGCAGGGCGTCTCGGGCGCGAACGTGATGGGACGTCATAACCTAAAACGGTACTCCCTTTGAGCTTACGATGCAGTTCGCTGGTGTGGCCACAGGCAAAGTGGCGACGAATACAACAGTTGCCTTTCTTGGAAGGCGGGCGGTCGAGTTCGGCCGCTTCTCTACGGAATTGCCGTTGGCCAGAAGGACTGCGTAGCTAGCAATTTGTTGCCACTCGTGTTTGGACGGAACGGGCAAGTCGTTTGTTGGACTTGTGCTAAGCTGTGGGTCCTCCATCTGGGATGTCGCTCGCCTTGTGGGTTCGTTTGGCGCAGATGAGGATAAGGGCGCAGATGAGGATAGCCATGATAACAAGCCATAGAGTCAGACGATCAGAGTAAGCAGAACGGCAGAGGGCGTGGGCAGTTACGACCAGACATGTACACAAAGCTCCAGCATCGCCAACTCGATGAGGGACCCACAGACGGTAAGGAGTGTTTTTGGTTTGATCCAAGAAGGATGATTGACCATAGGAGTCACTGGTGTGAGTGATGATGGACGGCCAAAAGGTATCTGCTGTATAAACATCGAAGAAAGAAAAGGTGATAAAACTTGAGACCTGTCAGAGAGATTGCAACTGATACTACTTTCTATCCATTCGGGGATGGAGACGGCTCGAAAATGCGTCCTGTGTTGGGGGTGGATTGTCGAGATCTATCAATCTTGACTGTTCTGGACAAGGCGTCACAAAATCTGTGAAGGCACCTATTAATAGCAAGGATGCCTGTTTATTTTTACCGGACTACACAGCCTAGAAAGCTTGATGTGTGTCAAGTGGTGTGAAACCCAGTAGCGAGATACGTGAAGTATCATCGAGAGGAACACAAAGCGATCCTGATAGCTTCAATCGACTGAAGTCCAGACATCAGTGCGCAAGGAGAGATGCGCTGGCAGCGCCGCCTAGCGGGCGGTGCTCACGAGTAATCGTGCGAGTGCTCCTAAACCGATGCGCGGATGTAAATGCGCGAGGAAATCCTGGTGTGCGTGCACGGGGCGCCTCTCGAAAGTCACGGAGCAGTTGTAGGGCTGCCGCTGGACCGAAGCGCTGACGTGAGTGCACAAGGAGGATTCTGCATGAACGCACTACAGGCGGCATCTGATGAAGGTCACGAAGCCCTCGTGCAGCAGCAACTGGACCGAGACGCAGAGAGGGTTGTACACAGGTAAGATCACGGGAGCGTGCAATGAAAATCTCTAGCACTACTGAATCTGGCTTAAAGACGTAGCTATGCTCTTGATGTGGGATGGAGAGGTGACGACTCATCCGACTGGCCAGAGTGCGTATCGAAGGATGCGATGCGAACATCGTATGCATCAAGTATCAGCTCTGCTTTGAGATTCTGAATCGCGGTCGATATAATCAAGCGACAGACAGTGGAGGTGAGCTGAGGTTCAGGATTCAAGAAGACCGTCGCTATCTGGTATGTTGAGACCTACGGGGCTTTCTCGTTCATGGGATGAGAAGAAGTGAGGGTAGAAGGTACGTGAGCTCCCACTGCTCGAAATCCTAGGACATCTATTAGGCTACGCCAAGGATTTTTTTCTCACGGTGCGGATATGTCATGATGCTGACACAGAAAGATGACAATAAAGATAGCAATTGGCCAGCAACTGCGAGACCCACAAACAAAGAAATATATTGGCTGAAAGGTGAACAGACACGGTTTGAGGACCATACAGGTCCGAGCAGGCACATATGCGTAGCGTTCATGTATAGACTGTAAGTGTAGCGGAAAACAACACCAATGTACGATGGGTATATAAAAGCAACAAGAACATCGATCAGGACAAAACAAAAACAAAGCGAGGTATAGAGATGATTTGATAGCTGTATTCTGACAACGGCAGGTGACAGGTCTAGTGGAGAGCTCGTAAATATTCATTGATCTACGGCGACGGGGAAAGACGATGAGATATAGCGAGGATAGCGAGACCAAAACGGAAGACATATTTAAGAGTGCGAGTATCAGCCGTCCAAGACCATAAGAAGCACGGCGGTCAAAGTTTTAGAGGAGTTGCGGGGAATATTGCGCCGCGCCCGACCGCAACATATGGCCTTCATCGCGCACTATGCTCATAGGAGTACGCCGGCAAGAAACAATGGCACCGCAACCAGTACCCCGAGCTTCATCGCCCGAGCTAGGTCCGCAGCGGGTGAAGACGATGTGCCGCTGGTCGATTGCGACGTTGACGGTGCAGATTGAGATGCGCTTGCGGTGTTGGAGCCGGAGCCGGCAGCTGACGACGACGAGGACGAGGACGAAGAGGACGTGCCGTTTAGGCGTATCGCGTTGCGCTAGATATGGGAAAACGAGGTTAGGATCGAGTGGGATGATGGTATTTTTAGGACACACGAATGGTAAACGAAGCTAAGATAGAAGATGAAGAGAGATGAAAATGGAAGGCCGCAAAGATAGCTACCACGAGAAATGATGAGCGATGACTGTACTTACAACAAAACCTGCCAACGTTTCGCTCGAGCTCTCGTTATTGTTAATCACACCGACGCCGCCCTGCCCACACGTGTTGAAGTCATAGAACCACATGGTCTGGTTCACATTCTGCGGGAGCATGGGGACAGTGAGGATGGTGATCGCGGTGCCGTTGCCTGCGTCGCGGAAGCTCGAGTCGAAGCCATTTATAGTAATGTTTGTGTCGTGCGCGGGAGTGCAGGGCGAGGAGAACGTGGACTGCGTTGCGGTATGGTTGCCCAACGTGACTGAAAAAAAGGATGGGGCAAAATGAGCAGAAGAAATCGACGATCAGAAGAAAGGGGAGACAGACAGTTGAAAATGACAGTGTCTCCAAGCTCAGCGGTGACGCGTTGCGGCTGAAAGACGGTACTGCCGTTTCCGGTGGTGTTGTGTCCGACGGTGATCACAATGTCTCTCGCGGCAGCCGCGGTCGCAGCGAACAAGCACTTCTCAAGTATGACACATCAACAATGAGAAATTGAAACTGTCTTCTGGCCGAGGAGAGGAGACTCACGAAAACGGCACGGGAGAATAGCATTTTTTCAGCTTCCAAGACTAGGTCGACGACGCTTGTTGTGAGGGGGATAGAAGGAAAACGTGAGTCCGGGAAGCTGCGTGTGCATGCCTGTTGACTTTATACGGCTGGTGGAGCCAGACGCGTGCCCTGCACAAGAATTCTAGTATCGTTTGAGCCATGAATGAAGAGAAGCATCGAATTCAAGGTGGTCGTCGCGCGTTAGACGCGCACACAATCACCGCCATGACATTCTAGCACGTGAGCGTAATGTCACTCACAGTCACTGGTCTCCAGAGACCAGCGTGACCGGACGCGCTACTTGGCAAGAATGAAGAACCTCAATTTCAGTGTTTCGTTCCGCTGTTCAGCGCCTTGACGGCGACGGCGGCCTCCCCTCTAGTCTACCTTGGGCGCTCTCTCTGCTTGCGGATCTGCGTGCCGCGCTCGAAACACCATAAAAGCCAGACACATTAGCATTTGATGACGAGTCCCCACTGCCAGTCACTGTATCTTGCCTCAAGTCATGACATCTGGTGCGCATATCCGGTTCACTCCCAATGCATCCGATACTGATCCAAATGTACTTGAAGAAGCTCAACAACAACCCACGAACTCTAATAGCACTCGGCATCGTGAGTCTCCACTTTGAATCCTGGCATGTATGCGCATATATGCACATCATGTTTCTGACCCAACCCTCGTCCTGCAGCAACGGCGATAGTACACCAACGTGCCTTCCATGCTGCCGCTTCAGATCATGCCGTCCTTCAGATCATACAGATATGGCAGGATAGACTGCAGCTCATAAGTGTCGTCGTACGTTCATTCTTCAGTGTATACGTATACCTTTTCTCCGTTAGCACTCTCCTCAGGGCCGTGCCAGTTGTTTCATTGCTAGTGAAACTCGCGCTCATGTCGCATGTGATAGATTCATCGCAGACTTTTACCCCATTTCGCTCATCAAACCACTCCCCTTGAATCCAGGGCCTGCATGCTATTGCTAACCGAGCGTCATCATTCTCCATAGGCTAGCTTTTTCACTTCTATTGATAGCATCCTTCTTTCTCTCGTCTCTGCTCAGCGAGATCATAAAAGTACGGATGGCAAGCTCATGGACGCGACCATAGCTGGCGCTCTAATTTTTCATGCTGGTGCTGGTGCGTCTTTCTTTCCAGAGAGGAGGATCTGTAAAACTCAATAATTCTCGATTGTGTCCATCATAGCAATCTTAGCTTTTACCGCTTCTTTTGTCTTGATCCGCTATAAACTCAATGACGCAAAGAATGCACCCGCATCGCCCTCTCCTTCGCCGTCTAACGCTGCTTTTTATTCCACCAACGACAAACAGGAAGATACCAATAACATCAACGACATCTCCACCACCTCGACATGGCCTTTTTTCTCTGTACCCCATCGCTCGCCAGCCCATCCCACGTCTGGACCTACCTCGCCGGCCCCGCTGCCTTTCCCTCTTTCCCTTCTGTCACACGCAACGGATCTTCTCAATGCCATCACGCTCACGCTCGGCTTTGGTTCTCGCATATCTGTCTCCCGCGTGCACATCTTCACGCTCCCTTGGCGCCAGCAAGACCCTTCGCGCGACCTACCAGACGAGGGCGCGGGCGACCCAGACAGTGACAAAGGCGCGGTGGAGCTAACACGCCTTCTCACGCGCTGCCACGCCGCATGTACAGCGTTCTCGCTTGCGGGGTTTGTACTACTCATCGTGGGCGTGCTCGCATACGTGTGGGAAGTGCTGGCTCGGAGCGTGAGTATATTCGTGAGCTGCTGTGTGGGCCTGGTTGCTTTTGTGTGGGTTGTCGCATTGCACTGAGGAGCGCGGGGCGGAGAGTTGCTGCTGGAAGGGGCATGGGGGCTTTCTTGATGCGTTACGATGCGCTTGATGATAAACATGCAGCTGGTGCGTCTAGGAGACTATTGAATAGATTGCCGTAGCTAACGTACACCCATGGACTCTAGTCCATTTCCTTATTTCTTTCTATCCGCTTTCAGGGTTTTGGGAGTTCTGCAAGCATATATACCTCTATACCAAACAATACCACGCCAACACCCGTCCATATAGGCGGGCCCTGTTTCAGAACTAAGTACCAGTGTATCTTTCTTGTACAAAACAGAAAATTCGCATGTCTTATTGCTATTTTGCACATTCGTCCATAATTGTCTCGGTGAGTGTCCGTTTCGTATGCGTTCTACTATATCAGTTACCTCGCTTTTCACGATGACCATTTATGTATCACATGCAAAGTCGGACGTGCGGTCGACGATACCACGTCGACGCGCGCGAATGACGTCCGCCGTCCGTCTGCTCTAGCTCGGGCGGTTTGTTATCTTCTCTCTGACTTTCTCCGCTTCGCTTACTTTGCCACTTTCTTTCACTGTCTTCTGGCGCGTGACTGATCCGTGTGTATTTTTACTTCGCAGAGATTCCACCGAAGATGCTCCTGTTCACGAACGAACAAGGTGCCGAGATGGATCGCGGTTGATCGACAGGGCGAAGGGCATCGGGTTAGAAAGGTCGGTTTTTGATCGTTCATCTCCTTCGAACTACACATTGTCGACGCTTCTGCGCGTGCCGCCTTGTATGTATTCTTCTCTCCTAAATACAACAGGCTCTTAATCACGACTCGTCCGCGTGCTGCGGGTTGTTGCCGCGGAAAGAGGACCCTCAAACGCGACTTTGTACGGTGCAGCTGACGTGTACAAGGGACATGTGTGCGCGCAGCGGACGCATCAAAGGGAGGAGCACTTGATCTACCGTTCACAAACACCCCAACAGCACATTATAGCGCGGCTGGGTCCTTACAGTAATAGGGCGCGCTTTCCTCGAGGCATCGATAATGGACAACCCCGTGACGAAAACGAGGCCCGCCAGTCCTAATCCGTGCGTGTAGGCTCCGGCTCGAGCTCTTGGTCAGCCAGCCCCTTGCGCGCAGTTCAGCGCTCACAGCGCTTTCGGGCACACAATAAAGTCGTGCGCTTTCGATTGCGATGCGACTCACTATCTCGCTTTCGCAATTCCCAACCCCTGCCACTGAATCGAACACGCCCTTGGTGCATACCTTTTCTTGCCTTTGTCTTGAAGATTGGACAAGATGTATATGGTGGAAACGATGACGATGATGCCTGCTCAGGCATACGCTCAGGGGCACAGCTATGACCGTGGAGTGGTGCCAATACCTTCCGATGTGAGCATCCGTCGTTCCTGAGTTCACCCTTGACAATTACTATGATGCACGAGCTGACGTTCGCAAACTGTTCACCCCGGCAGCTCGACCTCGAGCTCTCGACTCTGCTCGATGCGCTGAGTATCCAGCACCAGAACGCCGGTTTGAGTGAGGTGAGCCACGCCACCGACGGCGTCCTGACAAGTGTGATGACCAGCTCCGCGTGGAGGCAGCCAAACGCGGCCTACGAGCGCGCGCAAGAGCACGAGCCAAGGGACACGCATATGATCCAAGACGCACAAATTCCCGCCGCGGAGAGCTATCAGGTATGCACACATCCCTCATGTAGCTCACGCATCACGCCGTCTCACGCACCTGCACGTCGACTCTCCCAGTCAAACATCTCGGACTCCTCAAATTCCTCCGACGCCATTCCTTCCTCCGCTTTTGTCCAAGTAGCCCACCAGGCCACCCCCACCCCTACGCCTGCAGACCCCTCCCCGGCCCCACCGCCCCCCTGCGCGCTCCTGCAAGCCATCGCGCACCAGTTCGAGCAGTACGCGACCACGAGCGGGGAGTACCTCGAGCTCATCTTCATCCACCGCGAGGCGTTCTCGTCTTGCCCGCGCGGACACGAGGGGTGCCCGGCGGGGTTTACCGCGCTCGCGCACGCGCTCGAGCGGAGGGCCTGGAGGGCGGATCGGGATGCTGACACGGAGGCTGTGGCCGCGTTTCGCCATGAGGCGTGGATGACGGCTGCCTGGCTGGGCTCGGGCGGCGTGTGGTGGGGCGGGTCGAGCTCTTGAGCTCGAGGAGATGCGCATCGATCGTCGGTGGTTATTGTATAGACTCGGTATGCAGAGCAGACCAGTCGATGAGTAAATTATCACACATGTTGTAGGTTAGTATCTGTAGCATTTTATCGAGAAGGGTTCCCTATACTTATGATGACCAGGTTCTGATGTGTCTTTCGTGTGATCAAAGAGAGTTGGCAACGTTAGCGATACGACGTTACGGGTCTGGTGAATATACAGGTCAGTGGTATCAAATCTAGACAGACATCATCGAGTGCAACATAAACCCTCTGCGATATATAGCAATGCGCACTTCCCCATCGAAACAGCAAAGGGGGATCCGGAACTAGTGGTGGTCGAGCTCACAGCTTGGCCTTGAGCTCCTTCAAGCGAGCGTGCTGCATGCTCTCGTCTGTGATATCCGAAGTCAGACTCTCCGTGATGCGGCAACAAATGCTAATTCGACTCACAGTTGGCATCGTAAAGACGATCTCCGGGGACGGCCACAATGTGCGAGTGAATCGACGACGCGTCTACCATCTCGGGGACGACGTCCTTGATTGTGTTGGCGCCCAGCAGACGCATGTTCATCTCAAACTCGTCCTGCACGATCTCGCTTGAGCATGACGCCTGGCAGAAAAAGCGCAATACACACGTGTAAAATTTGAAGCGCCTTGTCCACGCCGTCCACGCCGTAAGCGGAGAATGCATACAAGAACGGCCGGCCAATTCCCACTGCACCCAGGCAAGGGAATACCATCAGTATAACTAAAGTATTGATGAGAGACAAAAAAACGCGCCTGCCGTAGCACCTAACGCGATAGCCTTCAATACGTCCGTCGCCCTCCTCACCCCGCCATCCACGAACAGTTGGAATTTATCGTTCGGGAACTTCAGCCCGCGCTCCTCCTTTAGCTTCTGCACGACCTCGACAAGCACCTCGATTCCTGACCGCGCAAAGTCAAGCTGGCGGCCACCGTGATTCGAGAGAACGACTCCGGCAAGACCTTCGTCGTATGCCATGAGCGCATCCTGTGCGTCTTTCAATAGATGGATAAATGGACATGGAAATAGATTTACCTCCCAGCACTGAACGCCCTTGAGGATGAGGGGCACTATGGTAGAATGATTAATACCAAATCTAGAGTGATTCACGGAAAACCTACTCTTCGTGATACTCTTGAACCATGATATATCCGCCCATTTCAGACCTGGATCGATGAATCCCTGTTGAAGAAGGTTAAAGACTCGAAGATTTTCTGCGGTGATTGATCATACTGTAATAGCTTTTGCGGCACCTTGTGACCTGTCGACGTTCTCGCCCGCCTTGGTCACCTCGTCCGGATCTTCTGCTTCGAACTTCATGCGCATATCCTGGAGAAGAAAAGCATTGTTCAATGTGGAAGTCGGTATGTCGGTCAACAGACGGACCTTCTCGCGACGGCCGAGTTGAGGCGCGTCGACCGTAATAAATAACGCCTTGATTCCGCGCTCTTCTGCATGTTGAACAAACTTCTGCGTAACTTTACGGTCCTTGTTTACATACCTGCCGAAGGACAGCAATACCGTCAATATATGCGAGCAAGAGACACGCATATAAGCCTCTACGCACAGCTGGAGGAATTGGACTTGGCCAGGCGCAGCAGCGCTGACCAGGTCATCGAAGGCGCAAGACGCCAGTGTCGGAATCTGTGATGCAAAGAAGTGAGCGGAAGAGATCATCGAAGGGAAGTAAAGTCACCATCTGGATGACACCGTGCTTAGCCGCTGCTCTTGTCAGATTAAGCTCGCCGTCTGGATGGCCGAGTTTTCCGAGAGCGGTTGCTGTCTGTACGGCATACAAAAGGAATTAATGACTTGTATAGTGATCACCTCAAGGATCATGGGTGAGAAGGAACTTACAATGTAGACAGGCATCGTCGACTTGTAGCCGAGAATTGTCGTTGACCAGTCAACGACAGTCATGTCTCGCAGAATCCGTGGGCGGAACCATATCCTGCAATGGACATCAGCGATTCCATCCTTGAGGGAGAAGAACAGATGTACGCACCGGTGGTATGCAGCGTGGTTTTCGCGGTTCGTAATTTCATCATCTGCTGCCGACGAATAGTATGCCCACGCTTTCTCGGGCATCACTAGTTTCGCGATTGCCTACAGAAGTGAAGAAATAAAAAGTCATGAGCAACAATGCACCCTTGAACGGTTTGGAGGAGAAATCTCAACCTCGAAATCGTGTAAGTTAAGGATCTCGGACAACGAGGGTCTCGCGCCCATTCTCGCCAATCGCTCTTTCTCCTCGTCGGTGACCTTGATTTCCACCTTTTCGACGGTGCCCATATCGACAGAGCCCAAGCTACGTGGACATTGTCATTGAAAGCAAGGACAAAGAACATAAATCGAATATACATACTGCTTCTCTGGGGGAAGGTTGTCGGTGATTGCGTTTGGCGGATGAATGGGATCATATTCCTGGCTGGCCATCAACTCATTCAGTGAACATCACGACAACTTAGTAGCCAATCGTACTCACGTTGCATCCTTGCCCGCGTATTTTAAAATGATTTTACTGCCACCTACAATGACTGGTCAATAATGATGCTCGTGCGCTGTACAGCGATATCCTTACCGGGATGTTCTGAATGAGTTTCATGAATGAGGTTTTTTCAGCCAGTATGAGTTGTCTGTGAAAGATTGTATTTACCATCAAGGAATTCTGTGACGTCATAAACTTTTCCTGAGGTTACGGCAAAGGAAGTCAAACAATTGTACAAGATATAGGCAGCAGAGTCTTGTCAACACTGAAGACCAAGATAACGGGAGCAGCATGGGAGCACACTGCAGAGGATTACAACGTCAGAGTGTGATATGAAGGGCCGAGGGCGAGCAAAATACAAACCTTCACCTGTGTAAGTGAGCTCTAATGATCGCATGAAGTATTGCGCCCAAGCGCATCCAAGAGGCCCCAGCTGGCAATGCCAGCGTCTCAATTTCGAACAAAATGAATTTGAACTAACCATGTACAATGATCCAACAACTCTCGCGCGAATTGTGCTCGGCCACCGTCTTTCCTGAGATTGGAGAGGTCATAATTCGACAGCAAGTCCTGGGGAACACTTAGAAAAGTTATGGTCCCTGAAAAACCCAAAGGATGGAGTATCGTTACAAGAGGTGATAATGAAACGGAAAGACGGAGGATGGCAATAACTGCTGTAGGTGTGGGGGTGGCGGGTCATATGGGGCAATCGGGCCGGACCGACGGGGAGGCGTTCCGCGGAACGGGCGGGACAAATACGGCTCATGACTCTGTCACAACCTTTAATGATCAACTTTTTCCATCGACTGCTCGATGAAAATGCAGACACTGGCCATCATTTTCTCATACTTTCCCCGAGACAATCGTTACTAACCAGTGTCTTCCCGGTCTTCCGAAGGAGAGGCAGCAAGTCTCACGATTGATTTCGAGGTATAACCACTTCAATGAACATGGCATTCGACTTACTGAGTAAACAATGTATACTGACTCACAATCATGGTGGAACGTTAGAAAAAAATATTCGTCCGGAGGTCAATGAGCTTCAGCCAAATTCTTGATATGAGATTCTTTTCAAGACTTTCCCGTTGTACATCACGCGTATGACTGATCAGTGTCCTTTCCAGCCATGCCTTCGCGCATTCGTCACCTTCCCTCAACGTTCTTCGTAGACATAAACACAACGATAGCTTCCTTAGCTGCTACTTTACGCATTGAACATTTACTTGGCAATTGCTCCTGCTCGGCACCTCAGCACTTCAGCGCTCAGCTCCCTGATCGCCCCTTCTGCAGACATAATTGGGAGGAATCGTGCGGCTACTCCCAAGATTATAATGCAAAAGTTTAGTGACATGGTCAAGGAACATTCAGCGCCTGATCAACATGCCAACACTGTCCTTGGCGGCTATCCACGTCTCATCACTCCGCGTATTGGTCGATGATGTATCATGTGTAGAACCTTTACAATTATCATGGAATTCTACTGGCTCATTATCGAGATTATATTGCTGTTGCAGGCAGGGACAGGCGGGGACAGACGGTTCAAAAATGCATTTGAGGATGAGCAGGCATACGCCATCCCATCGCCGCAATCAACAAGATGACAAAACTTGCGTGTTCTTCGACTCGGGGCGACGTGCGTAGACAGATGACAGCACCTGAAAAAACTCAATTTCCCACCGAACGTCCAAAACCGTGTTTAAATTGTCACCTGAAAATGCTTGGGTGTCCTTGGCTGCTATCCACATTTATCGTGTATCAACGGTGTGTTTATAAATCATTGTAACTAGATCCTACAAGGCATAACAACAGTGCTCATAATCAAATAGAGATGATGTGATGATGCTAATGGCAGTACAGACATATAATCACCTCGGCGGTATAGAGAAACCAACATAATCCAGACCCAAACCCAATGATCTATACGCAGAAAAAAAAAAGCAACGGAAGCCTACAAGCCGTCTACAGTATTCGGCAGTCTGCTGGCCAATTTCAGACGACCTCAAACGCGGTTCCGCCGGCCTGAGCGTCGAGCCGGATGACATCGTTCAAACCTGTTATGGTGCAAATTGCATCGAGCCTGTGAGAAGTGTGTGATGGAAGCGTGCGCGGAGATAGTGCGTACCCATAACCTCGAAGAACGCCTTGGGGTCCATACCCCTGGCCGAATCGAAATCTGTGCCAGTCTTCTTGAGGGAATGCATGGCAGCCCGAATTCCGTGTACGGCAGCAACGCAAGAAACAAGCGAGAAAACTGCGTGGTCACAGATTAGATGAATTAACAATCAAAGCCTGGTTGTGGAATATGATCAACTCACTAATGATTTTCGCACCCATCTCTTCGGCTTCCTTCGTAGTGAACGAAGGGGTAAGACCACCGGAGATAACATTCACAAGAACCTGAAACTCGCTCGGATGAGAATCTAACGCAAACAGTGCAGAGTCTTACTGGCTTAGGAGCGAGGGCTGCAACAGTGGACTCCAAGAGCTCCTTGGTGCGCACGCCTTCGATGAAGCAGACGTCAGCACCCGCATCAGCAGCAAGCTTCAGCCTGTAAATGGCTTCCTCCATTCCAAGGACCTGGGCCGAATCCGTGCGCCCAATGATGACCTACACCAAGATCGCTTGTCAATATCACGCAATTATCACGGAAGTAACACCCAAAAACAAGGAAACATCGCTTACAAAATCTGAGCCTCCAGGAATGGAATCCCTGGCGATGACCGCCGCACGGATGCGGGTGACAAACTCCTCGCGCGAGACAACCTGCTTGCCAAGAAGATGACCGCAGCGCTTAGTCTGAACTTGATCTTCGATGTGGAGCCCCGCAACGCCCGCGCGGGCATATTGAGTGACTGTGCGAGCCACCATAGCAGGGCCACCGAATCTACGAAACCGATCTGTGAGCGAAGGGGGAATAGAGAAACAATGGATAAAGCATACCCAGTGTCGGCGTCAGCAATTACTGGGCATGTTGGGTCCAAGCTGCAGACCATTTGCGCACTCTGTGCAATTATCTCCTCATTAAAATGGGGTGTGGTTGGGATCAGCCATGGACGTACCTGGACGAAGTCATTGAGGGTGGCAATGGCAAGATCAGGTCCGCCAAGGCGGGAGGCAGTCGTGGCGGCACCGCTGTTATCAACCGTACAATAATCAACAATGGATAGTTGGTGGATACTAGACTCAAATCACCTTTGGTAGAGGCAGGTGAATCCTGCCTCCAACGCGCACCGAGCACTGATCCCATCACATATTCCGGGAGCGACCTGACGTAGTTTTAGTTAACGACTATCCATTCGACGATGAGATGACGATGCATACCACAATACCGGGGCGAGCAAGCATCTGCCGCAACCTTGTTGCAGGGTTCCAGGAGAGCTCGCCCTCGAGGTAGTTCTTTGGGTCCAAGCGGGCATTGTAGTAGGGCTTGGCTGCGGAGTCCGTCAGAGCGGGGGGGATGCTATCAATGCCATTGGAGACGCCATGAACGACGGAGGAGACAGAGGAATTCTCTGTGCTTTTTGGGGCGTAGTCCATACCAGGAGCCATTGTGAGTGATCAAGAAGCTAGTGGGGTATGGGAAAGGATTCGATGGGGTTTGAGGACTACTCGAGTGGTTGACGGAGGTTTGGAATAGCAAAGGGCGCCCTTTATATGTTCTTCGGATGCCAACAACACCAGCGAAATTCCGAATCCGACTGTCTCAGAACCGGTCGGGAAATCTCGATGCCCAAAGCAGGTAGCATGGGGCTCCAGACGGTATGTCACTAACAGTTCTACTCCGCACATAACCGCGTGAGGCACAGGTATCAGCCAATAATGATCGAGTCCCTGCGGAGGAAGGGAAAGCAACTGACAATTCGAAGACAGAGTTCCTGCATGTGTGAGTGACATATGAGTAGTCACCCGGTCTTGGCATGCGTAGAAGCCCCGAGACGATGCGCGGAGGCCCAATGGTGCTTCTGAGCGAGGATCATTGTCTGTAGATTATAAGTCCAAGTTTCCCTCGCGGATCGCAAATGCACAGGCTCTATTTAGTATGTGCGCAGTGTGCGTGGCGGTGCGAAAGCGATATTGTCTTAGACCTGGATACCTTGAGATTTTGATACTGCGATGGAGAGAGGCCAATTCAACGGTGTTGCGATACCTCCACCCGCGGCGTTAGTGCGGTATGGGGGAGGGCTGCTGATGAGAGCCGGCAGATGAGGGGGTCCTGTGCCATTGGAGCTTTTGCAAGCACCGCTCTCTCAGGTTTCCCATGTTGACTACGGATAGGATGATGACACTGTATCAAAAATTTCACATGAATGGAAAATTGTTGAAACGGTTCTATGCTTTCACAGCACAACTTACCTCTGGCATGTTTGCTCCCTGAACATCCCGCCACCTCTTCGCGGCTAAAAAAACAAGCCCAGCTGATATATGTCCGTGTAGCTGACCTGGTATCAAATATGTTACAGTGAGAAGCATGCATCGTTCAAAGTCATCCTCAAAGACTTACACTGAACAGCATCAGAGCGCCTTTCCACAGTGAAGTTGTGGCGGAGAGGACCGTCTGTGGATCGCGCCTCTCCCGAAGGGGATACACATTCGCGTGTCTGTCACGTGTTAATGTCGTAGGGGTTCACACCTTTGGCCAGGCAATAGTGGAAGATTTCTTCGCCACTGGCGACAACAACGAGCACGACGACGAACACGACAAGAGTCACGATTACGACGACTAAAAGGCGAACGCTGAATTGTATCGCGTTATAGAATGCCTTCGCCGGTCGCTGCGCCTCCCAATCCTAGTTTTCCACAGCGCACACTCGACGGCTTGCAGCAACACCTCAACTTCTTTCGCATCCACATCATCTTTTTGTACGTATTTATTTCTCTGGATGCAGATTATGGAAGATGATCCCTGCGCAGCACATTCACCCCTCTCATATTCTCTGCAATCTTATATGCGAGCAATGGTCAATACCCTATCAGCTACATAGATGCTTTGTTCAACTCAGTCAGCGCCATGACGGTCTGCGGGCTGGCGACAGTTAACTTGTCGAGTCTGACGGGCTGGCAGCAAGCAATTCTATTTATACAGATGTGTTTGGGGAGCCCAGTACGTCTCTAGAAGCATCAATGGCCGATCGAGATATTGACTTCCTGGCGAAGGTTCTGGTAGCCTGGGTGGTGGTGTATATCAGGAGGTATGTCGCCTTTTCCTCCAATATAACTACTCTCTTTCCATGGTCAGAATAACAAGCTCGACCTGGCACTGACTGCCATGCCTTAGACGCATGTTCAGAACACGGTGTGAAAACATCGTGGCGGCTGCGGCTCGTAGGGACACGTTGTCCGCCCTTGACACGCAGGTTGAGTCTCCCAAGACTTGGCGTTCCCGCATATCGACTCTCCTGCGTCGTGGTTCCAGACTTTCTGACGTTGAAGAGAAGACGGACGAAGAGGACACCGTGACACCCACGAAAAATGGATCAGCGAGAGAGCGAAAGGGGGGAGGAAACGAGTCTCGAAAGCTGCGTCCAGACATGATACGGCGGATGGACGATGCACCAAAGCTGGTGAACCCAAGCGGCTGGATAAGCGAAGGCCGCTCGGACCCAATGAATGCTGTTGCAGAAGATGGCTCTCAGCCGCCAGCAGAGCCAACACGACAGTTGGCCTTCGCAGAAGATCCCAAACGTCGTAGTCGAGACCTTTCAGTATCAAGCACCTCATCATCATCTGAACCCTCTGCTACTGATGAGCGTGAAGGAAGACCATCACACCGACGAAGGTCAGTTTAGTGTGAAATCTGCATTCATCGGATGCCGATACTTTCATATAGGCATAATCGCCGCTTTTCTGAACCTCAAGGGAGTTCATCCCCTTCTACAGGTCAGTGTCTCTTTGATCACTTACATTGTTTACGTGAACTGCAACACGCTACCAGGCAACCGCATGCCACGTTTCGAGACTATCAATATCGCAAACGTGCATTCTCCAATAGAAGAATCAGGAGGCCCATCTGTTCCCCGTACCCAGACCATTGAATTCGCTCCTCCACCTCGTAAATCTCGCCTTGGATCTAACGATCGAAGCAAAATCGATCACCATTCCGTTATGCCTGACATGTCCCATCGACGCCCGACCATCGAGACAATGGATTTTGAGGATCGCAGTGAGAGCAGCTTCTTTGATTGTTCCGCTCAGATTCTCATTAAGCCTTGGCACAGGGCCTGGAGCCTTTGGACGATCTTCATCAATCGGCCGCACGGGAACGACCCATACGTATCAGTCAGGCCCTCAGCGCGCGAGTGATGGGGACTTTGGTGGCTTTCCATGGCCACATGAGATCATTTCCAGCTTGATCAAGCGCTTCTTCCCTGGCCTAAAGCGCCAGTTGACTCGTACCGTGACTATGCCACGAACTACTACCATCACCTCCCACCATTTTCATGAGCCGGTGTCGACACTAGCCAAGGTCGTCCCATACATCACCTTTGATGCAGTCGTAGGGCGAAATTCTGAGTTTCGATCTTTAACCAACGAGCAGCTTGAAGAACTTGGCGGAGTTGAGTATCGTGCTCTTACCGCTTTGCTTTGGATTGTTGGCGGAGTGAGCAGCAGACGGCATTCCTTATTAGAGCTTAAAATTTACGCTCGTGTGTTAGTACCATATTCTAGTGCAGATGTTGGCGTTCACAATCATTGGGCCTTACATGTCAATAGCAAGATGGCAGCCTGCGCTTGGACCTCCAGATCAAATTAGAGTTGTCCCTCCAGGGTGGTCAGTTCATCGTTTTGTATAACCTCGATCAAGACTTACCACCAATCGTTAGGTTCTCGATATTTCAAGTAGTGTCTGCCTATACGAATACAGGCATGTCGTTATCGGATGAGTCTATGGTTCCCTTCCAGCAGGCATATCCAGTCATCTTGGTTATGGTCTTCTTGGTTTTGGCTGGAAATACCGCTTTTGTAAGTCATGGGCCGCCTGACAAGTTCACTATTTTTATGACATCCGTTATCACAGCCTATCTTGTAAGTCATTTCCACTCCTTCGCACTGGGCTTCATTCATATGCATTCGATCGACGTGATAGTCTACGATTTTCGATGTAAGTTCCTTTCTCGTCGTCAGATCCCTAATGTTAACCCAATCACGCAGATGGATCATCTCGAAATTATTTCCAAAAGAATCACGTATCAACGAAACTTTGCATTTTCTCCTAGACCACCCTCGCAGGTGTTTCATATACTTATTTCCCTCTCATCAAACATGGTTTCTTCTGACTATTTTACTCTTGCTGAAGTATGTTTCATTTACAACTTGTGGGCCGTTGAAACATTGAATGACCACTTTTCATGCGTTTAGCGGGACAGACTGGTTCTTTTTCCTTGTGTTAGACATAGGGAACCCAGCTATCGATTCGATCCCCGTCGGCGTGCGATTCATCGATGGATTACTTCAGGCTGTTGCTGTACGAGCAGCAGGATTTGCAACGGTCACACTCTCTGCCCTTGCGCCAGCTGTCAAGTATGTATGCTTGTTCATCTGCGTGAGATTTCACTCAACATCGAACAGAGTGCTCTACGTGATCATGATGTATATCAGCGTCTGTGAGTCTTCTCATAGTCTGATGCTGATAATGTCGACACCTCTCATCTGGTTTCACAGATCCTATAGCCATGAGGTACTGATCCAGTTGTACCTTCTCTTTCTATTTCTGACACTCCAGCCTGTGACAGTGTTCGGTCGACTAATGTATACGAGGAGAAATCTCTGGGTATCTATCCAGAAGAGGATGATTCAGACGACGAAGATGATTTCACACCGTCTGGAGGAAGAATCACCGTCTGGAGTCGTTATCTAGCCATGCACGCCAGGAAACAACTCGCGTTTGGTATGCTTCCTATGATATATTTCTTATCCGTTACTGATATTGCGGAAGATATGTGGTGGCTTGGCCTTGCACTATTTCTGGTTTGCATCATTGAAGTTTGTTTTCCATATATCATCTATCATGAAGACTTGCCTGATATTTTTTTCCTCATTATATAGCGTGGCCCGCTGATGAACGTCAACAATCAGGGCTGGTTTACTATTTTTAACGTGGGTAAGTATCCATGTATCAGGACAAAACGATATGTTGAGATTTTCATGCAGTCTTCGAATTGGTCTCCGCCTACGGGACCGTTGGTCTAAGTTTAGGTCTCCCATATGTATGCTATCTTCGTTCTCTTCCTTCACCTGAACTAATCGTTCGTCAAAAGGCAAACTACTCCTTTTCCGGAGCATTCACCCCATTATCCAAACTAATCGTCTGTGCTGTCATGCTTCGTGGTCGACATCGCGGTCTCCCGGTTGCAATCGATCGGGCTGTCCTGCTTCCCATCGAATATAGCCAAGGCGCAGATGGCGAGGCACCAAGCTCCGCTGGGTTTGATCGTCGGAGACCGAGTTTAGTCAGTGTACCGACTATGGCGACTGGGCATAACGTTGTAGCTTCTACCCACGAAAAAGCAGAAGAAACGACAGATCACCGACGCCGTGCCTCTCGTTTGATTTCTGGGAATCAAGGAGGTGAAGATGGTAGGCAAACATGATCTGCGCTTTCTACAAACTTTTTGTCTACTGTTTTACGAGTGTCTACGCTTTCCATACCCTCAACCTCAGATGTACCTATTCGGTTGCTCTAGGTTCAGCCTCGCTCATGGACTACATCTACGATCGGACGTTTGACAACTGAGTGCTAGTAATGTCTGTATGGGTTCCACATTTTCTAATACATATAGATGTGTACATGGGGATGTGTCACGCCTCAGGGCGTCACAGTGCATGAGCAACAGACCCGTAGTGGCCTGTGCACAGTTTATATCGACAAGAACGACAGGTCGTGGAAATTGATGAAATCTCTCTGATCTAAAACACGAAAGTTCCCACATCAGCAGACGGCCTTCTCATGATCAAAGTCTCCCATCCATGTTGCCCAGTTTGACATCCATGGAGGCATTCACGGTTACACCTTATTTCCCAGCATGATAGTCATCAGCTTGATGCATTTGAGCCACCTGGATTTGAGGGTCTCACCTGTAGGTTTCGAGACAAGCTATCTTCGGGTTCGCAGGGTGGTTCCTTGCGATAGCGGCTGCCACGCTTCATGCGCTTTATGAATATGCAGCAGGATACGAGCAGATAAGACAGAGTACATGACTCGTTGCAAACTAACGAAAACAGGATGAAATATGAGCAAAGTGAATTGTTGACGAGATTGGGACGCACGCAATTAGGAGGATCACGAAATCTTCCTGAAGAGATGTCAGTGGAGCATGAGTCAATGCGGATTACATACTCACTGATACCACTAGAAGGAGGACCACACTGATGATGGATAACGCTAAGTTTTCACAGTCAGCACAGTGTATAACAAAGATTAAGTAGTTTCATACTGACAGAGAAGTGCCAAGTAATACACCATGCCTGATTGGACATCAATCAGGACACTATATACAGGAAGAACGATGTCACTCACCGTCTTTGTACATGGTGACAATGATTGAAGAATTCGTATGATGCGCTAGATGCATCGCTCGGTTAGAAACTGGATGGGAATGGATGTGGATATGGAGCGGGTCCTCGTACATTTTCGAAGTTGGAATATTTTAGTCACAGTGAGGATCACAATCGCTGTCAGGCATTCGTATAAGTTGCTTGCTAAACATGCAAAAGCTATAGAAGGAGAGCATACCTGTATCAAACATACAAAGGCAGATATAGCATCCGAGAATGGTTTCATTTGCCCTAGTCACGAAACATCCCCTTACATTAGCTAGGTCGCCAAGGATGGATATAGGGGCATCTGATGTCGAAAGCGTGAACCAATGGGAAAATGAGACCGGTGTATATGCTCACAAGTCAAGGACTTGATAAATCTAGCCACCAAGATACAGCAAGGCACAAACGTAATAACAAACAGGAACAGCAACCCAAATGCTACGACCTTTTTGCGACCCCATATGGCCCACGTACGCATCATGATGATGCCTACAATTGAAGTTAGAAGTGTTTAGCCTCCAAAAGAATCCACTCACTTTCACAAATACCGACACTCCCCAGGAACATCCCTGGACATCGCACATCAATGCGCTTTCTCCGGAACAAATCAAAGCAAAGCTCACAGCCCGTCACATGATACAACCGAGAACAGTCTACAGGCGATAAACCGAACCCAAGCTGATCTATATGAATTGATTGAGTTTTGAGGCACTAAAAAAAAGTGCAAAATACGCACGATAGAGAACTAACGATGTGTCCGCAAACGGAGGGTATCTTACTATAAAGAAAAGGACCTTGACGAGACTCCACTTTGAGCGCCACATGTACTTAACCTCATACTCGAAGGTTAAAGTATAGTCATATAGCTAGTAAAACAAGTCAATAACCACAGAGAAGTTGATACATCGCACTCACAAGGACAGCTACGGCGCACACTTGTGTTGGGCGTCAGTTGAGGTATCATGAACAAACTAGTAGAATGATCCCACTATCTAGATACTTCGATACCGTGTCTAGCGTGAGCTTGATGCTGATGAAATACGAGTCAGATACGTACAGAGTTCATCCTCATACGCTGGATGGAATCCAAAAGAGCTGTCTGGTTCTGTGGGTCCATGGTGGTAGTGACCATGAAACATCACGACTCACCGCGGCTGGCTTTAATATGTAGGAGGGCCTCCTCTCATCATCCTATGCTGCCCCGAGCTTCCCTTAGGGCGGTGATGCATCATGAATCTGCCATCTTCGTTAGGGCACTCGCCGAGCTTCCCTTAGGGCGGTGATGCATCCTGAATCTGCCATCTTCGTTAGGGCACTCGCGATTGGCGCGCACAGAGCAGAAAGCATCAGAAGGAACTCACACTGGCATTCCCACTCTGGAATTGCTTGCCCACGCTGATCCAGCGCTCCGTTGGCTGGCCATCTGATAGTGATGTACATTTGGCCAACCTTCGCACAAATATGGTATTTTCGAGGTGAAATGGAAACCCAGGAAACACTCAAAACTGAGGTCCATACATTGTTAGATCACATTGCATGCCATATACAACTCTCAAGGACGCACATGATTTTGGGTAACCAATAACGACTTCCCGGACGTCAGATCGTTCATATCTTTCAAGCGCTAGCGAACTTATTCTTAGACTTGCGCCAGACTGGCTATCGCAGTGTCGATGCATGGTTGAAAATGGTCCACGGTCCAGTTCCTGTGATAGGAAGATTTCTTCACGAGCAAGTACTTGTTAGGCATTCAAGTCCATGGGCGATGATAGATTCCTAAAGTATCGGAAACAACACCGAGTCCCAGCACTCGGAATGATCGAGCCGAGCTTTGTATGATCTGATCAAGTTTGGTACTGCATTAAGGTGATGTCTACACCAGCGCATAACTCTACACTTAGTAATGCGGTTCAAGGCCTACCGAGAGATGTGCGCTAAATCCAGAAGCCCCGAGAACAGCGAAATCCCTAGCCTCACTAGATGCTATGCTTGATGAATATTTTTGTTGGTGCAGAATGAGCTGACAATGGCTATATGTGTCAGGCGCCGCCCAGGGACTGATGCACGCTACAGAGCAATACGCATTTCATTGAGACAGCAGCAGGGAAAAAACCCTGCTCAATTCATGACACAGGGTAAGATAGAATATACCGAGGTACTTATCTGAGCTCCAAGGGTTTTTTGTGTCATCCTACATGCGCGATGCACTTCGATAAATGATTTACGCCAGAGTCTAGAGTATTCAGGAATCAGAAGGCTCCGTGTCTGATATTGTTCTTGATCAGAAATGCTCATGTGATGTATTGAAATCGAGGTAGACGAATGGGACTGCTTCCAGAGTAGATGGAAATGCGATTAGGGTGTGCAGTGGAGATGGGGTACACTATAGGACAATAAATTAGTCTAACAACATAGCAGTTAGTCGTCGCTAAGAGCAAGCCAATAAGCATTATGGAATGAAAAGAGGACAGTGCTGACGCACTCTGCTGTCTCGCGTCGTAAAAATAGATCAATTGCTGCTGAAAATGCAGCGAAGGCTAAGCCGCCTCCGAGCACCGCTTTTGGACCGGATTTGCGTGCCAGGATACCACCGGCTACGAAGCCAGCAGCTATTGGATTGACCATGTCGTTTCGTGCGCGGTACTAGGTCCAATGGTTAGAACGCGCATAAAACAGTATAATATTTCGATGACACGCACCGACTCCATGACACACTCAAGGCCAGCAAACAAGGCGCCTACTTTGCCAAAACCCTTTCCACTTTTCCACATCCCTCGTCCCATCTCCTTGAAGATTTCTGCTGCTTTCTGTTTGTTGTTCAGCGCTGCCTGTGTTTGCTGTCGCAGTAGTGGATCCTCGTACGCGAATGAGGCTGACATCATGGAAAAGAACGCGCCAATTGCGAAGCCTTCCATGCAACCACAGGCAAGAGTTACATCAACATTCCGCATGCATGAATAAATGGAGTGAAGCTACTCACCTCCACCGCCTGCAAGCACGGTTTTGGCAACACAAGATTCGGCACCAGCGGTCATGTAGTCTTGGTACTTTTTGGCCTCGAGCATTTGAGCGCGGTCATCCTCTGTGAATCCAGGAGGCAGAGGCTCCCTGCCTGCAGGAAATACAGGCGCAACGAGGGGAAGAGGCATGGCACAGTCCTGACACTTCCGACCTCTCAGCAAGAACTTCGAGAGTGGTTTAGAGAAAGGTGGATATCTGAAGCATAAGTTAGAGTTAAGTTACAAGTCAGCGCGTGACTCGCGAAAGTAAACACACAGATCCTCCTCGATTTACCTTCGACTCAAGCCTGGCCCAGGCGACGTTTTCTTTCTCTAAAATCGTCAGTGAAACTCATGCAAAGCAATTGTTACGGATCAAAGGAAAATCGATAAAATTCTGCCGCTGAGCGTATCGATTCTCCAATCAACATCTAATCCCGGCTAGCATCGCCGAACCGTCCTGGTTCGAAGTTCGCACCCATGCTCCTTCGAGCCTTGAAGCTTGACACTTCCGCATTGTAGGGTAATATGGCTCAAGGTAAACACTGAGGATGCAGAGTGCTTGTTTTGATACTGCTCTTCTGATATCATATCTTCAGTTGTTATCTCACAAGCGTCACAGGTCATTGGCGCCGATCTCTCTCAGTCGGCCCCAACGACCTCTTTCACCAGGTGTGTACTCAGTGCTCAGGGCCAGCGCCATAAACTTGAAGGCTAAAGTCCATGACGCCGATGGTTTCACTGCATACAGACCGAGGCTCAATGATGACATGGGCCAGTTAAGTCTTGGCCAGCAAGAGTCACTAACACAGATGCGAAACCGTATGTGCGATTTGTAGTAGATCTCCAGTCGAGACATATATCCATGTATCATCATATAGGAACCCAGAAAGATCAGGACAAGGAAGATGAGGCTGCGCGGAGAAAAGCCCTGAAGGAACTCCTTCAAAGCTGGATGGATCGGCTGCAACTCATCTCTGTTCTTGTGAGTATCTCCTCTAGTATCTGTATCAATAAGGAGCACTGTGTACTATGGTGATTCTCGCATTCTGAGAGATATATGGAAGGAGACAGCCGTTCCATTGACGCGCAACCCATCATTACATTTCTCCCATTTTAACATCTCACCGATGATTATTCTGAATTATTTCATGCGAAGTACGATGCCACTCATTTCACCATCCATTCATTTCGTGCAGTTCTAAATCATTTTTCAGACGACCTTTTTCGCCGCGATGGAGGCACAACTTTTGGGCAACACGTCTCCTACTGGCAGTGGTCCCGTGAGCATCACAGCACAGGTAGCCAACACTGGGCTTATATGTGCACTCATCGTTCATTCTTTTGCCGGTGAGTCTACCCACGTGTGCTTGTGTGATAGGAGTGTCTGATCCACCTTGCTCTGATATGATATAGCGATGATCTCCTTCCTTGCAGCGTTTGCACTCATCAGGTTCAAACTCACAGAGGCCACGAAGGAAGAGTTCAGAGCTGAGAACTTCTCTGTCGCATCACCCAACTCTGTCAAGTTGGAAACTACCACGAGCGACCAGACCCCTTCCTTGGTTAACCTTCCTCCCTCGCAGACTGATTATCGGCAGGAAAACCACGCATTTCATCCACGACCAATCGACCGATCTACATCTATACCAGAACATATTCGCGCTTTCATACCACCACCACGGGTGTTCTCCACGAACCCCCATATCGAATCCTTCAACTCATTTCACATGCGCAAGCCACCGATGGCCCTCCTCGAACATGCATATGCCCTCTCGATATCCATGGCCGCTGTCGGATTCGTGCTTGTGGTAGTTGGCATTGTATGTTGGGCGTGGTCGCAGCTTCCAGTGAGCGTCGCCATAGCTTCGACTGCAGCAGTAGGCATTTGCACGGTCGCCGGGGCGGCAATCCTGATTTAAATTTTGATCTAATTTCCATGCTCGTGTGCCATGTATCTCGGAGCGCTCTTCAACCTAACGTACAGTAAGCTGCCAACGTGAGATGGTCAATCACCGTGCAAGTCCTTCATTTTTCTTGATCCAATGCCATGTTCGGTCATGCGGTGTCTACAGCGCCAATTTCTTTTCTGTGGCGTTCACCTGCCCATCTGCCAGCATTCATCACCCTGCACTGGACACCCTCACAAGTTTCATCGATGTTCAGTGTGAGCCTTTGTCCACACACCTTAGCGCACAGCCCTCGGAATGCTCAGCAACTGATACATACCCGTCTTGACCATGACAGGTGAGGCGGCACTCCACCTGTCCTCCAAAGCATCACCAAAAGCCCTCTCTCGAGACTGGCCTCGCGAACTGAACAATTACCTCCAATTGATCGGGCAAATCCATTTACTGAGATGACACACTACCGTCGCCAGACCATGCATTTCGTGACCGCTGTCTGTAAGTTCTCCAAGTTTCTTGGCGCATCTTGACGTCGACTGGTCTCGACGTCGACAGTCAACGGCCAATCGACCGCCTCGGGCTCTAGCGTCGGTTTGACAGCTGCACAGACGATGGCAGCCCAGCACGCGCTGGAGATCCTAAGAGGATACTAGTCCACCCAAAAGGTAGGATTAAATCCCGCGGGCCCGAGCTGCACTCGCAGTTATCTCACCGTCTTTCTGGCAGCCAATCCACCACCACATAAATATCTCCGGCGCCCGCAAAGCTCGTCAAAGTTCAAAAGTCCAAACATTCAACACGCGATCGATTATTCGATCATTCACAACGCGGATTCGGGAGGAGACCTTCGGTGCATGCATTGTCCAACTATGCCAGATCTAAAAACACACGCTCTAGTACTATCGTCGACCGGCGTCTCAAGGCTGCCTTGATCATACGCACTAAGTTACATACATAGCAACCCTGCAAGAAAGGGAGGAAGGAAGAACGAAGGAGGGAAAGACAGAAAGACAGAAAAGAGACGGGCGGTAAAAGAAAACAACACTGTGTGACTGAAATGAAAAGCAGAAGCAGCAAAAAGAGAAAGGAGGAGGAAAGCGGAGAGCGAGACGGACGGAGAGAGAGACGGAGAGACAGGGAATATAAAGCAGGCGACGACGTGAGGGGTAAGTGTATCACGCAGGCGCAAGGAGCAAGTAGGGCGGAACGAAGTTACGGCAGGAGAGTACGTATGTAGATGAAGAATTAAGAGGCTTGCGATGCGTATGAACTAAGGAACGATGAACCAAGCTCGAGTCTATACCGCCAGCACCGCACGACGCGGCGCCGTGCAGTGTCATGTCAAGAGCGCCACCAACCTCTCGCTGTCCGCCGACTTGCCCACGAGCCGCGCCCGCCGCTCCTCGTCTGCATCGAGGCCCGCGCCCTTCATCATGGTGGCCGTCAGTTCGAACGCCTTCGGCGCGTCGTACACCAAGTCGTCGAGCAGCGACGCCAGCTCCGTGAAGCCCTCTTCGAACGACGCCGGCGAGCACAGGTCCCGCTTGCGCGCGTGCACGAACAGCGCCGCGACGAGCTCCGCGTCCTCCTGCTTCCGCTCCACGGCCGACAGCACCAACTTGTCCACGAGCCGGAACCGGTGCTCCGACGGCAGGGTGCTGAAGTACGACTCGGCCTCCTCGATGCTCCGGATGGTGAAGAACTCCTTCAAGTCCTCGCCGATCTTCTTCTTCGCGTCGGCCTCGGACATCGACGGCGCGCCCGCGACCTCAGCCTGCTCGTCGTCCGAGCTCGCCTCCGAAGCGGCGGGGGCCGACTCCGACCTCTCCATAGGCACCGAGCGGGGCAGGAGATTGAGCCTCTTCCGCTGCAAGGGCGTCTCAGCCGGAGCAGCCTGCCCAAAGTCCACGCTCGCCTTGCGGCTCGGCGGACGGCTCGACTTGGGCGCCGTAGGGTCCACAGCGATCTCGGAGCTCTGGCTCAGCATCGAGAACATGTTCTGGCTCGAGGCCGTCCGCGAGAGCGGCACCTCGCGCGGCTTGTCCTTCTTGCCCGCGAACACGCCGCCCGGCGCGAAAGACATCGGCATCGTCTTGCTGATCTTGCCAAAGTTCGAGAGGTCGCCGGCCTTGGGCGGTTGTCTTGGGGGACCGGCGGTGCCCGCGACGGTCCAACCGTCGGGGCCCACATGGAAGTCCCCGCGGTCGCCTCCGCGGCGCGAGCCGGTGCGGGACATGTTCATCCGCTGTTGCGTCTCCTTGTCCTGTGCGGCCTTCTCCTTGGCAGCCTGACAACGCATCCTCCGTCAGTGCACGTTCGCGGAGGACGAGCGTGGAGATCGCACTCACCGCCTCGTGAATCTGGGCGATCGTGGCCGGAGCCGCGCTCTTGACTCGGGGTATCCACTTGCGCTCCCGCAGCTCGAGAACATCCTACGCGACAAACGAACAGTCAGAAAAACAGAAAAAACAGTGCGCGCGCGAGGCGTGGCGTCGCAACCCACCTGCAGCATGAACTGCATCCGCGAGTTCACGTTCGGGCTCTTGCACAGCTCCTTCATGCGCGAGAAGTACACGTCCATGTGCGCGTGCGCCTTCTGCGTGTCCAGCATCTGGCCGACCGTGCTCAGCAGCTTGCACAGACTCTCGATCTCCTCCTCCTCGGGGTTCTCGACGTTGCCGAGCAGCTTCTTGATGCACTCGTGCATGATCCGCTCCGTCAGCATCTGCAGCTTGAACAGCTCGCCGATGAACCGGATCAGCCCGAGGCCCCGCCGCTTCGCCTTCTGCGCCGCGTAGTACTCGTCCGAGTAGAGCTCGCCCTCGCCCGCGTCCTCCTTGTCCTTGTCCTGCGCGGCCTTGACCGCCTCGTCCTCGGTTGCCTTGCTCGCAGCCGCAGCCGCGGCCACCTCCTTCGCGACCCACCCGCGCTCGAAGTCCTCCTGACACCGGTTCAGCAGATACTTGCGGAACAGCTGCCCGCCCGTGATCGGCTTGCCCTCCACATTCTTGATCCCGTCGTCCTGCACCTTCGCGCTGATCTGCTCCATCATCTTCCGGCACAGCCGCGCGTACATCTCCGAGAACGTCGCCTCGTCCGTCGCCTTCTCGAACACGAGCCGGATCACCTGGATCAGTGTCCGTCCGTCCTTCTCTTTCTCCGACTTGTTCGCCCACGCGATGATCTGGTCCGAGATCGAGTCGAAGCGCTCCATCGTCAGCTTGTTCAGCAGGCCCTTCACCTTGCGGTCCACGACCTCGGGCGAGTCCGAGTCCACAGCCTGCACTCTGCGCGTGCTCCCGGCGACCCACCGGTTCGCGGAGGCCTCCAACGGCGCGACGGGGTCCAGCGGGGGACCCATCATCATCATCGACGAATTCGACTGCCCCGACGAAGACGGGTGCCCGCCGACGCTCGATCGACTCGTCTCCGGCCGCTTCTCGCCCCTCCGACTCCGGATCCGCTCGCGCTCCTTCCCAGTGCCGGGACCGCCCTGACTCGACGTGCGCACGAGCGCCGACGGCCGTCCGCCCATCGGCATGATGCCGCCCGCGCCGCTCGTCGACACCGAGCGTCCCGACGCCATCGCGAAGCGCTCCTCGCTCGTGAGCTTCGACGTCGAGAACTGACCCATCGCGAACGAGCTGCCCGGCCCGGACTTGCCGATCGAGCTGGGGAGGAATCCGAGCCCGACGGACCCTTGACGAGACGCGCCGCCGGGGGTGACCATTCCTGACGGAGGGCGACGACCAGAGCCACCCCGGGCCATGTTGTACGTCGACTGGTCACTCGGCTCGAGTCCGATGGCATCCAACGGCGGCAGGTTATCCGGCTTCTCCTTACAGATCGACATGAACTGCAGCAGGAAATCACGATCGTACCTAATCATGTTTATCGACGAGCAAAGTTGATGTCAGCAACACAGAGATTTGACAACGAAAAAGCGGACAGGATCACGCACCTGAACTTGCCCTTCTGCGCATTCACGTTCAGCTCCACCTTGGGGCTGCGAACGCCCTCGGGATACTGGATCGTCCCGATGTCCTCGATGATGCGCGCAGTGGCCAGCGCAGACGGCAGCGGCGCGGGCACGGCGACGCCGGTGATGAGATTCAGCGGGTCCGGACGACGCTTCGGCTCGGGGCCGTGGTGGTGCGCACTGGTGTCAATGCGGAGCGCCTCTTTCTCGGCGGCACGTTGACTGGCGAACGAAAGCGTCGCGTGCGCGGGCTGAGGCGAGTCGACGACGGCCTTGTCGGTGATCGGTGCGACCTTGTCGTCGATCTCGCCGTCTTCCCTCCCTGCCTCCTCAGCGGCGGCGGCGGTAGCGGCGGCTTTTGCTTTTTGCTCTTCCTCCGCAGCGGCGACGGCGACGGCAGCGGCAGCGGCAGCAGCAGCAGCAGCCTTGTCTGCAACTTCCTTCTCCAACCGCGCCGCCTCTTCCGCCTCGCGCGCCCGCTCCTCTTCCTCGGCCCGCTTCTTTTCCTCTTCCTGCGCCCGCACCCGCGCCTCCTCGGCCTCCTTCTCCTTGCGCACCCGCTCCTCTTCCGCCTCCTTCTCTTTGCGCACCCGCGCCTCCTCCTCATCCCGCTTCCGCTGCGCCTCCCTCTCCTTCTCCTGCTCGAGCTGCTCCTGCTCCTTCCGCGCGCGTTCCTCCTTCTCCCGCTTCTCCCGCTCCCGACTCTCCACCTCCGCGCGCTCCTTCTCCTCCTTCTCCCGCGCCGCCTTCTCCTTCTCCGCGAGCGCCTTAGCCTGCTCGTCCGCTATCCGCCGCTCCCTCGCGAGCCGCTGCTCTTTGTCCTGCGGGCTCTCGATCCGCACCGACGTCGTCCGCTTCCTGTCCTGCTTGAACCCGATCGGCGACGCCGGCGGCTGCGGGCCAGCAAGCCCCATGCCTACGCCGGGCCCCGCTGGCCCCGCGCCCGGCTGCGAGCGCTTCAGCGACTCGAAGTTCACCTCCTGGCCATGCGGGTCCTTGATCGAGATCTTCTTCCCAGGCACGAACGCGCTCGCGTTCGTGTTCAGGCGAGGACCCGGGCCGCCGCCCGCCGTGGATGGCGTGGGCGGCGGGGACGTGATGTTGCGTGGCGGGGGGTGTGACGGAGGTGCGTGCTGTGAGGGGTGGACGGGGAGCGGGAGGGCGTGGGAGGGAGTCGGCGTGCCGGGCGCCTGTAATGGAGGAGGAGGGTTGCGCGGGGACATGGGCATCACCGAGTTGGGCGGACCCGGAGGCCCCGGCGGTGGATGATGCGGCGGGCCCTGGTGTTGCGGCGGGAGCGGGTGCTGCGCCCATCCGGGCGAGTAGGTCATGTACTGCTCCGCGGGCATCCCGTACGGGGGGTACTGCGAAGCGATGTCAGCGAGGAAGCGACGCGCGAGGACGCGGCAAGTCGACTTACGTAGTACGTTTGCGGCCACATCGGCGCCGCGGGCGGCAGGCCCGCGGGGGGCCCTGGGTGCTGGTGCTGGTGGGGGGTGAGGCGAGGACTGGGCATGCCGGTGGGCATGGGTCCAGGGCCCCCAGGACCGGTCGATGGCCGCCCGCTCATGTTGACTCCGCCGCTCGTTCCGTTCGTCATCGCGCGCGGGTATACCGGCGAGCGCGGGGGAGCGCCGTTGCTGCTCCCGTTTTGCGCCTGCGAGCGCGGGGTGAACGTCGGGGGCGAGTAGGGCTGCCCCTGAGAAGACCCCTGATGCGATTGTGGTGGCAAAGACATGGGCCGTGTCGACGGTGAGGGCGCGCTCTCGGACGGGGGCTTCGAGGCCAGGGACGGCCCCTGGAAGAGTTTCGCAATGCTCTTGCGGTCTATTTTTGTGACTGCCGAGGGCGTCGAGGGAGGCGGGGGTGCGGAGGTGGTCGTCGGGGAGGGGTCCGAGGAAGGATTTGAAGGGGTCTGAGGGAGCGACGTGGGTCGGCTAGTGAAGGCGGATTTGCTGGCGGCAGTGGATGTGCCGTTTTGAACGGCGACGGACCCGAACGACTTTACGGTCTCGGCCTTGACCGCCGGCGCGGACGCGGGCGAGGAGGAGATGGGCACCGGTGCGTCGTCGATGGAGCCGAATGTCACTGGGGATGCTACAGAGCGTCAGCAAGGGGGCGAGGAGGGGGAGAGACAGGGGGGGAAGCGATGCGCACCAGACTTGGCAGCGCCGGCCGAGTTGCGTGGTATGTTGATGCCATCCTTTATGGACACGCCCTGGCCGAGGGTGCTCGGACGGCGCGAGTGGGTCGGGTGAGAATTTGAGGAGGTGCCATTTGGGGAGGTGACGTTGGCGGGGGCAGGGGACTGCGAGCGCGAGGAGGATGCTGTCGATGTGTGCGGAGGAGGGCCCCGAGCCCAGGCAGACTTTGACGGAAGCTGGGAAGGAATCTTTGGTGCAGTTGCAGTAGAAGATTTGCTCATTCTGTGCGGAGACAAGGAGCGACGAGGGGGGTGAGCGAGGGTCGCAGGAGGAGGGAGAGGTGGAGAAGGGTTGAGCGCGGGCACGGCGGATGCCTGCCCTGGCGACGACAGGAAGAGGAGTGTGGCATGCCGTGCAGCCGATCCCTATCCTGACACGCCGGACCTTGGCACAGCCCACGACGCCGCATGTGCAGCGACGATAAATGGGGAAAAATCGAGGTAAAATGGCAGCGACGCCGGGGGCGGGGAGGGGGGGAGGGAGGGAAGAAAAAGGAGATGAAAAACGCACGAACTGGCGAGCTTGAGCTGTCGAAAGCGAACTGATTTTTGTGGATCTGGGGCGCGTGCGGTTGGGTCTTTTCGAGAATTGACCTGCCAGCAGGCGAGCTAACTAGCTACGGGGTGGGTGAAGAGGAGGGGCGGGAGGATGGACGAGCAGGTCCAATCCAGAGTCGGTCCTGATGCTGGACGTTGACGAGCAAGAGCACGTCCGCCGACCACCCGCGAGAAACTCATGTGCCGCGGCCCCGGCCACCCTGTCCTTGGACCCGGGGACCCCGACCCACCGCGCTCCTCTGTCATTCCCCCGCCCGCTGCTGCACGGCCATGCTCCCGCCGTCCGACCCCGACGCCCCCGTCCGCGCCACAGACACAGACGCCGCCCTCGCACGCCTCTCCGCCGTCCGCAAGCGCTACCTCGACGACCCCTACATCGCCCCGCTCGTCCCCCGCCCCCACCTCCAGCCCCCGCGCCCCCCGCTCATCAACGTCGGCACCTACCTCCGCGCCCGCGCCATCGATGCCCTCGTCGACCGCTGGATCCGCGCCGCCCCCGCCCACTCCGCCGTCCAAATCGTCAGCCTCGGTGCAGGCAGCGACACGCGCTTCTGGCGCCTCCAGGTGCGTCCCCCGCCGCCGCCGCCGTCATCGTCACCACAGCGCTGACCGCCCCGCATCGCCCTGCCCCACAGACGGGCCCCCACGCACACCGCGTCGCGCGCTACCTCGAGCTCGACTTTCCGGAGGTCACGTCCAAAAAGGCGATGGCCATCCGCAAGAGTCCGCTCCTCAGCGCGCCGCTCGGCAGCCCCGAGTCCGTCTCCCTCGGTCAGCCCGCTCTCTCTCCGTCGCGCCCTATGCACAGATCTGAGCCACTTCCCCCCCGATCCCGCGATCTAGCCGCAGGCGGCACCGCGCTGCGCTCCGACGTATACAACCTCCTCCCGGTCGACCTCCGGCTCCCGCCCGAAACGAGCCTCGCGTCCGTCCTCACCACGGCCTCCCCCACGTCCCCGCCCTTGCTCTCTCCGCACCTCCCCACGCTCCTCCTCTTCGAATGCGTGCTCGTCTACATGCACCCCTCCGCCTCCGACGCCCTCATCCGCTGGTTCGCGGACTACTGCACCGGCCCCAACCCCAGCCCCAGCCCTAGCACGGGATCCAACTCAAACACCGGCGCCCTAGGCTGCATCGTCTACGAGATGTTCGGCCTCACCGACGCCTTCGGCCGCGTCATGCTCAACAACCTCCGCGTAAGCGCACATACCCCTCTCTCACACGCATACCCTTGTCTCACACACATACCCTCGTCTCACCCACCTCCACCCCATCTCTTCATTCCCCCCCGTCCGCGTCCCCGCAGTCCCGCGGCGTCGCCCTCCCCGGCGCAGACCCCTACCCCACGCGCGCCTCCCTCCCGCAGCGCTTCCTCCGCCTCGGCTTCTCCGCCGCCCACGCACTCACCCTGCGCGAGATCCGCGCAGACTACACCCCCCGCCCCGAGCTCGAGCGGTGCGCCCCTTCCCCTATCTTTCATTATATATATATATATATATATATTCATCCTTTTTTATTTTATTTTATTTCTAAATATTCGCTCCCCCGGATCTGAACACAAAAAGCCTCTCGACCCTCGAGCTCCTCGACGAAATCGAAGAGCTCGACCTCGTCCTCGCGCACTACGCCATCACGTGGGGCATCAAGCTCCCCGGCGCCGGCCCGGATCCTGGTACCGACTCCATCGCCGACTCCAACGCCGAAGCCGCCGACGCCGCGCGGCCCCAGCCGGCCGCATGGCTCGCGTGGGGCCTCGACGCGCACCCTGCGCGCCCCGCGGGCGCGGAGGACGAGTGAGCTGCGAGCGATCCGCACGGACCACGCGCCGGCCTGCGCTGACTGCACAGCACTGCACAGCACCTGCGGTACGCCGCGGCCCGCCGTATATACTACATATTACTGCGAGTATCCTACGCTATACTGCGCCGGTGGATGTGGGTCTACTCGTGTGGGTCGATGTGGGTCGGCGGGTACATCGCCCGGTTGAATGACACTGTACGAGACTGTGCTACGACGCACGATTTATTTTGCGTGGGGCGTGTCCCCGCGAGGCCGTGTACGTACGCACGCACGCACGTACGCAGTAAGCAGGAGGGCTGGCGCGTTATGTCCGTCGCCAACGCACGCAGACGCACGCACGCTCGCTGGCAGGTTCGATCGCGGCGCTCGGCGCTCGGCGCTCGCCAATCTCAGCCGCTCACGCTCGTCGACAAGGCCCGAGCAGCCCCTCCTTTTGTTCTATATGTATGCATGCATGTATGTATGTATGTATGTAAGCGCGTAAGTGCCGTGGGTGCGACGGACCACGACGTCTACGTCTACGTCCACGTTCCGAGCACGTTCCGCGTATCTTAGACGCGGCGCGCGGAACGCTTACTCCGGTTGTTGTCGTTCCCGTTTCTCGCTGCTGTGCAGTCAGTGCTGGAGGGGGGCGCGCACCTGCTAGCTCCTGGCGCTCGCGGACTATCGTGCACGCGCGCGCGGGGCACCTGGACGAGCGCCGCGGCCGTGAGCTAGGCTCCCGGCTCTCCGGAGGTACTCGTACTGTCGCACATGTAAACCTAAGGCAACCCAGTGGCAACTCACGAAAGATCGATTCGAGAACTGATCACCACTACAGTAATCATTGATCAACAGTAACTTAAGTGCAATGAGCCGATCTGCCGCGATCGCGGCCTGCATACGACCCGTACATACACACGTATATAGCGACACGGACAAGAGACAAGAGAGACGAGTATGTGGGGCTAGGTATATCAGTGCGAAGCAGCGCACGCATCGGCCTAATACCGCGCACTCGACGACGGGCCACTGCACGTCGCCCGCTCCGCGGGGTTCTCGCACACCAGACACTCGCCCTCGCTCGCTGCGATCTGCATCCCAGGGCCCGACGCAACAAACCCGAACTGGGCAGGTGCCGGCGTCGCCCTCGATCAGGCCCACGCGGCGTCGCGCGTCGGCCTAGGTCCTAGGAGCGAGGCGGAGCGCGTCGAGCGCCGCCGGCAGCCCGTCGGGCATGTCCACGCACAGCGACGCGAACTGCAGCAGGAACGCGCGGTCGTACCTGGAGCGCACGGCGGACGGGCAGGTGGGGCTCAGTCCGGGAATCTGATGCGCGCAGAGACGGCGTGGACGCGGGACACGCACCGGAACTTGCCCTTCTGCGCGTTCCGGTTGAGCGCTGCCAAGGGGCGCCGCACGCCCGCGGGGTACGGGATCGCCTTGATATCGTCGATGAACCGGGCGGTGGCCAGAGCGGAGGGTGTGCGCGGTGCCGACAGCGGCCGCGTGACGGCCGCGGGCCCTGCGTGGACTCGATATTCCAGGCTGGGCTCTAGTTCGCTGGGGACGAAGGCGGGCGCGTGCGCGCTGAGACGACGAGGGCTGGGGCCCGGCCGCACGGTGGCGTTGGCGGCGTAGGACGGGGACGCGGTGTTCCTGTGCGGAGGGAGCAAAGGGCCCTGCTCCGCGTGCTGGTCCCATTCCAGCACGCACGGGATGAGCTGCTCCGCGGGCATCGCGTGCCCAGCGCCCTGCGGGACGACGTCAGCGGCGATCGGCGCAGCCCTCGGGGCCTCGGCGCCGCAGCGCGCAAGCACACGAGCGAGCGGGCAGGCAGACTCACGTTTCCCATGCGCACCCAGACGGGCGCCAGCGTGCGCGCGGTGCTTCCCGCGCGTGTGCGGGGGGGCTGGGGATGAGGGGTGGACCTGGCGAGGCGAGCGCGCGGTTTGCCTGCGGATAAGACCGCCTTGGGCGGCCGCGACCACGCCAGCAGCGACGCGGGAGTGGGCGTCGGGGCGTCGTCTATCGAGCCAAACGTGACTGGACACCCCCGATATCGTCAACACGGCCCATGTCGTGCATATGGGACGCGGGCTCGAGACGCACCGGGTTTGGCGGCGCTGGTGCTGCGTGGGACGCTGAGCCCGTGTTGGATGGATACGCCCTCTGCTGGCGCGCGCGATCGGCGAGGGTGCGTCGAGCGTAGATTGGCCGCTGCACCGGGCGTGGCGCTGGGAGGCCTGGGCGGCTGCTGAGACGACGATGTTGCCAATATAGTACGAGGAGGGCCGCGGGCCCAAGCCGACTTCGATGGAACTGCACTAGAAAAGGTGTTCATTGTGTCAAGTAGTGTCAGGAAACCCTTCTGCTGAGTGAAAGGTCGTAGTATGAGAGCAGGCGATAAGGCTATCGACACGTTCAAGCCTTATAACGGCTTCAAGATTCAATGGAAGACACGAGTTCAGCTGCGCCGAGCAGCGAAGCGCGCGTGGAGTGGACCTAGACGCGCTCTATGCACAGAACATATTTTTGCAATTTTATGGAAGTGGGCATGATACCACGTACGAAACGTGTCGTGCACTCGAATTGTTCGCCAATGAATGTCATGTGCGTGTAGATTTCAACAATACAAGAGAGAAGGGGGAACGCATGTCTTCGTGCACGTGTTCTCTCGAAGAAATAACGAACGAAAATCGAGGAGCCCTTGGGAGCGGGTGAGACAATTGATCATAGGGCAGAGGCAGAGGCTACGAACACGCCTCCGTGACACCAGCGCGAAAATCGGTAACAGTCCGTCCGGGCTATAATTCGGGAACATATACCGCGAATACCATCTAGTATCACACAGTTCGAGGCAGAGGGCATCCGACGAGTTCAAGTTGTCGAGCTTATTTTGCAGATCGACATGAACTGAAAAGGAATCCAGGGTTATATCTACATCAAACGAGAAGACAGTGACCATTAGACAATAGGCATATACTCTCGAACGATGCGATGATGCGGGGAGGACATGAACATACCATAACTTATCTCTTCCGTTAAGCGGCACTGCGTTCGTCCTCTTCAGTATGGAGATCTGATAGCTCGTGTCGTGGTCCATCCTGCTCAGCTGCCATCTCCTCAACGGTGTGCTCGAGAGACTGGTTAACATCATTGTCGGCCGGCTTCGTCACAATCTCACTGTTCTGCTTTTCCATATCTCTCATGGCAGCGGCGGCAACAGCATCGGCAGCAGCCTTCAAGGCGGCGTCGGCAGCAGCAACGGCAGCACCGGCAGCATCGACAGCGGTAGCAAAGGCACGATAGGCAACAGTGTCGGCACGAATGGCGGTAGCAACGGCATGACGGGCAGCCACGTTGGCAGCGCGCGCAGCCATAGCGGTAGCAATGTCGGCAGCGGGAACGTTTATCTTTTCACTCGCGGCAGCCTTTTCGGAGGCCTCATTGTCCGTGTCCGTGGCAGCACCGTTGTACTTCTCTAGCCAGTCCTTAACTCCCTGCAGCCGCGTTGTTTCAACCTGGATCGCATTTAAACGCTTGCGCTCCGCCTTTAAACGCTTGCGCTCCGCCTTCGAAGGTTTGAGCCAACGAGCCAACGTAGGCGGCTGCGGGCCGTGATATGAGAATGGAAGCATCGCCCCGGTGAATGGGACAGATTGACTGAATGGTGCATAGAATGGATAAAGTCGGAGTTGCGGGAGAGTCACATACGGCCCCCATCCGGGAGAAACGTCAGGCCGTAACATAGGCACTGTGGGCCCAGGGGGCTGCGAAACAGAAACAGATATATCCATCAACGAGGCGTTTCATTGCGCAGCGGATTTACTCACGAAGTACCCTTCTTGCCGTGTATACGCCGTGGGAGGTACACCCGCAGGATGTCCTATAGGCGAAGGTGTCGAAGGAGGCAAAGGAGTCACTGAAGATGTAGCGGTGTGAAAGGGTGGTGGGGGTCGGTAAGGAGGGGTTTGAGCTAGAGATGCAGATACTTCAGTGGGAACGGGCATCTGTGGGCGAGATAGGAATGGAGGGACATGAGGACATGTTGATGTTGATGTTGATGGAAGACTGGGGGGAGTCCTTGGGGGGGATTCGAGATTGAATCCTTTCATTCTAGAAGAGTGTCGGAAAAAAAAGTTCAATGAAGAGAGAGACAGAAGGTCGAACAGGTAAGTCGACCAACTACTGAGACACTCTTATACCAGGCTCGAAAAATCGATGGCAAGGAAGCGAGCATTACGCAGCTGCTGTGCACAATGAAGTGCGCATGAATCAAGGCTGCGACCTTTGCGCAGAGAAGAGCTTCGCGGATAGTCCCATATAGAAAGAAGAGGCATGGGACCACGTACGAGTGACACTGCGCACTCAATTCTACTACCCAATGAACGCTGCCTACGTATAAATTTTCAACAATACAGGATGTCACATGTGTGCGTGCGGGTGAGTATATACGATGTCGATGAGCGAGACTGGGGTACTGAATGGAGCATAAGGCACCTATAAATAGAGAAGAGAGAAAGAGAGAAGATCAAAGGGCTACAGAGTATATCACGATCGGCGGACGTACATGGCGAATTATTAGAAACTGGCAAGAACAAAATAACGATTAGTGCGAGAGTCTCTCCAAAAACAAACAAACTTGGCCGACAGAAGAAAAAGCAAGGTAAGAACAAAGGCGTGCAGATCCAATACAAAAAGAGGTTCACCACCGAGAACGAAAATTAAGACGCGGGAATGCCGACCCGCATCCGACACACCTATCACAACACGACCATCGTCGGTCGCGCCACTGCCACATACGCCGGCGGCGCCTCCCCGCTCTCGCTCTGCTGCCCCGTGATCAGGCGCTCGTATACGACGTTTTGGTCGAACAATGTCCCAACGCGCGAGTGGGGAGCGGCAGTAACCTCAGCGAGCGATGCACCTGAGTCGCTCGACATGCGCGAAATGGTGCGCTCGAGGAGCCCGGAGGATGGCGGCGACGGAGGGACGACGGATTGCTTGCGACGCTTGACAGGGCACGCGCAGGAGCGCACCTGTGGGAAAGACTCCTCGAGCGCCTCAGAGTACCGCGGGAGAGACGTGTGTTCCGAGTTGCACAGGCACTGCGTAGACGCCTGTAAGTCCGCCCATGGCCAAAGGCATGAGAAAACAAGGGCTTACAGAGAGGATGTGTACCGGCGTCTGCACGACGATATCGAACAGCTTCCGCTTGCCGGTCTTCGGATCGATATGCAGATCGTCCCCACGCTCGACCCGAATAACGATCTTGAGCGTGTGTGCGATCTGGATGTTACTCTTCCTGTTCTTATTCGTGAAATGCAGCAGTCCACACGCGGTCGGTAGCTTGAGCGTCGTGTGAAACGACCACGGGCCAGGGCCCATCAAGCTCGATGCCATTTCTGACGCGTCGTCATCGGGCCCAAGCAGTGCGTGTAGCGGCGAGTCCATGAACGCGAGAGGGTCATCAGAGACGAGCGGGAGGATGGAAGGACCATTCTTGTCCGCGTTCTTGAGCATGAGGAGCGCGAACCGGTTTGTTTGCTCGGACCGTGCGGAGCGCTTCATTTGCACATAGTAGTCTACTCGCTCTACAACACGCACATCAGACGAATGAGATTAGTCAGAACAATGTCGATGCGCACCCTCAAGGATCACGGATAGACGGTGAATTTTCATCTTGGCCATGGGCAAGAAGCTCATGTGAATAGGTATCGTGCCCCCAATGTGGAACATCCTGCCGGAGATGGAGAGCAGGTATTGCAACTGATTATCCCAGAACCGCTCAACAATGATGTTCTCTGTATCCTCTGTGTCGTCGTCGCTGGGGGACGCAACGATCACGACGTCTCGAAGTGCAGTCAATTTCGTGGTGAACGCGCCCGGTCGATGCACCTGTGCTTTGAGCCGCCAAGACACTGATCCATAATCGCATTCCAATGAAGGAGGCATATTCAATGGAATCGCAAAGGATATCGGAAACGTGTACGTCCCTGCAGTTCCACGTGATCATGAGCACCTACCAATAATGAGAAGTCAAGAGAGCGTACCAGCCTTATACTCCCTCCAACCATCTCCAAACTCCTTGTGCTCCTCGAGGTCCAACCCAAGCACCTCCCCCACCTTCCCAAACGCCGTCGTCGTTTTCTCCTTCGTATGATACAGATGACTCCACGTCGACTCCTTCTCTTTCTCCTTCTCCTTTCCCTTCCCCTTGTCAAACGTCCGTCCCCGACTCGCCTCCCGCTGATCCACGCTCGCACCCCTGTCGAACGTCCTCGGCGAGCTCGACCTCACCCGCTCCTTGACCGCATCCAGAATCACATTCGACACCGCGCTCAGGCTGAACCTCGCGACCTTGCGCCCGCGATCCGTGCTCGGCTCCCGCGACCCACGAACGGGGGACACCGGCATGGAGCGCTCCGCGGCATGGGAATGCAGGTCCTCATCAATACTGACGGGGCGTGAAAGCGATGTATCAAGGTGGGAGCGGAAACTTGACGCCGACGACTCGGCGGGCCTCATCCGTGAGCGCGAAGACGGACCTGCAACATGCATCATGTTCAACGAGCCATACATACATATGACAAAAAGACCGTGTGAGATCCTCTAATAATGATATAAAAAAACGTACGTGACTGGGACCGGTTCGCGTCTCGTGGAACGAATTCGAGGTCGCTCGGGATCTCCTCCATTCTATGCAGTGGGAGGAAATGGCTTGTGGACGAGCGTCCACTGCGCGGCGTCGGCGGGACCGAATCTATCGCGAACGCGGGCTGGCTCGGCGGGGAGAGCATCGGCGGTGTATAGAGTGGGGTCGGCGAGCGCGAGTTCGTCCGATGCAGGACAGGGTCGCGTTGGAAGATGGTCCGGTCGGCACTCAGGCGCCGTCGCGCCGTGTCCCTTCCACGCCGCACAATTTCGTCCACGCCGCCTGCGCCATCAGGAGCGTGGGTTTGACGGCGTGGCACTCCTGTGAAATAGTCGCGCGAACGGTCGCGCGTGCTATCAGGATCGTGATCGCGTTCTGGGGAACTGTCGGTGTGCTCGAGCTCATCTCGGTAGAAAGACAGGCCTGGCCCAACGGAGAGGGCACGTCGGATGGACGAAGACGGCGTCGAGGGCGCACGAAAGAAAACTTGTGTGGCGGAGAAGATTTTATGTTCTTCTGTCACTTCCGTGCGCCGTGCGCCAACACCTACGACGCTAGGTGTAAATGAAGCATGCCCGATCCCAGGAAGTAGTGTACATACCTTCCGGCCAGCTTGTCGCAGATTTCCCCTGAAGCTCTATTTCGATACTTGAAATCCTCGTGGGCTTGACGAGGTTCAAGGTCAACAGCCCGCGCAAGAGCGCCGGAGACACATCGCTCGCCGAGTGACGCCTGCCAGTAAAGTCTGAGGATCGTAAGAAAACAACAGATTCGGTGAGGCAGATAGAAAGATTGTTCTTGTGCGTCTTGGTGGTCATTATGGTATCGTGGAATTGCCAACAGAGTGTGTGGTGTTATTCTCGAGCGATGCTCTGGGCTGTGAGATAGCACTGAAAATCAGGGACGTTGTTGGGCGCTGTGGTGCGATGTGCGGAAGAGGAGGTGAGCAAGAGGGTGCTATCTAGAACCGAATGAACAGGCCATGGCCTAAGAGAGCGCGGGCCAGGCACACCCGGACAAGGAGGCTGGATCCGAGTGCCCATGGCAATCTAGGGCAATTTGCAGCTTCCGTGTTCCGTCGTCGAGAAAAATGAAGAGAAATTGCGTCTTTTGCGTCATCCCATGCGAGTCCATGCACATGCGTCGGCCCTGCAGCTCGTGGCGTCCGCGTCGTCCCGGACGTAACGTAAAATCTTAGTTCGTTCGAGCTTGCTCGCAATGTTTCTTCGTCGGTTCTTTACCAGAATTGCACTGAACTCATGCTCATTGTCTTGACCAATATCTGGCAATCGGCTCAGCATGTGCGAAAAAGGGATGAAAAAAAGAGGGATTTTTTTTGCTTAGTCATGTTCGTGACAGTTCATACACGTGACCCGACGCGTACACGCGTCTGCATCTCGCAGGAGTTCACAGGGAAAATATGTCTTGCAGAGAACTCAGACTGACGGACTCACCGCGTCAACAGACGCTCTGACATGAGAGCTCGCAAATTGGAACGAGAAAGACGCACCTGGATGCAATACCCAACAGTACCCAACACTTCCATTGACTAAGGAATAGGAACAACAGCGCAGCCCGGAGATCCTTCCAATAATCACTCACCATCCGGTCCATCTCCCCTTCATTACCTTGCCACCGGCCAGTCCCCGTCGGCCTACACCGACGATCCCCGAAACACACATGGATGGGAGCGATCATATTACATCACAAACAAGACCGGATTCCACATTCCCACTCCAGACACATCGAAAGCGAGAGCCAGGCGGTGTGCAGAATGGAATGGAAGACAGAAGAAATACGTGTTCAGCTTTACCGAGCACGCGAAGAGATGCTATCGAACGGGGGTGTCCAGCAGCTCCTCGTGCACGTTGAAGTGCCTGCCGGTCAAACGTTCAGCACAGCTGCCAACGTGCGCGCGCCTCCAGAACAGAAAAACGACCGCTCACCTGACCACTTGTCCCACCGCCCTGCAATTTCCCTCCCCGTTCTCCGCCCACGTCACCACCCACCGCCCAAGCACATTCCCCTTCGCGTCCGTCGTCTCCGACACCGTCTCCTCCGACCCCACCGCCGGCATGCGCGCCTCGCCGCTCGGCAGCTGCACCGCGCTCGCGAGCGACCATCGCGCGAACGGCCTAGTTGCGTCCTCCAGGAATGCCGGGTCGTAGACACGCGTGACCCGCGAGTGCAGCGCGAGCGTGAGCGTCGTGAGCTCGAGCACTCCGTCCGCCGCCCCACGGTGCATCGCGGTGACGTACGGCTGCCCGCACCAGCTCACGAGCGCGGTCGACACGCCGCTCGTGCCGATCGCGATGCCTGCAAGTGCTGCGCGGGCCGAGAGCGGGAGCCCCGACTCAATGATGAAAATGAAGGGCGAGAGCAGGAAGGAGAGCGTGAGAGAGGACAAGGAGAAGATCTTGAGGCGCTTGAATGTGGGCGCGAGCGGGCCTTGATAGATGAGGGCCAAGCTTTCGGGTGCGTCTGTCGTTGGGGGAGAAATGGTAGGTTTGGACGAGAGGGTGGTGGTTGAGAGAGGAGAGGCGGCTGTAGTAGAAAGTGCGCGCAGGGTAGTAAGGTGTTGGCGGTATGGAGCATGGTTAGAATTTCTCAGCAAATGGTGTGCTATACTCGGTATCGGTAAGACAGTGCAGTGCTTCATTGAATGCAGAGATGCTGTCCATCTCATTGTCGATGCTGGAAGAAGTGGGTGGTACATCTACGGTGTTTTCGAAGCTAGTGCAAGTAGGAGAGAGCGTGTGAGTAGCGTGCACTGTGTATAAGGCGGAAACTGCGGCACCTTTCTGCACCTTTTTGAAAGCCGCACTGGCGCGTCCGAACGGCAAGCTTCACGGTTGGGAAGCGGAAAGCAGCTTGCTAGTGTGCAGCTTATTATTTCGGCAGGATTGCGTGCCTCGGAGTCCGGAAGAGCCGGGATCTCGTCTCATACCCAGTGACGCCTCGATCGGCCGAGCCAACCATCGAGCTCAAGTTTGAACAATTTGGAGGCTTGATTCATTTCCAAGCTCCAAGGGAGGTCAACGCTGTCAACGCTCGGGACAGTACAATGTACATACTTACTTCAACAACCGTAAGCTGGAAAAACAAGACATACAAGCCTGCGCCTGCCATTATGTTGTAATTTACCAAGACTCGAGCATGTAGACGTACAAAATCTCAATTATCCTTAAATTCATAGTCATTGTGAGTCAAATCAATTTTCTGACATTCTTGTCGAGTGGTTGGTCGCTTCGATGAACGAGTGCAGAGTCTTTCGGAGTTTCAACATTTGGAGAAAGTCTCAGCGTCGCGCGACGCGCTTGACCTCGATCATCTTCTGATCTTGCGTCCTCTGGCGCTATGGACCCTCCCATATATTATCCTAAAGCAGAATTCATCGAAACGGTGCGTCCAGCTGTTGTGGACTGCCGTCCGAGTATGAGGGCCAACTGGGAGCCTAAATGAAGGACACAGGCAACAAGGTATCTCGCCGAGCGACGATCGCAGGCCCTCAGAACATCATCCTCGGAGGCAAGACAATCATCTCCAGCGGTGCGATCATCCGGGGCGACTTGAAGCGCACTGGCCCAGGACATGCAGTCGTCATTTCATTAGGACGATACTGCCTTGTGGGAGAAGGTTGTGTTATGAGGTACATCCTTGTGGCCTTCGTTAGGGTGCATGCTGACCGCAGGCTCGGTGCAGACCGCCCTACAAGACATATCGGGGGAACTTCAACTATTACCCTATGAAGATCGGAGACCATGTCCACATCGGGGCGAACTCAGTGGTCGAGGCTGCCACCATAGGGAACCACGTCGAGATCGGAGAGAACTGTGTCATTGTGAGCCGACTCAGCGCGTCCTCGGTTTGTGCCGTGCCCTGATATCTGCGTCGTCCTAGGGCAAGTTCGCCATCATCAAAGACTGTGCCAAAATCGCAGATAACACGATCGTGCCACCAAACACTGTCATCCCCGCTCTTGCGCTCTTTGCTGGATCGCCTGGTTAGTAGATAAGGCTTCAGATTGACTTGATCATACTTATATCTCAATGTTGGGCCAGGTCACTTCGTGGAAGATCTGCCCGAGTCTACGCAAGAGATCGTTGAAGCGCAAACAAAGCAATACTATACCCGATTCCAACCCCTGGACCGCTGACAACACCCACACCCATCCTCGCCTGCACATCGTACTCTATACTCGCTTAATGTACCAATATTCGCGTTTCTCTCTGCACTCGATGAAGCAAGGTCAGTTGCACTACCCTCACTTGCTGTACATGACGCATCATAGAAGTCAGGCACTGATACCTGGACCACTAGGAAGATCATACTGTCTCAGTAGGATTTCTAATATATTTTCTCTTGAAATTATGAAGCCTCTTCGCTCTTGTTGTGAGTATCCGCAACTCCGTGGGTTTGTGATCGGCTCTCTCTTGACTTGGCTTGAGTATCCAGGTCGGTCTTGTACGACCTCCTTCCACATGACTGGTCATTCTTGGACATGATTCATGAAATAAGGATATCCGGTGAATAGCAAACAGAAGATCCTATCCAGAGCGGTGCCCGTGCCGTCGAAGGTGCTATCATGATTGTTCGTAAGAGATGAGGGAACAACGCGTACGCGAGTACCCTATGATCGCTTGACGTCACACAGGCATTTCATCCGCCACTACATTGCTGCAACAAGGAGACCATGAGGGACATACAGGAGTGATCATGGCAAGGACGAAAAAAAAACGGAATAACTACTGAGCGGGGGGGTGGGGGGCTGTAGTGGGGATACGAGATAAAACCAGAACCGAATATATGCGCCAGTGGGGGTGATGCGATGTAGGACGTGAGTAATGTACGAGAGGTCATAACGATGCGAAGGGTACTTTTAAGCAAGTGCTCTATGAGTGAGTGTAGGGTGGACATGCAGATAAAAAGCGATGAGACGAATCGAAGACGTAAGGTGCAGAGCGATCATAAGGTAAGTCGATGAGATGCGAAAGAGTTCCAAAAGAGAGAAGGCTAAAACATGGAAAAAGGCATTTAATCCTTCTTCTCCGGGTTTTCAGTACTCTCTGATGAAGACGAGGCGTTGTTTTCCGCGTTACGCTTCTCGTAGACCTACAGAGAATTGTAAGACTGAGGAAATCAAGAATACGAGTCGTAAACGAACCTTCTGGAAAAGACCAAGCGAAGCCTGCTGAGCCTCGTTGATCTTCTCGCGGATGGCATCGGCAGTAACAGATTCGTCACCAGCCTGACCTTTGACGGCGAGCTCACGAAGCTCAACGAGGTGCTTGGTGACCTTCTCCTTCTCGGTAGCATCCAATTGGTCTTTGAACTCGGTCATCGCTAGCAGAGAAATGAGAAAACGTTGCAACAAAAAAAGCTACCCTAACGTACCTTTCTCAGTGTCAACGCACACAGACTCAGCCTTGTTCGACTCTTCAATGAGGTCCCGACGAGCCTTGTCGGCCTCAGCAAACTGTTCAGCGTCAGAGACCATGCGCTCGATGTCCTTGTCACTGAGGCCAGACGAAGAAGCGATAGTCATCGACTGATCCTTGTTGGTAGCCTTGTCCTTCGCGGTGACATGTACGATACCATCTTCGTCGTGTGATCAATACACCATCAAGCATGCAGTGAACAGCAACTTACCGGCATCAATATCAAAGGTGATCTCGATCTGAGGGACGCCCTTAGGAGCGGGAGGAATACCGACGAGGTTGAAGTTTCCGAGGATCTTGTTATCCCGGACGAGCTCACGCTCGCCTTGGAATATCTTGACTTCAATCGCGGTTTGGCCATCAGCAGCGGTAGAAAAGACCTGAGACTTCTTAGTGGGGATAGTAGTGTTGCGCGAGATGAGCTTCGTCATGATACCGCCAAGAGTCTCAATACCAAGCGATAGAGGGGTGACGTCGAGCAGGAGGATATCGGTGACATTGCCGGCGAGCACACCGCCTTGGATGGAAGCACCGATAGCAACCGCCTCATCGGGATTGACACCCTTCGAGGGCTCGCGACCAAAGATAGACTTCACAGTCTCGACAACGCGAGGCATGCGAGTCATACCGCCGACAAGGATGACTTCATTGACGTCACTGGCTTTTACACCGGCATCCGTAAGAGCCTTCTTGCACGGGTCAAAGGTGCGCTGAATGAGAGGGGCGACAAGGGCTTCGAACTGCGACCGGTTAAGCTTTTGGTTGATATGCTTGGGGCCAGAGGCGTCGGCGGTAATGAAAGGCAGATTGAGTTCCGTCTGGGAAGTCGATGAAAGCTCAATCTTGGCCTTCTCCGCTGCCTCACGAATACGCTGGATGGCCACGCGATCACCGCTAATATCAACACCGTACTCCTTCTTGAACTCATCCAGAATATGGTTGACCAGAAGGACATCGAAGTCCTCGCCACCCAAATGAGTGTCTCCGTTCGTCGACTTCACTTCAAATACACCCTTCTGCATCTCCAAGATAGAGATATCAAAGGTACCACCCCCGAGATCGTAGACTGCGATGACGGAGTTATCTGTGCGGTCAAGGCCATACGCGAGCGCTGCAGCCGTAGGCTCATTGATGACACGGAGTACTTCAAGACCAGCAATCTGACCAGCATCCTTAGTCGCTTGTCGCTGTGCGTCGTTGAAGTAAGCAGGAACAGTGACAACCGCGTGGCTGCAGAAAATAATGAGGGGACAAAATTAAAAGTGAACATTTTGGTAACGTACTTGACTTTCTTGTTCAGATACTGTTCGGCAGTGTCACGCATCTTGGAAAGGACCATCGACGATAGTTCTTCGGCGGACTAGGAACAGATAATGAATGAGCATATACTTTCCTCAACTGGCGCTCAACGAGACAAGCTACTCACAAATTGCTGCTTCTTCCCTCCCAACTCAACCTCGACAGCTGGTCGACCATCAGATTTGGCCACGAGCGTAAATGGCCTGCAATGTCAACATCAGTGAGAGGAACGTCACAGCATACTCAATATGACTCACCAGTGCTTCTGGTCTTCCTTCACCTCTTTGTCATTGAATTGGCGACCGATCAACCGTTTGAAAGCAAAGACAGTGTTCTGGGAGTTGACAACTGCCTGACGCTTGGCTGGAAGGCCGACCAGACGCTCCCCGTGTTTTGTGAACGCGACAACGGACGGTGTTGTCCGTGCACCCTCCGCGTTCTCAATCACACGAGAAGTCTTGCCCTCCATGACGGAGACGCAAGAGTTCGTCGTACCCAAATCAATACCGACCACCGGGCCTATGATGCAATGTCAATAACTGGAGGATATGGTATGCCAGCAAGACTTGCCGGAAACTTTTGAGTTCATGTTCCTCGCAATAAGCGACCGCGGAATGCCCTATGACGGCGTCAGCTGATTACCACTCATGAAGACAAGGCTCGCGTACGGCATAGTTGCCAGTGCGAGCAACAGAGGCACGGAGGGAACGCGCAGCGGTGAACATAGTGAATGAGGTGGAAGGGTGAGAAAGAGGATGATGTGGAGCTTCGAAATTTTTGTGCAACTTCGCCAGCGAATGATTACGTAATACATATCATGTGATCAGCATTCGAAATTTCCGGAACGTTCCTCCCACCAACTATTCCCCTTTTCTCTCCAACCACTTCATAAGACTCTTTCGCAACAAGACGAAACTCGTACTCTCTAATTTATTTGCCTGTTGGAAGGGATCGTACTGGAAACTCAACATGGACAGGACGTTCATCGCGATACATCGCATCGCATGCTATGCTCCGATAATAGACGCGACGAATCTCGGCTTGGCGGCTCCGAGCCGGCTACCCCGCATTACCGGTCAAGTGCACTCCCCGCATTTTGTCTCTTGCTCTCGCGACTTGCTCTCTTTCAAGAGTCAACTCTACCTTCCTCCACTTTGAAGAAAACATGGTCACCAACAAGAAGATTGGAGGCGAGTTTGGCGAAGTTCGCGCTGTCATCGATGTCGAACAACTCAATGCTTACATCGGAAGGAGCGTTCCGTCGATCAAAGCTCCCCTTGAGGTGAAACAGTTCAAGGTCCGTGTAGTTTATTACCATCCTAACAGTGGCTCTCATTCGAAGAATTGCAACAGTTTGGGCAGGTGATTATGACCTTTATACTTAGTAGCGAGCCTATAATCATTCACCTTCCAGTCAAACCCCACATACTTCTTGACAGATGCTAGGTGGGTTCGTATCAACTGTGTTATGCAAAGCGTTGCTGAGGTTTGAGTCATTAAAAATCTAACAGCGGCACTCGCTTCGTCCTCCGGAAAAAACCTGCAGGTCAGCTTCTATCAAAAACCGCGCATCAGATTGAACGCGAATACACCATCCTTCACGCAATACACGAGCATAATGTCAGCCCGTCGACATCAGCATCTCAGCGCGTTCCTGCACCAGAGCCTATCATTCTATGTGAAGACATTTCAATTATCGGCACGCCTTTCTACATCATGGAGTTTCTAGACGGACGCATCTTCACAGACGTGCGCATGCTTGAGGTATCGCCAAGCGACAGACGCGAATGGCAAGTTATGAATCTGCCTCTCAATTATGACTGTCTGTGATAACAAAGCTACTTGCTCAGCTGGCTATCAGCTGTTCAATCTCTCGCTGCCCTGTCATCCCTTGACCCAGCAGCACTTGGCCTCTCAAACTTCGGGCCTTCGACTGACTACTTTCCTCGACAAATCAAGTCCCTCACATCTGTCTCTGTTGCACAGTCACAAGCTGTCGATATAGAGACAAATGAGCCAACGGGAATGATACCTCAATTCGACGAGATGGTGCGATGGTACCGGCAGAACCTGCCTGACGAGAAGAAGACGGGACTGCGAATTGTCCATGGAGATTATAAACTCGATAACATGATATTCCACCCCACTGAAAACCGCGTTATCGGAATTTTGGATTGGGAACTATGTACACTGGGCAGCCCTGTAGGAATTTTCTGATTACAGTCTTTGATCCACCTTGCTCACTGTCTTTTTCGGATCTCATTCATCAGTTGGCAGACCTCGCAAACTTGACAACATCTTGGGCCATAGACATCTCTAGCATCAAAGGCGTAGACGCCAACAAGTTTACTTTGATGCGTGGCTTCAAGAACACCACCAAGGACGTTCCTATTGCTCTAGAAGAGCTTGAGCGCGAATACTGTCGTCTCACGAATCAGCCATACCCGATTATTGAAATGCTATTCGTCCGTAGCTGGATGCTATTCCGAGTACGTTCTTGCTCAGGGAAATCATTCATCTCGTTCTAAAGTCGTGGTCCGCGCGTTTTAGCTGGCAATCATATCGCAAGGCATAGCAGCTCGGTATGCCCGCCGCCAGGCCAGCTCCGAGCAGGCCTACATCCAAGGGCAGATGTTCCCGATCGTCGGGAAGTTGGCTAGAGCAGTTTTGGAAGACGGAGGTGTTACTATCACAGCCCAATCAAAGCTGTAAGTAGCAGCCGGACTGCACGGCTATCTAGTGGGATTCTCTGCCCTCAGTGTATCTAGATAGAATTTGAACTGGCACGGACAACAGTATATGACCATACCTTCAAAACGCGTTCATAGGTCATTGTACGTGAATTGAGGAGCAGTATGTTGGCATGAGCCCTTAGAAACCGCCAGGAAATCGCGCGTCTGCTCCATTTTCCAACCCCTCATCACTAGCTCTTCCATAGTCTACAACTTGACTTATCCAGTGCCTTTCTGATCAATTTATCCCTTCGATTTGGCGCCAGGGCCAGACATGTCGGGACATTCTCTGGTTGTTCGACCCATAGATGATACGGTATTGGTGGCTCTGCATTCGACAATGACGCTGCTAATTTTTCCAATGTAACCAATGATGGCGTCTGAACAATTGAAAACCATTAGCAGAAATAGATAGCTGACGCTTCAAGACAAGACATACCTGCATAACAACCTGTGATAAAGTCGTATGAAAGTCTTCAAAACAGATGGAGATATCTAAGGGGGAGGAGCATCACCTTGTGCATGTTCTTCAAATCATCGAGATAATCGACCGTCTCAGGTCTCTGCTTAGTTTCATGTATAACCTACGAGTTCCTGACATCAGCCCTAGGAGTTTGAGGCGAGACACGTCGTCCAGGACTCTAAAGTGGACGAGGCAGACCAGCGACCTACCGCAACGGCTGCATGCGCTGTCTGCGCCATCAGAGGACCGACTCCCCAAGCTTCTGTCTATCCCCCTCAACTATATAAACACTTCTGAGAATGAGGATCAGGATGTGGACGAACGTCTAAAAGATCCCTTCGAACGATCAGCTGCATCACAAGGGGCTGTTTTTGCGGTGAAGTTTCTTGTGCAGCCGTTTCTAGCATCGGAAGACATACACAAGATCGTTCAGCGATCGCTGTACTGTGTCCGCTACATGACGCGGCAGTTACCTAGGCCGATTAACGAGTTGTCTGGCAGATTCACATCAGTGGAAGATGTCATGTCACCGTGACTTGAGTGGTCTCTGTGCAAACTGAAAGTTCCTGGGATGTAGTTTGGTCGGCCCCTTGTGCATGCAAGGGGTAGTGAAGAAAAACCTGAATGATAATATTGTGGGGCTCTTGAGAACGGTATAACTTTACTGCACCTGCACGCACGATGCAGAACAATAGGCGAGAACAAAGATTTGAACATATCCAGTCGACTGTTTGGACATGTACTTAAGTATATGTAATTTCGACTCCGCGAATAATTTTAAAAAATAATTACTGCACCATTATCATGAGCGGAGACGGCCGACTGCCTGGCCGCCTGTCCTGTGCACACCGTCACATCCCTGCAAACATGAAGCTTGAAGGAAGATGATGTTCGAATCTATTCTCGTACACTCTCATGGATAGCCCGGCATCGCTAGGGAACGTGCAGGAGAGGGAATAATGAGTCTTGTAAAATTCCAGTGTCTGTGCGTAATTTCTGTTGATGAACCTAGGGCATGAGGCCTTGAGGAGTCGTTGAGGCTTGTAGCCTGCGGGGAATGTTAGAGTCGTTCCGGGGCATTGCCTGCGTCACAACGAGGCAGACGCGTCCTTGCACCCCAAATCAGCACCTTGTTGAAATCCCTCCTATGACTCCGATAACATAGCAAATCGATCGCACAAGCTTTGGTGAAATCCAAAGACATACAATGTTCGTCCTGTTGGACACACGATAGGTTTGCCCGTGGGACTCACAGAGCCAGGGTATTCTGATTGCATGTCGTGGCACAAGCTAACAGAGCTACCTAGCAGATAGGAAGTCGAACTCGTAGTGAGTTGACAATTTCGTGAGCTCGTTGACATGACAGACTTATGATAGGTTTCGTTGCATCACCATCACAATACGGAGTGTTCAACAACTCTACTATTACACTACAAGACATAATGTGCACGGAAACGCATGGCAGAAACGAAAGAGGGGAACCAGAACAAGGTAGACAGAATAAATGTCTCAGGCGAAAAAAATGATATATAGTACAGGTATTACTAGGAAGAAAGTGAAGAGCTAAAATTTCTAGTTCTAGAACAAGGGTACACACAAGAAGTTTCGAAGCCATGCAGGATGCTGAAGACGACGAGTCAGGAATACAAGAGGCCAAGCTAGCCACGTAGCCGGGGCAGAGAACAAGGGGCGTGGTTGTGGCTTCGGCGGGGGTATAAATCAGAGCTGGTGCGTCCTCTGGTACATTGAGGCGCTCCACTGATCCGGTTTCCACTCGTTCATCTTCCGTCTTTCAAGATCGACGCACTTTGGACGTATCTTCACTCCGCCTGCTCTTCCTAGCAGCAGCGCGCGCCTGGTTATCGATGTGCTTCGGGGTTTTGTCGTGGCGCGCCTTGGTGTCGGTCCGCTTCGAACTCCCGCAAACCTTGCAGTAACTGTTCAGATGCCTTTCCTTTATATCATACTTCAGCATGAATGCGTCCCATCCGGCCAACTCCCGGAAGCTGGCATGGGCTTTAACGGTGCCGATGTGTCTCCTCACATCGTCTAGGCTCGTGCATGTCTCTTGGCAGCCGGGGACGAAACAAAGATATCGACCTTCCGACGTTCGCTCTGGTTTGAAGCTGGTAGAGGCCACTGACGGTCCAGCCGCCCCATGGGTTACATGGTTTGGCGCAGCCAGGGACTGGAGGTCGTCCTCTGGCTCTTCTGTGGCAAATGTATCACTTGGTGGTGATTGGACCCCCGCAGGGGTACAACCAACCTGGGATATCGCAGAGCTGTGCTCTGGATGTAAGGATCTCGTCATCCTCCTCTTGGCTCTTGGTCTCTTGTCCTCTTCTTCCGCTGGTGCTCGTCTCTTCCCTGATCTGGTAGGTTGTACACGGCGGGACACGGCAAGAGGTTTCGAGTCCTCCGAAGGAGCCGCTGCGAAATAGTGGACACGAGGGATAACGGGAGAGGATTCGGTGAAAGGGATCGTGTGAGAGGGGGTCGAGATCGAAGGTTCGAGAGACGAGTAGAAAGCGGGGGGTACACCGTTAGGAATCGATTGTATGCTCAGTGAGTAATTGCTCCGATGCGATGGGCCTGGGTTCGTGTTTTGGACTGATGGTAACAAACTTGGTGGCTGTTGGGAATAAGATGGGTGCCGCAAGGTAGGCATGAGTCCTGTGGCATAAGCATCTGGGATGTACTGACGACGCACAGTATGCCGTGCATAGCGGACGGGAAGGGAACCGGTCCAAGTCAAAGTGTTCTTGGTGTGTGTGTCCAAATATTGTGCCATATCTGCCGTGTTCGAACCTGTCCAATATGCCATAGGAGGATATATTGCGGCTTTGCAATGCTGAAGGGAAGGAGATGGTTGGTCGGGAAACGAGAAAGCGACGTTCGATGGACCGGCTTTCCCTGCCGCGAAAAAATCGTTGCTTTGGACATGGTGGAGCGAAGGAGAGAGGGACGTGTGACGAGAGAGGGCAGGATTGGAGGCAGGGTACGGAGTATACCGACGGTGGGCACGAGCGGGACTGACTGAGCGGGATGCCACAGTGTCGAGTAATTGTCGGTCGAAGGAGGGCGTTGCGGATAGGCCGTTCGTTGGTGAGTTTGATCCGGACATCATCCCGATGAATATTTGCATCTGAAGGTCTACTTCCGTGTCAAGAAACCCCGGTTGCTGTTCAGGGTCCAAAGATGTTGTTGAAGAGCGGGCATTTTGTGCATAGCAATCGTACGTGCCGAATGTCATGTCGTCAGGGAAGCCGTTGATCTCGCTCAGAGAGGCTTGCTCGGGATACTCAAAGTTAACTGAGCGGAATGACATCAGTCACGGTGCATTTCCGGGAGACGTGATGGTCAGAACTTACAATTGTGTGGCGACATCATTGTCGTTGGCAGAAGTGGGCGATTAGTGGTCAGGGTAATAGAGGCGAGTGATGGCGGTGAGGTGGTATTGAGTTGTAACAACTCGCCACGCTGACCGCCTTTTATCATCCTCCCTCCAGTGCTGGTGGTGGCTTATTTGCTCCTGCATCGGAGTCAAAGCGACCACCTCATGTCCAAGCGGTGCGGTGCGGCGGACCTTACTCCCTTGTACTTTTGTCCACAGGTGGCTTGTGGCAGCATCGCTTTCTTGCCCACGTCGTCATTGTAGGCCATTTAGAGGTATAGAGGACCAGCGGGTTGGTGGGGGGTGCCCGACCAAGGCTGTCGGGAGAGATTACGGAGCTCGAGAAGCATGTCAAGGTCCACGCGTGCGTCACCCCGATGCGCCTACGGGCTTGGATGCATTAATCATGCTGGCACGGTGGTGTGAAGGGAGGAGTGTCCCTCCAGGAGCGTCACATATATCGAACACAGCCTGACTTGTAGATATTCCGCTGAGGTGCAACACAAAGCAAGGTGTCCGTGGAGGTACAGTCAATGCGCGGCCGCGTTCCAGGAGTTCTCAGCTCTCTAGACGATGTGATTGGACGCGCCGGTGAGGATCGATCGAGTTACCGCCCGCCGCCTTGGAACTTCGCAGATGCTTCGCTCGGCCGCTCTGTTGCTATAGAAGGACGTCTGGCAGCCTCATGTCTGTGTCACCTCCGCCTCTCATCTGCTTCACAAGATTGTCCTTGTACTCGAGTGCCCAGGTGAGGGTCAGGGGCAGTGGACCCGCACTCCGCACCGACCCTACACGCCTCTTCCCCCTTCCTTACCTCAGAAGCTCCACCGAAGGCTGCGCGATCGCTGCAGCTGGATATTACATGCGAGAGGAGAAAGGCCGAGTCGACGGTGACACAAACACAAACACAAACCGATTCGTAGAACTGGGGACGAGTGTCTTACTCCTAATCTTCAACCTCGCACCACAATGACGGTCCTTCGCAAGTTGATTCGTCTTCGACTCAGTTTCAAGGAACGCGGTTTCGCAACCTTTCTTCGACACCATCAATTACTCCAGGCTGTGGCTGCCACCGCACCTTACATATTGTTTGCGGAACCTTCGTGTTTTTGCCAAATGAGAGTGCCTTGACTCTGAGGGTCATACTCAACTCGTTGGATTAACCTTTAGCGGACCAGAGAGAAATTGGTGAGAAGTTCGCACCCACATGCTGTGCAGCATACCCGCTTTCTTTGTCTTTGATCGACGCAACAAAGGGCGGGTATTTTCTTGGTGCAGTCGTTATTCTCCGATTCCCTTGTTCACCATCGATTTGGTGAAGATCATCCCCGCTGACTCTCTTAACCGGTCAGACACAGACCATGTTACGGATCGCCGATGAGAGCAAAGACACAGCAAGGAGCCCAACAGGGAACCCAACCGCTTGGGTGGCATCTTCATGGAATTCCATCTCTCACCTGCTTCTCCTCGTCTTCCGGGTCTCCCTTAACCATTTTCCCGAGTGCTTTCGTCCGGTTCTGCATGCCATCAGTTAGTAACAACTGTCGGCCGACACACTGTTGAAGTCGACGCTGTCGGAGACTGGGCATTTTGCCAGGGGTTATGTCAAGCAGACCGCACTCCCGCAGGAGCCTAAAGGGCGGATTCTGAGGAGTCAAACCGCTTCAGAACGCAAACCCAATCATTATCACACGAAACTCAAAAAAGGCCATTCTATATTGGATCGGGATACCCGAATGCCTGAGCTCGCTGGACGATTTATGTTTGTCTTTGGACTGCGCATGATCACAGCAGATTTCTTTGATATTTTAAAACACTTCGTAAAAATACACGATGACTTTGGCACTTCGGTACATACAAGGATCTCACGCTGATGGGTACACCGATGCTTGTGCGCTTACGGGATGACTCTTCCTGCTCGAATGGCCTTTGCGGCCTCACTCTGCGCTTCGTCGCGCAGGTACCTGCCATAGATAGGTTCGTAATGGCGCTTCTCCTGGATTCGTGTGTTTCAGCATAGGTTCCTCTTTGGCTACATGACAGGAATAAACTCACGCTCCTGGTCTTCACCACGCTCTCTCTAGTTTCCAGCTTGCCCGCGTAGGCTACCCACTCAGGGCTAACATCCTCCCGCTTGTACCCACGATGTTCCTGCTGAATATAATCCCTAGTCACCCATGGCGCGATGGCAGTATCGACCAAACTCCACCCCTCCCCAAAGAAATACGGGCCCTTGGCGTTCTGCGCGAGCGTGCGCAGCGCGGTCTTGAGCTCTTCGAGCGCGGCTGCCTGCTTTGGCGCCTCCTGCGACTGGAGCAGCCGCTGGAACGCGGGGATGACGGCCTTGCTGATGTGGTCGATCCAGAGGCGTGCTTGCGCGCGGGCGAAGGGATCGGCGGGGAGGAGATGCGGCTCGTGGGTGGGGAAGGCGTCTTCGAGGAATTCGCTGATGATGAGGGATTCGTAGAGTGGCTTGTTCTGGTACTCGATCGCCGGGACGAGCCCCTTCGGGTTAATGGCTGCAAAAATGTAGATCACAGGTGACCGAATGAATGAATGGATGTCGATGCGGGGAAGTCGACATATAACTCACCAAGGAAGTGCTTCTCCTTGTGGTAAGGGTTGATCTCTTTGTATTGGTACGGGATCCCTTTTTCCTCCAGAGCGATCCAGCCACGCTGAGCATATGGGCAGAACTACGAGAATTGAGATGGGCGGTGAGCCTTTCGAAAATGTGGAAATGCAGAGGTAAACTTGAACATACCCATCCTGCGTAGAAGACGAGCTCCTGTGGCTCAGTATGCTTTGCTACGGTCTTAGCCGCCTCGCCAGTGGCATGGGGGAAGAGGTCTGCGTCGGCGATGGCCATGGTCGTCTGTGTCGTACTATGCAGTGGGAGCGCTAGCTGTGCGACGGGTCGATGAAGCAGAGTATTCCCACTGGCGATACTTATAGCTCTCGCTATGAGCAATTGTGCTTACTTTCCATCATGACATGGCGTCATAGTGTCTGGGAATCGTATGTCAAGATTCTTCCCACTCTCCCCACGACTCGCCGCACCCCGATATGTGTAACGTAGGCGTAAACCTGGCGATTGCGGAGCGGCTGCTTGTACGTTGGTCAGCTAGGCGCAGCTGGGTGTGTAAGACATGTCCAGGAGGGGTGAATAACCACGGCAGCTGACCTTTTCTATTGAAGAGACACCCGCGGCACTAAAACCAAATGGTGAGTTCCTTTTCGAGACTGCCAGACCTGTTGCAGACCTCTGGCGGTAATTGCCGATCTCAGCTGGGCGCCAACAAGCAGATTTGCCTCACGAGCTGAAGACACTTAACTCTACTCACTCGCAGCCCGCAGATAAAAAAAAATACAATGTTTGGTACAAGATAGACACCAAGAACTACATAGAAACCGCAGACATACAGATTTTGTCAACCTCTCGACACGCTTTGCGGAGGCAACATCCGAAGACTCCATAGCTGCTCGCTGCTCAACAAGTGCAGGCCTTTCCCTGCTGGGCACAGGTACACTCCTTGCCGCTACCTTTGCAGCCGCACTGGCCACGGAATCCACCCATTCAGCAGCGCAGTGGAAGATAGCGATGTGAGCAAGTGCTTACGTCGGTAGCATGTGCTTTGTTCGCACAATTGGCGCAGACGCACTCCCCCTTGACGCAGTTACAGCTATTGCTGCTGGCGGGTCCACAGGAGCTGTAGTGGTGCAAAGATAAATCCATCAGCGGTGACGTTGAAGGTCAAAATGGACATACGAGCAGTTCTGAGCACAGGTACAGGGCATTGTGGATGAGTTCAAATAGACGACGTTGTTATGAATGGATTGGATGTGCGGATGCGGATCTTGCATGGACGAGTCTCCATTTTATATCGCAGAGTTCGACCTCGGGGGTATGACGTCGCAGACATAATGACATGACGACTTGGATATGGCACATTGGCCGCCTTCCTTTTTGGGAAGGAAATGTCCAAATAGAGAGCTATATTCTCACGCACTGCTAGTGTAGGAGAAATATTGTGTTCCGCATTTCTCGCGTATCCGGTTGCAAGTGCGCGCTCCGTTCCACTTACCTGCAGGCTTGGAATTATGAATTCATATCCGCCCGAACTTTTGACGCAACTCGCGCCTGTGATGTTTGTCGCTGGCCTCGACGTCGCGACACCTCCAGAATCTACACCCCCATCTACCCCACAGCCGCCTACACCGTCCGGCGGGCGACCCCAACAGGATCCGTTCACCGTTCTCACATTGCGTCTGCGCGACGCGCTGGTCGCGCAGCGGAAGGTTGCCATATGGCAGCCCGAGAAGTCCAAGACTTTTCAGGTCATCCTTGTCGAGAAAGTGCGCTCCATGCCTGTCCACGCACCTCGGAAGTATCTATTGACTTACCGCACAGGAAGTACGCTTTCCGCCGCGCAAACTTGCCCCTCTAGATGACACCCACTACACCAACGCGCACTCGCCTTTATCACCGCTGACTCCTTCCTCACCTCTCCATCCCGACGGCTTGATCGCGCCTATCTGGGTCCGGAAGCACACAGCTCTTGTTCCATCTGTGTTTGTCTTATTCATGAAGCTCTACGAAACACCTGTGCAACCACCTCGATCGCCACTAGACGCGCAAGATCCCGACCGTGAGCGCGAACGCGAACAGGAGGAGCGACGGCGGGACATGGAGCTCTCTTCGGAGGTCGCGCAGAGGAAGAAATCGACGAATGAGCGAAATATCAAGCTCACCGTTGTCCTTATGGCGAGCAGGAGGATGCTAGGTCAGTCTTGTTTGATTACATAATAATCGATGTTGACAAGCCGCTGGCAGACGACCCTGCATTGGATGCAAGGCTGACATTTATTCGGAGGCAGAGCGGACTCGACTCGAGAGCTGCCCTGTTTGTACTGAGTCCCGTGAGCCCTTCGGAGCTGAGCGATTTCGTGAAGAGGTGACGATCCCTCCGAACATCTTTCCTAGCTCATGTCATACTAACGCACAACTTTTCAGTCTCCAGCAAGCCTTATATGAACCGGCCGTGGAGTACTATACTTCCCACTCGAAGCGCGTGCGTCGGAAGCGAAATCGACACGGGCAGTCTACAACTTCGTATGTCGGACCTATGTCTCCGATTGGGTCTGCGGGTATCGCGCGCCCGCTCAGACCTGAAGGGTGGACGGTGAGATATGAATATAAAATGGCCTGCTTCGCTGAGTTTCGTGGTGAAGACGAGGTTGCGCTCAAGTATGGTTTCCTCTCGTATTCTCGCTATGAAGTGCTCGTCATTGATAGTCTTAAGGCATTATCAGGACGCGTATTCAACTGTGACCAATATGTTTGGATCTACAGCGATATTGCCGCCTAGGACAAAGCGGTGGGCAGAGGCCAAAGTACTCACCGATTGTATAAACATCAAGGTGTGTGAGGCTATATTTATGTCCGTTTTACGCACCCTTCATATGCCGTTGGGCAAGATCTGCAAATTATTTCTGTATAACAATGAGCACGCACTGGCGCTTTCGCAGCACAACATCCACATGCGAAAGTTCGGTGACTTTTCGCGTGGGTGGGGCATCGGTGAGGAGACATTCGAATTTTGGAGCTGGATCGCGAGACAGTAAGTGGACGCTTTACCATGTCTATCACATCCGTTTCCGACACTTGCTCTTGTTTTCTGCGTTCGCTCTTCTTGATAGACATCGGATTTTTGCGGAACTGCTCGAGCAGGGCACCAGATCGACGTTGACACTGCCGAAGCACACTCCAGTCGCGACGCCATCGCCGGCGGCAGTGGCCGCCTCACTGCAGAACACGCAGCGAGGGATACTGGAGGTTGACACGATGCGGGTGCTTGGGTTGAATCCGAGCCAAGCGTTGCAGCATCCAGGGTTTTACTACTATATGTCTGCAAGGGCGACGGAAAAACGGAGGGAGCAGTATTTGGCAACGATAGAAACGGTGAGTTTTTTGAACGCCTTGAGTCTGGATGCTTTTTTGATGGACGGACGGTGCAGAATCCGGCGCAGAATAACTCTCCGGGCTTTGCGAATGAAAGGAAGGTTGACCATTTGACCATCATACTCGAGGTGACTAGTACAATTATTTTGTCACCAAGTCTTGGTCTAATAGTGCAGACAGATGTACACCAAGTCGTACGAACTTTTCAAGAAGCACAGTGCTTCCAACGGTCAAGGCCAGGGCCGCCTGACGCTGCACATAGCATATCGGATTGCACAAACGTACCATGAATCAGGTAAATTCGATATGGCTGTACGGTACGTTTCGAAAATCATCTTTACCTTCGCCATGTAGCCCATGACTCACGTGTGTGACAATTAGGTTCTTTGAACGTATAGCGCGCACGTACCGTCGTGAGAAATGGGGGTCAATGATCCGTCCTCTCCTATGGACGTGGTATCGGTGCGCTCAACAGCTTGGGGACGTCGAGCTCAGCGTAAAATTGTTGGTTGAAATGCTAGGCCATGGTCCGTCTGGACATAAACTTATCAAGTCATAGCTCATCATTTATTGCGATAACAGGAACAATATCTGAAAACGACGAGGATGCTTCAATCGAAGAGGATCTGCTTGCTGTTCTCCGGGTCAGCTCACAGTCCCTTCGTTTCCTTACGTCTTGCCTGACGTGCCATATCAGAGCACAGTCCCTTCCACTCCGAATGATGCCTTGGTGGTCGACCTTGCCGAATCCGAGCCCATCTGTCAGTATGACATCGATGCTTCCGCCACATTTATATCGCTGACACGCTTGATAGTCGACTCGAATGTCATGTTTTGGAATGCCGAGGCGACTGTCGACGAGCCGTCCGCCTTCCAGCTATCTTTGGCCACACCAAATCACATCTCTCTCTCCTCCTTGACGTTTTCGTCCCTATCGATCTACTTCTCCACTTCGAGGCACCCGTTCGTCATCCGCCACTCGGCTGGTGACGCGCCCAATGTCGGTAATCATACCCTCAGGAAAGTCGACTTGGGCGCCATACCTGCCGAGGTGACCACCGATGTGCACGAGACAGCGGCAGATCTGAGGTGGGGCCGCGGTTCGACGATCGTGTTCGCCGGTACTATAGCATCGGACGTTCCGACAACGATCACCGTATGTTTTACATTCTTGGACACTGAATATCTCTTTGATGGGAGTCTGAACTCAGATATCGAAAGCAGTGCTGACACTCCAAGAAGGTAGCTGGACCGTAGAGATACCCATAGAACTGTCTTCGGTTCGCGAGGGCGCAGTAAAGAATCCCAGGTGGTTGATGTCTGTCGAACCGGTAAATTATGTGCCAGTTCGCCGAAACAACAGCTCAGAGATAACGTGAGAGGTCTCGTCTGTCTTGCTGTGTACGCTCTTTGAAAGACTTTCTTTTGCTCTTTGTTAGTGTCCATCATCGGCCTCACCTTCTGCAAGTATCGCTTTCACATCATGCCCCTGCGTATTTGGATGAAGAATATCCGATCACCATCGACATCACGAATTTGGATACTCGTGTTCTCAACGTCGTGCTTGATGTGCTGCTTCAGCCGACTGAAATAGACGAAGCTAGTATGTTGAGTTTCAATCTTGTGAACGGAGCTCAGCGCTGACTTCTAGCAGTGAACGACATTCGGATAGACGAGGAGCGGTCCTCCGGACTCATCAAAGGTGTTGATTTGGGTGCAATATCTCCTGGCGTAACCGTTCTCAAAATATTGTACCTCACGAATACTGGCGCCAGTGGAGATCGCATCCTCGATATATCCATTCAATCACGGACGTTCACCACAGCGAACAAGGCTGCGAGCCCAATATCGCCTCCAAGTCCGTCATTAGATCACTCAGACACGAGCGAGAGCTTGCAGACACTTGTGATACCGACGGTAAACGCGATGAAGATAGCATTTGACGTCACGTATACCCGGGCGAGTCGATCGTCTGCTGGCTTGGTTGACTTGAGGAGTTACGAAGACGAGTATTGGGATGACGCCGACGGTGGAGAAGCCCAGGTGGAGGCGAGGTGGGAGTGTGTCGGTCCTTGGAGTTTGAGTGTTGAGAAAGTGAGACTGGTCAGGAAGGTACGTATACAACCTCAATTTGTGCGTGCGGAGCCTATCTTACACACGATATCAGAACGGCTCGCATGCGAAGGTCCTTGATTGTTCTCTCGACGATGATGAAGATGACATCGCATCTGGTATGATATTTATGTCTTGAAAAAGGGTCTAGCGTTGATGCCACTCCATCTCCTTTTTCAGAGTGGCTTCCAGGAGATGAGTTCTCGGCAGTCTGCCACGTGAGTCTAGCCCTCGAAGATGATCCACTCGAGGAAGATGTCATTGCAGGACCAGGTGAATACGAACTCACATGGCGAAGGTGAGCTTTCCCAATTCCACCCAGACCTAAACATGCTCAAGCTTCAGACAGGGTCCTCACTAACGGAGATCACGGCCCCCTTTGCACAACTGTGTTCCCTCTGCCTGTTCTACGTCCCCCGAAGGATGATTTGATCGCACTTCTAGAACTTCCCTCTTCCGCTCGACTTCATGTGCCGTTTCATGCATATCTTACAATCCGCAACCGTCACCCAACACGCACGGCTACGGTCACCGTGCAGCTCGAGACAGACATTTCTGATGCCTTCATCGCTGCAGGCTTGCGCAGTGGACGCGTTCCCACTCTTCTTCCCGGTGCGGAGGAGCGCCTTACGTGGACATTCGTGCCCATCGAGTGTGGGTTCGTTCACGTTCCGAAGATTGTTGTAACAGATAGGCGCAAGACTCTGGCAACTTCGTCGGAAAGCGGTACTTCGGCTCCACTAGAGGGGGTCGGGGAAATGGTGACAGTTGTGGACACACGGAGAGAGGCTCGCGGCGAGGATAGCACCGCGGGAAAAAAGGGAACCAGCTTGGAGGAAGCGGAGGAGCGGCCTGCGTCACCTGGGAAGGTAACTTCTAGTTCAATTGGACCAATATTGGTCTTTCCCTGAGAGTTGAGTGATCCTCACCTTGTAGGACATCCCTTTTGACATACTGTGTCAAATGACTATGGATTTTTTGGGTTTGACGCTGATGTTGTCCTTCCTGAGGAAATGTATCGGCCAAGATAGTGCCTCCTTCTCACGTTGATAACCATTCTCGATGGCATCATATCAGAACCCCTTGGCGATCAGGAGCTGACTCAAGGTTCATAGACGCCGCAGAGTTCATAGACGCCCCGCCGAGCAGTGGCTAGATCTGTAAGGCGCTACTGAGTCAGACATCAAAAAAAGATTTACTCATGCGCGTCAATGAACTTCTGAAATAAACGTACGAGTATTTAATCGAAAAACATCTATCCTGCCACCGTACCCGCTCGCCTCACTTCTTACGCTTCAAGCAAATTTAGAATGCCTCTCGCCCTCGTAAAAGACTCAAGCCTCCTCTTGTCATCAACTGTGCTTATTTACCCGCATATCTTTAGGTCACTGGTGCAACTGGTTACCTCGGCTCTGTTGTTGTAGATCAGCTGCTTGATGCTGGTTACAAAGTCCGGGGGTTGGTTTCTCATGTCTTGATTTGCCGAAGATGCGCATATTCATTCATCGAGAAATGATTCCAGGACCGCACGATCTGCTAAAGTAGCACACCTCCGTTCTGCGTTTGCTAACCTCGGGGCCGAGTTCGAAGTCGCTGTAGTGGACGACCTCGTTACATCAGACTTGACAGATGCTTTCAAAGGTCTGTCATTATCTTTCTCATTGATCGGTTTGTAAACAATAATGAGCTCGGGGCTCGCGCTCTTTATTTTTAGGTGTCGACGTTCTCGTGCACGTTGGCTCGCCCATTCCTTTATCAGGCACTCCTGCTGCCGAGATTTTGAAGGTATAGAACATCTACATGTCTCGGCCTGTTCGCTCATTATTTTTTCACCCTTACAGACCGCTATCACAGGAACCGAAAGGGTCCTCAGGTATGCGCTCGATGCAGGCGTTAAGAAAGTTGTGGTGACTAGTAGCGTCTCCGCCCTGTCTCGTGACGAAACCTTGTGGGAAAACGTCACGATCGGCGAGGATGGTATGTCAAGTTTCAGATGTGGGAGGACATCCACTCACGGCAGCTTCAACGGTAGACTGGAATCCCCAGACTTACGAGGAAGTATCGGGTCCTCACGCTACACTATACGACGCATACTGCGTTTCGAAGAAGCTCGCGGAACAAGCAGTATGGAAGTTTGCGAAAGAAAATCCGGAGATCAGTGTCGCTTCGGGCGAGTCATTTCCCAATATAAGATACCACCAACTCATATGACGATTATGATCGCCTATCCAGTGCTTCCTACTGCAATATATGGTCCTGGAGGCCGTGGCCAGGTCCTGACCACACCTGCCGGAGGAACAAACTCTTTCATATATACACTCATTCAAGGTCCCAGAGGGCGACCCCTGCAAGACCAAAAACCCTACATCACCTCCTTCACCCACGTCAATGACGTCGCACGCGCTCATATCCTAGCACTCAATGTCGCTCCTTCCGCTAAGCCGAACAGGATCATCATTTCCGCCGGCAAATTTACCTGGAAAGAGGCGGTAGACTATTTGGCGAAGAAGCGCCCCGAGCTTAAGGACAGGCTACCTGTTGTTACAGGCACAGAGAGGGTATACGATACGGTCACGTATGATGCCAGCAGTGCTGCGAAGTTGATTGGGCTGACAGAGTATATTAGCTGGGAGGAAACACTGGAAAGTACTATAGACGATATCTTGCGGCGCGAGGCCGAGCTAGGTATCGATGCTACAGCTTCATCTCAACTCGTAGATTCGTAGCTAGAATTACATGTCCCCGTTTTCATGCTATATCGTTGTCTGTTTTCAAACCATCCAATGTCATTGACCGAGATCTGATGGGCTAGTTGTGTCGAGCCAATAACTTGGGTCATAAACATTCATAAAATTACACAGAATACACCTCCACATAAATGAAAACGTAGGCATAGTACGGGCGTCGGGTATATGCGTGGGGTGCACGCATTAAAGATATTTCTAATCTAGTTGGCCGGAAACCCAGAGAAAGCGAAAGAAAGATACGTGAAAGAAAGCAAAGGTGCTTGGAAATATTTGATTATACCGAACAAGAAGAACTTCAAAAACTGACTTACTAGGGGAACCATGATATCCTGTAAACCCACTGAAAAAGAAAGGAAGAGGGACCAAAGTTTAAAATGAAGACCCAACGAGGAGCTTCATTCTTTCCACGCCATTCTCCGGAGACGCCCATACCAGCCCCTTAAAGTAGTGGTTCCGCAACAGGAAGTCAACGCGCTTCACACCCTCCCTCTGCTGCTGCTGCTGTAAGGGAGGATACGCCTTGTAGCGCTTGGTATACGCCCTTGAGACGTCGGTCTCCTGAGACGACGAGAGCTGGCCCCACTCTTCGTGCGTGACTGGTACGTGCAAATGAACGTGCAGCCCATGCAATACGTCGCCGACCGTGATGAACGGGATTGCGGGGCGCTCACGACGCGCCGGCAGCAGTCCCGCGCTCGTGACGTGTAGATCAAGCTTCCACTGTGGGATCGCGTCGCACACGATCAGAAGACGCGTAATCTCGGGGTTCGACGCTGGCTGATCGAGGTCATATGGTGTCACGGCGACCGCCTGCGTAGCGTTAATTCGTCGCCTAGCGGTGAGTGTGTACGCAGAGAGATCGAAGAGGAGGTACTGGCTGGGAGAGTCTCCGTTAAAGAGCGTGTGAATCTGGGGTTGGGGGAGCGGTGGAGGGTGAAACAGCCACGAATAGGGGGATGTGTGGTAGGGACTCGGCGGGGGGTTTGGTGGAGGTGGTTGGGGGTTCCAATGAGGCCATTGATTTGGGTGAAGATACGAGGCGTCGAAGGAACGTCTTCGACCTCGCGGAAAGGGTTCATATGGATATGGGGGATAGTCCTGACCAGGTGCAAATGGTGGCAGAGGGATGTTCGCGTGACCTGGGCTACGACCTCCTGCTTGCCACTCCCTTCGCGCATTGCCAGGCGTAGGAGGGAACTGATAGTATGGTGGGTATGGGTATGGCATCCAACCAGGGTAGAGGTTGGCCATTGTTGCGAAGGCTGAGTGAGTGCTCTGTATGGGTGTGAGGATTCAGGAGGGGGTTGTTATCTATGCGAATGCGATCTCTCCAAAGGTATTTTATATGCTGGACCTGAGTCAGAGCCCGCGCTCATGGATTCGTGTTCAGAAACGTGGCAGTGTCGGCGCGCGCAGCGGGGCCGGTGCGCATGAAGCGATGACGAGCGATTCGGGCGAGAGTGTGAGTCGGCTGGAGCTGGCAGTGTGCAAGTGAGCTGGTCGCCATCGTTCGCGGCCGCAGCCGTCGTATTCATGTTGCTGGTATCGAATCTGGACGAAGGCTATCCCATTATCTCACTGCCATCTGCTCCCATTAGGGAATTCTTCCAAAGTGGGCGCTCTTGGATACAGCCTCAGTAGTCAATCATAGATCAATAAAGCCGACGAGGTCCTTACTGTCGATGCGCACGAGGATATCTGCACAGCAGTGACGAGCATTCAATCCAAATCTGATGGATCCTGTGTTAAATAAATTTATTCGAGAGTCTCAGCGGCTGCCATCGAGGGCAGCACCGAGTATGAAACTTCGCTCGCTGCTCTTCAACTTTATTCAGAAACCTGTGATCGAAGCCAAACACGGGCCGCCAGGTCTGGAGATACAGTACATAGGACCGAGACCGATGCACAATAATTAGGTCTCCTCATCCTCCCCCATTTCGTCGGTTTCATCGCCGTTACCTTCTCCCGCGCGGTGATTATCGCTCAGAGTCCATAAGTCATTTCTCAACTCCCGCACCCCATCATCATCGATCCCCACTCCAATCACTTGCCAGTCCACCTTTCGTCTGATGCAATCTTCTATCAATATTGCGTAGCGTTCGAAGAGTGATGGCATCGCCCCCGAGAGCTCGAGCGACGAAAGTACAGGCGCAGAGCGAGGAGGGGCAACGATTCCACGTGTTGTCCGTCTTGGAGCAGCGTTCAGATGCTGTGCACGGAAGAACGACGGGAACGACGTGGGAAGAGGGTACCCAATCGGCGTATGAATACTAAAAACATGTGCGATGCAGACCAATGAGATGAGTGAAGAGACGATACTGCTATCGTACCTCGACACTAGAGCGCCTCGGAGCTTCAAACCTTGAGAAAATTCATCATACTGGCGTCTCTCTATTTCAGCGAATCCCCGCGCTACGCCCGTGCGGAAAAGGGGGAGCTTCTCCTGAGCACCACCAAGCGCCAAAGGTTGGTGAGATGATCAGAGCGCAACAAGACTCGACACGCACATCTGATTGGAATCCAGTAAAATTGTACGTATGCTGGTCGAGTAGCTCAGCATTGATTACCGGAAAGGCACCACATAGTTCGGCGAACGGGGTGTTGCCGAAAAAGTTTGATTGTTTGCAGAGCTGCGCCAGAGCGGTCGGACTTTTAAGTCTGTAGTACATGATTGAGGCAAACGAAGAGAGACAGACAGAAACAGGTAAATGGCCTAACCTGAGAGGAAGTGTAGCTGTTTCAATATGTGCAGACAGGACTGCGGAAACCTCGTAGGGCGACCGGAGCTGGAAGAACAGGCGACCGTCAGGGTCAGGGATACCAGAGTCATACCTGCGGGGCGTACATCTAGATCGAGCCCATCTAACCAAGGACCTCCTCTCCAGTTCAGAGGGTTTTGAAGAGGGATATTCATAGAAGATATCTCGTTGAAGCCTCGCAGACACATTGCATCATTCATGGCCTTTCTGATACCCACCATCTACCGAAGGCATCAGGACCGGTCGCAGGCGAAGCTACAATGAGGCTCACTGAGTCGACATCAATGTGATCGGGAACGGCATTCGATAGAATAGGAAAAACCAGTGAAGGAAGCTTGGAAAACTCGTCTCTGAAAGAAGTGAGAAAAGCGTCTGTAAAGGCACCGAAGGTCGCGTTATCCACAGTGACGTGAATACCCTCATCAAGATCGGGTTAAATGAGAATCTATATTCGTGTTTAGACAGACTTACTTGTAGACTATCACATTCTTCAACGAATAGGCGGAACGGCTCTTCCATCAAAAATGTCTCCTAATGGGAAACATCATTGTCAGCGATGTCCAGTACATCAAAAAATGGTTTCCAATCACTGTATCATAACGCTCGAAGGTATCTTTACTTAGCTGCCAGTTCCCTTCTGTGTTCTCCCATTCTGCTACATCTGGAAGCTTTTGGATGGTCCGCGGCACGTAGTAGACGCGGTTGAAATCTGACCAGTAACGGACGTCCGAGCTGTGCAGTGCTTGCACAGGCTCGTCCTGTACTGGATCCTGCGATTGGTCTGGATCATCATCTACTTCCTGGTCTAGAAGAGTCTGGTATGTAGCTTCAGGTATAAGATCCTGCCGGACCTCAAGAACAGCGCCATTCCTGTCCAGGTTCGGTGACAACTGCCACTTCAATTGATTGAAGAAGACTCACCAAAGAAGGGTCGGATCCTGATCAGTTTCTTCGGACATTTCTATACCTACAGAGAGAGCGCCGAAATTTTCTACACACGGAACGACATCAGGAACATCTAAGTGAGCTAGCCGATGAACTCACCTTTCCTGTCAAATACGAGCAATCGAGGGCAGTACGTTGAGCCTCCCTAAAGCATGGCACATCAGAATAGCAACACAAAGGGCATACGGAATCTCGCTTACCTGCGGAGAGAGACCCTCTCTAAAGGAGATATCATGGTTGATTACGACTTCCTCGTCCTCGCTATAAGTGAAGTAGCTCTGCTGAGCATTCCAAAAATGTGTTCCAATATGATTTGAAAGCGATCCCGCTTGAATATAGATGATCTCTCTCATTTTGTGGAGGGGCCGTGCTGTTATATATTCTGTATTCAAAAATGGATCACTGATCAGCTCCGGGTTGTTGATGAGCATCAGATTGTTCAGCCAAAAATAGATCCGCCACCAATCGTCCCGGAGTGTCTTTTGCGCCGACGATATATCACGATTCCATGCATTCAAAGCATCTGAACTGCCTCCCAGATCCAGATTGGAAGGCAGGACATGGCCTACAGTCCATGTTCAAGGTCAGCCAAGAAAAACGACGTACGGAGTTGAGTTGGGAATTCTACGCAATGACCGAGGGTGACTGAATATGTTTGAAACACACTATCAGAACGGCCAGATAAAATCGGTTCCGGCCTGTTCACATGGGAGTTGACTCCAGAGAATGTATTCTGGGATGATAAGCACTTATTGTGACTTATCTGCATCCCGATAATTTTTTACCAAACTGACACACTTTACGCGCATCCTGATCTATCCTGATTCCTCGTTGCTTCGTCCTATCCACTTAATTTTCGTTCAGTCGTCTCGAGCTCTGAACATCCACAAATCCAAGACGATCTCCATTCGTTTGGCAATTCTCGAATCCTCACATTGTTTTGGTGGAGGAACAGTAATCCATCCCTTTCTCCTGTACGGCGCTAATATTCTGCTGTCACACTGCTGTACAGCTTCTCCCGCCTGTGCTACAAATTAGCCAGGGGGACAGTGGTTCCCCACAGAAGTGTCGGTCGCCACGTACGACGTGCAGCGCATGTCCCGCACTGCTGTACACGTACTCAGTGACTGCGACGCTATCTTAGTATAAGCAGGCACCATTGGCCTCCCGCCCAACCCTCACAGTCACTCGTCATGTATCCATATACCCATGTATGGAGAGCGTGGAATATGTGGAGCGTGCATTTCTACTCATTTCTTAGACACTGCCTGGTTCGGCAATGCAAGACTGCCATCAGCAGGATAGTTGCCTTCGGAAATCCCCTGGAAAGCCGCGCCATATAAGCGTCGTGCGAGACGAAAAACGTGTTACGACCGCGAACTCCCTTGTTTTCAATCATCACCGATGGCGAACCCTCCAACTGGATGGTATCCACTCCCCCCACAATACCCTCCTTACCATCAATTCCCTCTTTCGAGTATGAACACACGACCCCGAAGTCATAGTTATCCGCCCCCTCCTCGCCCCCCGGCACCCATGCCACCGCCTACCGCGCCTCCATATTATCGAACCTTTGCTCAACAACCTTTTCCGCAGCCACGAAGACATACGGTTTCCCATCCACAATGGCGGCCTGAAGGGAATGCATACATCCCACGCCCTTTGACACCTCATCTAGATTATCGTCGACTGTTCAACCCGCCATTGCCTCCTCAGCCTCAGATACACATTCTTCTTACAGGGAATTCCACCACTCCGCTACTCGTTTTCGACCTTTCTGCCCCTGTCGTATCTCCTCGTCGACGCATAAATCCCACGCAGGCGATCCCGCTCACGGCACTTGAAATCGATCAATCAGCGACGTACCCGGAGTTACAGCATCTACGGATCGTCTGCGATGCGATCCCCCAGTGGACGCTCGATCTACACATCACAGGCAGGTCGATTTACCCTCCGCGTCCGGACCGCGCAGCTATTCCGTACATCACTGTCGGAGATATCCTGCACGCACTACACTCGCATCTGCACCAGGATGTCACGCGCGATGAGTGGGCACGGCTCTTGCCGGAACAGGAGCTTGACGTCTCGAGGGCGTTCACGAGGCGGTACAAGTCCTCTGGCGCGGTGCGACGAGCCCAGAGTGATGGCGTGAAACGCGTCGACTTTTTATTGCGCCGTTATCATTTCAAGGGGTTTGTGTGGCTATACCCCGAGAACCGGATTGGGAGGATGAATCTCCTTGTCGGCTCTGAGCCGTGATTGTGCCTTGTCTGGATCGTCGTATTTTGGATTTACTTATTCGTATGGTCGTGCTTCGTTGCTCTGCTCTCGATTTACAGCTTTGTGTAGTCTTGTGTTCATTTTTGTGGCTTATACAGATATTATTGGGCAATTTTCTGCGATATCTTAACCTACAGATGTCCCTCGTGAATAGGGTCTTCTGAATTTGGCAGCAACCTTGAGAAAGACAATTTGGAATATCCCGCATACACGTTCATCTGCAGTAGTGGCAAAACTAGTGCATGGTATATATCTCGAGTCAAGGTATAGGAGTAACAGATTTCGTAAATAGTCATAACACCAGGCATGCGTCTGCAAAGCAGCATTAGTACCTGTAATCGTATTTCCTGTAAAGCTTCTTGGGTACAACGACTTAAATGGTCTGATACAGGCAACATACCTTCTGAATCCACAACAATAGCACGCCCTAGCCGACAACAGGATTACGCAAAGCCAAATGAGAGCAACGCCTGCGACCATCATCCAAACTCCATTACCAAATTTTACATCAAACGTGCCCAGAGCGAGGTCTTTGACCTTGTTCCGTGCGATTATGACAAGAGCTAAATCAGCCGCCAGAACAACAGAGGATACAATTGCAGTGACAATGCTGGCTATCAGAGAAAGAATCCAGGCAGCGTGATGACCACAGCAGCAGGAGAGCAAGATGGGGATCAGGGTTGCGAGGGAGAGACCCGCAGCAATAGGGTGTAGGATAAGGAGAATCGTGACTCCCTTCAGGACGATTGAAATAAGTTGTTCATTGCCTATGAGAGAAAGTATTGAAGGGTCGACCGTGTAACCCAATCGCGGACCAATGCAAACGCCATCGTTTGTGAAGAGCGTGGGTTGGTCGAGAGCGCTGGATTAGACCGTAAATGGGTATGTTCGCTAAAACAAGAGTCGTACGAACCTAGTCACGCAAAGCCCCCATACACCGAATCTCACTTGCGTCCCAATGCTTGTTTCCGGCTGGTTGTTGGTTATGATACCATCCAGTTGCAATAGATAGATGGGTTTGATGATGGGCAAGGACAGCGCTACAAGGAGGAAGAGGATGAACGCGCATAGAAGGAGGAACGTCGTGCCGCCTGTATGTCCACGCTCCCTGCGATGCTGGTGGTGACGGTGGTGGCTGAGCGGTACAGGCAACTGAGGGTTATACGGCTGGGGGACATAAGGCTGGGGCTGGGAGCCGTTCTGATAACGCCGACGCTGAAACCAAGCCATGTTGCTCGGAGAGGGGTCGTGAATATGAACAAAAAAGCTCTGGTGGTACAGTAGCACTATAACCAAGGGTTCTGGATATATGGAGCACGGAAAACAGTCAATCCAATCCAATCCAATCCCAAAATTGATCACACAGACTCACGGCTTTGCTGATCCCTGCCTGGAACAGTGACGGATCCCTCTACTGCTCGTGCTTCACTGCGTAGCTGACCTTACACAGAAGACAGTCGTGCTGTGTAGAAGGCGTCAACCGTACATACCCATGGTCGTTCTCGCAGCAATGTCCTTGGCAATCATATATACGTAATCCACAAGAAGTTTGGAAGTTATCTACTTACCATATTCTCACGAGTTTACTGATCTGCGGGGAGTGAGTTAGCAATGTCCACACCTTCTCAGTCGACCATAGCGACTGCTTCCGAGACCTAAGCCGTTCTGATATTGTCCGACATACCCACCTGTGATGCCTTTGATTGAAGTATGCGCACGAAAATTCGACTGATAAACCCGCTCATCACTCCAAAATTTACAGGTGATTGCCAACGATCGTCTGGGACGCAAAGGTGTGTTCGATTGATCCGCCCTCGCACAAATATCTGATCCACATCTTCTTTCCTAAATGGATGGCTTTCTAATTTGCCAGTTCGAGTGAAATGCAGCCCAGATGACACTGTTGGAGACCTCAAAAAGCTCATCGCCGCACAGACCGGAACTGATCACTCCAAGATTCAGCTGAAGAAGTGGTACGTCCCTTCCTGCGATCGCCGATCAAGGGAGTAGCTGATCATCGTATGCGTACTGGAAACAGGTACACGATTTACAAAGATCACATAACACTTGCAGACTACGAGATCCACGATGGCATGAGCTTGGAGATGTACTGAGTGGTGTAAGATTGAATCCGTGTAGCCTTATCAAACGGCGATGGCCCTCCAATGTTTACTCTAATTCTTGTGTGTAGTTCTATTTTTTTGCTGTCGCATCTTCCATCCCTGTGTGTGTGCTCGTCGATCGATCCACCCGTTGTACTGAATACGAGCAGTGTCTCGTCCGATTCGGAAGGCAGCAGTCTGACGGCATGTCCGAGCTGGTTCGACTTATTCTGGACATGTTGCCTGACTTATCTGGATGCTGAGTCTAGATTTCTTACCCCTGCATGCCAGCTTGCTATGTAGTGGCTCAGGAACGGAGCTTCGAAGACAAGCGATCAATATATCGTGATTGCTATGTGAGCGCTTTTCTTGACCGTAACTGGTTGTCATATTTATGATCTAAAGTAGCTATGCACCGCAGACCATTGTAGACCACCCGTGCTGCTTTCGCGACGTATACCCCATGCGTTTGAGCACCGATGCTTTCGACGTATCGCAGTCCTCGACAGCCGTATGACACCCCCACGAGCGCAAAGGACCCACTCAACACTCTGGCCAAATGCGCCGTCAACTCGGTTGCGCAAATCGCGCCCATCGGCCACCCACCGCCGAAAGCAGCGCTAATATGCGTCTCTGGCTCCCTCGCGCATGATCGTCGCTAATGACGAGGGAGGTGACAGAGAGGGCCGTGGGCCGAGTCGACGGAGATTCGGGACCTGCGATTCGCCCTCCAGTCACTCGTCCTCTTCCACACCGTGCTTGAGCACCGCTTACATTGACGAGATCACGCGGCAACAAATCATAGAAGCTGGACATCCTCTGTGTCCAAGAACTTCAAGCGATGGGCATTGCGTCCTCCCTTGCACCCGAGCGCTGATGAGTTCGGTGACGCTTGGTTTCTTCTTCCGAGAATTATATTTATGATTTGGCCGCCAGTTTTGTTCTCAACTCCCATCCGGCGATTATCACATTCCAATTTTACGCATCCAAGCATTCAAGCATGTATAATCGCTCGAACTTGACGGTACGGTGGTGCTCAGAACTGCTCGTAGAGACATGTCCGCCCCATTGAATTGAACCATCTCCAAGTATTCATCTACATATGCTTGTCTGCCGCGATTTTTTGCGGCCTTGGCAGCGGTTATGCGCTGTAACAATGTCAAAGGGAAGTCTACTTGTGTAATAAAAGAACGTGCTACCAACATAAGCCCTTGATCGTCTTTCCTTCCGTTGTTGAACGGGTGGATAATTATCTCGCGTGCAGGCAGCGGCAAGGGGTGTAGCTGATGCATCAGATCTCGGCCAATGTCATTGAACAGTTTGAAAACAGACATGAAAATGGGGTCGTATAATAGCCACGAATCTACGAATCAAGACAAGGCTGCAGTATTGATACCCAGCTCGGCCTCGCGCCGCAGGATATCGTCTATAGTACTTTCCAGCGTTTCCTCCCAGCTAATATACTCTGTCAGCCCAATCAACTTCGTAGCACTACTGGCATCATACGTGACCGTATCGTATACCCTCTCCGTGCCTGTAACAACAGGTAGCCTGTCCTTAAGCTCGGGGCGCTTCTTTGCCAAATAGTCTACCGCCTCTTTCCAGACCTTTGAATGCATCTGTCAAGTCCGATGTAGCGAGATTATCCACAACAGCGACTTCGTTCTGTGTTTGATAACCTCGGGGCCGAGTTCGGAGGTATCCTGCTTTAACGGACCGCACGGTTCGGTGAGAATTGTTCGGTGAATGAAAATGTGCATCTTCGGCAAATGAAAACAAAAAGATAACGAACCCCCGTACTTTGTAACCAGCATCGAGCAGCTGGTCTACAGTGACAGAGCCGAGGTAACCAGTTGCACCAGTGACCTAAACGTATTCAGGTAGATAAGCAGAGATAATGACAAGGAGAGCCTCGAGGCATTTACGAGGGCGAGAGGCATCGTGAGCCTTTCAGTAAAGCTAGTGAATAGGGTAGTGGGGTAGCTGTTATCTTGCAGCGTGTTGATAAAATACTCAAAAAAGTGGGTGAGTAAGTCGGACTTGTGTCTGAGTCAGTGACTAGCGTCTTTCAAACCCAGTATAGTGTTTGATGGTATACTGTTGGCCTGGACGACAAGGGGTGCTATTAATCGTGAGTCAGCTCTTGATCGCCATCCGACATCTAGAATGGTTATTAACATAAGAAATCATGATAGGGGCTGAGTGGAAGAAGCGCTACCTTGACCGAAATGGTTTTTCAGGAAGCACACTCAGGAAGAACAGCATCGGCATCAAATCCAAGATCCACGAGTAGTTGACGTGGCGTGTCAAGAGGTATGGTTTACAAAGGGTGAGGATCACTCAGCTCTCAGGGCAAGACCAACGTTGATCCAATCGAACCAGAAGTTGCCTTCTTAGTGGAGGCAGCACAGGCAGAGGGAACACAGTTGTGCAGAGGGGGCCGTGATCTCCGTTGATGAGAACCCTGTCTGAAGCTTGAGCATGCCTAAGTCTGGGTGGAATTAGGAAACTCACCTTGGCCATGTGAGCTCATATTCGCCTGGTCCTGCAATGGCATCTTCCTCGAGTGGATCATCATCGAGGGCCTTAGGATGTGAGCTGTTTTGTCCTCGTATTAGCTAAGCGGTTATATCTCTGCTGAACCGACAGACTGGTGGGTTCCTTTTCGGCTGCGTCTTTGCTCTTCTCGATAACGTTTGTGACAAAGTCTGCGCTTGACTGATGAAAAAAGTCAGCGTAAGTGATCACTTGAAAAATCAATTGGTCGGAAAGCACCGTGCAGCGAACAAGGGAATCGGAGAATGATGATGGGCACAAGGTAATTACCCGTCCTCTGTTGCGTCGACCAAAGACAAGGCAAGCTTGTATGCCGCACAGCATGTGGGTGCGAAGTTTATGACGATTCCCCTTGGATCCGCCAAAACATAGTTCAACGGGTGGCGCGCATGGGCCCTCAAGGCCTCACAATCAAGACATTCTTGTTTTATTTACGGGATTTCCTATAAAACAGTCAAATCTCTCATAAGCTGAGACGTAGAATGCGGTGGCAGCCTCCGGAGTGACTGATGGTGTTGGAGCAAGGTCGCGGAAATCTCCTTGAGGCCGAGTCAAAGCGTGTAGCCGCCACTCAATCGACGAGAACCTGGGTCGTGCACACTCTCTGACGCGATGTGGGACAGAAGACTGACAGGAAAGCGAGCGGATGGATGTCAAGAAGCGAATCGATTCGACATGAGCGTGATACGAGATAGATATAAAAAAAGGAGTGATACACCCAACGGCAATTTTGTCAACGCACCGCCTGTCGCTGTCTAAACGGCCTCTCTTCTCTCGCGTGTATCGTCAACAGAGTTCAGACTGGTACAGCGATCGTGCAGTCTCTGGTGGCTTTCCGATCGGTGGCAGGCCAGAGCTTCCGAGGGAGGAGGGGGGACAGGATCGTACGGGGTGCAGGTCCACTAGCTCAGACCCCCACCTGGCCACTCGAGCTCCTGTCTTTTAGAGTACAAGGACATTTTTGCGAAGAATACAGGGAGCGGAGGTGACCCAGACATGAGGCTGCCAGACGTCCTTCTATAGCGACAGAGCGACGAGCGAGGCACCTGCGAGATCCCGAGGCAGCGGGCGGTAACTCGATCGATTCCGTCTCAGATATCAGGAACTCCCCGGCGCGTCCAATCGCATTGTCTGGAGGGCCGGGAACACCCTCAGAACGCGGCCGCGCATTGACCCTGCCTCCACACGCACGGCCACCTTGCCTTGTGTTAGATCTCAGAGGAAGACCTAGAAGTCAGAATGTGCTCGAAATATGTGACGCTCCTGGAGGGACACTCCTCCCTTCACATCACTGTGCTGGCATAATTAATGGATCCAAGCCCGTAGACGCGTCAGGGTGACGCACGCTTGGACCTTGACATGCTTCTCGAGCTCCGTAATCTCTGCCGGCCGCCTTGGTCGGGCACCCCCCACCAACCCGCTGGTCCTCTATACCTCTAAATGGCCTACAATGACGACGTGGGCAAGAAAGCGATGCTGCCACAAGCCACCGGTGGACAAAAGTACAAGGGAGTAAGGTCCACCACACCGCACAAACATGACCACCGCTTGGACATGAGGTGGTCGCTTTGACTCCGATGCAGGAGCAAATAAGCCACCACCAGCACTGGACGGAGGAAGATAAAAGGCGGTCAGCGTGGCGAGTTGGTCCGACACAACATCTCCCTCACCGCCATCACTCGCCTCCATTATCCCGACCACTGCTCGGACCCTTCTGTCAACCATCGCCATCACTCGCCGCAATTGTCCCGACCACTGCTCAACCCCTTCTTCTTCCAACAACAACCATGTCCCAATACAATTGTAAGCTTTGACCATCACTTCTCTCGGTGTCCATCGACTGATGTCGCTCCGCTCAGTCAACTTCGACTACTCCGAGCAAGCATCCCTGGTCAATGTCAACGGCTTCCCTGGCAATTCAATGGTCGACACGGACGTTTGGTTCAACGAACCATATGCCACCTCGTCGACGACCTCGTGGGACGAAGAACAGCGTCCGTTGTTCGTCGAGCAGACCGACGCGAGCTTCACCCTGTCGACTTCGGGATCGGCATCACCGAACGGCAGCCTATCCATGACGCCTTTCCTGGACCCACAGCTCCTCAACGCTGTGGCATCCAGTTCTTCCAAGCCCGCCCGCGCCAATCATCGGTTTACTCCTTACCCCGCCTCAAACCCTGCCCGCCCCCGCCATACGTCCCTCTCTCCCCCGTCGCATCAGGTTCAGAACGACGGTTTCTTCGCGGCAGGGCAGGCGCAGCCCGGTCCACTGAATGGCGCATACTCATTCCCCGGTCAACCGTCGCTCCCTCCCCAACACTGCGAAGCCCCCTCTGCGACGTATCCTCCTATGGAGTACTGGACAGCTTCATCGACGGCAGGCATGGCACAGCAGTGGGATGCGCGCACCGAGTACGTTTTGGGTTGGGCCGATTCCCTTCCCAATAATTATGCACAACATACCACCGGTCCTGAGTGCATTCCAGACGGGTTTCAGTACATTCCAGACGTGTCTGCCACCGGTTTCACCATCCCCCTGTCGTATCCATACGATGCCACCCCGGGCCCGTCACAACCCTACCACCCCTACCTCCAACAACCGCCGAGTCTTGGTCCGCCACCCCCAGCTCACAACATTCATGCGACTGACCCAGGCCCGTCACGGCGTCGAAGGAATCACTCCTCGGGCATGCGATTGATTCCCGGTGGGATGCCACAACCTTCCGCGTATCCCATCTCATCTCTCCCCGCACCTCCTCTCACGCACGCCCACGCCCAGTATCCCACAGCTTCTCCTCCGTCGGACTTGACACCTCCCGAGCCTCGCCATCCTCAACCCACCAGATCACGGAAAAGGCGAGCACCAGCGGAAGACGAGGAAGAGAAACCAAAAGCCAAGAGGAGGAAGTCGGGGCCCTCACATGCAGAGCAAAGCTCTGCAACATCCCAGGTTGGTTGTACCCCTGCGGGGGTCCAATCACCATCAACGATTACATTTGACACAGAAGAGCCAGAGGACGACCTCCAGTCCCTGGCTGCGCCAAACCATGTAACCCATGGGGCGGCTGGACCGCCAGAGGCCTCCACTGGCTTTACACCCCAGCGAACGCCGGAAGGTCGCTATCTCTGCTTGGTCCCCGGTTGTCGGAAAACATGCACGACCCTAGACGACGTGAAGAGACATGTCGGCACCGTTCAAGCCCATGCCAGCTTCCGGGAGTTGGACGGATGGGACGCATTCAAGCTGAAGTATGAAATCAAGGAAAGGCATCTGAACGGCTCCTGCCCAATTTGCGGGGTTGTCAAGCGACGAGACACCTCGGGGCGGCACGAGGAATCCAAAATTCACCTCCGAAACCTGAAGCGCGCTGCTGATCGGAAGGGCCAGTCAAACGGAGAATGCTTGCTTACGAATGGTCCCAAGGCCTCGTCGTCCAAAGCTCCTGTGGGCGTCGATCTCGGGAAACGTACACGGAAGAGTGAGAACAGCACCAGCAAAGCGCCTCCATCGACCAAAGGACGCACTAGGACGCACCAGCTCTGATTTATACCCCCGCAGTAAACCGCAACCACGCTCCTTGTTCTCTCCCCCGGCTGCATAACCAGCTTCGCGCCTTGTATTCCCATCCTGACCGCGGCGGTCGTTTATTTCTTCGAGCCTTCTGAGCGCACGCGGCGTGCCCTTGTTCCAAAACTAGAAAACTTACGTCTTTGCCTTCTCCCCACGCACGTTTCTTTTATGGACTGTTTTTTTTTTGCATCCTTGACGTTTCTTCTGTCTACCTTGTTCTCTACTTGTCTCATGTTTTCCTTGTCTCAGTCGTGCGTTTCTGTGCACATATACGCGGTGTAGTGTAAGATGGAAAGATGGTATACCGATACGCGACGCTGTTTGCTCTGCTCTACTTGTTACTATACGCACAATAATAGATGTTTCTTGATCACAGAACAAGCTCAGTAGCCTTCACGAAGTCGTCGAGCGCTACTCACTATGAGTTCTTCAAGATCGGCCCTCCTATCCACCTCCCGTCGCTCCCACTCTCACTAAGCCCCGCGTTCTTCTTCCGGATGCCCCAAGCATCCAACATCTCTTCCTTCACCTGCTTCGGGTGAAGCTTCTGCCCGTTGATCCGCGCACTGGTGAGCCCGATCCACCAGTGTCCTCGAACGCCGTCGACGCGAAGGATGATCTCCGTGTCGTCTCTTCCAGGCTGCAGATGTGCGTGTTTAAACGGAACGATGGCGCCGTTCGCGCCTATGTTGTGCTGTCCCTGGATGAAGAGCTGTTTGCCTTGCGCCGCATTCGAGACGCTGCCCGCGGGAAGGATGTGCAGTCGCCGGACGACGCGTGAACGGCCGATGAAGAGCAGAGTTGCGAGACCAAGGCCCGTTCCGAGATGCACCAGACACACGCCAGCGCGCTGCCATGCCGGTCGCAGCACGAACTCTTCTTCCTCACCGGCGTCGCCATCGTCGGGGGTCTGTCCCGTTCCGACGGAATCGCGACGGACCGTCCATTTTGACCACGTCAGTTCCGTCATCGTCGACCTTTGAATATTATAGAATAGAACGCAAAACACAAGGAAAAGACAACAATGTCCCCGATGCGTAAGACAGGTGACGCGACAGCAAGTGGGAGCGGAGAGCGCACGTCACGAATATGTCCGCCGCTATGAAGCCCCAGGTGAGCTTGGCCCACCATGGCGGTGGTCTTTCAAAGAACGGCCGTTTGAGGGCATAAGGAGGGATGGAGTGCACCTTGCCTGGTCCGCCGAAGCGGAAGAGGGAGCGAAGACGGGAGGACTGCATGACGGACACACAGACACAAACATCTCTCGGCGACCACTCCAGTCCCTCGATAGCCCTTGATGTATACGGTGTAGACTTGTTTCTGTCATCGGATATGGTGTAACGGCTAACATTGCCGCCTCTCAATGAGTGCTCGCGGCAGCTCGGGGTTCGATTCCCCGTATCCGAATAATGGTCGTGAGTGTCAAATGACTTTTTGAATCTTATACAGCCTACATTCGCGCACACAGGCACTGTGCGAGCCTGTCCTTCGCACGTGGACATAACATTCAACCAGTAACAGCGCACGTCCCAAAAAGCACCGAAGAGCTGCCTGTAATATTCACATTTTGACATGTGTATGTTGCTGAACCGGAAGGTGGCCTGTACCGAGGGCTCGAGAGATCAGTCACGAAGGGTAAAAGAAGGCAGCAAACGAGACCCACGAAAGTGTGATATTGTTGACATTGAGATCGCTGCACCTGCCGTCCGGAGAACACGACAGGGATGCCACGACAGTCTTTTCTTTTCCGGAGGATGTCCCAGAGATACTGAGACAGTAGCCTCAGTAGAAGCTGTTACAAGCGGAGACAGCCGCCACGCACTTGTTGAACCATATGTCCTGGATGTAAGTGTTGGATGGAAACTGGGCGCATGCCGATGCAGAGGTCATATAGCACTGCGGTTATTTTATAAGCATATGTGGGTTCCTGGCGAGCGAACTTTACAGTACCTGGTCGACGATGAGCGGGTTGTCAACGTTAGTCTCAAAGAAGTCTTGAAACGTGACATTCTTCACGATGCCGCCGCCTACGTTAGGACCCGCCCACGCCTTGATGCGTGCACCGTTCTGTGCGTTAGACATTGTGATGTTTCTAACAACAGGCATCATGAGAGACGAATGGCAAAAAATATGCAGCCATGCTGCGTACACGGCTGTTACGTTCTGGACGATATCAAATATCCCTGGGTATTGACCGAGCGAGCCGACCGAGATGCCGCTACGCGGAGTGTGAGCAATGCCAAACATGCGAAGAGCATAGACTTACTGAGAGCCGTTGCACTGCAAGTTGGCCACTAGAATGTTTGTGGAGTCTACAACGATGTCAAATCGAATCAGACAGGACACAGCTGGTGATGCACACTTGGCTTGAAGGAAACACAGTCATCTCCGTTATTGATGACTGAATTTTGAATGACGACATTGTCGCTGCGATAGGTGTCCCAACCATCTGTGTTCTTCGCAGTATTCTTGGATGTGGACTGGGCATCGATGGTTATGTTATCGTAGACTACATTGTTGCTCTGATAAACCTGCCCAAATGCAATATGAGAAACACTTATGAACAAAGCACGGTGAAGTACCAGGTTGTTCCAGTTCGGACCGTTGAGTTCGCGGATGTCTTGGATTTTCACATCGTTCCCATTTAGAATGGTGAGCATGATGGGACGGACAAGCGTGCTGTTGCTAGCACTGAGAGATTCAATCAAATGAGTACGGATAACATGGATGGGTTTCGGCTCATACGCACAAAGCATCATACCAAGCCTAGGATAGATTGTCACTTTCTACGTCTTCACGAATTGTCAACAAACTGACCTGACCGCTGCCGTCGAGCGTTCCTTTTCCGTCGAGAACAATGTTCTCCCCTCCGAGAACCCAAAACGTCGACTGGTTTTGAAATTCAAAAAAGAACGCGTTCTACCAGAACATACAACGACGCAGCATTGACACTGTGCACAATAATGCTCCAGTACATTTGATACACGTACTGAGATCCAATACGAGATGTCATCAGTGAACTTGACGGTCCCCTGCACGCTCTGTGCGCCATGGACGCGTCTGATTATCCTTCCCCAGGATAAAAATTATCGAGAGAGGCGCTCACGATATGCTTATTAGAAACACCAGTCATGTTCATCCGAGTCCCGATGCCGATGGTCGTGTCCTTCGGGACGATCACCGTGTCGCAAGTCCAGACGGCCTTGACGAACGCAGGCGCGTCATCGCCCCCGCTCGCTGCGAGCGTACACGTCGCGTGTGGCCTAGGCCGCGGCGGCTCCCGTCTCGCATCCGCGCCTACGACGCCAGCCACGGCCCCCAGAGCGACCAATTTCAGCAGCAAGTGTGACATACCCATTCTGAGCGCGCGCGGTGCCAGTTGTATACGCTGTTTGCGGAACGACGACGTACCTATTGCCCGCATCGCCCAGACCGTTAATATACCGACGGACCCTGGCAGCGGACCGCTGGTGTCGGAAATAGAGACGGAGGAAGTTATGGCGGGCCGGGCAGACGCGCCAGGACGTTGCGTGGCGCGTCTGCTCGCGCCTCGAAGTGATCTGCACTCGGCAGGAGGGTTTAAATGAAGGGACGCTTAGAAAGAGCATCAAGTGATCCAGGAGAAGCAATCGGGCCAACTTTTGTCGGCGTGTTCGTGAGGACCGCGGCGCGCGTGATGCGGGGTAGGTGAGCAGGTGATCGTCGTCCCAAGCAAGCCATTAATTAAGTATTGCACCCTCGTCGACGACAACGGAAATATAAGCGGTGGATAGATCGGTAAATACATGACTAGTCGCAAATATCATGATTAGTGTGGTTTCAGCTGACAGCGACAAAGTGAGACGCGAAAGAACGTACTATTGCATAGTACTGATCAGTGAAGAAGGATGCTCGATACGCTCATCGAGGATCACGAAAGAGGGAAGAAGGCTACATAGTATACAGAACTGTACAGTATACAAAACAGGACATCATCATAAAGAAAAAACCCGCAAGAAAACGCAGAGAATTTTTAGTAGCAACTAAAGGATCAAAGTTACCGGGCTATTTGACGTTCTCAGCGAGACTTCTCCAGCACCACCACGTGGCAACTCTGACGGTTCCCAACTAACGGCACCCTCAACAACGCCGCCTCGCACATTCCGAACGTTGACGCTCCTCTCCCTCCCCCGTCCAGAGGGATCTTCTTTGCGCGTGTTTCGGTCTACAACCGGACTGAACAGCGAGGTCCCGACTGAGAATGTGCCCTCGTATGCGGAGGCAAGAAGGACGTGTGCAGGGGAGTTTGATGTCTCAGCAGAGAGGCGGAGGATTGAGTCAGGTGGAGAGACGTTATTTGTAATAGTGAGCGGACTGTTTGAAGTTGTCGCATCCACTTTGAATGAACTGCGGAGGGAATCGGTGTAGAGGCGGAGAGCCGCTTTGATCGGGCTGATAGAGAAAGTCAGGCGCAGTTCTGAGGAAGACACCGTAGTTGGCGTACCCGTTTCTGGTGGCCAGGCGCAGAGATGTAGCATGATTAGACTGCGAGTTATAAAGCGATACGTCGGCCTCGATGGGCGCGTTCGACGTCGCCAATTCCAATGATGTCGAGACGTTGAAAGAGCCTCTGATAGCGGCGTTCTCAGTAGAAATTTTTGCACGATAGGCGTCGATGGACTAAAACAACACTCCGTTGAGAATAAGGCGAAGATAATGAGCAAATAGGACTTACCTGAACGTCGATCGGAAAGTTAGATGTCTTGAGCAAGACAGAGCCAAATGTGTAGGCTGAAGCAAGAGGACCGAGATAATGCGCAAACAGCTTGAGATCAGTCTCGAAAGCGGGGATGTAGAGAGTTTCTGCATCAGAAGGCAGGCGGACTGTCACATCGAACTGAAGTTGTTGTTCGCGTCTGTTCTCCCGGTGGTCAGAGGTCTACAAACAGAGCAGTATGAGCCAACTTCCACAATGATGCAAGCGAGCCGGGCCCGTACGAAGATTCCGATCCCATTTTCTCTATGCCCTCGAGTTAACGAGCACACATTTGCCCTTGATAGTGCCTCTTGGGAGTAATACCGCACTTCGATAGAAACCTGAACCTTATCTCCTGCCCCAACGTGATCGTCCTCGATGATGCGCACAATCCCGTGCGAAAGTGAACCACGAGAGAGGAGGAAGAGTGTGTCAGAGTCGAAAGGCAAATCGAGCTGCGTGTTCGCGATGAACTGTCTCGGATAGGTACCGGGTGCAGCACCAATAGGCGTCCACTCAGGCCCATGCACGCACTTTACCGGGCGCTCGTGGGGATGCATTGGAAGTCGTGGAGGGGGAGGCCAGTGACCGCCTTCCCAGTTCGGACCATTCTGATATGCCTATGGTCACGTCTAGTATCACGTACTGAGGCTCAAAATAGCACGACTCACTCCTGGGTAAGGACGCCGATGATGGCTGTAGGCTACCAATTCAACAAAACTGCGAACAAAGATCCCTGTGAGTGCCCAGATGAGGGCGGCGACAAGAAAAGCTTTGAAAAATCGTCTTGTTGTAGACACTCGCGACGCTTGCGCCGGAATCACGTAGATCTGAGTCGTCGATGGATAGTTTTGTGCAGGCTGATAGCCGGAATATGCTGGCGGGGGAGGCTGAGCTGCCGCCTCGGCCGCTTCAGCGTCGTCCGGAGGGTTGCCTTTACGCAGAGGGGCTGTGTCGACGATGATCATAGTGAAGGGATGTCAAGATGGAATACGAAATGACCAAACAACCCTTGACTATCCTCGTCAATGCTTATAGCGAGGTGAGTCAAAAACAGGCACATATTGTTTGGCGCTGGAGCCATATGGTGGCGGACTGCGGAACTGCGCTGGAATGGACGTCATTTCCCTTTCAGGCAACACTTACATACCCTCCTCATCCATGCACAGATTGATTCCCCAGCTCACTGACAGACCTGAAAGATATATCATAGTACAGCTTAGCGCATCGATAATTCATTGCACACAATCCGTCAGCGCAAGATTGTTGATAGCCTGACGATGTAAGTAAAGCGTATTATCATGTTACGTTGCGGATCTTGCTCAATCGTAGCAGGCGGAAGATGTTCTTGAGGCTATTAATGCTGCAGCATGATTGAGAAAAACATGGATGTCCACTGCCGCCATCGAGAGAGAAATATTGATTCAACAGCGTAAGAGTATTTGTTTCGCTCATATCCAATGAAATAAAAATTAAAAAAAAAAACATGATAGACTCTACTGTTATGGCTTATACACAGAACGACTGTCTTCTGTGCAAAGGTCAGCCACGGAGACTACTGTTGTGGCATTATACTTTAGGGCTACCTATATAGGGCGCACATCGATGACATCCATCTCGATGTCATCCATGTGGAGGTTACCTCCACGAAGGTCATCTGTATGACATCAGCTCAGCGATGAGAAGTATCATGGACATGGGGGAGAAAAGCCACACCGCTCGTTTGATGAGACCGTTTGTGTATCCTGACCGGGTCCGTTCGATCGTATTGTGGACGCTCAGTAATCTGATGAATGTGAAACACGATACGAGCAGAGAGGACAGAATAGACTACACGCTGCACCCTGAAGCGAGTTATTTGATGATGCGGCAGAGAACAAGAGATAGTTGCATACCCAAGCAGCAGAAGCATCAGATCTGTCTGATGCAAAAAAAATGAGACAGCTTTGGTACGTAGATGAGAAACCGGCTTACAGAGACCACTAAGATAACGAGGACACTGATCAAGGAAATTACTGAGCATTCAAGATCGATGAGCTGTGCGCCTTGGAGTCATGACATTATTTGATACGAACCAAAGAGCGTGATATAGAACAACATCCCTATACACACAGGTCAGGAATATCAGAGAGAAATGAACAAATCTCCTGCCTACCATCTCTATACAATATTAGAACCAAGTTCGAATTCGATGGGCTGACTAGGCAGCAATCAGCCTATATAGAACAGATAAGATTCACTTGAGGGTGGTTTACCCTTCGTGAGTTGTAGCCCCTTGAACACTGTGAGGCACACGATGACTGAGATATGATCATCAGTCTACCTCTGAGCGCTGCCGACAGGAGAAAATGGCGCACCGGTGTCAAACGCCGTAAAGCTAGCATACGTACCCACAACGTCTATGTTGGCGCGGTCAGCAAGACATCCCTTGCCGGTCGACAACGGCCCAAGGGATGATATGGGGATAACTACCAATAGAATATCAGTACGAATTCCGGGGCCGGTATTTTTGATGTGACTACGTACAATGCGTGGACTTCTGAAACAACGCAAGTGCGACGCTAGCTGCAATGAGAGACGCAAAGAACAACCCGAGGAGAAAGATCCCAATAATCTTGTTCCGGCCCCACATAGCCCATGTTCTCAAAATGATGATGCCTGTCGTGCAGAGAGGTTGATTAGTCACCAACAATCAGAAACAACCCATGCAATATGGACTGACCTTCGGCGACAGCAATTCCGAAGACAATCAACCCTGGAGAGTGAAGTCAATATCAGGGTCCAGCAAGGCGATATAAGCGAGCGCACATCCGTTCGAAGTGTACAAATTGTGGCAAAATTCCCCAGAAAGGTTTTTGCCGAGTTGCACTGCGAACGACTTGGTTCAAGGAGGGTTCCTCATACAATAGTAGATACTACTCACGATATATGGCACAAAATATGTCAACAAATACCGGGTATCTTGTCAGAAAGAATAATACCTTGGCTAGAGTCCATTTCGCCGTCCACATGTACTTGACTTCATATTGCAAGGTCAATAAATAATCGTACACCTAACATGACATATAAGCCGCACTCGAGCAAGAAAATTGCTGGTCATGTGGATGCTCACAAGTATGGATACTGCACAGGCTGGAAGGTAGATTAACAATCAATGGCCAGGCGATTAAAGTTTCCCAACAGACCATTGATATACTATGAAGTGGTGAGCACGAAGTATTGAGCAACGAAGGAATCTAAATACAGTCTCTAGGTTCAGATGGTCGAGGCCTCGTAGCGTTGCAGAAAGATCCGGGCCGCTAGATGACATGAAGGGAGTGGGAAATGTGAACAGCTACCGGAACGTATGCTTTTATACGACAAGACATGCAGGGAAAAACACGGGATCCGCAATCGAGTGTCATATGCATCCATAATAGCGGACACAGAACAAGTGATTAACGCCATACGATCTATCAACTCAGCGCCTAGGGGGACACCCGACTGACACCGGTCACCACGTATGACCTTAGTGAAAGTTTACGCGGGCATTTGAATCAGTGTGTTCTAAAGAACAGTTGCGGTGCGAAGAGATCCGACTCCTGGAGAACATCACAGAGAGCTTCAAGAGGCACACAAGGGTTGCAGGAGACACAGTTCCCTGTGATTGGACATAGATGAGGGACCTTATCAAACCCGATGACGCTCATCATATCAAGAAATGACAGAGATCGTTTCGACTTTTTTGATCCAAGTATGGAGAGTTTTGATCCTGGCTGATCGCATTGCTTAGAACCCGGATGACTTCAAAGCCGTGAGTAGACTGAGCTTTTGGAGACGCACAAAATTCATGATGAGATAGAGAAGAACGTCGAAGTTCCTGGTCAATGCGCACACGAATGTGACTTGGGATTCGATGCCTCAAAACTCAATGCGACAAGTAACTTATCTGCATTAGGCTCGAGCGCCATAAGGAATATCCATTGACATCGTGATACTGACGAATGTCAGCTCTGCCTTTGATCTACGATAAATAAAATTACTCACCTCATGGGGGTACTGGTCCAACGAATCGCAAGGGAGTCGCTGAACATCGATGAGATTGGGTGTGGGAATAATTCGATAACAGATTGTAACGATTCAGACCGAGTCACTTCCGCTACTAGACAAGCCTACACAAGTGCAACCGGTTTAATTTCTTGCCAGCTCACACCCATCTTCATCACTCTCCGAGCACAGATAGGGAGTCGAAATGTCTGCTTTTCACGTAGACGAAGCCGCAGGTTCAGACACCGCTGGCGCTGGCACGCCGGATGCTCCCTACCAATCGATCGCGTTCGCACTTTTCACACACGGACAGGATGCTAAGGTGCTTGTGAGAAAAGATGCTAACACGCCTTATGATGAACCGACTCAGTCCGCCCTCAAGAAAGCAAAGAAAGGAGCAGATGGACTAGAGAAGAAAAAGAAGAAGGCGGAAGAGTTGGCGGAGAGGGAGGCGAAGGCGAAGGGTGAGGAACGTGAGCGGAGAGAACAGAACATCGAAGAGAGTAAGAAGATCAAGCTTGTAGAAGACGAGAGTCTTCCAAAAGCTGTCAAGGTGCGTGGATGCTTTCCGATCGTCCCAAGGCGGACTATTCATGTAGGGTGGCCTAGGCAAAAATTGTCGCCCTTGCGCCCCTACGCTCCAAACGAGTTCGCGTGCTCGGATGGGTACATCGTCTGCGATCGCAAAAGGATATCATCTTCGTCGTTCTACGCGATGGAACTGGTTACCTTCAAGCGGTCCTATCTGGCCAAGTTGTGCGTCCCTCGCATTTCAAGTCAGCTTTTCGATGTCTGACTTGATATAGGCACAAACTTATGATGCACTTACGCTTACGCTTGAGTCGACAGTAGAGCTCGTTGGCACACTTCAAGAAGTCCCGGAAGGCAAGAAAGCTCCTGGCGGGCATGAGCTCTCAGTTGATTTCTGGCGTGTCTTGGGTGCCGCACCTGGGGGCGACGACGCCTTCACCAATCGCTTGAACGAGGCATGTATCCTTAATGACCTTTCAAATCGCTTCATCCTCATTACTTTACTACAGAAATCTGATCCTTCGATCTTGGCAGATCTCAGGCATCTAGTTCTGCGTGGCGAGAACGCGTCCAGCGTACTACGTCTGCGCGCTGCCCTCCTACGCTCCTTCCGTGATTCATATATGGATCATCATCTGTTGGAGGTCACCCCGCCTTGTCTTGTGCAAACGCAAGTGGAGGGCGGCGCGACGTTGTTCAAACTTGATTATTATGGTCAGCCGGCTTTCTTGACCCAGAGCTCGCAGCTCTACCTTGAGACATGTCTGCCGTCGTTAGGCGATGTGTTCTGTGTTCAGGAAAGTTTCCGTGCCGAGAACAGGTGAACTCTCGCTACTCGACGCCTATTGAATATCCCTTTCTGAAGCGCGTTGTAGCCATACTCGTCGCCATCTGAGCGAGTATACACACTTGGAAGCTGAGCTGGCTTTTATAACATTCGACGATTTGATGAACCATATCGAATCGATTGTAAGCAAATATCTTTTATAGCATATCGAAGCTGATCTCCCCTCTTCAGATATGCGAAACTGTCGACCGACTGCTCCAGAACGAGTCCGCTGCGGCTTTGATCAAGCAGCTCAACCCCACCTTCCAAGCTCCTGCCCGGCCATTCCTCCGCATGTCTTACGTTGATGCGATCAAATGGCTCAACGAGCATAAGATCCAGCACGAAGCCGAAGACGCCGAGGGCAACCCGATCAAGGACGAACAGGGCAAGGTGAAAATGGTCGACCACATCGTGGGAGATGACATCGCCGAGGCTGCCGAAAGGCAGATGACGGATATCATTGGGACGCCTATGTTCTTGTATGGTTTCCCGGCCGAGCTCAAGGCATTTTATATGCAGAAAACGCCCGGTGGGCCAGGGGAGGGTGGGAAAGTGTTCACTGAGAGCTGCGATCTGCTGATGCCTGGCGTCGGTGAGATTGTCGGGGGCTCGATGAGAATCGCAGAGATCGAGGAGCTTCTGAAAGCATACAGAAGAGAAGGAATTGACCCAGCGCCCTACTATTGGTTTACGGACCAGAGAAAGTATGGAACCTGCCAGCATGGAGGGTATGGTCTGGGTGTAGAGGTTTGTTATGTCACTTTTTCTAGTTGGGATGTGTACTCAAGTTATCTCTTCTCTTGAACAGCGGTTCCTGGCATGGCTGGCTAACAGGTACACTGTTCGGGAGTGCTCTTTATACCCGAGGTGAGTTCAAATATCTAGCTCATCTTCGGCAGACAGCTAATATATGCAACTGTAGATGGCCTGGTCGTGCTACGCCATGAACGCCGGTGTGGATTTTTGGTGCCGTTGCTCCGATTCATTGCGAAAGATATGTATATTCATGGAATGCGATCTTTGCTCGCTATTGTTGTTGTAACTGTTGTCTGGTAGGTAGTGGGTCAAATAGATTGCTGTACTAATGTCATCCTTATCTTTCTCCTTGAAATCAGTTCCCTATTGTATGATGCGGCTCGGTCATATTTTACAGTTTACTACGCAGCCTAACAAAGCTCAACACGACGCAAGTTCCAGATCACTCTGCCCAGAACGCTCCGAGGACGAGTCAGACATCGTTAACCTCATTGGAGAGCCATGGCTATGGTGTTCATCCGCAGCATGATCCTGATCCAATTTACCACATGCCCATATGGATCCATATATAAGTATGTGCCTAATCACTTGTATAGGCAATTGTCTAGGATCTCGCAGGGACAAATTGCTGACTTGGGGTCATGTCACCTCAAAGTATTCACCACCGGCCTGACATCATAGTCCCACCCATCATTTTTGCGCAGCACACGCAATGCTCTAATGTCCCAGCAGGCCACAGCCGTCCTCCGCATACTTAAAAACGAGGTGGCAGAGGTGACTTGTATCATCTTTCCTCGTCCTTCTTATCATCATGGATACCTCCTCCACACCCTTGCAGAAAGGCGAAGGACAACCGCTGAGCTATGATGCCATACTGAGCGCTGTACCCACCTCATTACCGCCAGCCTATCCTGTACAGGCTGCGAGCTATCCCGGATATCCAGTGGCGACTCATGTATACATCATGCCCAACCAACCTCATGGGCGCCGGTCTGCATGCGGGCTCATCTTCAAGCTATTCGGTTGTACCTTTGTATTCTTAGCGTTGGGACGTATTGTCCACCACATTTTCTATCGGCACTCAACTTGGGTACGCAGACTGTTATTGCGGACTTATTCAACTGTATCTAATGATGGTTTAGGATGACGACTGGGACTGGAACAACTTGGGACGCTGGCCCACATCATCGAGCCCTGTACCAACAGACGGGCATCAACACCCGCTGAAATGTATTCAAGGTGCTGGATGGACTCCTGTCGACGACAGTTCTGAAGATTTTCCGTCGATGCACCTTGCCAAAGTTGACTTTGAACTGCCTTTTTCCTCTTCGGAATTACTCTTCTTTCTCTCCACTGGGTCTCTTTCACATGGCTCTATCAATATGATCGAGAAGAAGGGCAATGGCGCTGAGCAAGACACAGTCGACGTATCCATTCTTGTTGGTTTCTACTCCCGTGAAGCTCTCTCCCGCGCAACCGTATGCTCACTCGAACGCGAAGAAGGGCAGAATGGAATCGGAATATTCGTGCGTATCTCCAAGCTACTCAATTCCTGACTGTGCCTTAAATTCGAATTGATAGACTCCGACTGTCCACGATCGCCACTCTTGGAGGGATATGTTACAGTTCAGCATCACTGTTCGTCTTCCTACTCCAGGGTCAGGCAAAGCGCCCTTAGATGTACCGGCTTTCGAGACAAGCTTCCATAACTTCAAGCACTCCTTTAGTCTTTCAGATACATTTTATCGGTTCGGTTCAGTTCGACTTCAGACCACGAATTCTGGAATCGATGTTCAAGTCAGCCTAGTTCCTTTTCCTACACGCGCGCAGCGACTGAACATCCATTCAGTCTATGGTTGTCGAACAGGTAATAATAGCTACGACCAATGGTCACATCCATGGCTCATTCAATACCTCCACTTCGTTGACTCTCGTAACCACCAATGCATATGTGGATGTTGAGGCACAGCTTCACAATGCGAACACCGAACATCCCACTACTCTGCACACGAGCTCTACAAATGGGTACGTTTCTGTCTTCTTATCGTGTCTTCGTGGATGGACTCTTGACTGCCTTGTGTTAGTGCGACCAAAGTAAGCGCATCACTCCACAGCACCAGCGAAACCTCCGCTGGCTCTTTCAACATCAACTCGAGAACCTCCAACAGCCCGCTTGATGTCAGCGTGAACGACGCCCCTGCAGATTCTACTCTCTACGTCTCTGGACACACTACGAACTCGCGGGCGCAGGTTCGCCTCCCTGCAGCGTACAAGGGGACGTTTGTGCTCTCGACTACCAACTCGCACCCTACGTTGGACCATAGTGAGGAACGTGAGGACCCATCCGGTCGGGGTAGGAAGAGGGTCATTGATGTGAATCCGGTGGATGGGAAGGGGAGGACTGTGAGTGGTGAAATCAAGTGGTCACCAAGAGACGAGACCAGTAGGTCGAAGGGCGTGGTTGCGGTCAGCACGACGAATGGTCCGGTTAAACTTTCCCTTTGATTGAAAGCTTGAATATTGGTTCTCGCATCTCCTTTTCTATGCTTTTCTTTTCGTCTGCGCTCCTCGTGCCAGGTTATACAGATGTTTGAAAGCCGATTGCAGAAGGTTGTACAATATCGTCTCTCTACCTAGTCAAACTCACATTTGTATATGCTGCTAGCAACATCGCGCCATTTACTATCTCTGGCTGCAAATGCTTCCGCATATTCTGCCTCGAGGTGATGCAGTCTCTTACCGACAATCACCAGACTGTGTAATGGCTCGCCGTACACCTCTTCCGGCTGCTGAGAAAGCTCATCAAGCGTGCCGCAAACGATGCGCTGCTCGTCGCCGCCGCCGACACGCGAAACAGCAATTGCAAGGGTCGAGGCAGGCGAGAGGATTCCACCTTTCCTCATTGACTCTATCTCGCACAGCTGGGAAACGGCGGTAGGGATGGACATGAACCGTGGCGGTTCATAGATTTTGCGGCCCCTGTAAATTGTTGGTTCAAGAATCAAGATGAATTCGCCCAACTGGATGACAGGGAAAACGGACCGGGCGAGGTTTTCCTCGCTTTGCTCCTTCACTTTGATATCAAGCAGCACAAGGGTGTGCATCCCGAGAACCGAGTTCTCCGCAATCCGATCGTAGAAACTATCTGGCTTCCACGTGTCTGTGAAGAAGACGAGAGAGACGGTTTGCCCGAAGTTATAAAGCTGCAGTCCGCATGCGCCGATGGCATTCATGATAGATGCATTATGCACCACACGTGTTGGGATCTTCAGGGCCCGCGCGCGTAGAATGATGTCTGTATGAGTTGTTGCACTGGATAATGGTGTCTGGCAAACAAGGAAACCCGGTGCACAGGAGGACTCACCCGAAAGGGTCGCCCACGACTAGCAACGATATGTCCTCCTTGTCTGCATCTTTCAGAATCTCGTCACTCTGTGTCTCCACCATGTCACGGTCCGCGAGAATTAGCTCTTTGCCGTAAAACTCCTCCTTTCTTGCGTAAATAAGTCAGTATTCACGCGAAAGTTTTAAATTGATGTATAGTGATACTCGCCAGGCGTTCTTTTTGCACCATCAGGATGCTTGTGTATGCTTCGAGGTAAACGCGCGTGGATCCTTTGATTGCCTAGTGTGCCAACGAGCAACGGGATGGATGTCAGCTTCCTTCAAATGGTGTGAGCGATGTTCAAGTGAGCTTACCTCTAATCCCCGAACAGTGATATCCTTTTCATCGCACAATCCGAGGCCAATGACATAGAACATGATAGGCTTGTGTTTTTAACTACCTCAAGCGTCAGGGAGTATACTTGGCATCGTTCCGCACATGGTAGCTCACTTTGAGTCAATATCCAGTTAATCAAATTGGAGGATGATTCAGATTGTTCAACGATGTTCGGAGGAGTTGTTTTCGCTCAAATTGTCAGGATGAAGATCGCGTCCCGATAAGATCAGATCATGGAGAGATAAGATAAGATAATATCTAGCTTCTAGTCAGTTCCACGGAACAAGTCATGCATCTATCTGACTCGAAAAATCACATATGTCGTTAGGATCACAATACAAACCCATATCATAAATCCTGATCGCCCATAAGAACCTACAACCAGCTATCGCCTACCGCTGAATCCTCTTCAACTACAAACTTCAACTCCTGATTTGCCATCCTCATCCACGAACCCTACATCATGATCGGCGAAAATCAGACTTCACAGAGACAGCATGAAACAAATATACGCACCTTGTACATGTGCGGCCCCATCGATACAGTGCGGAGGAGCGAACCCTCCCTCCGCATCAGTGCTTCGGCCTCTGCCCGTCCAAAACGCGCAGATGGTGATCTGGGCGAGTATTGAAGGTATGAGGACAATGGTGTGCTTAGACCTTGACTGCTCTGGTTCATGTCCGGTATCCAGTGTACATGCAGTCTGAGAGAGTGCAGGTGTTTTGCCTTCGCAATGACGTGTTCGATCGAAGCCTGCAGAGTATTATAGACAGAACGTGCGATCTGCGTCAGCGCTAGATTCAAAAGTGGGGAAGAACCTGCAGCATCGGATACACACCGGATCTGGGCTGGCCACCGCGCACGAGAGCGCCTCCAGCCGTGGAAAGAGCGTACATAGGCACTCGATGTCCTCGAGTGTAAGCTGCGTCATATTAACAAGGAAGCTCTTCAGCGTCCCCCCATGTGTATGCGCTAGCGCGAGCAGAAAATGGCGCGGGATCGTCGTTTGTCCCTGCGTCGAGAACGCGTTGAGTACGAATGCCTCGAGTGAGGGGCGCGGGATCAATTGGTGCAGCCACACCCACAGGCGCTGCGGGCCTTGCAGGTCGACTGAGCTTGTGCGCACCGTCAGCCGCCGCAAGCGTGGCAGCGTGGCCTCCTCATCCAAGTCCGCAGGTCGTCGCCGTAAAATTCCCGAGCCGAGAAATTCGGTGTCAAGGGCCTGTAGATTCGGGAGCGACGCGAGGATGTCTGGAATTGCGGCACTTGGCGCTCCTTTAAGGTTGAGTACACGCAGACGCGGCAACTGAGAGAGGACAGATATTAGGATTGTGGCGGGCACTCCAGCGCAGCGCTGTCGATAAGGATGTCAGCACAATATTTGAAAGCTCAAAGACTGAGAGACCTACACCTAACTCGAGCTCGGTCAAGGTGTCTCCGAGAACGCCTGCCCAACCTTGCAAGACTCGTGGCGGTCCGTTCATGCACCATATAGCGATTTTGTGCAGCCCCGTAAATTCATTCAGAACAACCCATATGGGTTCCCCGAGATCGGAGTATGTTCGAATGGTCAGTGAGCGTAGGGGTAAATCTTTGAGAATTTTGAGGAAAGCCTTGAATAGCTGGCCTGAAGAGTAGCTGTCGTCGTTCCATGCGAATGAAGATAGATTAGTGCAGAGGCGGAGTGCCTGAAACACTGTTTCCGTGATCGTTGGGTGAGTATGATGCATGACACCTGGAGATGACAGACACGTTAGTGCTGCACATAATGGTATCGAAGCCTAAATCAACCATTCAGATGGCACGAAAATTCCAGAAGCGCATGATAGACAGACGTGTCGGTTTTCGACGTTCTGGCGCTTGACCGGTCCTGCAATACGCTTGCCGGGAAGACTCGCACCCAGGCAGAACGAAAGGAACCGACCATTAAACGGCGCCGGTCGGACAACGGTCTTAATGGGGCAAATGGATTAAACGAGCAGATCATCGATGCGGCTGACCATCGTTGAATCAGCCTGACCGTTGCGCGCCTGATATAAACCCAAGGACACGCGTGATCCACAGAGGGCTTGCGTGGTATAGGAGAGCAAAGTGAGAGACAAGAGAAGAAGGCGTACTCAACCTGTCTCGCGCACCTCGCGCACATACCGTGCCAGCATCGGCTTTTGGAGGATCGTGACGGCCGGGTGGAGCACGATGGGAGACTAGAGACGAGACGGCCGAACCGTGAGCGCAGGTCCAGACGCAGGCGAAGAGGTCGTCGACTCAGCGACCAGGGCTGCAACGCACCGCTTTATCTTCCCATTTCGTGCGTGTGTCGAGCTTGCGATACAGCAGAGGAGTGGCAGCGGCGTTAAAGCAACGGCTCGTGAGTGCAGCTGCGTGAAGGTCGAGGCGATCGTCGAGGTGCTCAAGGATAGGATATAGGATGTCGAGAGGTATCTTCTCCGGCCTGAAGGGCATGCCGCCGTTCAGCCAATTCCGAGCGAAATTCAAACCAAGAGAGAAGGCAAGAAAGAGAAGGGGAGAGAAGGAGCGGTTTAGCGAACGACGTCGACTTTGTAAAGAGTAAGGGATCGCCGCCGGAGTCGAGACCGACAAGCGCACTGAAGCCGTTCAAAGCCGTTCACATCCTTGAGACTTGTCCGAGAAGACCGAGCTTGATCATCTAGTCATCTGATGGTATGATGCCAGCTCCAAGGCCTCGCGTTCTTTGCTCTACGGCCGACGGTCAACGGTACCAAGTATGTGAGCTGATTTTTGGGACAGCTATAGACCTGTGAGACACACCGCAACCGAGCCTAGCCGCAATGAATGCTGTCTGAGGTCAGGTTGCAAAGTTGGAAGTTTGATCAGTTGCCGCAGACCAACATCTTATCTTATCTCTGTGCCTTGATGCTTCACATTTATCAGAAACTCTAGCCTCCATGACCTGGGAAATAACCTAAAACAATATAGGCATACGTATGGGGAACACCCTCAACGGCATGTCGGCCTCTACCCATGCTCTACCACATATTTTCTCAGCGTCAGGCGGCTCCGAAACGGCGTTTAGATATAGCATTATCACTGTGGGGGCACAGGCCTTGGAGTCTAGATCGCTCGTCAATGGCTGACTGGAAATGACGAGACCAAGCGTCTACAGACAACACTGTAATGTTAATGAAACTTGACAATTGACACACACACACGAATGACATATTCTATTATCGTAGCTTTCGAGCAGTGTTTGAAGTGCTCGATGGAGTTTCACAGGGTGACATGGGAACATTGAATGGCCCCCTTTCAACCGAAACATGACACTAGAAATACGAGAGATGGAAAGGAATTCGATGAAAGACGGTCGTCACACATTTCGTATTGGAAGGAATTGTCTCACCGTGCTATTTGCGCACAGACTGCAGTGTGCACGCACAAGCGCTTCGCGACCCGGCAAGAACGAGAAGGTGTCGTTCTCTGATTAGACTTGCGCACTTCAAAGCGACGCACTGGGGCAGGCCTGAGTAGCACCATCCGAAACCTCGGTACGCGTGCGATTATGATATATCAAAGTAGTCCAAATGTAAGAAATGAAATACTGACGGGCATCGAAAGAAAGCGAATACAACACATGACGATTGACAAGCGACGTACACCCATATCCGATCACGTCAAATCACATACCCCGTCCACGCCCGCCGCGACCACGCATTGGCCCGCCGCGTGGCATGCCGCGTCCTAGAGTATGACGAAGCCAAGGCAAAGAAGCGGTCAAGAATCGTGTTATTCAGATCGGGATAGCATGACTGACCTCGTGGTGGAAGTCCACGCCCTATAGATTGCATCGATTAGCTTGCGCCATTCAGGAGAAGGGGAGGTCGAGCGAGAGCAAAAGCAAAGGGGACAAATGAAGGGGTGGGCACGAAGAAACGAATACTCGCCTCGTACACCCGCGCCGCTAATATGTGCACCTCGTGCACTCTTCCCGGCTTCGCGCGCGCGCGCCTGCTCCTCCTTCACCGCGTCCAGCAAGGTATCCGGCACGCGAAGGTATTTGATCTGCACCGACCACGCCACACATTAGAGGAATAGCTCTCCAGAGGTGAACATGGAATGGAAAGAGAGTTACGCACTGTGCTCCCGCGAATATAGCACTCTTTGACCTTCCAGAACCGGTCGCCGTCCGCGCTCGTCTGGTACACCTCACGCAGCGTGATGTTCATGAAGTTGTCGCAGTTAATAAGATGTCCGTTGAATGTCTCTCCATTCTTCAGCTCGACCAGCTATGTCATTGGACGCGCGAACCATCAGCCTTCGCTGTGTGCATGCAGAAGCAAGGTTGGACTCACCATAGGCTTATTTTGCGCCGCATTGAGGAGCGATAGTGGGAGCTGTTGTATAACTTTGATAACAGTCACTAACCATCAAAAGATTGTGCTCTTACCATCGCAAAGAAGGTTGTTTGGAGTGAAAAGTGAAGAATACGAACGATCGCAGCGCAAGGCGCAGATGCACCATCCACAAATCCTGACCCTAACCTTGTGTCAGTGTTTGTCGGCTGTTCTCTGTTCTTCCGCTCTCGGCCTTGCTCTCGGCCCAGTCGAGTGATTCCGGCGTACCCACGACCCACTCTCCTCCTCATTTTTTCTGTGCTGGTTTACATCTCCCATTTTTATCTCTTTTCCTGAGCCTGGTGCCCACATAGATCCCAATCAACTCATTACATTGGGAGACAATGATCTCCCGCTTCACCAAGACCTTCCTCGCTATCATAGTCGCGCTCGTACGTCCAGCCGACCTCAGATCATCCGCTCCACTTGACTCTTAATGAAGTTTCCCTGGGCTGATAATTGTGGAACGTAGTTCTTGGTGTCATCCTTGGCATTTCTTCATGCACCCTCTCGGGCCTACATCGACCCATGGACGGGCGACCTCTTCGGCGAGGGGGGCGTAGAGAAGCAGATTCACGCGCTGCAGCCCCTCGTGCCACAGTCGGATGTCGCTGCGCACGGTGGAGTGATTATGTCTAAGCTTGGGAACGAGACCGCAAAGTGAGTGCGTTACCGTACGCTTTGGATTGCTTCAATACGCGTCCCTACCTATCATTCTATCATACTCGTTTGATGACCAATGCGTCCTGAACCTCTGTCAGAGCCGCACTAGGTCGCGCAACGTGGAAACTTCTGTGCGTGCTTTTTATCCACCGAAAGTTCGAACGCTTATGTGGACCAAGGCAGTCACACGATGACGCTTCGTTACCCTGAAGCACCGACAGAAGATGAGCGTACGGCGCTGCTATCTTATTTCCACCTCACATCGCGCCTGTACCCCTGCGGCGAGTGCGCCGCCGAGTTCCAGCTGCTTCTCAAGAATTTTCCGCCGCAGGTCCGTTCTTTCTGCTACGCACTTGATCTTGGGTGACAATCCCGACTGTGAACGGTACGGCCTATTTATCTTGTGTGCTTCGCTTTCGACATCTAGACATCTTCACGGCGCTCTGCCTCCCTCTGGCTCTGTCACGTACACAACCAAGTGAACGAGCGGCTACATAAGCCGGCCTTCGACTGCGCGCATCTCGACGATACTTACGACTGTGGGTGTGGCGACGAGCCACTCTCCGCATCCTCAGATGTGTCTCCCTTCAAGGAGAAGGCGCGGGAGGGTGACCCGATGGACTTAGAGCGGGATCCGAGCCGCGACGAGATCACAGGCGTAGAGATGATTAAGGGCGGGCGATGATCGCTTTCCTCCTCATCTTGTGCTTCATTTCTTGTTGGGAATTAGTAGTGTTGGGACGTCCGGGTCTTTTGCATCATTTTTCTGGATTATTATTTCTCCGCTTATTGTGATTCGTGATCGCGACAAGGTTGCGCCACCGACCTTCATTTACTTCGACGAGTAAACCTTGCAAACGAAGTCTTTAAGGCTGCGAGCGGCGCCGTCGGCACGGAAATATCACGGAACCGTTTTCCCACTTCTGCAGACTTCTACTGATGTCAGCCCGGCGACTACAGCAGCATCCAGCTCACTTCCGAAGTCTACCTCCCATCGACTCAAGATCGGAACAATCAGTTTCTGGCCCTGAATATCAACGCACAGAAAACCACCCGTTCGAGCTCAAATAGTGCTCAAACCTAAAAGACAATCACACAGACACCTAGTGCACCAAGATCAGTGGAATGTAAAGGATGGAGAAGAAACTGTCCGACATTTCCAGGTACATGCTCATATACGCTCCATCTGGTCATTTGTGAGCTCAATTATTCGTTCCAGTACGAACGATCCTATTGTTTCAGGACAGCAGTCGCTCCATGCTTCGAACACATTTTCCGATGTCAGCTCACCGAACGACCTCAAAGCTCCCGTTTCCATCCACATCAATTCGCTGCCTATCGAAATCCTCCTTCACATCTTGACCTGGCTCTCTGTAATCATCTCATACGACATGAAGCGTCTGCGTGATGAACGGACGGCTCATGCACGACTTGTCTGGATAGTGCCCGCAACCCATGTGTGTGGACATTGGCGCGTTGTGGCAATTGCATATTCATGCTTTTGGACTGATATCAATACAGATCTGGTTCGTGAGTGGGCTTTGGAGATGATGCGCCGTGCGCGCCTTGTACCCGTGAATGTGTGCCTAGACGATGTAGCATGGCCGCCGCTCTCCGATTACGCGGTAGAACATATTGACCGCGTACGGGAGCTGCGGTTCAAAGGCTCAAGACAGATTCCGATGCCCATCCTCGAGCGCTTGTCCAACCCTGCCATGGCTTTGGAGACCATACAGTTCGAAATCACTTGGCCAGACAGAGTGCGATATCCATCGGGCTTAATCGCACGGGCAGTTGGGCACTTGCGTCATGTCGAACTCAACAACTGCAGCATCTCCTGGGCTCACCCTACGTTTGCACCCAAAATGGTCTCTTTGAAACTTTCCTTCGCAGGTGGATGGCGGATGGATGAAGCGGCTAGACTGACCTGCGCGCGCCTGCTCGCGATGCTTGAGAACATGCCGTGCTTGAGACGCTACATCTTATCCACACCCTGCCAAGAGCCGCGGCTTTCACTGACATCTCTCGCATTGTCGCGGTCCCTCTTCTCAAGGAGTTGCAGCTCACCGGCCTTGTGGCCGACTGTTGTTGGCTGGCTAGGAGTCTCGCTCTCCCTGCGACTGCATCCGTTGAGATTTCGAGTTATTCGCACGATCTGTCAGACGGTTGTCAGCGGTTAATTCCAGACCTTGTTGCCGTATTGCTGCGCTTACTGCGACGCATCCCATCGGGTATCTCGATATCGCATATTACTCACGTGCTTTGGCCTTCACCGCAGTGCCGTTCTCTCGAACGTGTATAGAGGAACTTTGCCCACCATCACAGTTGAGAATTGTGATAGATTTGATGTTTGCTAGTGACGCAGTGTTCTTCGCAGTGTTCGAGGCTGTCCGCGCTTCCATCCCTCTTGACCGCGTAAACAAGCTTGTCGTGCATACCTCTCACGACCATTGGTTTCAGCCACGGCACTGGCAGGAAACACTACACAGTGCAAACCGTATGAAACTCTAGGGGTGATAGGCGAGCAACCGATTCGGCACCTTGTGCACTTGTTTGGAATGAGGGCGAGCATGGAGCCACCGTCGGACGGGGCAGAATCTCTTCTTTTCCCGGTGCTGAACTTCCTTGACTTCTTTAGTATTGACATCCACCACCAGGGTACACCAGAGGCGCCATCGTTAGTCCATACTATTTCTAAAAGCCTCAAATATCGAGCAGCGAAAGCCCCCCTCCAGACGCTTCACCTGCATGATTGCCAGGCGCGGATGGAATGGGTTGATGATCTCAGAAACACTGTCCCTGCTGAGATTACTGAAACCCTTGTGTATCCTTGCTACTCCCTATTTGTACGTTGAGTATAATTGTCTTACTTTCTCTAGGGAACACTTGACGTCTACTTGGGGGGGGGTTCAGGGGAAGGGAAGGGCTTGGAGAGCGGATTTCCGCGATGGGGTCAAAAGCGAGGGCAGGAGATGGGGGTATGAGCGATCATATAGAAAGTGGAAGCACTGTGATATGCGTCAATCGCATGCATCGGAGCTTAATATCATCTTCCAGAGTTTCGTTCATATCAATTTAGGACTACGAGAGCACATTACCCTGAGACATGGAGTGGAGATATAAAGCTGAACGCACACAGTAGGAGCTTATGTATCCTTACATTTACAATCACAGAGATCTCAACTTTTCAAAAAGAACATGCAAAAATGAGGACACCAAGACCGTGTGCATTAAGAGGGAATCGAACCCCCGGCGGGTCGATGGCAACGACCCAGGTTACCACTACCCCATTAATGCTTCTATACGCGATTCAGCTTGAGATCATATCAAGAGGACGCTGCCTCGGAGCGAGTCATTGCAGGATCACAGGTCATCGCGCTTGAATGGCGATACACCCAGAACTCATCATGACCTCCTCTTTGTCCATCTTCTATATTTTCCAGCCAAAAAGTTGTCTTAATCTTCCGCCAGAGGCTCAAGCACTACTTCTTCCAACTATGACAAGCGTCGTACCAGGCTACAAGGCATAGCCAATGCCACTCTTGAAGCTATCAAACAGGGCTCATATACGCTGAACGGGTCCCGGTATGACCTCCAGTTGACAGTCCACTTTTCAGCTGAGAGAACACGATACTACGCTCCGGAGTCGATGCTTCAGCAAGGTCCTTGACAACATCACCTCAACGCGTCGGCGATCCACCGCGAGGAGAGTTGTCGATCATCGAGGTATCTACACTCGAGGGAGCGCGCAGTCTCGCTGTTCGAACATCATCTGCAGCCACGTCGCCGTTACCCGATCGCAAAATCGGAGTGCTCAACTTTGTGTCCGCGAAGAAGCCCGGTGGTGGGTTCCTCACAGGCGCACAAGCGCAGGAAGAGTCCATCGCGCTCCCCTACAAACTACCCTACCCTCATCACGCGCACAGCGCAGCAGTTCTACGACCTCCACACCAAGAACCCTCGAGGCGGGTACTACTTGCACGCCATGATCTACTCGCCCGCCGTCACGGTGTTTCGCAGCGATGACGGTGGCTGGATCGAGCCGTATAAGATTGACGTGGTCACAAGTCCTGCTGTCAATGCGGGTGTGGTACGTCGAGGCGCAGGCGCGAACGTGGAGGGAGAAATTGCGAGGGTGACGAAAGAGAGGATGTCGGGAGTCCTGTATTTGTTCGAGCAGAGCAGTGTACGGGATCTGGTACTGGGCAGTTTCAGGACCGGCGTCTTTCGCAATGACGTGTGGGTCGTTGCAAGACTGGATGGATATTCTTGTCGTCGATGGCGCGGGGTTCAAGGGTTCATTCGATCACGTCGTCTTTGCTATCCTCGCCTGGGAGACCTGCGACGAGTTCCAAAAGACTTTCAAGGAAGGCCACAAAGATACCTGAACGTAAGTTACGTTCGGTCCTTCTTCACTACTCGTCTAATAACAGTCTCAAACTTATCAGCGATACCCTTTATCCTGTTTTAATCTCGGGTAATTATCACCGTAAATTAATGTTGTAACCTTTCCATCGCCTCGTTTCAATCATGTGTTTGGATGAGGTAACGACTTCATTTCACAGTGCCATGGGCATTTTTCTTCTTCTCCTTCATCCCGGGTATACCCATGGCTTCACACCGGACTTGTAGGCAGGAATATGACATTGACACTGACGCTGAGACCCTGGTTGTTGGGAAGTTTTCTGGTGATGTGAGCACGGTCGAGGATAGGACCTCTAGCGTGACGCGACATCCCGACTATTACTTCTACGACGGTTCTCTGGCGGTCTTGGTGCGTGTCACGTCTTTTACTCAGATCAAGCTAAAATTTCATTCGTGGGTGTTCGGTACTCCACAACAATTAGATTGAAAACACACTCTTTCGCATCTTTGCTTCAACACTCACGAGACATTCACGATATTTCCACGATTTGCCAGAATTGCAGTTTCCTATTGGAAAGGGCACGCGGGGTGTGGGCCAGTCAGATGACAACCCACTTGTCCTCGATGCTTCATGCATTGATTTTGAACGACTGTTATGGATTTTGTACCCTCCGTGCGTCCTATCTCATCCCACTTGCAGTCATCCCATTTAATCTCTGCCTCCGCATGCATAGCCGATTTGGTGGCTACCATCCAACCACTGCAGCCGAATGGACGTCCATTCTGCACCTCTCGACGCTGTGGTCCTTTGCGGACATTCGTGCGCTCGCGATCGAGTCGCTGCAGACGCTCCCGATGCACCCCGTCGACAAGGTCGTGCTTTCGCACAAGTACGGCATTCGCGCCCGGTGGACGCTCGACGCGTACGTGGAGCTTTGCGAGCGCGCGGATGCGCTCAGCGTCGAAGAAGCGCGGCGACTGGGGCTCGAGACCGCGATGCGCGTCGTGCAGGTGAGGGAGAGGATATATCGGCGGAGCGGGTACTATGGTGGCTCGGGAGCAGGGTCGCCTGAGACGCGTAGGAGCTTGGATTTGGGCAGGTCTGTGGGGGCGGGGAAGAGCGTGAGCGTGGGTCGGGGTGTGGATGGAGCCGCGGAGCAGACGATGCGCAGGGCGTCGGTGAGCGGGTCGCCGCTGGGCCTCGGGCTCGCGAGGGGCGCACAAAGGCTGCCAATTGTGCCGCGATTGGTGGCTCAGACTTTCGGTTTTGAATTGGGGGAGCACACTTGACAGGTACAGTTTTCACCTAGTCCATGTCTTTGGTATCTCAAGATTTGTATCTTTGGAGCCGACGTCGATCGACTTTTTTCTCTTTTTTCTGCGGCATCAAGGATCATCGGAGGGCAGAGGCCCTCTCGGGTGCGACGTCAGCTGAAGACTAAGGCTTCCAGCGTCGAGTCCAAATCTAGAACTGTGAACGTCGATTCGGGGATCCTGGGGAACATCATCGTTAGCCATCAGATTCACGTCGGATTCTTGCCACTAGACGCCCACGGTTTCTAGGATCTGAGTGGGACCAGGTCAGGTCGTAAGTCGACGACGGTCAGTATTGTCGTACGTTGGAGATCTCGGCGAGCAAACACTACGCGTGCCTGATGGGGAAGGAAAGGAGGTGGCGGGCCGGTGATGTTCCGGCACTCTCCGCCGTCGATGTCAACAACGATTACAGGGATTTCTGCTTCAACCCCGGGTCTCTGTTCATCTGCTGAGTGCTTGCGCTTGAGACCGAGCCCCTGTTCGTGACCTTGTCGGGTGCACTGGGTGGGAAGACATGCGGTACTATTGGATGGACCTGACTTCGAAGCTCGTTGATCTCCTCTTGGTCGTTCGTTGCAGGAACGCATCGCACCGATGATCCAAAGAAGCTATACGGTCGCTCTCAGCTTTCCCTCTGTGTGCGTCCTAACTGGCCAGATGGGCAGCGTCAAATTTCAAAAGGCATCTCCTCCCCTGGATACTCCCAATTTCAGCGAGTCGACTTGGCCGGAGCGCGGTATCGAACGAACTCAGACTCCACTGCTGGTATTCGCCACGATTACGCGCGCTCTCGACACGGCTCCCCTCGAATTGTGATTCTTGATGCCATTGCATCGCTCGAGGCGCACGGACCCATCCTGTGCTCGTCCTCGTGCCAATCGGCGGCCTCTGCTCACGCGCCACGAAGGGACTTCTCCAGGGGCGGCTCGAGCTGAACGCACCCTCGAATGCAACTGCTCCCGACGGGCGGAGGTGGTGCGCGCGCGTTTTTAGGCCCTGCTGTGCTGCTGCTCATGCTCCTATGTGTCCACAGTAGGACTCTGCCATGCACCGGCGTCCGCTCGTGCCTACAACGTGATGACGTGCATGGGGTTTCTGTCCCTTGCTGCATCGATGCTCAGCCACTGGTGAGTGCGCATCCTATCCCCGCGGGCCGTGATAAGTAGGTGCCGGGTCTTCCTGGGCATGCCGGCTTCATCTCGTCCCTTTCTTTGTTTTCCTTTGAACGCGAATCTCTTTTCGCATTCCAGATGTGTGCCGCCGTCGCTCGGAGCGCCGTGTCCCATTTCAGCGCTCCGATGTGCATATATGTTCCATCGGGCGCTCGACCATTCGCCGAGTGATGTCGTCTATCAACCTCCGCGTCTCTTTGAATTCATTCGGTGCTGCGCGTTTACGCGCACGGGGTTCTGTGTGGGCCTGCGAGCACGTCTTCATCAGACCGAGCATCACAGGGTTGGCAGGCGTGGGATCTCCTGGGACCTCAGGTGTCACCGGTGCGCTCTCGAAACGGCGCGATACGCGCCGCAGAGCACCGCGGGTGTCAATGTAGTCGACGCCGCGAAAGGCGTCTGCGTCCCCTCTGCGCGCGGCGCTGTGCCGGCGGCGACGGCGACGGCGTGCACGGAAGTCGCGCGCGAGGCGCTGGGCGTGGACGCTCGGCGACTTGATTCGAGCGCGAGCGCGCGTCTCTCGGCTGTGTCGCGCGAGGATCAAGGGGCGCGGATGACGCGTGGGTGGATGGGATGCCGATCTTGTGGGCCCACTGCCATGGGCGTGACGCTGTGTCGTGCTTCGTTCGCCGATGGGCTCAGGGTCGGGGGCGATGGAGGCGGATGGATTGCGGATGGATTGCGGATGGATCATCGTGATCATGGATCGGGGACGGATCGTGCCCGGCCGTGAACAAGGGGGCGGTTCACCGATCGCGAATCGTCCGTCCGTTGATTATTGATCGCGGGCTCGCGCGCGGCGCTCGAGGTTTCCTGCAGGCCTCGGGGTATCGACGCTCACGGCTGCTCACGGCAGTTCACGGCTCGACGGTCCTACACGATCGCCGCTGCACGCCGCCGCCCGTCGCTGCCACCCGCCCCCCAATCCGCATCTCGTTCCTGGGACCTCGTCGCGGAGAAACACGAGGGGCGGAGAAGCCCCCTCCCCTCCCCTCCCCCTCCCTTCAGGGGCGCAGACATAGCCACTCCGTCACTCGTCGAGGGCGCCGCCTCGCAATCGCCGCTTTTCGCATTCCGCACGCCTGGGGCTGCCCGAGGCCTGAGGGCGCGCGCGGGCTCGGCCTGGACACATGCACGTACACGTTCCGCGCGCGTGCAGTGCGCGCCAAGCTGCCCGCTCGAGGTCGCAGGGGCACCGCGCGCGGAGCTGGCCCGCCGCGCCGCGCCGCTCGCCTCGCCTCTGCGCACAGCCCGCCGGTGTCGGACGCGCCCGCCGCGTCGTGGGATCGCGAGCGCGGGTGCCCCGCCCTTGTTGCAGCGCGGGCCGGCAAGTTGGCGAGCGGGCGGGCGGGCGGGCGTGCGCTCGTGGATGGCCGCTGCTGCTGCTGCTGCTGCTGCGTCTCGCCGCCGGCGTATCGAGCGAGCACTCAAACGGCGTGGCGGTCGGTACGTACTGCAGGAGCGGCCCTGTAGGCCACCTGTAGGCCCTGCCTGCCTCGCGTCTTCGACGAGGCCTCCCGAGGGACGCACGAACGATCGGGGTGCCTTGCAGAGCTTGTCGGTGGGCGCTTCGAGGCGCTTCGGCGTTTTCTTGCGTCGGTTGGGTCGGTTGAGTCGGTTGATTTAATTGATCTACTTGATCTACTTGATTCGGGGCGCGAGGCACGCCCGAGCGGGGCGGCGCGGCTCGTGGGGAGGCGTCGCGTACGTACGTACGTACTACGTCGAGCGGGCGGGCGGGTGTGGGCGGGCAGGCGGGCGGGCGGGCGCTCGCTCGGGCGGGCGCTCGTACTTCGTCTGTTCGGTCGGTTTGGTGCGTGTACGTATGCGCGGTGGCGCGGTGCTTTCTGCTTCGGCGCTTCGGTGCGCCGAGGCGTCGAGGCGCGCGGCGTCGAGGCGTCGAGGCGCGCGGCGGGTTGCGGGTTGCGGATGCGCTGGGCGCTTGCTTGCTTGCTCCGTCCGCCCGTCCGTGTTCCCGAGACGTGTGGCGGCGACGGCGGTGGCGAGACATCTGATCATCGCGATCGTGTTTGGTGTCACACCGCACATGATACGAGCGCTGTGACGCTGCTGTGATATGATACGAGGAACAGCAGCCCTTAATATTTAATCTTAGGCGCCCTTAATATCGTGTTGTGTGCGTATGTACATGCGCCGGCCTCGTGCGTGCGTGCGTGCGTGAGTGCGTGCGTGAGTGAGTGCGTGAGTGCGTTCCTGAGAGGGACGGAGTGGGGGCGGGCGCGGGTGTTGATTGCCTAATATAGGGAGCTGCAGAGAGCTATACACATACGGAGAGAGACAGATACAGAGGGGGGCGCTCGTCGAGAAGCATGTCGCGGGGCGTGCAGACGCCGCGCGATTTCCGTAGTTCCGTACAGGACACGTGCGGGGCCCCGGACGCACTCTATTGTCGGATGCTTGTCGGGATGGTTGTCGGGTGCGGTTTGTGGGAGGGCGACGGCGCGAGCCGGTGACGGTACGGGGCCATCGGGCGGCCTGGCGGGTAACTCGGTTCACGTACTGGTACTTGTTGGGCGGGGCGGGTGGCGCAGGTGGCGCCGCGCCGCGCCGCGCCGTGCCGGACGGCGGCGCGAGTCCCACGCTCGAATGAATCAAAAAACCGAAAATGAAAATTAAGCCGATGTGAAGGGCCCGGGCGGGTTGCGCTCGGGTCGGGCCCCGAGATTGGCGTTACACGGTGGTTATACTGGCGTTAGGAGGGCATCGTGGAGTGCGAGGATCGGACGTGTGGGCGCTCGTGCGTTCATGGGTGGCGTACAGGGCGCGCGGCTTTTTTGCGCGGGGGGCGCTGGGCTGGAGGAGAGGGACGGGGGTTGTGGATTGGAGGGGCGAAGGCGAAGGCGAAGGCGAAGGGATGCGGTGTTCGGACGGGGGCAATAGGGCCGAAGCGCGGTTGTGCTTGGGAGGCCGACGGGCGGCGCTTGGGCGGGGACGTCGAGGAGGCCGGGAGCGCGTGGGGTGTGTGCGCTAGTGCGTGTATTAGATAGGAGGCCGGGACTGCGGGCGGTGGGAGATGGGGAGCGTATTGCGATCGGGGGCGCAAGGGGGTTGCCTGAGTGGGCGGGGCTGCGGCGGGCGGTGGGCGAGCGGGGTTTTTGGAGGGCGGCGGCGGCGGTGGGGCTGGCGGGGAGAGGGACGGACGGCGGAGGGGAGGGGAGGGGAGAGGAGCGAGGGGGAGCGAGGGAGAGGGGACGGGAGAGAGGTGTTCGGGATTGTGGGAGAGTGGCCAGGAACGCAGCGGTCGAGTGCCTGGCCCTTATGCGTCCGCCTCTTCCCACTCCCTCCCTCCTTCCCTCCCTCCAGTCCCATCCCTCTCCCTCCCTCCCTCCTCCTCTCCTCCCTCCTCCTCTCCTCCCTCCCTCCCTCGTCCGTCCGTCCGTCCGTCCGACATCACACCGCGATAATGTCCAACCTCCGCCCGACGACCTCGTACTCGTCCAGGCCGTACACCTCGGGCGGCCTCGACTACGACGACCGCGACCCCCAGTACACCTACTCCCAGGACTACTCCCCCGACGACGACGACGACAACGAGGACAGCGACGACGACGACGTCTTTGCCTTTCTTCCCCCCTCTACCGCCGATGCTCAACATCAGCAGCAGCAGCAGCCGGCCTCGCAGCTCCCTTCCCCCGCCCTCAAACTCCCCGTCCAGCAGCCATCCCATACCCATTTACCCACACATCCCCCACAGCAGCCCCACCAGCCGTCCCCGTCCTCCCTATCTTTCTCCCAGCCCGCAGAAATACCCTTCCCCGCCCCCACCTTCGACCCCTACTCCCCGCGCTACTACCTCCCCGACCCAGGCCCCTCCTTCTCCGCCCTCCCCTCCCCCTCCTACCCCAACACCGACAGCAACCCCACCACAAACAGAAACAGCTACTACGCAAAGCTCCCGCTCTCCGGCACAGTCGACTCCCCCCCCTCCACCGTCTCCCAGGCAGACTCCCTCGACCCCGACGCCTACCGCATGCGCTTCGTCAGCACAGCCCCGCACGACGTCGCAGCCGCCGCCTCCTCCTCCGCCAAAGAGGTTCGCGTCGCACTCCCAGAGAAGGACGACGACGACACCATGAACGCCGTCGACCTCGACGCTCTCCCCGGCTCACACCTCAAGATGCGCATGAAGCGCGTCACTTCCGGCATGTCCGACGCCTCTAGCAGGATCGACGACCCCGATCTCGATCTCGAGGACAGTCGTTCCATCAAGTGAGTCTCCAGCCGCACTACGTCCCCCCCCTCCCCCGCCTCGTCGGGCGAGTGCTGCATGCCGGTCCCGTCCCCCCGCGACGCAAGGCCCTCGCCGCTGACCGCTGACCGCTCCCCCGCACAGGATGGAGTTTGACCTCGACGCCGTCGAGGAGGAGGACAGCCCCTTCCCCGAGGTGCGCGCCTCGGTGTCCAACATCGACGATCCTGAGATGCCCGCGATGACCATGCGCATGTGGGTCATTGGGCTCGCCCTCTGCATGACAGCCAGGTTCGTTCGCTCGCTTCTTTCCTCGACTCGCGCGCCTAACCCGAGTGTGCTCTTCCCCGCACCCGCTCCGTTCCCTCGCACGTCCTCCGCCATCCCCGTGCCCGTGCCCGTGTCCGTGTTCGCGTCTCCGTCTCTGCGTCTCCGCGTTTCCCGCCCCGCTCCCCCGCTCTCCCCCCGCCCGGGTTCCCGTTGCCAGCGCGATGAACGTCTTCTTCAACTTCCGCTCCCCCGCGCCGTCCATCTGGCCGATCGTCCTCCTCCTCGTCTCGCACCCCATCGGCAAGCTCTTCGCCTTCTCGCTCCCGATCACCGTCTACCGCCTCCCGCGCTCCCTCGGCGGCGGCGAGTTCTCCTTCAACCCGGGCCCGTGGAACATCAAGGAGCACGTGCTCGTCTTCATCATGGCCAACGTCGCCGTCGGCGCGCCCTACGCCCTCAACGCCGTCGTCGTCGCCGAGGTCTTCTACGGCATCCACCTCGGCTTTTGGTTCACCGTCGTCCTCGTGCTCGCCACCCAGCTGACCGGGTTCGGCCTCGCGGGGCTCTGCCGCCGCTTCCTCGTCTGGCCCGCGAGCATGGTCTGGCCGCAGAACCTCGTCATCTGCACGCTGCTCAACACGCTGCACGCGGAGGACGACGAGGGCGCGGGCGGCGTGACGCGCTACCGGTACTTCATGTATGTCTTCGGCGGCGCCTTTTTCTTCTTTTTCCTCCCGAATTTCCTGTTCCAGGCCCTCGCGGTGTTCTCGTGGGTGTGCTGGCTCGCGCCGCGCAACGTGCCGCTGAATCAGGTGTTCGGGATCGAGAGCGGGATGGGGCTCAGCATCTTGACGTTCGACTGGACGAGGATATCGTGGATCGGGAGTCCGCTGATGATTCCGTGGTGGGCCGAGGTGCATATCTTTGTGGGGTTCGTGTTGTTTTACTGGATCCTCACGCCCGCGCTGTACTACACCAACGTGAGTCCCCCCCCCGCTCGTCGTCGTGTGGCGCTGACGCGATACGCGATGCGCGCCCGCGCAGTCCTGGAGCCTCGCGCACTTCCCGATGTTCGCGACCGAGCCGTACGACCGCTTCGGCAACGTCTACAACGTCACCCGCGTCCTCCAGCTCGACGACACCTTCAACGCGACCGCGTACGACGAGTACTCGCCGCTGTACCTCCCCGCGGCGTACGCGATGACGTACCTGCTCGCGTTCGCGCTGTCGACGTGCGTGATCGTGCACACGCTGCTGTACCACGGGCGGACGCTGCTGCACGGCCTGAAGCGGATGCGGATCGAGAAGGACGACATCCACGCGAAGCTGATGCGGAATTATAGGGAGGTGCCGGATTGGTGGTATGGGGCTGCGTTTGTGTTTTTTTTTGGGATGGCGATCGTTGCGCAGGAGGTGAGTCGCGCGGCGCTGCGTCGAGGGACGGAGGCTGATGCGGGTTGGGGGGTTTTTTTTTTTTTTGCGCGTTTGCGTTTGCGTTTGTGGCGGGTAGGTGTGGAAGACGGGCGTGCCGGTGTGGGCGCTGCTGTTGGCGGTGGCGCTGCCGATTACTTATGTGCTGCCGTCGGGGTTCATCTATGCCATGACTGGCCAGGGGGTGCGTTTCCTTCTTTCTCTTCTCTCTCTCTTCTCTTTCCCTTCTCTTCTCTTCTCTCCCTTTCTCTCCCTCTCCCTCTCTCCCTCCCCCCCTCCTCTTTCTCTCTCTTGAGAACCATTTTGCGCACGAGCTTTGTGCGAGCCCGGGCGGGCGCGGGGACGGTCGTTGGTTGGCTGGCTGGCTGGCTGGCTGGCTGGCTGGTTCTGCACCCGCTCGCGGCGTCTTGCGTTCGCATCACTTTGTTCGCGTGTTGATGTTCCTTGTTTTTTTGCTCCCGTCGCTCGGTCGCTCGGAATTTGCCCGTCCCCATTCGCCCATCCCACCTCATCACCCTATCCAACTGTGCCCTGTCCGCCCATGATGTATCACATCACATCACATCACACCTTACCACACCACATCTCACCTCACCTCATCCCATCGTATCGCGTCGCATCGCATCGCATCGCGGCTTGCTGCGCACACCCACCACGCACAGATCACGCTCAATCTGCTCGCGCAGATCATCCCAGGGACCATCTTGCCTGGGAACCCGCTCGCGAACATGGTGCGTGGTTCACGTCGCGCTCAGTCGATCGATCGATCGCGCCTTCTCACCCCTTTTTCGCCCCTCTTCTTTCGTTCCTCGCGTCTTTCCTCGCTCGCGTCTGCTCTCCTGCCGCGCTCGTGGTCGTTGCTTGGTTCCTGTCACGCTGCTGCGCGTTGGCGCGGGCGTCGGCGGAGCAGGTGTTCAAGGGCTATTCGGTGCAGACGCTGACGGAGTCGACGTCGTTCGTGCAAGACCTCAAGCTCGGGCATTACATTAAGGTCCCGCCGCGCGCGACCTTCGTCGGTGCGTCCTCGTCTCTCTCTTATCGGCGCGCCGGCGCATGCGATCGCGGTTGCTCACCTGCGCGCATGCCGTTCGTGCTTCGTGCATCTGTTTTTTTTTTTTGGCTTTTTGGCTTTTTGGCTTGGCGGGTTGACTGGGGCAGTGCAACTGGTGGCCACGATCCTGGCGGCGTTTTTGCAGGTGGGCGTGAAGGTGTGGATGTTCGACAACGTGCCGGATATGTGCTCGCCGGACCAGGAGAGCCAGCTCGTGTGTCCGCACAACCAGGTGTACTTCACCGCCTCGGTCATCTGGTGCGTGCCCGCTTCCTCTCTCTCTCCGCGACGGCGCGCCCGAGAACGCGTGCGCTCACCGGCCGCCTCGTTTCTTCTGCGCCGCAGGGGCCTGATCGGGCCGAGCAGGCAGTTCGGCGAGCACTCGATCTACTATCCGCAGCTGTACGCGATCATCGCGGGCGCGATCCTGCCGATCCCGTTCTGGCTGTGGCAGCGGCGGTACCCGGACTCGTGGACGAAGTTCATCAGCACGCCGATCATCCTGAACGGGGTGGCGTACATCCCGCCCGCGACGGGGATCAACTACTCGTCGTGGTTCGCGGTCGGGTTCGTGTTTCAGTTCTTGATTCGGAAGAGGAACTTTGCGTGGTGGTGCAAGTTTAATTATATTACGAGCGCGGCGCTCGATGGCGGTGCGTGGAGCGGTTCCTTTTTTTTTTCATGTACTCTCTCTCGTTCTCTCGTTCTCTCGTTCTTCCTTGCCCACGGGTGCGGGCGCGCTCGCTCGTGCCTTGCGCGGAGGGGCGTGCGCCGGTGGGGTCGGGGCTCGACGCTGACGCTGATGCGTGGTGTTTTTGTTTTTTTACTTTTGGCAGGCACCGTGGTGTCCTTGATCGTGATCTTCTTCACGCTGCAGGTGAGCCGCTCTATCCTCGACCACCCTGCCGTTCGCCCACTGACGGACGCGGCTTTGCGTTGCGTTCGCGTTTGCGCCGGGCCAGTTCCCGAAGGGCGGGTTCTTCATCGACTGGTGGGGGAACAACGTGTTCCGAAACAGTGCGTCCCGTTCCCCGTTCCCCGTTCCCACGTTTCCACGTTCGCGTGTGCACGGTGACGATGGGCTGATGATCGGACGCAACAGCGGCCGACTGGGATAATCTGCCGTTGCGGCCTGTGCCCGTTGGACAGTGAGAGAGTCGTGGCTATTTTTAGTTTCTAGTATTTCTCTTTTTCGTCGGTTTTCGCTGTTTCTTTTTTCTTTTCTTTTTGGAAGAGTGCGAGTCTTTGAGCGGACGTGAGAGAGGGAGGGAGAGAAGAGGAGGCGGCGTGGGCGTGTGAGCGGGGGCGCGGCGCGGCGTTGTCTGCTGCCGCTGGCCCCCCGTCCGTTCGCTTGCCTGCCTGGGTGTCGTCGCCATCGCCGTCGGGCCGCGGGTTGTGTGCGCGAAAAAGAGAGAAGAAGAGAGAGGGAGAGAAACAAAAGCGGGTTCGTGTGTTCGTGTGTGCGATTAGTAGTGTTATGTGTTCCGACTTGTCCGTCCCCCTCTTCCGTTCCTTGTTACCCCTTCGTCCATCTGCCCCCTCCCTCCATCCCTGCCTACCTACTTACATGTCTGCCTGCTCGCCTGCCTGCCTGCCTGCCTGCCTGCCTGTTCCCAGTCTGCCTACCCCCCAAATCAGCCAGTCATTCCCTCCGTCCTTCCTTGTTCAGCTTGGCCCGTCCGCTCCGGTCCCCGGTCCCCAGTTCCACGATCCCACATCACTCCCACGTCCCCGTCCCTGCTGCGACGTTATTACTTAGATCCCCTCTCGCGCTAGTACAGTATCACCACTCGGCTCGCGCAGCGTATCGTATCGCCCACGAGCGCTCCTGTCCCGTCGGCGACTCTGCGGTCCGTCTGTCTGTCGACGTCGACGATCCCGAGTTTTTTTGTCTCTCTTCCCCTCTCGCAACTCCTTCATCTATTTATTGTCTTCAACTACTGGTACTACTACCGTGCAACTGTCTCTCATTATTCTTTTTTTTTTCTTTCCCGTTTTTGTGTTTCTTTGTTACTTGTTTGCCTTTTTTACAAGATTGTTTGTGGTTATTTGTTTTTTTTTTCCTCTCTTTCTCTCTCTCTCTCTCTCTCTGATTTACGTGTGTTTTGTGCGACGCAATGGAAATGGCTTTCCTGCAGACGAATGGACGGGATTTCTTGAGAATCGCTAGGGTGGGAAAGTGTTGCTTCTTTGGGCCGAGGAGCGCTCGAGTTTCTCATGCAGGGACGATGGCGAGGAGTGGGCTTGAGCGCGACGACGACGTCGTCGCGTCGATGGCGCGTCTATTTTCGTGTCTGGCTTCTGCGACTTGGTCGCTCGGCACGCTCGTTCTGCGGATACTCACGGTGCGAAGTTCGAACGATGCTGGTATGGCCGTGTGTTTTATGGACGCCGGAACGGCGCAATTTCTCGCACGACGCTGGAGCCTGGACCGCTAGTCGTCGGCACTTTTCTGTTTTCTTTGCCCTCTTTGCTGTCTATGGTCTGGTGTCTCAAGGATGAGCCTGCTCTCTCATGAGGGCGGCGCTTTGCTGGGCCGTTCATCTATCAGGGCGCAGCACTGGCGCAGCGTCGAGTCCTCCGTAGAGCCCCGTGCGACGGCACACTGCGAGCTCTGCCGGAGTCGAGGTGCACGAGTCAGTGGTTCATTGCAGGCTCAAACGGCGCACGGTCCAAGGCGCAGCTGCTGTGGAGCGATCCTGACCTCCCAGGACGAAAGTAAGCCCCGGTATACTTGGTTTGCATTGGGTCTTTCGGTTCTCACTTGGGTTCTCGGCCCCCTTTGGGTGGAACAAGCACCGTATGCGGTTTGCCATGGGATTTGGGCGACGCCAAAGGCAGTGACGTGGACGCTGCCGTCAGTCCGTGCGGTCTCGAGAAGAGACCCTGCTTTCGAGGGTCACCCTGGCTGGGGCCTGCGCGCCTCAACCTTGGTCACTCTTGATCGCTCGCGCTCGCGAGAGGTCTCGAGGCGAGCTCGTCCCGAGCGCGTCGTTCGTCCGATTTGTCGATCTGACGTACTGATGCGAACTTGAGCTCCGGTCATGGAAAGGCATCTCGCGAACCTATGCGTGCGCGCGCGCGCGATGTCCTTGACGTACTCGCGACCGGGCTCATATGTGCGCAAAAGATGCTAAGGTGTCTTTGTGTGTCCGTCTCAGAATGTCAACCCTGACCTTGCCGAATCACATCGATTGGTCACTGCTTGAATGGTAGGGAGAAGATGCGGGTATCAGTATCACCTTCACAGGCTGATGGTCCGCGCGCAGGCAGACAGCATGCGTATCAATACATTCCCTCGACCTGATACGATGGCTATACTTACTTATCTCAATGCCCAACCACAGTCCACTCAATGGCCAGTGATCGTGATCTGATGCTACGCAGCCGATTGTTTGAGTGTACAGCGGATGTCCAGCGAGCCATATCACTCAGCTGATACTGCGGCTGCGGTGAAGCTCTTATGCAGAAGGCTCGCTGCCGGGATATTCTCTGACATGGCGACTCCTGGGTCTTTTCAGGGACACAGGGTGCCTCTTGTACGATCATATGCGTAAGACGTGGATTGCGTACGTTTCTTCCCGAGGTAAGAAGAAACTGCGATCAGGTGTGTTGTGCACTGTGGATTTGGGGAAATCACAAAGCTGCATCGTGTCGAACGGCTTGTCGCACTCTTTCTGGCAGTGTCCCCGCCTTTTTTGCGTCCGAGGGCAAATCCATCTCAGAATGATCGACAGTGAATACTACACCTACCAAATGGAGAAAGCCACGTGGTAGCCATCGTCTCCCCGCTTGCTGCCACCTCAGCAACTCTCAAGTAGCCCTCCTCATCACAATTAAATCACTGCGGTCATTGTTCAATATTGTTCGAAGACGAGAGAGATCTACAGAATTGTATCAGGGACCTTGACGTGGCACTCCATGAAGAAATCATGCGTCGAACTGACACAGATGCTGTCCAGCACGAGGTAGCCATTGCACTGTTTGACGTGAACACCATCTTGAGCCAGCACAATAGCGGACGGTTTCTGTTGATCGGACTAATCGACAATGGCAGTTTACACAATCCGTTATGTACCGAACACCCGACATTGTTCTCCGGCGTATATAAGCGGAGGGCTGGGGCAGCCTCGTTGCAAGCAACACGTGTAGTTCATTTTTTTCCTCTTCATCTTTGTGTTCATCTTTCCTTCCACCATCTACTCCCTCCTCCGTCGCCCTTATACCCAGCCCCTTTACGATTCCCTTGCCATAAAGACACACCAAGGCGTAGAAGCCCTTTACGATCACTATGTCCTCCTCGAAACTGACCACGGCCAACGCGATCCGTCATGACATGTATTATATCCAGGGAGGCGATGTGATCTTCAGAGTGAGTTCTGCTGGCCACGATTCAGGGCGTCACTAACGAATCTACAGGTTGAAAACTTCTTGTTTCGTGTCCACAGCTACTTCTTCGTCCGGGAGTCATCGTACTTTCGAGAGAGGCTGCCCCACCCACCCCCTCCTGGCGACCCCCCACGGGGTACATCGGATTCAAATCCATTCGTGCTCGATGATGCTTTGAGCGTTGACTTTGCGAGATTTCTTTGGGTGTTCTACAATCCGTAAGTTCGTGCTCTCCGGTCGGTATGTGCGATCGCTGACTGTGCGTCACAGGAAATATTCGATATATGGTGCGAACGTCGAAGAGTGGACATCCATTCTGAAGCTCGCCCATCAATGGAAGTTCGCTGCCATCAAAGAGCTCGCAGTCCGGGAGCTGGAGCTCCTCACCATCGAAGCGGTCCCGAAGATCGTCATTTACCATACATATGAGATCGATCGCACGCTTCTCATTCCATCGTACACAGTGCTCACCACCCGCGAGGAGCCCATATCGATCATCGAGGGCAAGGAGCTGGGCCTCGAGACCTCCCTTCATCTTGCGCGTGCGCGCGAGATTGCACGTGGACCTAAATCTCCGAGCGGATTGCGGGGCGCGTCGCCCGTGAGCGTCGCCGGCCAGGACCTCGACACCTTGATCAAACAGGTCTTCGAACTCGCCGCCCCGACGGATCTTCGCTTGAAGGGCTTACAGAACGGCAGTGGAGATGCGCACGCTGGACCGAAACCGGCCGCAGGCGGCGGGGCTCCGAACCAACAAAACAATTCGTTTCGGAATCCAGCAGGTGGATCGGTGATGAGTGCTTAACTCTACGCTTCCACTCTTGCTAACTGACTTTGGTTTTCTCTCCCGCTATAGGTAACCCGCCCCCCATCAATACCAACGTCAACGGGCCGGCCAATCCAGCCAATCCAGCCAACCCCGGCGGTCCAGCCAACCCCGGCGGTCCAGCCAACCCTAACGGCCCCTCCAATGCCAACGGTCCCTCCAACAACAACAGCAACAACATCAGCACCGGTCCCGCCAATAACAGCGGCTCAGCCAACCCCAATGGTCCCAATCCAGGAGTCGGCCGCGGCCGCACGCGGGGGTCGTAAGCTGTCCCACCCACCGCCTCTCCCATTGCCCCAGGAAGGGTCGATTCCTAGGTGGGGGGCGGTTAACGGGGCTGGGCGGAAGGAGGATGGGGTGCAGGGTTCGACGAAGGAGACAGAGTCAGCGGCGAAATTAGATGAGCGAGCGACACGTCCAGAGGTGGGTGTAGGGAGGACGGTGAAGGAATTGGCGGCAGTGGTACACCCGTCAGGGGAGGGTGCGAAGCAAGGCGCCGCGAAGGGTTCGATGGTGGTTGGGCAGAAGGAGCAGACGGTCCCTGTGTCGGATAGCAGGGTTGCGGTGGACACTCTACAGAAAGAGGACTTAAAGATTGTCACGGAAACGCCGAAAAAAATTGACATCTCCAGCCACACGCCAGCCGAGAGTGCCTTCTTCAAGCCTCCCGATCACCAAGCCCCCAACGCCAATGCTTTCAACAATGCTCGCGCGAGTGCGCCTAAAGCTTCGGGTCACCAGAGCAAGGGCAGTGCATCAACTCCGCGTTCTGGGCTGTTCGGATGGGCCTCGAGCCTGCTCGCGGGTGGCGAGGAGTCGGATGCGGAGAGCAAAGGACCGGAAGAAGGAAGCCCGCTGCAGAGTCCAATTCCTGGTGGATGGGGTTCGATGTCACGAGGCGGGAGAGGCGCAGGCCAGTTCAACGCCATGCCGATGAGGAGCGATCTAGCTCAGAGGGAGGAGGCGAAGCAACGCGCCGACCGCGAGAGGTTGGATCGTGAGCGGTTGGAAGCGGAACGGTTGGAGAAGGAGAGGGCAGCGCGCGAGCTGACGGAGAAGCTTGAGGGGGAGAAGCGGGAGAAGGAAGCGAAGGAGAAGGCCGAGCAGGAGGAAAAGGCGCGTCTTGAGAGGCAGAGGCAAGAGAAGGCAGCGCAGGAAGCGAAGCAGAAGGCCGAACAGCAGGAGAAGGGGCGGCTCGAGAAGAAGGCGAAGGAGGAGGCCGAGCGGAAGGAAAGGGAAGAGGCTCAACGCAAGAAGCAAGAGGCCGAGCAGAAGGCCAAAGAGGAGGCCGCCCGCAAGGCTAAGGAGGATGCTCAGCGCAAGAAAGAGGAGGCCAACAGGAAGAAAGAGGAGGCTGCCAAAGCCAAAGCTGACGCGGAGGTGAAAGCCAAGGCAGAGGCAGAGGCGAAAGCTAAAGCTGAGTCAGAAGCGAAAGCTAAAGCTGAGTCAGAAGCTAAAGCTAAAGCTGACGCGGAGGCGAAAGCCAAAGCCGAGGCGGAAGTGAAATCTCAAGCAGAGGCAGAGGCGAAATCTAAAGCTGAGTCGGAAGCGAAAGCGAAGGCTGAGAAGGCTACGGAAGAGGGAGAGGCTGCGAAGAAGAAGCTGGCCGCGGAAGCGAAGGCGCAGGCAGAGGCTCTGCAGAAGAAGACAGAGGAGGCCGCCGCCAAAGCCAAGGCGGAGGCGGAGGCGAAGGAAAAGGCCGCGAAAGAGGAACAGCTGAAGAAGGCTGCAGAGGCGGAGGCGGCGAAGAAGGTCGAGGAGGACGCGGCGGCGGCAGCGAAGGAGGCAAAGGACAAGCTGGAGAAGGAAGCCAAAGAGGCGGCCAAGGTGAAAGCTGACGATGATGCTCGCGCTTTAGTGGAAAAGGCAGAACAGGCGAAGGAAGGGGCAAACTCGGACGCCAAGGCCAAGGAAGCGAAAGAGCAAGCCGACAAGGAGGCCGAAGCGAAGGCTAAGCAGGACACAGCTCAGCACGCGGACAAAGTGCTTTCGACCGCAAGCGCCACGACTCAAGGTGAAAATGCTACGGACTCCGAGAAGGTGGGAGGAGCAAAGATCGAGCAGGCGGACAAGCAGGAGCCTGAGCAGACTGGCGCCAACGACGGATCTGGGAAAAAAGCAGACGACAAGGCCAACGACAACCAGCCGCAGACTCAGCTACTTAAGGACGCCAACGCAACCGCCCAGATCGATACGAAGCAGCCTTCAGATCCGAAGGCGGCCACCATCGATGCGAAGGTCACGAAATCAGATGAAAAGAGCTCTCCCTTGTCCGCACCCACACCACCCAAATCTGATGACAAACCGCCTGTACCTCCTAAAGACGCAACTGCGAAGGGCGATGATCCGAAACAACCGCAGCCGACAGCTTCGGCCCCACTTACTCCAGTTAAATCTGCATGGGGGAAGCCGTCACCTGCGAGCCCGCTTTTCACCGCCTCACCCGCTGTCAATGCTACGAACAAGGTCGTTCCTGCCGCGTGGGGTAAGGCTTCCAGTCCTCAGACAGGCAACGCGCCTGCTTCCCCCAAAACCGCCAATCCTGCCGTCCGACCTAGTCCTTGGGCAAAGAAACCCGCTGCTTCATCCACACCTCAGCATGCTAGTACGGTACCACCACTGCCAGCCCCAGCGAAAGGACCAGATGTTCCGGCGACGGCCTCCACTGCAGGTGTCAAGCCTTCCGATACGACCAGTCCGCCTACTGCTTCTAATGGTCAGTACTCTCATTAATGATCGCTCTAGCCCTTCTGACATTGCACACGAAGACCCCACACACAGGGCAAACGAATCGACATCAACACAAGCCTCACCTCCCTCTCCAAAGTCGACTGAGCAGCCTACAAGCGTGGAGTCCGCTGACTCTAAAGCTTCAAAGGACTCCGCTGCGACCGACAACAAGAGCGCCTCCGACAAAGGCCCCTCCACGAAGTCTGCAGCACCTGTACCTACCGCTACTGCCAACGCTGATGCGACGAAAGCGGGGTCTTCCGTTCCAGAAACTTCTTCCGAGAAGGCCGCTGCTGCAAAGGATGAAAACAAGCCCCTCCCGGCGGTCGGACCATCGACGGTCACCGAGCAGCCTGGCGCAGAGGTCCCGAAGCCATCAGCCGAGACTCCAGAGTTGACAAAGACAGAACCGGCGAAAGGTGATGCTGATCCCAAAAGTCAAGCAGAAATCGCTGTCAAGCCGCCCGCTGTGGATACCTCTTCTGCTCAGCTGAAGAGCGATGAACCCATGACTGCTATCGAGGCATCGGAGCCCCCTTCTGCTCTCGAGGGCCCTGTGCTTAAAGGCCTGCTGGGCGGTGGGGACGAAGGAGATGACACAGCAAGCGAGGCTGGTGGGAACACCGCTACGAAGAAGAAGAAGAGTAGGAAAAGCAGGGGCCCCAAGGGTGAGATCGACAGTTACAGTCCCATTTTTGATTCGCATCTGAACACTGAACTTTTTCGCTGAGCAGGTAAAGGAGGCGGAGCTTGAGTTTGCATACAATCAAGCAACTCTTGCGAACCTCCGGGTACTATTCACACGACCCTGCGATGACCCGACACGAGATTCACGGCTCACGACCATTGCCCTGCTTGCTGTGGATTCGCCATACCGTACCTGTTGTGCTTGTGACGCCGATGGACGTTGTTATGCTCTGTTGTGTTAGTATGTTGTGCTCTCAGTTCGTCAACCGTCGTATGCTTTGTTACTTTCGTGCTTCTTCTGCATGTGGTAAATAGCTGATTGATGGAACTCGCAGCCTGAGCAGGGACGGTTTCGTAGTGTTTTGTTCGCCTTGACGCAGTTTCTTTTTTTCGTGTACGTGTAGATAGTAACGCTAGCGACGGTTTGTAGGACAACTCAAACGTCCTGATTTTATCCATCCTCTATCCTTTTCTATCTCATGTATACGGTATGTATTGACTCACGATTTGCATGATCTAATTTATGTCAAGTGGAGAACCAGCGTTTCAGCTTTTCGTATTCGTCGTCGTTTGTTTGGACCTCGATACCGGCTAGTCGCCAATGCTTGGATTGATTCAAGTAACAGCTTACTTTGAATTCGTCAACGCATCATCTACAATCCAAGGGAATTGGCCTTCCGTTGTGGATAGGTTTGTGGAGGTGGAGGTTGCGAGTGGGGTGCATCGGGCTGTTTCCATTGGGTGGGTACAACCGTATGCGTCATATGTATAGACCGGCTCTCTCCGAATGACGATATTAGCATGAGATTTTCAAGATTTGGAAAATTACGCTCTCGCTTAAACTCTGTACTGCCGTCGCCTCGAAGCCACAAAGCAGCCACAAGCGATCGTATTGCAAGCTTTTAAAATTTAGGCTCCACCTGCCTCCATGCTCGGAGCACGCTCGGAGACTGCTCGGTGGTGTTTAAAGCTCACCCGCTTATCCACGCGAGATCCACGTGCAACGGCCGTCCCCCTGGGCAGCCCTGGGCCTAGTCGGACCTGCGCTGGAATCTCAGTTCTGTGATGGATCCAATGAACGGCCAGGCCCCGCCCAGAATGCACGCCAGTCTTTGCGAGTGCGTAGAGGCGCGTAGACGCAGCGACCGCAGAGCAGAACGGCCTTGAGCGACCTCGAAGATACGGCGCGTCATCCGAATATATTTTCGCACCCTCTTTTTCTCGATCTGCCTCTCGAAATCTTGGCGGGCGAAAATGAGGACGATCGCGGAGCGCGAGCTCTGATAATCCCACATCGCACTGAGTCCCCAGCGCGGAGACGGAGACGGGCTGTGTCTGTCTGGCGCGGGCGAGAGCGAAATAAGAGTGACGAGAGGCAGCGAGAGGCCCGTCGTGTCGAAGCCGCAGATGTCCTTCTGGAAGCTGCTGCAGGGCAGGGTTTGACTTATCTCACACGCGTCACCCGAACCCGTCCTGGCCCCCGGTCCCTTCTTTCCTTGTTCTCCCTCTCTCTCTCCCCACGAGCACGGTCGTCCATCTGAGCCCATTCTTGACGTCTTCGTAGCCATGGTCGGTCATCCAGAGTCTCTCGAGAAGGTGCGTGTTACACTATAACCGTGCGACCGCGGCCACCTGATCTTTCACACGCGCGTCTTCTCGAACACGACACGAACCGTACTGACGTGAAATCCGACAACAACAATAACAACAACACCAGATATTCCAAAAGCTCGAACAGGAGAGCGCCCGGCGTGCCCAGGCAGAAGAAGCTCGCGCACATGAGCTCGAGGAGAAGGCGCAGGAGGAGCTAGAGTCGCGGGAGTCGTCCTCGTCACCCCTGCCCATGCTGTCGAGCGCGCGCGCGACGATCGCAGACCGGCCGCGCGAGCGACGCAGGGGCAGCATCTCCATCTCTCGCTTCGGCCAGGTCGAAGATGGCGACCTGCGCGTGACGACGTTCAGCGTGCCGACGACGCCCAGCATCGGGCGCCCGATAGCCGCATTCTACCAGGGACAGGTGCGTACATCGCGCAAGCTCCTTCTTCTTTTCCTCTTTCTGACCACGTGGCGCCGCCCGCTGTCGCAGTCGCGCAGCTCGGACTCGCTCGCGTCACTCGATTCAGACCGCGCGCCCGAGCGCCTTACGGAGTCGGACCACGTCACGCAGGTGCACCACCTTGCAGCGCGGCAGAGTCTGTCGCGCTCTGTCGGGGGCATGATATCACGAAAACTCTCCCGCTCGGCATCGAAGAACAGCCTCGCGGGCGCCGGCCTCGACTCGGGCGTCATCATTGGCGTCGGTGTTGTTATCGAGGAGGCGACCCATGTCGTGGAGGATGACGGGATCAAGGACCTACGTGCGGAGAGCCGCGCGGCAGTCTATGCTGATGTGCCAAAACCCGAGGGGAGACTGAGGGGCATGTCCTTGAAAGGGAAGCCGGGGAAGGAGAAGGAGAAAGAGACCGAAGAGGAGGTGGGGGAGGAGAAGGATGGGTGGGTGAGGAAGGCAAAGGGGCTGGGGAAGGGGATGAAACGGATGAGCAGGGCGATGTTCTTGTCTCCGTCGCGGGCGCAGACTTAGAGATGGGCGCGCGCCCGCCGCGATGTTTCGGTCGGGCGGGTTGCTGTCGGTTTGCTCCGCATTTCCTTTTTTTGTTGATCGCATCTCACGGTTCACTTGACTTACTGACTCCTGCTCCGTCGCTCTCTTGTCGTCGCTTTCGTTTTCAATCTCGGCACCTTCACGGTTCACCCTCGGCATCATACGCTCATTGCTCCATAATCATTCACTTCCCCGCATTCTGGCACTCCATCTACTCTCGGTCTAGTTCAGCATTACACTATTTATTGCTCATATCCACGTCTCTCTTTTTATATCTCGCATACATACTTCGCTCCCTGCACACGTTCCGTCTTCTCCTTCTCGTATCTTGTCAAGCAGGGCTTCTCAAATGCGAGACTCCCTTACCATCTGCGGTATCACCACATCGAAAACCCCGTGCTGAGAATACGTTGAGCGCGCGGCGCTTCGATGTTCGACGCCCGGGTGCTGTTGTCATGTTCACGGCCGGGCATACAACACAGGCACCTTGCCGTTAATTATGTGCGCGATGCACGTGCCCCTGGTGGACACCCACGAGATGGTGCTGATTGCCCAGATCGCAGACCGAAGCCTGCAATCGCGGTCAGTAATGCGTCCGAACCGGCCACACCGCACACAATTACAATTGTCAGCCCCGTCCCAACACAAAAAGGCTGCATGTCTGCTGAGCGCAACCCCTCCCATCCCTCGCGCCAAACAGGTCTCAGGCTTGCACCCGCGCGAATCCTGCGAGTATAAAGTCCGTGCCCTGCTAAGATCCCTAGGACCGCCGCATCAAACACTCAGTACATACGTTCTCAGCTCTCGTCCGCCCTCCCTCCTCGTGTCAGCCCTGTGGCTCCCCGGTTGGCAGTTCTCCCCTGACTTCCCTTCCTGTGAATTTTTAATCTAACGCAACCTGGGCTCGCTCGACGCGCACGTTCCGGATCTCCTTCCCGCGCCACGCACCGTGACCCGTTGACGTGTCTTGGCCCGTCCTTCCTTTCTTCCCACCTGTCTTAATACCCAGCTGCATCTGTGCATCAGCTCGTGGGTTTCTTCTTCCCCTCTGTACACATACATCACCCTTTCCACAACCGCGTGTTGTTTCCGAACCGATTCCGAACTCCCCCACCATCATGAACGCGTTTCCAGTAGAGATGACTTGGGCCTCGATGAACGTCGAGCCATTTCGGGATGTGAACAACGTCAAGGACCACGGCTACACCGCTCTCAGCGGGTCGTGGCCGCGGGAGTTCAGCAAGGATGTTGAGAAGCCACGGCCAACGAGCAAGGATTCGCAGCGGGTGAGTGTGCATCAGACCAACCTCTGATGTTGGAATGCTCGCTGACCGGATGTCGCATCGATACCCCGGGGGCTGTCCACGTCGACTCGACCGTGATCGTAACGACGGTGGCCGCGTGCGAACAGCGCCAGAGTCGGCGGGCGAGGGCACGCAGCAGCAGGAAGGTGGCCAAGCCCAGAGGCCCCCGGAGCCGGACCCCCGGCCCTGCAGACGCCCCGCCCACGCCCACAGATCATCGGGACGTCGGCGCCCCGTCCCCGACACCGTCCACCGACGACTCGAGTGCGTCCTTCTCCCTTCGTGCTCCCGCCCGTCCCTCAATGTCGTTAACACCCTGCAGGCATCCACACGACCTCCCTCAGATCCTTCGACCTCGCCTCCATCTGGTCCTCCGAGTCGGACTCGACCCTCGGCGCGCACGAGCACGACCTCGAGCACGAGCATTTTCCTCACTCCCCCACCTCACCTCTCGCCACCTCCCCCATCTCTCAAAACGAGGCTGACCTCGACACTGCGGCCCACGCGGACGGCCTCGCCTCGCTCGCCGACATCCTCGCCGCCTTTGCGCTCGACGAGCAGCTCATCTCGAGCCCGCGCGATGCCTTCAACGACATGTGCTGGGCGTCTGCCGTCCACGAAGATGGCGAGGAGGACGTCGACGAGGAGGTCCTGGGCGCGACCCGTCGGGCGAAGGAGATCCGCGCGCGGAGGCGGACGATGATGTACGCCTGCCGCCAGTGGTCGGAGGGCGTCTGCGGATACGATGCGATCGACGAGGTCGACGAGGTCGAGCCGCACTCGCATTATGGCGACGACCCGTCCCCGAACTACGAAGAGCACCAGCGGGACCAACGCGCAGGCGCGCACGCCGCGTCCGGCCTTCTCTTCGACGAAGACGCCCAGCTGCACTTCGCGCTCGCCGACCCATGCTTCCACACGCCCTCGCTCCCGCCGCTCCCCTCCCGCTCTCGCCCGCTCCCCCACCCGCGCCCGCGCCCCGCCCTGCGCGCGCCGGTGTCTGCGTCCGCGAACACGCTCACGTTCCTCGCGCTCGCGTCTCCCACGACGACTGCGCGCCCCGAGGACTCGGTGCACTTCTTTCCGATCCCGGCCAACCGCGGCTCGAGCTCCGATGCGCCCGCGAGCGCGGGGTTCGGCCTGGGGTGGAAGAGGATCGCGAACAGGCTGGTCGGAGGCGCGCGGTCGCGGTCGCGGCGCGAGTGAACGGCACCGCCCGTGCTGACCTGTCCCCGCCTGCTTTCTTGTCGCCCCGCGCTCGCTGTGTAGATTTTGGATCGGCCCGCCTCGGGGCCCTGCGCCGGCACAGGGCACCTTCTTTTCCCTCTGTCACGCTTCTGCTCGCTTCCCCGCCGTCCCGCAGACGCTCATGTCCGCCCATCGCCCATATCTGTTCATCATCTCACCTCATCTCCACCCTCATCTTCATGCTCCTCCATCGGGCCGTCGCTCGTCATCCTCCTTCCTTACTTTCTTTTACACGACACGCCCTCTTACGACCGCGAGACGACCCGCACGACCTATCCCGTCCCGCCATACCGCGACTGCGGCTGTTGTACCTAATATAATACATACCCTCCGCCCCCTCCTTTTCTCTCCCCGCCCCCCACGCTCGATCTCCACAGCATCCAACACCCGTATATACATGCTCCCCCGTTCCCGTCTCTTTCCCATCCCGACCGTCTCTCCCGGTCGACGTGTACATCCCATCTCCATCCCCACCTGCATCCATACATCCCATCCACGTCCTCGCTCTCTGCCCTCTCCTTTGACCTCCCTGCGCTCTTTCACTCTGTGTATGCGTGTATCGCGACGGCCCCATTTGTGCTCATATATCTTCATCTCCTTTTTTATTTTCCTTTTCCTTTCTTTGTGCCTGTACATATAACGCAGCGGCTGGCGAGCTCGTCAAAATGCAGCATCCCACATCTTCCATAGACCACGTATGGCATGCCCCTGCCGATGGCCCGTTTAGTCCAGTTCAATTCAGTTCGATTTAGTTGGCGCTGCCGCGGTTACTGACGTCTATGTATAGTATATTCATACTTGCGGAGCGGTGCTAATAGATACGGCGGGGTCGGCATCTCCACCTCTTCCTCTCCCTGAGCCGTTCTTGGACTGGCATGCGCGCAGCATGTGAACGCGGATGCTTTTGTTGGGCCGTCCAGCCGCTTCCGGCTTGTCGCTCATCGGTGCGTATGCGGAGGGCATGCGCATGTAGGGAAAGGGGGCGTAGATAGCCAGCAGTCGCAAGACGTGATGATCAGGAGTCAGGACAGCGACCTGATCAGATGGTCGATGACGGCTTCCCATCCCATCCCAATCCATCCCAATACAACAGCGAACGGAAACATGTCGTGCGTTCTCGTAGCGCGCCGCTGTGGCGCCTGTGGCTGTTGACGGCAGGCGTGATCGCGCACGCGTCGTATTTGGGACGACAGTGATGAAGCTGAAGAACACTGCAAAGCGGCCTCCTCAAGCAAGTTGCGAGCGCATACGCGCTAGCCGCATCGAGCATGCATCGATGCGTCCCCGCAGGTCCCCGCCCGCCTACCTTCTCCTTCCCCGCACGCTCCGGCGGCGCGCATCCACCCGCGAACCAGACCAACGACCCGACCGACCGAGGGATGCATCCTGGCCCCGAATACGTACGTAGCCTGTGACGCAGCCACTACGTACTCCGACCGGTGACGAGTCAAGTCATAACATGGTGGACATGCCGAACGCGGTGTCGGACCGACGCCAAACGCGAAGCGCAGTTTGCCGTGGGCAGACCCAAGCCTGCCTGCCCGCCTATGAGCCTATGAGCCTATGGGTGTAGGGATGTATGTACATGGGCTCGCGTTGATGCCGCCGGGCGCGGGATGCTGTATGATGATGATGCACGTTTTTTGGGGGGAGGGGCTTCGATGAGGATCCAATGAATTCTGATGCAGGTGCCGAACGATTAGTGATCAAAACACTACACCTCAGAACAGCGGAGAACTCGCGGTAGCGCATCACACGTCGTGTTCGACGAACGGACACCCGCCCGCCCGCCCCCGCAGTGCCTGGGAGCGATGGAAGTCGCAGGCGGCGGCGTGAGGTCGACCGGTGCGGCGTACCCAGATGGCTTGCGCCACCTCGAGCGCTCGCATTCGGCGCGGCAGGTTAGAAAAGGGATCGGTGATCCTCGCGAATTTGCTCGATGCGGCGTCGAGCTGCCTGCCGCGTCCGTCGGCCGTCCGGGCCAGACGTCCTCTGCAGGTCGCGATCCCCGCACGGCCAGCCGACTGCCCGAAGCAGAGTCCAGATGCGCGACATGACATACGTAGCGAAGCGCGATGTGCGATGTGTGTGCGAAGCCGGGCTCGACGGTGACGCGATGACAGCGGGGATCTTAGCTTCTCCCGCGTTCGGGTTCCCTCGAGCTCTTCTCCGACTCCTTCGAGCCACTCGGAATCCTTCTCCGCGCCTTTCGTGGGCCACGTCGATCCCTCGGACGAGCCGCGTAATTGTGCGTAGACTCGCAGACCGCGCGCCGCACACCGCACACCGCATACCGCACACCGTCGATCTGGACGTAAGAGGCCCAACGGGGTCCATAAACGCGCGTACACTCGCATGTTAAGTTAAGTAGAAGCGACGGCAGGGTCGCAGACGGAGAGCGCGAAGGCGAAGACGTACAGAGGCATAGAAGTCGAGCGGGTTGACAGCTCGGGCGCAAATGAGAGGAGAGGAGAGGAGAGGAGAGGAGAGGAGGTGAAGTGCGGAGAGTGCGGGGCTCCTGCGCCACGGTGCTCACGCTGGTTCCACACGCTAGAAGCAGACGTCCGCGTCGAGACTCGGAAACGCGACGGCGCGTAAATGCAACCAGTCACGAGCATTATGCCAGCGACGTGTCGCGTACAGACGGTAGAGCGAGCGAGTGAAAGGCCGCCGCAGACAGCGAGCTCAGGAGGCGGTAAGGTGGTACTCACGGCCATAGAGAGCTGCGAGGCATGATGCTCGCAAGTCATCACGGCCGAGGACGCCATGCCTGCGCCGCCGACCGCAGGATGTGCAAGATGCCGCGCGAGAGAAGACAAGAAGGCGGCCGACAACAGGGGGGGTCGACAACGGGAGAAGGCAAACGAGCGGGAAGCGTTACCGGATGCGCGCAGTTGGCTGGGGGATCCGCGCGGGCGAGACACCGGTGGGCCTTCCAGTCGAGAGCCTGGGCGCCTGCAAAGTACAGTAAGTGTGACTGGCTTCCTCCCTGCTCACCCTCGGGCTTCTCTTCGATGCACCTAAGTTGGCTGTAGACGGCTTCGGGGCTGCCGTTTTGCGCACCGGAAGTGGGGGTTTGCATCCTAGTACATGAAATGTCCGAGGTCCCCGCCATCTTGGGACTTCTTGGAATCGCGGTGGGGATGCCAATTCAGCACATATTACTGAGGTGTGTCAAGAGTCAGTGGGCTACATGGATCCCGGTTTGGAAAGGGGTACCGAGTGGGGAGGAGGAAAAGTGGACTTTGAGGAGGGGATCTGACTGTTTAGAGATAGTACATAACTCATGAAGAACGAAAATGGCCTATAGGCGCGCATTCGACAGGTCAAGTGAAGCCAAGGCTTGACTCTGATTAATTCACGGAAATAAGGGGAACGATCCATCCGCACATTGCAGCAGTCGGCCTCGGTCCATTCGCTGTGCGCGATTCGGGTACTCCACAAGGCGCGGCCGACTGACTTGGAAGGGAGCGGACGAGAACTTCTTGCCGCCTCCAGTATCTTTCAAGCGACACGATTGAAGTGAGGGGACATGTTGCGGCGAAAGGAGGTTGGCGATGGAGGCTAGCCAGGCGTGCGTCAGAGTCTGGGAATGGAGCTGACGTACGTGACGAAGACTCAGCATCTCAAGCGGGTCCCCGACATACGAGCAGAGCCTGCACGGTGCGAACGCTCGGTTGCTCGACCTCGGCTCGACCTCGACATACAAGCCTCGCCACACCCACGCGCGCTCTCCGTCACCTCACCCGACCCCCCCGCCCGCCTACGGAGCCCCCCGCCCATCCAACCACCCAATGTCCTTCCTCTCCTCCCCGCACCTCCCCCCGCTCCTCTACACCCTCGCCCTCTCCTCCCTCTCCGTCCACCTCCTCTACCAGCGCCGCGCAGCCACAACCTCCCGCAACCAGCTCTCCGCGCGCATCTCCGTCCTCGACGACCTCGCCGCGCGCCTGCGCGCCGGAGAGCCCGTGCGCGCAGAGGAGGCCGCGCGCCTCCGGCGGCTCGCTACGGCAGCCGAGAGGGGCGCGCAGGCGGACGGCGCGCCGGAGAGGGAGGTGGGGTGGATGGAGGTTATATTGGGGCGGGACGAGGCGAAACGGGAGGCGGGGGAGACAGGGGACAGGGGCGGCCGCGGGGCGAGGGTGAGCGCGGAGGAGTGGGATCGGCGGGACTTGGACGGTGGTGAGTCGCGCGCGTTTCATGCGGCCTCTGTAATGGAGGCTGGGATCACTGCGGTGCTCGTTGTTCTGACTTGGTTTTTTTCCTTTTTTTTTAATTTTCTTACAGTGGCGCGGGAGGTGCGGGCGGCGCAGTCGCAGACGCGTTCGAATTCATGACCTTTGCTCTGTGGTTTGTGCCATATGTATATTGCATGATCTTCGTGATACCCTGGGCGTGCTCGGGAGTTGTGTCAGGGTTTTGTTGCCCCTAACTGCGTTCTGCCTTGATCCTCATGTGTGCGGGGGGATAGTGTGTGGGATGTACGATATTACTTCCAATGCGTCTTGCGTAGACGCGTTTGAACACGCAGTAATGTCTTCCCAGGTCGTTACAATCATATGGAGTTGATCAATGTATGTGATACATACGATTTTTTCCGTAAATGTTGATGAGTGCTATGCAGGCTTACAGCCCACTAATTTGACAGTTTTGGCATTTTAATTATATTGTACATTGGAACACAATTCTTAGATAGGTATTATTGGACATGGTACATGTGAGTGCAGAATGGTATTATAAATATATGATCAAAACAGACCACGACGAAAGCTTGTGAGAGTAAAAACCCAAACAGCAGTTTTAGAATAGTATACAACTTTTTTTTTCGCTTTATCGATGCATAAGCTGTCAGGTCGGGGAATCGTGTAGATATCCGCGTATCCGCGTTGATAGATCGAAGCAAAACAGATCAGGAAGCTGCGGCAGAGCAGGCGCGCAAGCGAGAGAGGTTTAGAGGCGGGACGAGAAGAGCGACTCGTCGACTTGTGCCGCATCTGGCGCGACGCGGTCGGTCGACGATGACGGGCGGGCATGAGCGACAGAAGGCAGTCGCGCCTCTGCCCAGGATATGCACTCGTCGAACAATTTCTCCTTCACGCCGTCCGGCTCGTTGTGTAGCTCGTGGTATCCACCCTATAAATATCAAATGATCAATACAATATTCTTATCGCAAGAGAGCACTAGGCGGGGAATAGAAAACGTACGGAGTAGACAGACATGTGCTTGTCAGACGCGGGCAGTTTCTCGTAGAATTTTTGACTCGCGTCGATAGAACATACTTGGTCTTCGTCACCGTGAACGATCAAGACCTGTGGATCACAGTCAGTATGTTGCAATGTAAGATAGAGAAAAAGTGGGGGACAGGGAACATGTACGCACCGGGAGTCCTTTGGGCCAGTTTTTGAAGTTCTCTGCGACGAGGATGTCGCCGCGCGAGAGCATGTCGTCGATGGCGCGGAGCGTCGCCGAGCGGTGGATTAGTGGATCGTGGATGTTGCTCTCAATGCATGCTTGATCGTGTGAGAGGAACTGAGAATAGGAGATCCGCGTTAAATATTGTTGCTCGGCGCGTGGAAAGATAAGAAAGGCGGAGGATTAGGAGAGCAACTTACTTGGGGCTCGACATTGGCAGGGATCGGCATATTAGGGAATATGTTGCCAGCCTTGCCACCGATCCAGCGAACGAAATCCAGGGGCGGGTGCGACAGGCGAAGCAAGGGGCTCGTCGCGATGACTCCTGAGAGGAGGGCAACGGTCTCCTTGTCAAGCGGCGAGCCCGAATGTGTTGGGAAACCGAGCACAATACCACCGCCCTACAGTATCAAGAAAAAAAGAGGAAATCATGAGCATTGCGCGTTTTAGTGGGTGGCGACGGCGTCCGGGATCACGCACCATCGAGTGACCCATCAAAAACACAGGAGCGTCCGAGAACGTTTCCTTAGCGTGCCGCACGGCCCACTGCACGTCGCCCATGCGGTCAGGCCCGCTCGTCTTGCCGTACGAGCTCCCCTTGCTCCGCTTCGCGTCGAGCGCCGTGCGCCCGAACCCGCGCTGGTCAAAGGCGAAGACGGCGAACCCTCGCGCGGCCCACGCGTTGTGCGCGTGCTCGTAGCGCCCAACGTGCTCGATGAAGCCGTGGATGAACACGAGCACGCCCTTGGGGGAAGAGGGGGAAGAGGCCGGGGCGTAGAGCCGGGTATAGAACGACGTAGAGTGAGGGCCACTCAGCCAGGATTCAGTGTAGGTAGACATGGTTGATTTAAATTCGGATTTTGGTTAGGGGTGAGGTGAGGTGGGTGGGTGGGAGTCGTAAGAGAAGAGAGGGAGGGTGAAAATGGAGAAATACGGCCGTTTATAAGGAGGAGGATGGGGTGAGCATAGGGGAGGTTTCGCGGGTGTGTCAGCTGAGATGACCAGAGATGACCTCAAACCATTTCAGAACCGCATCGCATCTGCGAGGCAGTGTCTGGCAGTGCTCACATCCCCTGTGTTACATGACGTGACCTCTTGCTCTCTCTAGCATTCTGCGCGAGTCGTCGATAGCACTCAGCTCGATTTCTACTACTCGTCACCACGGAACCCAGATGCTACGAGTAAAGTGACTTCACACTGGCTTGCTTATGGTTCTCGCGGCTCTACGTATGACTTCGGCTCTACGAGAAAAAAGGCTATAGAGCTACAGAGAGCCCCTGTGCGATGTTCTGAAACGAAGGCATTGAATCACAACTCTATACGCTGTTCTATGTGGTCGCCGTCCTCGCTGTCTCCATGCTTGGTTGAATGGCCAGATTTTAGAACGCGATTTTCGCGGACAGACTTATTCAAAGCCATCCATGGTGCATTGCGCTCCTTTCGCTCGTCCGGTCTGGCGAGACCATGAACAATTCGATCATATTCGTCTCCCAGCCCCTTTCCTCCTGACCTCGTATACTGGCCAAATAGAGATGGCGGAGAATGCAGTTAACCTTGGATCCCGCATGGTTCCAGACTGGAAGACGTGGTGAGCTTCACCTAGATGCAAAGTAAGTTCATCTCCTCATGGCGCATGAAGCAGAAATGCTTGCGCAGAAATTGGTGGATGTCTTGTTCAAGAATCAAGGTTTGCCCGAGTTCGGTCCTAGCCAGATCACTGCCTCGCCCTATCACGAGAGGGTGGAGAGCTGTGGAGAGCATGTCGTGACGGGGCGTGACGCACCGTCGACTTCCGTCAACATGCTGGCTTTTCACTTGCGCCCAATCTCGAGTGTATCCAGGTGTGTGTCTTGAGCTTCCAGCTGCCTGGTTGAGGCCACTTCCTTATCACTTCGTTCAATATCAGTCACTATCCTCGAAATATTGTGAATACTTCATTGTGGTCATAACGATCTAACATCTCACTCCAAATAGCATATACTTCGTCGACAATTGAGGGCCACAGGTTTCTAGTCTCTCATGCTTTTCATATCCGGCATACTCGCAAAATCTGGAATCAAGCTCTTTTTGAGGAACATCGATATCTGCTTCGGCCTTCTTCCACTCGAAGCATGTACAACATGATGAAAGTCACCGAGATTACAGGCTTTGGACCACCCAAAGTCTATCATTCAGACGATACCACGATGGGCTGTTTTTCCCTTGCAGCTCGCCCACCTGGTCTTCAGCACATGCTCCTTGTGGATATGGACATTCAGACGCGCAGAATAACAAACAAAAAAACAGTTGAGACCATGATTAAATCATCCCATGACACCCTCGTTCCCATTGTCCCCGGAGACTCCAGTGATAACGAGGTCGATCCCTCTGATGGCTCTAGCAATGACGACCTCGATCCCGTTGACCGCAGTGCCCTCGGAGCCCACGATAGCAACGACCCTGAGCCCTACCACGGTCTCAATATTGAGGACGGGGACGAGGATGAGATTAATCACTTTAAAGAACCCGAGCATGCAATCATCTGCAAGCAGCTGCGTGAGATCATTTCCCGAGATGCAATCGAAACTCCCCAGATAGATACGGTGCGGTTTGTAGGGCTGAGTAACTACGAGCTCCCTAGTGGGCTCACATGGAAAGCTCTCGACGGCCTTCGACCACGCCACCTCGAGCTGGAGTGCGGTTACTGCGAAGAATCAAAATTGCCACGCTAGACTCACTGAAGACGCAATGGCCCTTGGAAAGCGTGGCGATTTCTAGTGGCACTGGTGTCGAGCTTGATTCTCTGGTCATGAAACGCATCTCTTCTCTGACGTTTAACTTCTGCTGTAATATGATAATCCCATCGGCGTTTGGTGCTGGAGGTTCTTTGCGACGACTGATCATCCTCGAGAACGATGCGCTCGACATGTTTGTCCATATGTCGAAGGATGGCGTATTGGATTCTCTCGAGGAGCTCAAGATAACGAGCACGAACGGCTGTGACGGCAATTCAACTTATCCACAAGAATTTCTCGAAGCCATGTCGCATTGCTCTACGCTTCATTCTCTCGATCTGGCGATGAGCGTGCCGTCCGAATACCAAAAACTTTCCGATTTTGTTCGCCTCCCGCACCATCTTTCTCATAATCTCGAACACTTCCGCTTCTGGGGCCAACCAGAGATGGCGGAAAATGTTGATTCCTGGCTCGAGTGCGCCCTGGATCCCAATTGGTTGCCGAGCTTGAAGACATGGTCATTCAACCTCGATGTTGCAAAGAACGTGAACCTCCTCGAGGCGCATGAAGCACAGAAGCTTGCGCAGAAGTTGACGGATTTTATGTTGAATAATCGTCCGAATTTAGTCCTCGCTAGTCCTGTGCCAAAATTAGTGCCCATCCCCGGTATATTCTGTCATTGCTATGCATCTGTACCGGTCAAGCTCATCGAGGCTTTCAGGGTCGGAATAAGATGACGAAGACGAATAAATATTCCTCTGAGCATGAAGGCTTGACTCGCCCCTCATTGCCCTAGACACTCATGTTGTGGTTCCCATACTTCGCATCTCTAATCACTCTCCACTCTGTCTCCACTCTGTATCGCAAGCTGGTCATACACATCTTCCCCTCCATGTAGTAATAGACTTTTTCCACAGGTCAAAATTCCCTGTGTTTCGATGCCCTCTTTCTGAGATCGCCTTGCGATGTCTCACAAAACCCATACCCCAGATCCTCTGCTCTCGTGTCCTTGTGTTTTTAGTACCACCCTTCGTCAAGTACAATATAGGTCGTGTTGATTTATTCTATGTTTCAATGAGTGATCCGAGCACGCAAGCTAGCAGAGAATCCCGCTCGCAGAACATGGGATGAAGAAGGTCGGTTTGTTCGCCTCATATAACCAAGACGGCATCAAGCTTGAGGTTAACGAGGGTATAGATCAATAGGGAAGAGCGTTGAGCGACGACTGAAGTGAATCAATAAGATTTTCAGGATATCTGGGGGACAAAGCACAACAACGTTGGCTGCTTTACGCCATTATTCTCGACGGACCACAGTTCTCAACTGCTTCCCGACCCAGCCTGCGGCAGTGCTTATTCGCCCATACCACATCTTACTTCGAGTCCCCGGCTCGACTTTCGCCTCAGTGACGGGCTTCACAAACCTGCTTTCAATAACTCTTCGTTCCCCCTCTGCACCCTGAATCCAAGACTCAGCTGCGGCCACCAGCTTCTTTTCTGCCCACCGCATGAGTGTGGCTTCATGTTTCCACACACCCGTTGTCCAGATTGCCAATGGCCCGCTTTCTCTGCGATCATCAACCAGTTCTGTTTTCTCTTCCGTCGTCTCCCCCTTTCCAAGGAGTTGCCCTTGAGTCCAAGGCCAGGGACGGGGTGCCAGTCGCCTTGCGAGGACAACGTCAGTGAAGATACGATCACCTATCACCACAAGGTCGTGTGGCTGTACGGGTGATGGGAGCGAGGCGAAGTATGACCGGACACCCCGCACGCAGCTGTATGAGGGCTTCAACGATTTATGGCGGAGCACTGGTGCTCGAAGATGATGGGTGACAGACTCCGCCTGGAGCAGGCCAGGGTCATCCCGTGTGCCAGCCGAATTGCTTACTATAAGCACATTCCCTGGGCCAAATGTCTGTTGGCACTCTTGCCAGGCTTCCTATGGTTGAATATGGGTACTTGGTCGATGGCTACCCATAGTGGTCACGTACCCGCAATTCTGGCACCAGTGCATCATCATGAGGGATAGTCTGACGACAAATTGATCGGGATGTCGGCGGCGACGATAAATTACAACTCACTAGACAGTTGTCCTTGTCAAACACTGCGCCACGGTAACCTGCTCGCTTGAGTGCGGTAAAGTCAAGTTGGCGGATATCTTGCTGCAAGAGATGTGCTCCGTCACGGTTGTCTACGCGGAGCACAGCTCAAAACGCACCTGCGACTGCAATAGATGGCAGAATAATGCGAGGGTTGATGAGAATATGAAAGGGAACCAGTACACCAGGTAAGTTGAATGGCATCGCAGAGCTGGTTAGTGTTGAGGCCTTTCTTGAGGGATATGTGGTCGGGAGAAGGTGAGCAGCGAATATAGGGATTGGTTCCCACGCGCTGCTGTATGCTCTCCATCGCCTCCGCAACGTCAACGCGCGTTTCACCCAACTTCAAGTCTATAATTTCCGTATTATACAGTATCCGCCATGACCGACCTCCTCTCGTCTGATAATGACGAAATCGACTTCGACCGTGCCGCGTCCGCCTTCCCCGACATCTCTCTCGACGGCGACAGCGACATCCCGTCTGGCCCTATTATACCCACAGTGACCAATTCGAACTTCGATGGCGGGTTTGACCTTGGCGACTTTGATAACGCGCCTGTGAGGGATGTGAAAGTCACGGGTGACGAGGATGGGGAGATTGAGAAGTTCGAGAGCGAGTTTCCTGATATCGGTGTGCCGGAGGTACGTGTCTGCGCTAAACAAACAGAACGGAGCGTTGGAATGCAGCCTTCAGGAGGTAGCCCCTTTGCCCTCTTCACAGCCTACATTTGGCGCAATTCCGCCCTTTGCGCCGCGTCCACAGCCTTCGGCGCTCTCCTCGACGCCAATTTTGACACAGCACATCGAGGAAGATGAACCTGAGGTCATCCGGTACGTCTACTACTCATCTTGTGATGGACATATCATCATTTTACAAACCATCAGAGAATGGCGAGAGCGTCAGGCCGAAGAAATTCGCGCTCGGGACGAGGCCTCGAAGGCCAAGCGCCAGGAGACAATCTCGAAAGCCGAACGTGCCATTGACCAGTTCTACGAGGAGTACAACACGAAAAAGGAACGCAACATCTTGGAGAATAAGTGCGCGCGCTCTCTCTCTCTCTCTCTGCTCGCTTTACCGTAATCCTTTACCTGACCGCTGTCTTTAGGGAGTCTGAGGCGACATATGTCGCCTCTTTGACCGATGCACTCTCGCAAGGCACGACTTGGGATCGGATCTGCGAGCTCATCGAACTCCAGAACTCGCAGAGCAAGACTCTCTCGCGCGCAGGGCCGGGTACAACAGAGCTGGCGAGGTTCCGCGAGGTGCTTCTGCGGTTGCGTCGGGAGGGGACGAGTGCGCCAGGTGCGGCTGGGTACTAGGTTGAGTACTAGGCTAGGCTCCTTGCACTTATCAAGTCAGACATCACGTCTGTGCCAGGTTCCCTTGGCTTTCCACTCCAAATTCTTTGAAATCTCGTGTTCAGCCTAGATATTTGGAATACAGCCGCTCCACTACAGTCAATGTCTGATTGACATGCTGCCGAGACTACTGCATATCGTGCGACATCGTGGTAATGAGATTCAGTTTTGTGTGTAAAGATCTATAGCATCCATGTGGTCGGACGTGAGGAACAGAATCGAGCGGGCCCTGCCGTCAAACGTTAAATGCATCGTACCCGATCATACCTTATGCGGGCCCCGTTGTTCAAGGTTGCTCAAGGGAACCCCTTGAATTTTCGATGGTCGAACCTTGGTAAAATGCTTCAGATCGTTGAATATTATGAATAGATGCTTACGTGCTTCATCCTTCACGATTCACCTTCACCCCGCGCCGCCACCAACTCCGTCATCGACTCCACGCCCCGAGTCTCCGTTCCGCATTTTGAGACCGATCACCTTCCATTCCTACAGGGAAACCGACACCCCAAGACCCAAATTTGCTGCTTCAGCTTCTCCTAGGAAGCACAAGTTCCACGTCAAGATTTCCCAAGCATCAGTCGAAGATAGCACTGTAATTTCGACAGGCTGACGAAAGAAACAAAACAGGTTTGGGAAACTCCGCAGATTCGAGCGCTGTTGCACGCGTTTGACAGATGCGAAGCCTGTGATATGCGCGGATAGGCAGCTCCAACAGTCAGATGCTTGATTTCTGATGTCAAAAGATTGCTTCGCTCAGAGAGCAATAGACCTTTGCGTGGCGGTGAGTTGCGAGAGAATGGAGGCACTGGGAGGCTGCTGATAAGAGAGGGCGACAACTCAGAGTGAAGTCTCACGAATCCCGAGAAGGGTGCATAAATAAATCTTGCATGGGCTTTCCTAACAACAGGGTCTCCCTATAAGATATGCAGTAGAGTGGAGAGAAGTTAACACGCCTGATGCACATGTTGTTCGGATCTCGAGTGAAAAGACCCTAGATTGGGGCATTCGGGACTGCTCGGCGACGAACAGGCTGGTGGATCTAAGGGCATCGCCTCGGGGATCCTCTAGCATGATGCATGAGCTCTTGATACACCTACTCTGAAAGGTGATTGTCCACAAAAGCTGTTGAAAAGTACGAAATAGCAGTTTTGACTGAATGCGGGGGTGACACTAAACTGGCATAGCTTCGATGAAGAAGGAATTTGTCTCCCCCGCAGAATAGCGCATCTTAAGATAAGAAACGACGATAAATAGAGCACAACCAGTGCGCAACCATGCCAAGAGGAACAAATGAGATCGAGAGTAGCCCGACGTCGCACTCAATATTAGAGTGTTTAAAGTCACCGTCACGAATGGTCACGGAAAGTCACACGCAGGCGAAGCCAGCAACCCTTCCATCTTCTCACACCGGACTTACTAATTGATTGATCAACAACACAACAACATCGCACTCAGAATGCGAATCAACACTTCCACTCTGTCTGCGCGTTCAAATTACCATTAAGCATTTTCTCTCCTGTTGATTGATCTTATCCCCAGAATGTGTCACTCCCGTTATGTAACCGGAGATGATCTAGCGCGGTGTCGGAGTGGTGTCGATCAAGAGAGAGATCGTATATATCTAGCTAAGCTGTCCCCCAGGTAGCATTCTCCAGTATGGCCTCCTCTGTCGTACAACAAGAGATCGTGGAGAGTTTAGAACGTCTCTACACTGACAAGGCATGTTACCAGTTTAATCCATGTTAGCACCCACGTTAATCCTGAAATCTTTAGATATTGAATGGTGAGGACGTTCAGAGAGCATCGCGATCTATTAGCTTGACCACCTTTTCGAATGGCAGTTTGCGCCATAACGGTCTTTGTAAGTATCCCTTTACCTCTCTTTTCTCAAGCTTTGGATCTCAGTATGTGGGATAGGGGTACGACGTATTATTGACCTTCGACGCGGAGGTGAACTATATATGGTGGTCAAAATGGAGCTGGGTCAAGGTGTTATTCTTCCTGACTCGATATTCTGCACTTGTAGAGGCTATCATTACCATATATCGTGAGTGGGCCTTCGAATGTCGCTAACTTTACATCAATATATTTTGCCACAGTTCAATCGAGCACGGAGATGACACCTTCAAGCTGTTCCACTTTGTTCAGTGTCACTGGTTGTAAGCGTCGTTATAATGCCCTCTATGGATATCATGCTCACTTGGTTATTGGATGGTGTTTTCAAGGGATGTTTATGTTTGGAGCCGCTGCAGCCGAAGGTAATATCGGTTCATATACCTGGACAGCTCCCTAGTTCACATAATTCTGATACGCAGCGATCATCATGCTGCGAACATGGGCTATTTGGGACCGCAATCAATTCGTCGCGTATATACTCGGAATCACATTCGTCGGAACATTCATTCCCGCGTGCTTTTTTGTCCACCGCTTTTTGATATCTTTGCAGTGTGGGTGTCTTTCATTATCACACAGGCGTTTTCTTTCTTTCTTAGTGGCTGTTCTACACGCAGTCGTGCCCATGGCCGAGTTGGGAACTCTTTCGGATGGTAGAGGCTGTTTCATCACTCAGTCAAACCACGTCGTTACGGGCGCATATGTATGCCTGATCGCATTTGATTCTGGTGCGTCAAACTTCTGACTAGCAGTTCTCCATCGGACGTAAGCTCACGGCGCATTTTAGTCGTTGTTGCTCTCAGCCTTTACAAGGCTTACGAGCTCGGGTACTGTGAGTTGCACATATATATTTTCTTGGTCTCGAGGGTTGCACTGACTCTACCCAGCTCATTTGTCACGTTCTAAGTTACTGCAAACATTATATCGGGACGGTGAGCCAGTTAATTACTGTTGCACCCAACCACAAGGTCTGACTGGGTCTTCTAGGTACACTGTATTATATCGTCTTGCTTGGTATGTACCGTGTACACATAGGTCTCATCGTGCTGATTTATCGGCAACGCTAGCATGTTCTGTCATCAGCATCGCCGTCATTTTAGCAGTGAACGTGAGTTTTACCGCTCGATTCAACGGATAGATGATGACTGCAAGCCATACAGCTTGAGTTCGTTATTCTCTTGGTCACGTGCGTCGTTCTCTACATTGCATTTGCGTTTCCCGGTAAACCTTTGTTACCTCTGTCAATATGTATAGGATGCAACGTGTCTTGTATGCAGTTCTCTCGTCGCGGATCCTGCTCCATATTCGCCAAGCGAGTCAGACCTCTGCAATATCGCATGGGTCGGAGCCCATGGCCCCCTTGCCAGCAATGCCATCCCAAACTACAGCAACATTGGGTGCGCACTCTAACTCCCTTTATCCACTCGCACCCACTTATTTTTGATCCCACAACGCACCTATTGATTCACACGGCCTGGTAGAGGAATCGGACTTCCGGAACGCATCCGATGATGTAGAAATGCACCCCATGAAAGCGAAGGCGTCATTTTCTTGACAGAGTTCACTTTGAGGAAGTGCTCCACACGAATGTCTTATCTTTTGCCAGGTCTATCGATCGCTTTGTGTAAAAATCTATGTTTTGATATGCTGATTTATTCGTTGTGTCACGCCTTTAGTCTACACTTGTATCTTGTCTTGTCACGATGGCAACCGTTCGCTCGCAGCCAAATCCTTTCGAAGGTAAATCAAGTGTGACAATGATTACGGTTCAAGTCTCGCATTCAATGTAAGTGGGGAACCGAAAACTCCTTAGTGATAGTCCCGTTATCCCAATCATCCTGTGATACAGTACTGATATTATCCTACAACTAATATAGAGCAGAAGTCCCATAGTAAATATCGTCGTGATCATCGGTCGTGTCTATGGTCGTCGAATGAATCCATTTCTATCCCCCGACGGACGCTATCAACCTGGAAGGCAGCTGTTGAACGAGTGTTAGCACTAGAATTGACCTGAGAGACTCGATAGAGCTTATTTCATCACCTACTTGAGGATCCGGCACGCTCTCTGCGATGAGGCAACTTTATGTCAAAAGGCTCTTTCTCTCGAGCTCGGTGAATGTGCAGTAAGATGCGACCAGAAAGGATGGAGTAGAGAGAGCGTTGAAACCTTGAACAGAGGTGAGACACGTGACAGAGAGATGACACGGCCGGCGTACCCGAGCAAGAGAAGCATCAAATCCGACTGATAGAAATGTTAATGACGAGTCCCATAGAAACATCATGAATACCAGAACTTACGGCGACTGCTAAGATGATCACGACGCTAACAAAAGAAAACACTGGAACCAAGGTCAGAGGACTCAAAATGAACATTTGACAAATGCTCACAGAAAAGCGTCACGTAGTACAACATCCCTTCAAATTTCCATTTAGTTTCGCAGGGGTTGAAACGGTGTATGATTACTCACCATCCCTGTACAAAGTTTCGACCAAGCTTGAGCGCGATACTGCAGAAGCTCATTTGAGTACAAACAGAGTAATTTGTGTTTGCAACATACGGCGTCTTAATTTCATAGCCTTGATCATCGTGAGTGTGACAATAACTTCGCAAAGAGTCAGTGCGAGCCCGTGAGGGTGAGAAGGAACAACGCACCAGTGTCGAATACTGTAAAGCTGATGTATGTCCCAATCACATCGACGCTCGCCTTCCCGACAAGGCATCCTTTGCCGGTAGAGAAATTCCCTAGACTCTCTGTTGGAATGACTGGGCAGAAACTTTGATCAGAGCCCCCACATTACACGCAACAGGTCAAAGTGCTCACATCGCGTCGTGCTTTGAAATTTTCCTAGGGCAATACTGGCAGCGATGAAGGTGAGGGTGAAGACGGCCAGGAGGCTGTACTTGACCGACCGCCGGCCTCCCCATAGTGCTACCGTCCGCAAGATGATGATGCCTGGCGAAGCCGTATAAACCAAAGTCAGAATTCAACATGTAGTAGAGAGGTGGAGGATTCGAACATTCAGCGACGGCGATTCCAAACATTATAAGCCCTGTGTGATAGTGGTGATGAGACAGAGGGATTCCACTGGTAACGTCCATCTTACAGCCAATGAGATCGTACAACGTTGTACAGACATTGGGTGAGAGGTTGTGCCCGAATTGGACTGAAGAGGATGCACTTGAGTTTGTGTGCATCAAAGCCAGAAACCTCATAAACTCACGCCAGATGACTAGACTCGTATCAATAAAGGCCGGGTATCGAGTACAGAGGAATAGGACTTTGGATAGGCTCCATTTTGATGGCCAGATGTATTTGACTTCATAATGCAACGTCAAAAGGTAGTCGTAAAGCTAAATGGACATTAGAACAGTGAACGCGACATCCAAACTGCCACGGAAGACTTACCAGCACCACGACAGCACAGACTATGAGTGCATAGTGAAATTCGTCAAACGATGCTTGCCTTCTTCGATTTGTAATCTTGGCTCACCATTAATGTACTAGCGCGATTGTGAGTACAGACGAAGAAGTCGGGGAGGATAACAGACACACCGTCTCCACGTTCAAGTGGGACAAACCACGCAGGACCTCGGATGGGTCGGGGGGTGAAGACATAGCGCAGAGAGCGCAAGTGACTAGTTGACTGCGGTCGCCAGAGAGTGGACTTTGCTTTCGCCTCGAAGGTGCCTTTTTGTATGGATCACGTACATGACCTTGCCATTATCATTTGCGATCGCCGAAGAGCGCTCATTGCTGAATATGCGTTTCGCCGGACTGTCCGAAGTAGTACTGTAGATCAGTGTAAATCCCGTGGCCCGAAATCTACAAGGTTTTCCTGAATGTGATGGTACGGATCAAAGCTCCAACCAGCGCCGCTCAGATCCATAGCATCAGAGTAAAAGTGAACGTCAGGCAAGGAACTGCGACGATGCCATGGCCTCTCACAAGCAAGGAGTGTGGATAGCGGACTGGTAGCGGCAAGTTCTCTCAGGTTCCTGGTTGGTTCTGATCTCTGGGAGTTCTGATCTGATCGCACTCGGCAGAACAGTCCCGGTCTCCATTCACAATCGAGGAGCGAGATCGTACGAAATTTGATGGCAATCTCCTTATCCAAGGTGCAAAGAATCTGTTCCCGTCCATAGTGCTCCTGAGATCTACTGCAGAGCGTGTAGACATCGACAAACCAGAGTGACAGCAACCGAGACCGAGTCCCACGCTGTCCTACGTTATCCGAGTAGCGAGCACTGGGCACTAAAAGTGTATGTAAGTGCGTACTAAAGGAGCACTAACTTTTGCTAATATCCCCGTATGTATACAGGGCAGCTTGGCAATGACACCGCAATAGCAAAGATGGAAACGTACCCCGAGAGCTCCGCGGCGGAAGGGGTAACACAGCTACTGCACGCTGCTACTAGGCTGCTGCATGCGTACAAAAGTTTATCAATATGTTCCTGAGTTTTAAGTCGTATGTCTCGACAGTCTGTGCTGATCTGTGGCAGTGAGATTGATGAAAATCCAATTACGTCCCCCTCAAACCAACAATCTATCGAACATCAAAAACGGCCATCTCAACATCTGTCGAGCAGCTCGCACCACTCTCCTGATCTTTTTACGCATTACGTGTAGTCAGCGGGCTTGGGCGATCGATTACGATGACTCAACGTACCTCGGGTCTGCCGAGGTGTTCGGTGCACGGCGAATTTCATAGGCATATCGTTTTGTGCAAAGCTCATCGGTGGAGGCTCAACCGCTTGATGTATGTGGAACAGGATACGTGCCGAGAGGACCGAGTACAATACACGTTGCAGCCTGAAGGGGAAGGCGTCAGTCGCAACGAAAGGCGCAAAAGAGGGAGACATATAGACCCGAGCAAAAGAAGCATGAGGTCCGTCTGCGAAAAAAAAATGATTAGATGGAAGCGCTGGAAACTGTGAACGGCTACACTCACGGCGACGGCCACAATGACTACGACACTGATTAAGGATATTACTGTTCAAGATTTTAATGGACGGTTTCCTATAAAGCTAGATGCTAGTACATACCGAATAGAGTAACGTAGAATAGCATTCCTGAGCATGTCTTTGAGAATGTGTTCCCCTCAGGAGAAGATAGGCTCACCATCTCTGTACAGAGTCAGAAACAGATTGGAGTGTGAGGGGTGAACTGAAGGCGGTCAATTGATTACGAAGCAAGCATAGTATACGCGACTTACGTTCTCTGAGCTGTAACCCTTTGATGACTGTGAGGATTACAATGACTGGTAGAGCCATCAATATTCGAGATGGATTTCTACATCCAGATCAAAACACGAACCAGTGTCGAACACGGTGAAACTAGCATAGGTCCCAACGACATCTATATTTGCACGGTCGGCAAGGCAGCCCTTGCCTGTCGACAGAGGGCCGAGAGTCGATATCGGAACAACTAGGATCAAGCGCTTCAGAATGAGACGCCGAGTTGCTCTGAGCTGGGATGTGTGTGAACTCACATCGGGTGGATTTTTCAAACAAAGCCAGACAGACACATGCAGTGATGAGAGACGCGGTGAACAAGGAGATGAGGAAGATTCCTATGGATTTTCGCCGACCCCAGATAGCCCACGTTCGCATGATGATGATGCCTTTTAAAGTCGGTGGGTGGGCGGACAGTCGATGCATGGCGAAAAACAGGCGAACCTTCAGCAACGGCGATCCCAAATATGATGAGCCCTGACACAAGATCAACGCCTATACGATACCCCAAAGCTGATGAACAACGTACATCCAGTAGCGCTGTAAAGGGCATGGCAAACTTCAGCCGAAAGATTGTGACCGAGTTGTACTGCAAATAAATGAGGAACGTGTGTCTCTGAGAGGAAGCACGAGTGAACTTACAATAAATAGCACAGACCGTATCGAAAAATACAGGGTATCGAGTTAAAAAGAACAACACTTTGATGAGGCTCCATTTCTGAGTCCACATGTACTTGATCTCGTATGGTAAAGTCAGAAGATAATCATACGCCTGGTATCATGACCAGATCAGTATCGTCGGGTTCGGGCGGTCGTTGAGAATAAACCTACGAGAATCGTTATAGCACAGGCTGGGATCGCTTCGATCAGATGGGCAGACAACGACAAAGATAGAAGATTGACAGACCATTGACATACTGAAAGTCGTGTCAGAAGCAATAATATCGCAGACGCAAGAGAGTCACTTACAGTCTCGATATTCAGGTGCTGGAGGCCGACCAGAACCGCAGACTGGTCTGCCATAGATGGGGGGTCGTAAAAAGATTAGGGCGCCTATCCATGATGTATGTTAAGACCTTTATATACGGGAATTTCGTGTGAACTGATGAGAAGCGCTATGGACCAGTGATCTCCCAAACTTACGCATCAAACCCTACTTGCGGGGTGAGATCGAGTCGAGCAGATTGCTGATGCGGGCGAGAAGTTCGTCTAGGGCATCAATGGGCGACGGTTAGTATCGAAGAGGAAAAAGAAATTTGGGAATGAGGCAGTGGACAACTTCAGTATCCCCTTTGTGTGCACATGGCTGATGCCAACTGGGGAACTCAGACAGCGAAGATGCTAATAATATTTCTGATCATCATTCACGTTGATGGGTGAAACTTGTATGAATCGATGTTCAGGAACTCGAGTTCGCGCACGCCATGCACAAGGTGTACAGGCTGATGAAGAAAATTGGAAAGATGGCCAAAGGAGTGTCCAAGCGTACAGCGATGATGGTGGCGGCAGCTGGCCACGTTCACCGGGCTCGGTTGTACCCGGTCAGACCTGGCCACATGGATACCGTAAAGTGGCTGACGAAATACGAGTGCAAGTCACGTCGAATCGGTGAGTACAAGTCTCTCAGACCTACTCTCGTAGACTCTCATGCTCCCTGTTCATCTGTCGCCAACCTACTCATCTTGAAAGGGTGTTGCTACGGATATTGAAGTAGGCTGGAGTGGGAAGGCACACGTTAAGGTGCACCAGGAAGTAGGCAAGTGATCGCTTTCCACAAGCTTGTCTAATGTATTTTTTACCAGTCATCGGGCAGCTTTGTGCAGGCATCTAAGAACTGGTCACTATCTCATCCGACAGTTGACAAACTTGCTACGGCGAATCTCAGCGATCGATGCTCGCCGCCAGCATTCGAGCGCGCGCATTGCCTTTGTGCGCAACCCTTGGCACTCCTCGACGAACCTCGGACTTCTTGCACCCACACATCCTCTCACGCTCTAAGGCTTTACTGAACTCAAGTCTTGCACACCATCACAGCACATTTCGACTTTATACGACATCCAGCCCACCTTCACGAAATGCCAGCGCATCAGCACCACGCAGCACTCCTCAGCGTCAACCCCTCCTTTCTCGTTTCCTGCCTACATTATTCACCTCTTCTTCATTGAAGGATAATCCATCTACATCGTCATTCAAGAAGATAGTCTCTCTCGCACGCCCAGAGCGCCGCCCACTGCTTATTGCTGTTGGGCTGCTTCTCGTGTCCTCATCTGTATCGCTTAGCATCCCATTCACGGTTGGAAAGCTTATTGATTTCTTCACATCATCAAACCCGGTACGTGTTTCATGTCTGGTCTGTGGTAGAATTGAGCCATATGGGCGAGAGAGAAGATGCAAGCGGGCACCGCTCTCTCGGAAGTTGCAGGTTCTCCAGAGGGAAATCAGCTATAGGCGTTGGAGAGAAATGTTTTCTTCGATAGTCTTAAGACATTGGCAATACTAGCCAAGGAGCAGGCGAACGCCAAGGCTCAGTGAAATTCAGTCCATCATGGCAGAGTCATATGCATTGTTTTCGAAATGTCTTTTCGCTGAATTTAGCAGCGGGGAGCCATTTTGTTTCTTTCTATTCGCGGCGTTTCTCAGAGGCTAAGTAGCTCGCGAAGCTAACGACATCTTTCACTTTGACAGGCTATTCCATTCGGTCTCACACTGACTCAGGCATCCGCGCTGCTGCTTCTTACATTCACTATTGGCGGAGCGGCTAACGCGGGTCGCGCGTTTCTTATGCGCATGTCAGGTTCGTTGTCCGATTGCTGTTCACTGTCGCCCTCGTCGATTTCAGAACTACAGGGCAGCGCATTGTTGCACGCCTCCGACAGCGCACATACGCTGCGTCTCTCAGACAAGAAATCGAATACGTCGAGCGGGGTGAAGGCGACGTGCTCAGTCGACTGACTGTTGACAGCAGCGTCGTAGGGGAGAGGTATGGGCTTTGAAACACCCCCGTTAAGTTCGCACACGATGCTGATGACTTTCAAATACTGATAGTGTCACACAAAATCTCTCGGATGGTCTCCGTGCTGTTGTGATGTCTTTTGCTGGTTGTATGTACTAGTTCTCACTTCTGACATCTCACCTGTCATGCTGATGAATGCTCTGTTTATTAACTTCCAAAGTGGGGGCGATGTTTTACCTGTCTCCTACACTTACCCTATTGATGCTTGGCGTGGTGCCTCCCATCTCTCTTGGGGCGGTACGCGATCGACTCTTTCTCCTCATAATATTAATTACTCACTATACATAGGTATTCTATGGAAGATATCTGAAGAGGCTTTCAAACCGGACCCAGGAAGCGCTTGGTGAGATGACTAAGGTACCGCTTTGGTGACATTGAGGATTTCAGACGCGTTGACGCCCTCGTAGGTCGCTCAGGAGTCCTTGTCGGCTCTACGAACCGTGCAGTCCTTCAATGCGGCACCTTATGAAGAGAAAAAGTTTTCGGCGCGCGTCGACCGTGTATTAACGCTTGCAAGACGTGAAGCCATCGCTAGCGGCATATTCTTCGGAAGCACTGGTTGGAGTGGAAACGTCGTCTTGCTGGCGTTGCTGGGATACGGTACGTCGCCTTCTTGTCGGGACGTTGTAGCATGACGTTCAATTTCTTGGTGTGTAGGAGGTTCGCTTGTGAGCCAGGGCGCGATTTCCGTCGGCGAGCTGACCAGTCTGTTGATGTACACGGTCTACGTTGGTAGTGGCCTCCAAATGTTGACGTGCGTGTGCCTTCGTCTCAAAACAAATACATCTGACTCATTGTGTCCATCGCAGAACTTTCTTCGTAAGTCGCTAATGCGGCTGTTGCGCTCCCACTCACCTCGCTGCCATAGTCGTCTATCATGCGCGGAATAGGCGCTGGAACACGTATATTCGAGCTCCTTGACAGAAAGCCCGCTATCCCACCCGAATCTGGGTCTGTGCTCGATGTGGGACGCCGGGGTACCGTACGCTTCGAACATATCGCCTTCGAATACCCGAGCCGTCCTGGAGCCCAGATCCTCCGCGACTTCAGTTTGGAACTCGGTGTGGGCGAAAGCGTTGCTATCGTGTGAGAAATCTTCGTTTTGTGCCTTTGTCCTACTGCGCTGACCGGATGTCGATTTTTTTTAGCGGCAAGAGTGGAAGCGGCAAATCCTCTGTTCATTCTCTGCTACTGCGGTATTATGATCCTATCAAGGGCAAAATTACGTTTGACGGGCAAGGTCTGCCTTTTTACTTCCGCGAGGGTTATTAAACCTGATCTTTGAGATCGGTACAGACGTAAGGGAGTTCACATCCAAGTCCTGGCGTAGTATAATCGGCGTTGTTCCTCAGGTGCGTTTTGAATCGTCAGCAACCTAGACCCTGAGTCCATGAGCTGATTGGTTGTCGTTCCAATGCGGATAGGATCCCGTTTTGTTCACTGGCACCATCGCGTCTAATATTGCCTACGGGAACGAGGAAGCTACACGGGAACAAATCGAGGCCGCCGCACGCGAAGCGAACTGCGAGTTCGTATGGGGCCTCCCACGAGGATTTGACACTGAGAGTGTGTCTTCCCGCATGCTCACACGCTGCAGTCACGGGTCTCATGTGTTGACTGTGACCTAATTTTTGTAGTTGGGCGCCTGAGCCTTAGTGGTGGCCAACGCCAACGGCTAGCCATCGCACGTGCTCTGCTCAAGAAACCGGCAATTTTGGCGCTGGATGAGGCAACGAGCTCTCTGGATGCAGCATCCGAGCGGAGGGTACGTCCAAGTTTCGATATATATACATATATATATATATCTTGCCACTTTGCTCAATACTTGGCTACGGTATCTATAGGTCAATGATGCTGTTGATAGGATCTTGCAGTCACGCAATACGACTTGTCTATTCGTTGCTCACAGACTGTCCACGATCGCACGGGCCGAGCGCATAGTAGTTCTTGAGGGTCCGTCGTTAATGTTATCAACCATAGACTCTCACCAACAAATTTGTCTCGCAGATGGTCATATAACGGAGACCGGCACGTACAGGCAGCTGGTTCGTTGACATTCTGCTGTAATACCCTTGTGATGCTAGCTCACATGATGTACTTAGGTCCAGCGCGAAGGCTCCCGGTTCCGCGAGCTCATGGCTGCTCAGCTGAACGCGACGGAACCAGGCATAGAGGTTACCCTCCCTAATGGCGAGTCCGAAGTCGAAGCGCCGGACGTTGTAGCAGACAAGAGCTTGGACGAACCGAAAGCGCAAGCACATGTATGATGGCCTTCTCGGACGCCGTGGGCCAGCGTATCAGACACAAGGAGCCACTCAGGAGCCTCGTTGATGGCCCTGTCTCAGCGGATCCTGTCCCGTCCCTTGGTCGCTGATCGCTGATATTGCCGCTAGTTGCGTTTCATGGGCTCGGATGCCATCGGAGGCCATGTGCTGCAGAGATAATTCTCTCTGTTGTACAGACAGGAGGGCCATAGAGTTGTACATGAGGTATCTATCGATGTATTTTCAATCGAATTCCTGCTCGCACCATAGTCAATGAGTCTGTCCTGGGAGCTTAAACACTAGCTTCCGCCCTTTGGCAATTGATATTCGAAGAACAAAGGCATCCTTAGTTCTCAGTTGATTCATTACTTATGTGAGCGAGCCTAGTAGCCGCCAGTGTTCCGCGACACACGTGAAATGACTTGTCATTTACTTCCGTTGGAATCTCCCAAGTCAGTAATACTCGGACCACGATCTGTATCGAACAGGAGGAATCCACACTGCAGCTTCGAGGTGTATCCTGGATACTCTACATTTGCATTTGCAGTACATGAATTCCTTCTTTCCATGATCATATGCTTTCCACACTATCTCCCGCCAAGCCTTCCAGCCTCCAAGCGTCTGCAAGCGTCTGATCTTTGGCGCAACTCCTCATGTACCGCCCGTTCTGTAGCCCTTCATGACACGGAAGTTTCAAGTAGTAGCAGACCGGGACTCTCTCGTTGACTACGATTTTGTGTGAGTCAATGCGTGACTTATCCCTCCAGCGCCTCATGCTGAAGCGCTGACGACGACTTTGACGGAAGCGACGCCATCTTACAATTCCGCCCCGCCTTCACCCACTCACTTCCTGTCCAGATTCTGGTCACATCCATTATCTGCACCCTACTCTTCGTTCTCTTCCTGCACCTCCTGCTCACCGCCCGATACCATTATCTCCTCGCACCCGTCAACTTCGCCCTCCAGTTGGTGGCCGTGACCTGCCTGCTCATATCCCACCTCGCCAGTCTTGCCGTCGTGCTCCGCGAGGCACTCCTTCAAAGCCATGAATGGCCGTACATGCTGGCTTACATCGCCGTGACGGTGCCCCCTTCAAGTGAAAGCGCGAATGCTTGGAGTACAGCCATGCTCGCGGCGTGGTGCACTTTGAAATTGGTGATGTCGGCTCTGATCCAGGTGGGTCTCTACTCGCAATAATCGCCGTGTTGAACGAGTCTGGAGTCTTTACCCCCCTTGAATGTTGAAATGAATGATTGGAGCGCTTGCGCACCATTTCTGTCAAAGCGATGACCTCAGTGTACTCTGCCATGCCCGTGGGGTGATGCAGGCACCTACCGGCGTTGACAGAAGGCTTCTCTAGTCTATTCATGCCGGCCAAAGAGTCTCTTCTTGATGTCAACGATCTACTCGATCTGCAGTTCTGTACGTTCCTGTGCCCTAATTGATTTTCTGCCAGATTACGCACATTCAACTCTTGACATTGCTGTTTCCCACTAAATTCGAAACCCGCCTGATCTTCTACTTGCTCGGTACGCTTTATCATGCTCAACGTTCATTGAAAACATAATGGCTGACTCAACTCACCATACAGGCCCTCTTGCGCTTTTGTCCGCTCTAACTCAACTACAGCCCCTCCTCCCCAACTCCTGGGCGCACATCATCATCGCAACGCACACCACATGTAACGCGACACTCTCCCTCATCTACACTTCTGCACTCCTTGCGTGGGGCACGATCGTCGCACCACGTCGGGCTTGGCGCTCAGATGGCGGGACCTCAGCGTTCGGTGCCGGAGCTCTCGTTCTCGCCTTGGTTAGCACCGCGCTCTCGTTTGTATGCATCCCCGCCGCGGGAAAAAGCTCGACGGTCACGAGCCCTCAGTGCGTGTGGATTCCTGGCCTTGTGCTGTCCGTTATCCTGTGGCAGAGCTACCTGGGGTGGTGGTGGTGGGTAGGGGCGATCTCTGGAGGGTTGGAAGAGGTGGAGAAGTGGAAAAAGCGGGCGAAAGCGGAAAAAGGGCAAAAGAAGAGCCCGAGGGTCGTGGGGATGGGAACGGGCAGGAGAGGCACCTCAGCTGCACCAACACCAACGGGGGAGGCACTAGCAGATCCACCCGATGGCATCTCCGTACACCAGTCAGACCCGAACCTTCAGCATGGAACGGTATCGAGATGGTGGGTATCGTTACATCGCAGACGTAGAGCTGAAGACTGAGGGGCAACATGACAAAAGGATACGACATGAAAACCCATGCCCTAGATATATCTCCGAGTCTCGACAGCATCTCATACAAATAAAGGGAGCGACGCTACTCTTCTCCGCTCTAACGCCGTCCACTCCTGCTTTCCTTTGATCCCGTTTTCATAGAGCGCGTAGTTGCTTCTCATTCGATCTGTTCCGGTCACATTTCCTCACGATCACGGATCTGGTTCCATTACTATCATTGACGCTAATCGAACACAACACGGCGTGGAGCAACTGTACCCGTGTGTAGCCTGTAGACATAGTTATGACGCACTGGATGGATATGGACAACAAAGGGTGAGCAAGCCAGAAGCTAGCAGGTAGCAAAGCTGAGGGTTATCGAGGGCAATCATATCGCCCAAAATGTTGCCCGCTCGGAGATTTCTGAGGACGATCTGCGATCAGGGACAAAGGGAGAGTATATATGAAGTCAATTATACATTCATCGACAAGCACTGTTTCTAAGCTGTTTCTACTGGTTGATTGCAACGCTATACTCTGATGTGACGAGGTTCGCAGCGCCTGTGAAAGGCTCAGTGCCAGTCTGTATAGCCTGCACGAACTACGACCAAGATGTCAGCTTGATCATGGATTGTCCATGTAGCTCACAGGAAAGCACAAACCTGTGAGCTGGACACGCCCTGCTCATCTATCAAATATTCTGTCATGACAGTTCTACCGTCAGGGAGGAAGCAGATGATATCCTGATGCGACATGTTTCACGTACGGAAAAAGTCGTTCAAGTCCGCGTCGAAATCTTGAATGTTACCGTCTGTCGAGACAAATGAAAGGACCTCCCAGTTCGCGTTGGGACCCTTCCAGAGGTTCCATGCGTGGCCCGCAACTTGTGTTCCTGTGGTGATCTGTGAGCCAACTGGCTGAATCCTGTCAAATTTTGTCAGCCGAGAGCGTAGGGAGATGGTACTATAATGGAACCTGCTTACCCTCCGAGGCCGGACAGCCATATCATGCTATAATTGGGAACAAGATTCAATTTTTGGTGCTTCAAGGGCCCGAGATTTGAGATACTAACATCTCATAGGAGGATGCAGCCGACGCTGGGTCTCCGGATGAGGCACTCCCGAACCATATGTCATACCTACGACTGAGTTTAGAGGATGTAGTCTGCACGGGAAGACGGGTCTCAGACTCACGAAACATCCGCCCGAATGCCAGACGATTCGGTCTCGTAGGTCCAAGTCCATGTTGTCGGCGCCGTTGTTATCGCGGATAACTGAGGAAGTTTCCGGTCAATTTCGGATGTGGGGATGGACTGCAGTGCGACCGACCTGCACGCCCTTCGCGGACGATGATTCAACATTTGCATCTGCTTATTGGTGTCATTTCGGAAAAGGTATCGTTGGCGGTCAGCCTCACGTACAGCTTTTCACATTGTTCGGTGCATCGACCCAAGTCCAGTTCGTGGACCAAGAGATTGAGTTGCCAGATGTGCTGATCAACGTCGAGTTCTGCGAGCCCACCCCAGCAGCTGTGTGGATGGTATCAGGCCCCGAACGGAGGGAAGTTTCTGTATTCAAACGTACTCCTGCCCCAGAGGTTCTGGCACAATGTGAATGTGCCCGCAGGTAGACAATCAAAGGCCCCGGTGATCGTCTGTGCAGTGACAGCCGCAGCGAGGCTAGATATGAAAGATGCCGTGAGCAGAAACATGATCTCTTCAAAATTCCGAGAGAGGAATACTCGCCAAGTGCCCAGGGTGCGCTTTATATCTCACTATGCCTCCTCATAGGCTCCATGATTAGCAGTAAGCACGCCAGACGACGTTTTTCACTCCGCAAAGCAGTTGTAACAAATCATGACACTTGTCCATATTGTTCCGAAGTGGATCAACCTATGTTCTGGTTGCTCGAAGCTCCACAATCCACCGATGGTCCTTGAGGATTCTGGCAGAAGCATATACAACAAGCTCCTGTATCTCACCGATGTATATCCAAGGAAGTGGATGAAAGTTCATTCGCACCGTATTTCCATCACTTGACGATGGATACATTTCTTCGGGACGCAACGAATCTTGCGTCATATAATACAGTCGACCGCATGATAACCTACACATTAAGGAATATGCTGTAATAGTGTTCAGCCACAGATGCTCCTTGAGAATATGATCGGTCTATGATAACGGGGAAACGCAGAAACGTCGGATGGTGTAACATAAGGAATAGAGAGGTATCCCGTAGCTCTATATGGAAAATCTCAAACTGGCGTGCACCACAACCATCGAAGAACGCGATGAAGACCCAATCACTCACCGACACTCATCGCCTGGTGATTAGACTGGTAGTGGCTCTTTGCTCTCGGCATTCTCCTTCTCTCCATTCTGTCTCGGGACCCCCTTGGGGTCCTTCCCGATCCTCCAAAACGGCACAAACTTCGACTGGCGCTTGCGTTTCCCCGTCCACACACCGAACGCCGGCCTTACCCTCGATGGGCCCATCCTCACCCCACCGGTCTCGGGCGTCACCGTCAAAAAGTTGACCACGACAGACCACAGATTGTTCGCCGTGACCGCGCTCTCCTCCGCTACCAACCCCCGGTCCGCCACCCGCGCGAGCTGTATCGCTTCCTCCGTATCACGTCTCGCAACGATGCTGCTTGGGGGCGGATGCTCGTCGCTGTCCAGCGCCCATGCAAGGCCCCAGCTCGCCGACGAGTTGAACAAGCCCTGTGCGACCGAGTGCCTGTTGTTCTTCGCCGACCTCTCTGGATGTTCGTCCTGCTCGAGATAGTGCTGGAGCCGCGCGATGTGCATCGAAGCGTCCTTCTTCGCGACTTCGAGGTTCCGCGCACGATGCTTGGCGATGTTCTTGATGGCGCCCGCGAATTTCCTATCGAATTTCTCTTTACCACTTGTGTATCGTCGGATCGCTTTTTCTGACAAGGTCCCGATGAGCTCTGGGGGGACTTGAAGGGCGGGAAGCTCGTCCTCGGATTCGAGAGGCCTGATCGCGCCTTGAGTGGAGACGCGCTCGCGGATCATATCGTTGTTCGAAACCGAGATAGCCTATGAACAGTAAGAGGCAATCGCCAGCACAGGCAGAATAACTCACCCATGTGCCATCATAGACCTCATAGTTTCCAGCGTGCAGTTCCTTATCATGTGGTGGCGATGTTGAGTGGCCGAAGCGAGGACCGGCGACGTCCACCGAGCCACCCTTCGATAAAGTCCCTGTTGAAGAGGCGTTCGGCTCCGGAAAAGCTCCGCTTTCTCCTCGCACCGACTGGAAGCTGCGAGACCGTAAAGTTGATGCTGTGCGTGCGAGTCCTGACGAGAACGACGTTTTGTACAGTCGGGTTTTCTCCCATTGAGATCCATTCTTGAAGCTCGAAGGTAATGTGTCCGCCTTCTTGATTGAGACACCTGTCCCCTGTGGATCTCCAGGACTCGATGGCGTGATGATGGTATGAAACCCAGGCGTAGCAGGTTGCGATCTCGCGAACTCTACATCGTCCAAATTAAACTCGTCTGGGGTTTGTGTGAAGATGGGTGGAGGCGTGATCGGGCTGAGCGGCGTGGGGTCCACCCGGGTTACGTGTTTGCAGAATGTGGCAATTGCCCGGTAGCAGTACTTGGCCGGCGTCGTGAACGAAAAAAGCACAGGGAGGACGTGGGCGGCGTCTGATAGTTTTTGGTCGATCGGCAGCTTAAGGTCATACATCATGGTTCGCTTACCATCATAAACCTGCAAATGCACCGGGGTTGGACCACACCGGCTTTCGATGCCTTCAAGGGCGGGGTACATGGCCCGCACCTCGTCGGTCAACGGGAATCGATCCGGATTCGCTGCCCTATGCGCCCTAGGAAAGAAAAAGAGAGAGAGATAAACCAATGCTCTATACAACAAGAGACTACTGCCGGCGACTCACGCGTAGATCACCTCGTCTCTCAACACTTCCCTGTCACTTGCGATGAAGAACAACGGCGGCAGCCCGCCCAGGTACGACAACGCGGGGCTCACGAGCGGATGCTTCAGCAGCCCGTTCGGCGCGTACAGCTGGAGTTGCTCCGCGATCGTGATGCGCTCGCCCTCAGGCGTGATAAGGGAGACAGACTGGTCCGAGAGGGACCCAGACGGCGGAAGTGAGGCTGTTGATCCAATGTGGATGGGCCCACTAGTGCTTAGAAGGGAGTGGGAGAGAATAGATGGTGGGCGGGGTGCACCGGGGGGCGCGGCGGAGGCGTTTGGCGCGTCGATTCCGCTGCCTGAGCGTTTGATTCGCGAGTGCAGTGCATGCCGGAGATTATCCCGCAGGCGGTCGCGGACGCGCACAGTCATGTCCTCCGAAGGGGGAGGCCACAATGCGCTCGGCTTGTGCAACGAAAGTCCGGTAGAGGGAATGACATCCTATTATAGTCGTGTGAGAACGATGTCAAAGTATAAAAGAGGTGCGGTTGCAATCATGCTCACGCTGTCCGTATTACTGAAGATGCTCGGGAAGGAGTGCGTGAAGTCGCACCAGGGCGAGATGAGCACGCCGCCCGCTGGAGCGGGGAGATCGGCGTCGCGGATGACCTGTAGAAGTGCTAGAGAGAGTCCACCGCCTGCCGAGTCCCCGGCGATGACAATGCGACCTGGGCTGACGGGCTTATGTGCTGCGCCTTCAGGTGGGCGGATGAGGAAGAGGTCTACAGGGACGTCAGATAGATGGCGCAGATACAGTTATTGCTCTAGCTTACATGCAGCGAGTAGGTCTTGGATTGCGCAGGGAAAAGGGTATTGTGGTGCAAGCCGATAATTAACAGCTATGTGAAATTGTGATTAGAAAAGGGACATGAGGAGGAAGCAACATACGCACCGAAGACACGCCCGTGAATCTTGCGCGCGTACCGCTGCATGCTATACCTGAATTTTCAAAGAAGTCAGGATCGGTAATGAGTGAACAAAGATAATTTATGCTACCTTTCTTGGTCAATACTCCCGAAATAATATCCACCTGGAAACAAGCAGTCAACTCGCGAACGTAAACCGCAAGCGCATACAGTCTACCTCCATGCGAGTATAGTATGCAGGGCATCTCGTCCATCTCAGGTTGGTACCCAGCATCGTCTTCTGAACTGTCTTTTTTCTCAGCATCGGTCTTGTCCTTGCCCGATCTCGACCGCGACCTCTTCCGTCGCTGCTTTTCGCGACGTTTCGCCTCCTGCCAGTCTTTCTTTGCCGTGATCCACTCTGCGTCGACGCTATTTTACATGTCCAGTCGCATTTCAATTATGAATCAAGCCGTGATGGAAAGGGAGGATGTACGCACCCCGAGACGCCTCGGACTTGCCACCACTTTGTCCCGCCGACTGTGCGTTTCATGAACCCCTCACCTCCAAATGCTTTGATCAAATGCTTTGCTGCTTCGTCGCAGCACGAGGTAGGAATAATGAGCCGTACAGAGTGAACCCATGGCGGGGAGGGTGTGCGGGTATTAGAAAAGCTCTGCAGTTCTTCGACTGTATGCCTGTGAAATGCAAGCTTCAACGTTTTGCCTGTACATTATTGCAGACTGGCTCACTTGGTTGAGGCTTCGAGGAATTTCTATATAAAGGAGTCAGTTCAATGTCCCAAAGAATATGTGCACGCGTCGAAATGGAACTCAAACATAATCATCATAGAAACGTGGTTCCGAGCATCAGAGAAGCGACTTCAAAATTACATGGGCTTCCATAAGGGAGTACAATTGATTGGATGGGAATAACGCCACAGCACGAAGGCGCTGACTTGCCGAGTGTCGAGGGATTCCAAGCAGGATCATAAGGCTTCGTGAGCAAAGAACAGAACAAAGGACCTGAGTATATGCGCCCGTCCTCGTATAATGGCTCATCCGAGACGTGAAACGCGACCTCACAAACGGATCTGCATACCACTCAAGCTCAAAATAACTCACCTTCACGATAATGAACACCTCGTCGTACAATAGCTCGTCCTGCCTGAGAGGAATCGCAGACGCGCCCGCGCTTTTTCTAATCCGGTCTAAATAATGCTTGACGAGCGTCTCCAAGAAGAGCGGCCCGAGTTTGAGACCTGCCTGACGCGTCAAGGAGTTGGGCATGGCTGGGGCGTCAGAGGCAAGTCGGGGGACGGGGGTCGTGAAGGGATGTAAAGATGGTAGTTGGTGGGTAAAGAGAATGAATGAATGGAAGGGCGTTCTGCGATGGAGTCTAGCGGGCCATGCAAAGTTGTATAATGTTGTGGGGAGCGCTCAGCGCGTCCGAGGAAGCCTCCGAGTCCGAGCGCTTGTCAGCTGCTCAGCATCAGCACAACCCTTCCACGTGAATGTCCCCGACTCAGCACAGCTGACTCCCTCGCTTGAAACCGGCCTCTTTGGCTGCAATTCATCTTTTTCAGGCCATTTACTGATAAATATCATGTATCATGGCGGAACACACTCAGGACAGCAATGATCTTGGACTCCATAGAAATCAAGTATCCTGCTCTTTCTTAGTATATGCTCCACCATCAACAGCATAGGCACTCAAAAGAAAGACACATCATCATGCCCTGTCATAAGTACCTTGCATCATTGCTGAGCTGCTCTATACATACATATCTTCTTTATTACAGGGCCAATTTAGAATATCTCTGCTGTAGTGCCTCTCAACCATTATCCATGACTGCTTGCATATAGAGGTCATAATATGAAGTATGCCACTTGACCTCCTTGCTTGTAAGCATACCATATGTCAGTTGCCTTCCTCTAAGCACCCAGTTAGTCAATTCTATGGTTTCTGATCTGAAAATGGAATTGTGTAGGTAAAGGTAAACTCTGTGCCTAATTTTAATCATATTTATTGAGTCTGTATTAAGTCTTGCTTCTTTGATTAAGAATCTTTTCTCCAACTTTAAGTTTTGACAGAACTAATATTAAAGGGCACAAGGACAATTATAGAGAGAATGATCCACCCCAAGTCAACAAAGTGTTAGGCTGCTTCCAATAAAATTTTGGGCCCTGCATAGTCTGACACCATATACTGTACCATGAATACATGTTTCTTCCTTAGCTCAGGCAGAGGAAGATTTATACAGTCAAGAGAAGTTTGGTAGTTCTATGCCACACTATGCTAGGGGTTTGTCTTGGATGATCCAGATAAAGAAATCTCTAGAAAGAGCTTTCCAGAGAGTCTCCCATCACTGCTAAATTGACCCTGTTTGCATCCATTAAAGAATCCTCAAAAAATTTCAGCATCTGGTTCTAAATACACATGTTCATGACTTTATGCCCATTGGCTGGATTGAACAACCGACCTCACCATTACGAGTGGCGCGCTCTACCACTGAGCTAAACGGGCTTGGTAAACAAGGGGCTTATGCTATATAACACCAGATATTTGCCATTGAACGACATGCCGCGGGATCCCCGAGTGCAAACAACGAGTTCGACGCTGAGTTTGCTGCACACCTCCACCATGGCTGCTTGCCACATGTGCAGGCGGGCAGAGTCTTTATTTAAACCTTTCAGGACACTCGATGATACTAACCACTCTGTGCTTCTGACCAGCACCCGGTGCCAGCTGAATCCCTCCACTAATTTCACGACGATTTATCCTCCCCCATTCATCATACCATGCAATCTGAGTCGGACTTTAGTCCTGTCCCCCAATCTCATATGATCCTGTCTCTTCCAACCCGGGACCAGCTCCCACCAGATCTTCGACGGATCCTGGAGAAGGTATACATGTCTTGTCTCGACCATTCCCCTCACCCCTCATATCTTCCGTGCGTCCGGGACAGTTTCTGGTAAAAAAGGATGACCATCCAGTTACTCCCAAAGCCCACATTTACCTCTCTCAGCCGTCCAGCCCGGGTATGGCCTCGGTAAGCCCCCTCCCCACTCCTACGACCCCAGACGCACCGCTTCGACCGATCCCTCTGAATGCATCCCCTCCCCGAGCCCTATTTGGATCCCAGAACGACGAGTCTCGAGGTGCACATGTAGTATCTGCGCAAAAAATGAATCAGCTACCCAAGGCCACTTTTCGCGTCACTGGACCCGCGAAGCGTTACGCCATGTACATCGCGCGTCCTTCGCCTTCCCGTGCACCCTCGTCCTCAACCGCCTCGTCCTCTCGGCGTGATCGCCACGGCCAAACTGATCGAGAGCACGGCGATCGTGCAGCGATCCACGAAACGGAGCACGTTTCCCGAGGCCGGCGTGCCGGCTTTAGCTCTACGCTTGGGCAACGTCCCCGCGGTGGTATCGTCGATATTGAAGAGTGGCAAAACTTATGGATATCTTCCGTTGGTGAGGTGGCACGCTTCAGGTCTAGTCAAGAGGAGTTAACGACGGGTGAATACGATGACCACGAAGAAACAGTCCCGGGTTCAGCCCTTCGACACTCTCCGTGATGGTACAAACCCCCAGTGTCGCGAAATAGACGTGCAGCTGCGCACTCGAGGCGGAATCAGGAGACAAACACTGTCCTTTCTTGATGATAATATTTTTCTATCGTTGATTTCTATTTCCTTGCTTCATCCATTCCTCTCTGTTCTTCATCACGGGTGGATGTGTCTATATGAGTCTTCTCAGAATTCGGTTCATTTCGCCGCGTCCTTGAGATTCCTTAGAGCTCTTTACATGCTTATTGTTACTTAGACATAGATATATATGTCAATGTCATACCAGGTCTTCATGAAGTGGCTCTGCCACCGCACAACTATAATTACGGCGACCCAAATATATGATTCTCATACACTACACGTAGCCCTCATATTGTAGCCATAAAGTCCAGTGAACGTAAGCCAAGAGTCAGTACTGACCCACTATCTACAAACCCATATAACGATACATCACCGCCCATATGTGAGATCCCGTAAGAGATACGAAAGGCGCGAGAAGGCCAGTGCATAATGAAGAAAGCGCGAAAGCTAGTGACAGAGCGGGGCAAGAGAACAGAGGAGATATAGACAAGTAGGAGATATGAAAGAAAAGGGACGACAAAAAATCAGACGACATACACGTTCTCCTTCGCAACTTCGTACCCGTCCAGCTTCTTGAAGTACTCAATGCGTGCGAGACGCTCCTGTTCGCGTCGCTGGAATGGTTTCAAAAGTTAGAATCGTACGCGCCACAGAGTGAACAGAATCCCCACCTCGCGCACTTCCTCATCCGTGCTCACTTCCGCGGGCTTCCTCCGCCTGCTCCCCTCGGACCTCGATCGACCTCGACCTCGACCTCGGCCTCGACTTTGACCCCGACCCCGACCCCGGCTCCTACCTTGACTGCGCGCCCTTGTTGCACGAGTCGTGCTCCTACCCCGGCCCCGTCCGGCTTCCTCGTCATCGTCGCTATCGTCGCGCTCTGAGATTGAATCTTCGTCTGCGTGAGCCGTCGTGGCGGCTGCACGCTTTGACGGCCTTGTCGGCAACAACTTCTCCAACCGCTTTGTTATGGCCTGCGGATCCTCATCTACTTTCGCCTTTGGCTTGACCTTCCCTTTTCCCTTCGTCACCCGCTTCTCCCTCCTTTGGTCATGCGGTTCTTGGGTACGCAAGCGCTTCCGTGGCCTCTCATCCTCCTCCTCCTCCTCCTCCTCCTCTTGCTTCCTCTCCACATCCACAATCGTCTCCGCGCTCCCACCACTACTCCGCCGCTTGACCGGCGACGGACTGCTCATCTCAGTTGCGCCGCTCTCGCTCTCACTGCCCTCTGGCACCTCGCTCCGAACGCGGCTGCCCTTTCGCCGCCGCTTGCGCATTGTGACCTCGCCCTCGTCCCGCACCTCGCCCCGCCGCGGCGTGATCACGCTCTCCAGCGCGCGATCGAGCCTAGGAGTGCGCGGAGTATGAGTGGGCTCGCGCGCAGGCGGGGTCATGTACATGTCTTCCATGTCGTCATCGTCCCCGTGCCCGCCTGCGGCGCTCAGCGAATCTTGCTTGACCATGCGCGGCGTGCGTGGGCTCCACGCGTCCCATGCAGTCGCATACCCGCCCTTGCGCACGGGGGTCGATGGCACGCCGCCAGAGTACATCGTCGAAGGAAGGAGCGCGGAAGATGTGGCCACGGGGAGCGTCTCAGTGCTCGGGCCCGCGTGCGCCGCCGCCGTCAAGTGTTGTGCGCGCGCAGGTCCGCCCTGCGCAAGCCGCCGCGCCTTCAGCTTTATCTCGGCCGCAAAGAAACCGAACGGGTCCTCTTGGGCCATGAGCTTTTGCTGTTTATTGCGATGCAGCTGGCTTGGGGTGGGAGGGCGTGGTTGAAGAATTCCACGATCGGATGAAGGGATGGGGATATCGAAGTCGCCACGGCCGCCATCGGGACGCACGCCATAACGGGAGTGGGCCTGTGGTGGTGGAGGGCCGTTCTCTTTGTCTGAATCGGGTGTCAATGGGTCGTCCTCCATACCTACATCGAATGGATTTATTTCCTCCGCCACTGGGACAGACACGATCTGCTCATTCTCTTCACCGTCTGAGCCAAACTTCCTTTTCAAACCAGGCGAGAACAAGTCCTCAGAGTGAAAGCCCTCGAACCTGTTTTCCTTGTCCTGCACTGAGTCTGGTATCTCATTCTCCTTGTCCTCTTCTTCTGCCGGAGCCCGATTTTCCTTGTCCTCGTCACTCCATTGGAATGGATTTTCCTTGTCATTGTCGCCGAGAACCGGTAACATGAGATCGTCGTCGTCTTCAGGAGTGTCCCAATCCTGGTGAGCAGCTAGATACGCTGAGAAGTCCCCGGCAGTCCCAAAAGAGCGCCGAGCGGGTGCAGGTAGCGCGGCTGGGCTTGAAGTATAAGGGATCGGGGAGGACGGAGGGAGAGACGAGATACGGCCGATGACTGTGAGATCTCGATGTGGAGTGCTAGGAGGTCTGAAAGGGGAAGAATGAGTTTGATCGGGGGTAGCGAACACGAACTCATTCTCCGCAGAGAAAGGGACGACAACTGCCTGCGAGGGGCCCTGACTGGATTGGAGGGATTGAGAAGGAGTGGGAATGCCCTCGACGATAGTAGTCTTGGGCTGGTTGGATATGGAGGCCGGCATGACAAGTCGACGAGCATCAGCGGCCGATGGGGGAAGAGGCTCTGCATCTCCTGTGCCTCCCGTTGTCGACGCGAGGTTAGCTCGGGCCTTGCCCTTTGTCTTTATCAACCCCCTGCCCTTCGTCCTCCGCAAGGTCTCTCTGGGCTCCTCTATCGCCTTGTCTACACCTCGAGTCTCTGGAATCGCAGCGGGGCGGGATGTCTTCCTGTGTGGCTCAGTCTCGATGACAACCTCTACCTTTGCTTTGCCCTTCCCTTTCGGCTTCCCTTGCACCGCCAAATTCTTCTTTGCCTCTCGTGCTTTGAACGATACACCTGGACCGAGGTTACGCGGCGTCTTGTCGATGAGAACATACACATGGGCTGCCGGCTTGGGTTTCAATTTCGCCGTTGATTTGGGCTCTGGATTAGCCTCTGTTCGCCCATGCGAGCGTGTAGTTGGAGCCATCGGGGTCAGATATCCTGCAAACGCGTAACAAGCATGAGATATTTGATTTTAAGGGAATGAATTTAATTCTAGACGCACAAATAGCAATCTTCTTGTTGTGAGAATTCGAGAGGGGCACGGCGATCGTAACAATTGAAGGGCAAGTACGCGCGGAGCTGGGCCGAACGCAATACAGCACCGGCGTGGGAACGTTCGCGTCATACACAATGCCACGTGACCGTGCACTCGGTTGTAGGTCGGCTCATGTCCGATGTTCATGCCTCCATATATGCTTCAATATCTGCTAGTCTACGTCTACAGTACGTCTACCCACTTTGAGGTGCTTTCTGCTGGTGCAGACAATATTATGGAATTTTATGAACATTGACGAACTGATCAACATTGGCTTCTCTTGCCGTGGCCTCCCCGAGAGTCCGAGACCCTATCTATATATTCCAGTTGTGTTGCAGTGGATTGCAATGTAACACATGAACATGCATGAAGCTGACGGGCTACTCACAAGCCAATGAGGATGCACCGTGACGGATTTTTGAAGGTGTGAAACAGCGCGCTCTGTGAAAGATCCTCGGACTTCGGACAGCAGTTATCCGGCAATTATGGAATGGATCCGACTCGACAATCCGATGCGATTTTATCTGCTTCACCGGAACCAACACAGTTATTTAAATTTTTATTCTCATCTCTTTCCACCTGGGCTTCATCTTCTGTATCTTCGGCAACAGGATCGGACCATCTGCAACATCGTACTATGCTTTTCTTCGTATAAAAACATCGCGCGTCCTCCGGTTTAGTCGCATCTGCGCGCGTGCCTCATCTACGCCTCTCTTCCCCGTTCCGTCAATTTCTAAGTGCTTCTAGCTTCTAGATCTACACGGCTTCTCGTCGATCTATTATCTCTATCTATTATCTCTATCTATTATCTCCATAGATTGACAATCTTGGAGCTTTTGACAATTATCAATCAATGCGAGGATTCTCAGCTTTCCTTCCCCACACCCACACAGGCGGCTTCTTTCAATGGGGGACGACGAAAGCCATCGGACGTAGGTATATAGAAACTACCCTCGGGCGACGATGGATGAGTGTGCGGCCTTCGGCGGCAGGAGGTCAGACCGATCTACGTGAGGCCCAACAACCCATCTCACCTATGCTTTTTGACCCCTTACCTGTGTTATAGCTCCTCGCAGGAAGGTGACAATCCAGCATTTACAGCACCTGCGCAACACCGGGACACCAATCTCGATGCTGACCGCCTACGACTTCCCCACCGCGCGCGCCTGCGACACCCAAAGAGTCGATATCACGCTCGTCGGCGACTCCCTTGCCCAAGTGTGCCTCGGACTCTCATCCACAACCGTCCTCACGCTCGAAGAGATGATACACCACTGTCGCGCTGTTGCCCGGGGTACGACACATCCTTTCCTCGTGGCCGACATGCCGTTCGGGACGTACCAGGCTGGGGTGAATGATGCCGTGAAGAACGCGGTGAGAATGATCAAGGAAGGCAGCGTGGAGGCAGTCAAGTTGGAAGGCGGGGAGGAGATACTAGATGTTGTGCAGCGGTTGACGGCGGTTGGTGTACCTGTCATGGCGCATGTAGGGTTGATGCCTCAGCGACATGTCGCGATGTCGGGGTATCGGGTGCAAGGACGGGACGCGTCGAGCGCTGAAGGTGTGCTCGATGCGGCGAAGAAGCTGGAGGAGGCGGGGGCATTTGCAGTGGTGCTAGAAGCGATTCCACACAAGCTTGGTAAGTATATCACGGACCAATTGACAATCCCGACCATTGGGATCGGCGCAGGGCCTGGCACGAGCGGGCAAGTTCTGGTATGGGACGACGCGATGACGCGATGGGATGGCAAAAAAGCGAAGTTTGTGAGGCGGTTTGCAGATGTTGGGGGCGAGGAGGCGAAGGGTGTCTCAAACTTCGTGAAAGCAGTAAAGAATGGGGACTTCCCAAGAGAAAAGGAGGAGGGATACGAAATAGACGAGGATGAGTGGGAGAAGTTTCTGAGCGAGAGGGTAGAGCGACGAGAAGTAGAGAATCGGACGTATTAACTTAAGTGGTATATATTCACCTTCTGTACACATAGAATCCATTCGCGCCTGTATTTCACGGATACGAGGCTAGGAGAGCTGTACTGGCTGAGCTGAGGCAGGCTAAGGTACAGTGCGCGGCGGAAGGCCAGTGAGTTTCTTATGCACTGGAGTGGATTTCAAAGACCGACTACAAATCCATCTAGTGAGCTTTGTTGTGGGCTACAAACAGCTTCGCTTCACTTACAACCCACACCAAAAGTATTTCTCTCAACAAAATAATCATCAGATGCTATCCGACTCGGAGCATTCTTCAGATCGTGATGAAAAGGAGGACGACTACCAATTAACCATCAATCAGCACTTTGCGAAGGCCTACGAGTACCGCAAAGAGCGCGAAGAGCTCCAAAAACGTGCGCACTGATATGTTCTCTTTTGCTACCGTTCCAAGGCTAAGAGATCGAAAAATACACAAATATAGTCGAAGAAAAGTACGGTCCCAACGCGTCTGTTGGGGACGAGGACGAGGATGAGGACGAGTCGGACTCCGAGTCGGACGAGAGTGAGGATGAGGACGGGGAGGAGCTCACGCCTGCTGTGGACGCAGCAATTCTGAGGACGCTTGCGCGAATCAAAAAAAGGGATCCAGGCATCTATGAAGCGGGTAGGGATGTGTTCACTGGTGAGTGGGACTGTGAGCAACATTTCACCCATAGAATAAAAGTGTTTCGTAATGTCAACTGATAGAGGAACACAAAAAGTCTGGTAAACTCTCCAGACCAGCATCAAAACCGAAAGAGAAGGTGGGTGCAACTCTGGTATTATGTGTCCCTGTATAATCAAGCATACTCAGAACGTCTGTGTTCCCCAACGCCTAGGCCCCGAAGCCCGTCACCCTCCCTGCCCATCGCCTTGCTACCCTCCTCGCCTCATCACGCTCTGTATCTCCCGAGTCTACCGAACACCCGCTCACGCACAGTGAAGAGCAATCGCGTCTCCGTGCTGAGACGATCGCCGCCTTCCACGCCGATGTGTCTACGGTGAAGGAAGAGGAAGCAGAGGGCGGACTGTTTACGCTCAGAGAAAAGACGAAGGACGAGATTGCACAGGAAGAAGAGGAGTATCGGAAGTACTTGGAGAGAGAGGTCGGGGATCTGAAGGGCTTAGTGGAAATTGATGCGGTCGAAGAAGAGGTGGTCGAAGAATCGGACGAGGCAGATGGAGAGGAAGAAAAGGAGAAGAAAAAGAAAAAGAAAAAGAAGAAGGCAAAGGCGAAGGCGAAAGAGGGAGGGAAGGAGGGGAAGGGGAAAGAAGAGCAGGATCAGGAATTCCTACTGAAGTGCGTATGCACACTCCTTTCACGTCCGAAATACTAATGCCTGCCGCGAATAGCTATATCCTAAACCGGGGATGGATAGACAAGTCCACCAGGCGCGTTCCTACATATGGCGAAGTCACATCTGGACACAAGTCTGGCGACAATGACAACCACGTTAAAGCCGAGAAGACAGGCGTCGATGGCGAGCTCGTTGACGATGAAGAGTTTGAGGAAGTTGTGGATCGATTCGAAAGCTCATACAATCACCGTTTTGAGGAACCGTACGTCACCTTCCCTCGACTCTCCGGCCTACTCACCCGATACGTTTCATAGAGATGCAGCGACTATCCATTCCTTCCCACGTGAGCTCGACACAGTACGTCGACCAGCCGCGCATACAGAACGACGCAAAGGTGCGCGCGAGCGTAGAAAAGAGAGAAAGAGGGAAGAGATGCGGATTAAGCAGGAGGAGGTCAAGCGAATGAAGGCTTTAAAGATGCGGGAAATGAAGGGGAAGCTAGACATGGTCGGCCAAGAGGGTGGGTGGGGAGCGGTCAAAGGTGTGAACACCTCACCCAACTATTTATTGCTTCTTGCCTTTATAACACTGTTGTGCAGCTTTGGAAGGTCTAGACTTGGAAGGCGACTGGGACCCGGATGCCTATGACAAACAGATGACCGCCATACTTCAGGAAGCGGAAGCCGCCGCCGTGGATGACGAGAAGCCGTCTTGGAATGACGATGTAGACATTGGGGACATCGAGATACCAGAGGACGACATGCTTGAAGCCTCTGGAAGCACGGATAGGAAGGAGAAAAAGAAAGAAAAGAAAAAGAAGGAGAAGGCAAAGAAGAAGGGAAGTGGCATAGAGGAGGATGGCGTAGATATGGAAGAGATGGATGCAGAAGTGGAGGCGAATGGGGACTGGGATGAGGAAAATTGGGATGGCACGGAGGAGATGAGAAAAAAGGTGCTGGACAAGTATATGGATGAGCTCTATGGACTCGAGTTCAATGACATGGTGCGTCGATTTCAGAATACGTCTTTTGCTTCACAATAGTGTAAATTGCTAACATCTGAAACTCCGCGACTCAGGTTGCAGGAGCACCGACCCGTTTCAAGTACGTGCCGGTAGCGAAATCGTCGTACGCACTGACTGCGGCCGAAATCTTGATGGCGCCAGACAAAGATCTCAACGAGTATATGGGCATCAAGAAATATGCGCCCTATCGTAAAGAGAAAGAGACATGGGATTCGAGGAGAGGCGAGCGATTAAAGGAGTTCAAGCAGAAGGTTACACCGCGGGTGAGCGAGCTCATCGGAGACTTTGGGTTGAGTACAGAGAGGGCGCCAAAGAGGAGGAGAGGTAAGAAGGAACGGATGCGGGAAAAGGAGGCACAAGGTGGTGAAGAGGTGGTGCCTGACGATGAGAAGGGAGGAGTACAGGAGAACCGCCGAGAGAAGGTCGTCCAGAAGGCATCTCAACTAGAGGTTGGTGCAGAAGAAGCCAGCGATGATGAGCCTGCAAGAAAAAAGCGGAGAAGGCATAAAAAATTAACCAAGGCGGAAGGGGGCCTCGAATAATTCCAGATGGGTCACTCCGGACTGTGTATGTACAGTTTATATTGTGTTCCTTGCTACGTTACCCCTTTTTGTATGCAGTCGAGTCATCCCGAGGCGAGCACTTGTCTGTATCACGGACTGTGAGTCATCCGTCAACTCCCTTGCTCTGCTCATCAGCCACGCTGCTCTTATGCTCGATGGTGGCAACCTGAAATTCGATTGATTCTCCGGCATTAAGTCTTTGTTCAATTCAACTAAACACGCAGCCGATACTAATGAATAGTGTTGGTGAGTTCGCACTTTGTTATATATAAATGACCTTCAGATAGCTTTGATATAAATCAGACTGTTATGTCGAGTTCAACCACTGCGCGTAAACCTTCACACCGCCCGACCGGAAGATTTGATCAAAGGAAAAGGAAAAGTGCAGAAATTCTGAACTATCATATCCTGGATCATCGTTGCTCCCGAGTTTTTGGGGTGCGATTCGTCCATGTCGCAACTTGATACCCAATACAGGACTACCTACACTGCTCATGGTATTCCTCGCCATAAGAGAAAAGACAGAGCTGGACTGAACACAGCTCTCGAATATATCGCTACATTGCTTGCCAGGGACAACGAAATTGTAACTGCCATATCGTTGTCGCCGTTCGGCAACAGGGTCTTTCGAACCCGTTGAACTCGCCTCTTGTTTCTCTACTAGCTAGTCTTCTTGCTGCCGAAACCGTTCTGGAGATCAGCTCTATGAACGGGGCTGACTGTCGGCCTACTATCTTCCCTTTACTAACGAGTAGAGATGCAGGAAGTGAACCCAAACTTGTTAGGGATATCTAGAGTACTGCCGTGTTTGCAAGGAGTTCCTCAACTACGTCGGCGTGCACTCAATGTTGAAGTCAGTCATTGAAGAAGAGTTGAATTTCCTGCTGTCGCGATCCACAAACAACCGATCAGCGCCGAATGTTATCCCTACATCCGAAGCGAGGACCCGTGTACACCAAGATGATGCGTAAAACTGTTCAAAGGGGCTGTAATATAGCGAAACAAGGGGCAGAGGTGTGACGAACCAAAAAAACACGACGGACAATAAGACTACAAGCAACATAAGGACTGAGTGGGATAGCATCAAGAGGAAAACAATAAAAAGCTTCGACTACACTTTCCAGTCTCTGAAAAAATCATAATCATACTGTACGAAGCTGAGCATATAGTCGACAGTGGTCCCTCCCTCGTCTTCCTGATCCTCACCTGCATTTTCGCCCTCGCCTCCAGCAACATCCAGAAAACCCCCCTGCTCCTGCCCTTGCTCCGGTTCCAGCTCTTGCTCCTCCTCGTCTACATCACCTTCATCGACTGGTGTGATCGACATTGCATCGACACTCTCTTTACGAGCTAACCCTGTCCCCGCCCCAGCATCCTCCCCGAAATCAGCTTGATCTGCACCCTCAAGCTCACCCGCCTCCCGTGCCGCCAACTTTGCCGCGTACGCATCCTCCGTGTCCGCGAACTCCTCCAGTGCCTTGGTCAGTACCTCAGCGCCCGTGTCGTCATTAGTACTGAAGAGTGAACGCCAATCGAATTCGCCTTTTTGGATGACAATATCATCCAAAGAGCGTTTCTGGTTTGCCTTGCGAAGCATCGCTTCCTCCACAGTGTGTTGTGATATGAACCGGTAAATATGGACGTCTCGGATCTGACCGATACGATGAGCCCTGCAAAACGCCTTTTTCAGCTGAGAGCCATGAAGCTGTATAAAGAAAGGACATACCTATCTTCGCACTGTCGATCCATCTGGGGATTGAAATCACTGTCGTAGAAGACGACCGTGTCGGCGCCCGTCAAGCTGAACGAAGAAGTCAATTAACGTATCCAACTAACACGAGGGCGACTCACTTGATACCAACACCACCGGACCGCGATGATGCAATAAAGCAAAATATCCGGGGGTCAGAATTGAACCGCTCAGTGACATACTGCCTATCCTCGATCTTCGTTGCACCGTCCAACCGAAGATACAAATGGCCGTGGAAATTCAAGAAAATCTCTAGAATATCCAGTATCCGTGTCATTTGCGTAAAGATCAAGACACGATGGCCGCCCGCTTTGCGTTCTCTGAGCAGTCGGGTCAATTCCTGAAGTTTACCACAGTCATACTGGAGGAGCGAAGGGTCTGGGAACGCAACCTGCAGCTTCACGCTAGCTTTATGAAGAATGGCATCGAACTGTATATCCGCCGCGATCTCGTGGACTGCTTCCGTATATCCGCTAAGAGCCAATCGAGGGAGATCACGAGCGACAACAGCTGGTGTGATGCAGGCGAATTTGTCTACGATCGGAGCCATCTCTTCTCCACGAGTCTCGTATGACTTGATCGCAGAGTGAACCAGTTCCGAGGTATTGAAAAAACCGGCTATGCGATCAATGGCAGAGGCAGGCAGCAAAGGTCGACTCAGCTGGTTCACCGCGGTCAGTAGCTCGCTGCTGTAGACAGGCAATTGGTTACACCGCAGACGATTGAGATATCCAATGTGTGCCCAGCGAGCAATAGTCGCTGCGCGTTGCTGAAACTCGCGATACGTCTTGAAGCCCTTCTTGCTGCGCACGTCATGCGGTGGAGGTGCGCCAGGAAGCTGTCCTACGAAGGGTAAGTGAGAGGTTGCGTCTAAAAGCCGTGTCTCTGAGGCAGCGATCCATGACGTATTCTGCTGATGGATGAATTGGAAGCCTAGAAGATCAAGATTGACCACGGCGTCTGCGTCGTCCCGTAGAAGCAGGCTGCGGCGGACGAGGAGCTCTTTGATCTCGAAGTCGGCGATTGCGGAACTCTCCATGGAGAATGATGTGACGATGGGTCGCACCTCGAACAAGTCGGGATGGTTGCAGACCTTGCGCAGCTGCATGAGGATGTTTGCAATCTTCTGGTATACACCAGACGATAGATCATTGCGTGTCTGCGCCCTGGACATGAACTCGTCGTAGAGGAACCTTTGACGTTTGGAAAGCGGACAGAGGACAAGATGCTCGTACTTGCTGGGCAGCTCCTTCTCAACGTCACGCTTGAGTCGGCGTAATAAGTAAGGCCTTAGGACAGTGTGCAGCTTGGATACCCGTTGCTGAATCTCGTCATCCAAAACATTCCCCATCTCGATAGCCTTCTCTAATGGATCTATAGAGTTCAGGATCGTGAGAATGAGGGATGCTAGATGTGATGCATGACATACTTGAAAACCACTCCCCGAATTCCTTGAGGTTCGCGAAATTCGCGCCGGACATCAAGAATTGGAGCAGGGCCCAAAGTTCCGTCAGGTTGTTCTGCAGCGGTGTGCCAGTGAGGAGTAGTCGGCGGAAGGATCTAAACATAAGAAGAATATTCCATCGCTGCGACTTGAAGTTTTTGATCATGTGGGCTTCGTCAAGAATCATATAATACCAGGGCTTTCGCTTGAATATATGGGCATCTCGACTGGCTAGCGTATACGACGTGATGCAGACATTGAAATGGAATTTGTCGTTCCAACCCTGTCGCAATTCCTTCCGTCGCTTTGTGGGCCCGTGGTAAGCCAACACCTTGAAACCTGGCAAAAACTTCTTGAACTCCATTTCCCAGTTGAGCAACACACTGGTCGGAACGATGATGAGATGAGGGCCCCAAATCCCACGATCGCACGCTAGATGAGCTAGAAGCGCGATGGTTTGAATTGTTTTACTATTGACATGGATGAGTCCTGAATCGCGAGGCCTTGAACGTCAACTTACCCAAGCCCCATCTCGTCTGCGAGAATTCCGTTGAGGTTGCTGACATGAAGGCTGGCAAGCCATTCCAAACCTGCTTGTTGATATGGTCGGAGCATTCCTCGGAGAAGGACGGGAGGTTTGACTTGACTTTCAGAGTTCCACTCAACAGGCGCGATAGCGTACGGTTTGAGATAGTAAGGTATCATGGACAGATCCTCAACTTCTTCGTCCTCAAAGTCTTCCGGCACAGCAGTAGTCTCATCAGCTTCCAACTCGGCAGGTGTCACGGTGATGCTTTCCCTACGCTCTGAGTCATAGCTTTCGCGGCTCTTGAATCGAAGATCTTCAACGTCGAGAGATAACTTGGGTATAAAGGATTTGGGCAAGCGAGGTTCTGTGTCCATTTCGCTTCCTTCGACTGAATTGCGAACGAACATGTTTTCGTCAAATACAGGCTCTGACCTTGGAGGCGTGGCTGGCGCATCGACCTCCATATCCTTGAAAGAGGGGATGTCTGTTGATGAAGGTAGATTTCGCTCTTTGAAAGGAGGCGGCATTCCGATGGGACGAATGTCGTCATGATCATGATGGAAAATAACTGTATCAAGCGGGTGAGGAAGGGAAGGCGCCAGATCGTAATCCATCGAATGATGCGAAGAGTAGGGATTATGTGGTTCGGTATATGATGTCGCAGGTGGAGAGTTCGCCACAGGATCATTAGACGGCGTCGCCACCAAATCAGAAGAAGGAGAAAATGTGTCGTCTACCTGTGTCGATGGTGCATAATCGCCGTGTGATGAGCCATCAAACATGTCGGGCTCGTCGACCAAATCGGCTTCGAATGATAGGGAGCTACTCACGTCCTCTGCAGCTGTCTGAACGGGACCTCCGAGCAATGCCAGCGCCGTAGTATCTTCGTCTCCTTCTTCGCTACTGTCCTCTTCATTCTCCGTTATGTCGCGAGTCCCAGCCTCACTGAGAGCTTGTTTCTCTTCCTCCTTGCCTATTTCCTTCAACACATCGTCGATGCCGCCCTCTTGATCATCAACTTCCTCTTCAACAGACTCGAGGTGCTCGCTCTCTTCATCGCTCACGTCTTCTTCTTTGTCGTCTTCTTCCCAATCCCGCAGTGAAGCGGAGACACTGCTCGACCGACTTCCTGACCTCCCGGCTCGACTGAGATCTAATTGCTGCGTCTCCAAAATTTGGCCTGACTGAGTGAGAATCGCGTCAAGATGCTCCCTTCCCTTCTTTATCTCTTCCGCCTCCCGCGCTAGCCGTTCTTGTTCACGAATGTGCTAGAGAAAGGTGCGTCATACGATATCATCAGTCACCAAATTGATCAACGAAGCGACACTGAGATGAATTGCACGCACGAAAACTGCCTTTTTCCACTCGGTAACGACCATAATAGACCTGGTCTTCGCCAGTTTCTTCATCCGCTTTTCCTCCGCTATCCGTGCCGAGCCCTCTTTAAGAGCCAGAGACTCCCAATGTGCGCGCATTTTCTTCGCGATAGAAGCGGCAATCTGCTGCCCTGTGTCGCGTTCCCCACGATGATCTTGCATTTCCTCGACGATATGATCCCAGGCGTCCATACCACGCTTGATTTTCACCGAGACAGCATTGCGATCCGCCACTGTAGCCAGATCCGGCCGCAGCAGCATCCGGCCCTGCTTTTGAAGGCTGTACACCTGCTCCATGAAGATAGCTTTTTGGCGAGCATCGTGTTCTAATTCGACTGAAGATCGCTCATTTCCGTCGAGCATGGCATACGACGAGAGGAGAGAAGAAAGTGAATTGCCAAAACGTGGAGGTGGTGGTCGTTGGCGAGGATTAGTGTAGGTTGGAGGTGGGCGGCGTACTATCAGCTTGATGCGCTTGACTGACGAGATGGGTTCTAGAGGCACAGCAATCTTTGCCTTTGATGGTGTGTGTATCAGGAGATTTTGTGACTTCGATGGGGCCGGTTCTGGGGCAGCATGGGAAGTCACCTTTCGACGCTGAGAATGGCGGGACTGGCGAGGCTTCGATGATGAGGATAGGTCAACATGTGAGGAAAACTGGGAAACTGGGGGACGATCATCGTCAAAATCATGAACGACCCTCTGCCTCTTCTGTGGAGGTGGGAAGGTGTCAGAGGATACCGTGCTCCCGTTGATGGATATGTTAGGCAGACTTTGGCGCCCCCTTGTACGAGCCGGGGTCGATGTCGCCTGGTCATCATCGACCAGGTCTATCACAGAACCTATGCTGCGAGGTTCGCCCACGAATGAGGTACGCTTCTTTCCCTTATAGGATCGCCTGGTACTGTCTTTCGGGGCTGAAAGAGGGTTGGGATCATCAGCGATGGATTTGGAAAGAGACTTCCTTTTGGACAGTTTCGAGGTCGGTGGTTCGGTTTCAGTCATCTCCTTCCCCTTCCCTTTTCCTTTGCCTTTCGCGTCTGCAAGGATATCCCAGATCGAGTTGTCCCATTGCTGAATGGGACGAGCTTGCTTCGACTTGACCGGAGGTGGCGCCATGACAAGCGGTGTCGAGGGTCCAGCGACGGGTCCTTTCAAGAGTTCGACACGCTCTTGATGCGAACGTCGCGTCGTCCGTCGTGATGTTTCAACAGAGGTAGATGAATTTCCAAGAAGATCATATTGTGCTTTGTACTATGAGTGAGTGAGATTAACAAGAACAACTATGCGAGACGAGGGCTATGACATACTTCCTCGAAGACAGTGGAAGTATCCGCCTTGGCTTCCTGTGTCTTCGTTGAATTTTATCTGTATGAAGGTGCTAGATATGAGCATACCTTGGGGTTATACGAAACCAGAGTCCTAAACTTCTCGAGGTGAAACGCCTCCCTGATCTAGCTTTCTGTAAGTACCGATGCGCTGAGAATGAGTCGAGTACACACCAAATCATCGTGTCGGTCCAGAATTTTATCCAGCTCTATCTGCCGCTCAGCCAGCAACGCCGCCCGCTCCACATCAACGCGCGCGGCCACATTCGCATCACGTCCGTTGACTCTTCCTGAGGACTTCTTCCTCATACCAGCGTCAATAGATGCCCCAGCTCCATTCCCATAATCCTTGAGCGCTGACTTCTTGGTCGAGGTCATCTCGTCCTACGAGAGTGTCCACATGTACAATGTTGAACGGGTCTTACACGGCGAGGAACGTCTGATCTTGACGGATAGGGCACAGTTTGACCTGGTTTTTGGCTTCCAAGATGCAGACGGATGATGAGATCACGATTTTGAGAAGAATTGAGGCTAAACGTGCGCTCGTCGTCGCCGTGGGTGATGAAGGGGGCGCAGGCATTTTCCGTCATGCACTGTGTGATTATTTGGTTCGACCAAACACGGGCGGGCGCGATTGCCAAATGAACAGAAGCCGGCGGCTTCCACTCCTAACCCGGATGTAATAATTGGTCAAGCACCTCTTACTCCAAGACAGCACCGCGCAATTTTTATGTGCACCTAGACAACGTTGAAGCGACGCTTTACTGCTGGATTGCGCGCGGTACAGGCTTCGACCCAGTGATGTCCGCTAGCAGTGTTGGCGAGTGGTCGTCCGTTTTGACGTTCATAGTTTTCTTTCTTACAAGTAGGTCAATCGTTTTGCCTAGTGTTTCATCTTTGCATCAGTCCCCTCTCAGAGTCCACTTCTTGTCGGTGTCAGGGCTCGCACAGGATGTAGCTGGCATCCCATCTCATCCAGATCTCTAGAAGACCAACTCATGGATGGACTCATGACGATGCAATGGGCCTCAACTCACATACGTCGAGCGTTCCTATTTGCCCGCTTGAAAATCACCAAAAGCAAAGCATTTGACCTGTCTAATGCGCTTGTTTCCCGATTACTCAATTTTCACAATCTTCTTTTAGACATCATAGTCATCCTTCCTTTTCGCATTCCCATCCCTCAATTCCTTGCTTCGTTTGCCTATGGTCTTCTGGTGAAATGCTACATCGTGCCTCCCTCAAGCGAACCCCACCGGCGTATATATATACGCGTTAATTCTCTGTCCGCCCCCTTCATCGCCGTTCTATTCCTCCTCGCGGTGCAAGCGATCGATGGGATGGTTGTAAAAAAAGGTATCCTTGGTGCAGATGGGGTGCAGCCGATAAATATCATGGCCTTGTTCATTTCTTTGGTTTGTCGCACTCGACTACCAGGTGCGCGATGATCTCACCAGCATGCAGGCATATATCTCTATCTCTCTTGACGCAACTGGTCTGCTGCGATTCCTTGCATTTTGGGTTGCACAGAAGGGCGGGTCGTCAGGTCATCGTCTCTATCTTTATCTCTATGTCTTCTTCTTGGTGTGTGGAGTGATCGTCGGTAATGTGAGCCCTGTCAGTTCGGTGAGACATGCAGGGCTTTAACTGATGGTTTGATTGCAGGATCCTGTGATCTTGTCGGGCACTGTGTTTTTAGCGTATCTGACTCGCATGTCTGGGTGTGTGTTTTGATCTTATGGTGACAACCATTCTCATCAATCTCTCAGCATCACGCCTCCCACGGCTTGGATTTTTGCGCAATTCACAGCGGCCAACATGGGTATGCAAATCATAACTCACCTATCTTCTAAAACATTCATTTGGAGAACAGCCTCGGTAGTCCTTGTCTCATCCAACCCAACAAATCTAGTTCTGTCCGGTGCCTTTTCCCTTACCTTTGTCACATATACCTCTTCTCTCATACTTCCCTTCCTCGCCGCCGCCGCTCTGACGTACCCTTTCCTCAAATTTGTTCTTTTTCGATCGGTCGAGTTCATTCCACCGTCGATCGAGTTGCCCATGGATGAGGCAGGCCACAGCGCAAGCGTCAATACCCCGACTGCAGCTCTGGTGGACAAATCCGGCGCAATATTTGGCAGTGCTTTACTTATCTCAACGTTAGGTGTGCTTGTCGGGACGAGTACGATCGGCGTCCCAGTATGGGAAGTCACGGTTCCTCCAGCGGTGATCATGTTAGCCAGAGATATCTGGATGGACTGGAAGAGGCATAATGAAACCATGCGGGAGACCGAACAAGCCGTGTCTCAGCCGAAACAGATTGGTGACGGCACCGTGAATGCGATTGAATTACGCCGAATCCATTCATTTGCCGCCATCTCTCCCGCGCTAGGGCCAACTACTTCGCCGACTCTCTCCTCGCTCCTCTCACTCCAGACACTCAAAAAGATATTTCCAACTGTTCACGTTATTGTTCAGAGGCTGCCGCTAGCATTGCTTCCCTTCGCCTTTCTGATGTTCATCCTTGTCCAAGGCCTCGCGAGTAAAGGGTGGGTTGGTCTATTTGCGGAGTGGTGGCGCGTATGGACCAATAAGACAGGACCAGTAGGCGCCACGTTCGGCATGGCCATCGTTTCTGGACTACTCTGCAACGTATGTCTGTATACTCCCCGACGTGTTTGTCAGTAACTGATCTGACATTGCAGATATGTGGTACTAACATCGGGACGACGATACTCTTGGCACGTACAGTTCAGCAATGGCTGTCCGTCGCTCAACCATCCGCAATGCTCCGTTATGCGTCGATCTATTCTCTCGCCCTCGGATCTAACTATGGAGCATTTACGTTAGCGTTTTCCGCCTCCCTCGCTGGGCTTCTGTGGCGAGATATACTACGACACAAAGGGATACATGTTCGTCAAGCACAATTCGCGACCTTGAACGCTGGAACCTTCGCCATAGCGATAGTCGCATCGTGCGCAGTGCTTATAACGCAGTCATACGTGATCCATGGGAAGGACTGATGATCACGTACGTGGACAGCGTGGAATTTGCGGGTTGTTTATAGACCTATCAAGGCATCCGTGAGTATATATCATCGGACGATAGCGTTTCGCGCAATGTACCCATAGTGAGACGTTGTCGTTCGCATGAACGTTGATGTCTATGAAGATTAAATAACATCCAGATAGACAATAATTATGTCCTTCAATGTCGTTCGTGACAGCGTCGCAAACAGACGACTCTGTAAACGAAACAAATTCCTCGGGCGTCAGGTTCACAATCCGAAAGGGGTAGATAAGATTAGATGACGCACTCGCCGCGTGTCCGCATCTGTTGTTCTGAGAACAATGGCATCTTCATGAACAAGCTGCAAGTCAGTCTCCATCACTTCCCCCTTACCGCCCTTTCATCCTTTCACCCCACCCTTTCCCTCTCGCTCGCTTCGCATTCTTGTTTTTGCTGGTTATGATACGACGAATGACAGATAAATTCGGTCTTGTTCACAAGCAGCAACAGAACCAGCCTATCGTTGCGCCACTTTCTCTTCCACTCTCCACGCACCCAGACAGGCTTGACCACCGAGGGTCGATATCCACCGAAAGCGCAAGCGACAGTGACAGCGTGCAAAGGGCAGAGGACTCGCAATCTCTACACCGCCCGCAATCGCAGCCCCACCCCTGGACTAGGAACACATACAACTTGTCAGATTTTGTCTTCCAGCGCACGCTGGGCACTGGTAGCTTTGGACGTGTTCACCTCGGTAAGTAACCGATATCTCACTCGCATTATGTCTTCGTTACCCCAAGCATTGACTGACACATCACTGCTTAGTCCGTAGCAGACACAATCTCCGTTACTATGCTATCAAGGTCCTGAACAAAGAAAAAGTCGTGCGAATGAAGCAAGTAGAGCACACAAATAATGAACAGCGTCTGCTGCTCGCAATACAACACCCTTTTATCGTGAACCTTTGGGGCCGCTTCCAAGACGCGCAAAATCTGTACATGGTCATGGACTTCGTTCACGGGGGAGAGTTGTTCACTCTCTTGCGCAGATCGAGAGTATGTGCGCTTTCTTGGTTTCGAACTAGCGAAAGTGTTGATAGTTGGTGCACAGAGGTTCCCAGAGCCCGTCTCTAAGTTCTACGCAGCAGAAGTCGCCTTAGCGCTCGACTACCTTCACTCGGCTGACATCATATATCGCGATCTCAAGCCCGAAAACATTCTCCTACACAGCGATGGGCACATTAAGCTTGCCGACTTTGGATTTGCTAAGTACTGCCCAAATACCACATGGACACTCTGTGGGACGCCCGACTACCTTGCACCCGAAGTATGCACCGCCTTCGCATGTCATCCTTCCGTCTGATCATCTTTTCACAGGTCATAAATCAAAGCCGATACAACAAATCTGTCGACTGGTACGCCCTCGGCGTGCTCATCTTCGAGATGCTCACAGGTGTCCCCCCTTTCCACAAAGACGACAGTAATATGATGGCTCTGTACCAACGAATACAGCAGGGTCCGTCATGCGTACACTTTCCCTCTGAGATCAGTCTCCTGGCCAAGGATCTGATTTTGCGGCTGCTCGATGGTGACCCAACAAAACGCCTTGGCAACTTGCGAAAAGAGGGAAACGACGTCTTTGAACATCGCTGGTTCCAAGAGGTTGACTGGAACAAGTTACGGAACAGAGAGATCACAGCACCTTACCTCCCGAAAATTGCAGGCGATGGGGACGCGAGCGCGTAAGCAATGTTTACATATATATACTCCCCACATAGTCTTGATCCGACTTACACCTTGCCTGCGGACAGGTTTGAACGATATCCTGAGGATGATGCAACCGTTATGTACGGCCTTCCAGCACTAGACCCTTATGGCGATGAATTCCCAGATTTCAGCTACACACTCCCATGAAGGGGATACAACGTTGTTTGTATTTCTATTGTATTCCTGGTCGCGCGCGACCAACGCCTCCGACTATCTATTAGCACTTTCCTTCTCTACTTTCTTGACATCCTCAACTGGATCTGTTGGTGTACTTGTACCACTCGTCGAATGCATCATTTGTTACACAGCCCGAGCTTCACCCTCCCTCTAGCTCTAACAGTTGAAAATTAAACGTCGAAATCTTCATCAACTCCCTACGTTATGCGGGTCTCATATCATTGTATTCGCTCCCAATCAAACAGGTCTATCCAATCCAGAGTCGGGGCTCCCAGAAGACTAATCTCCCACATATCTCAAACGATCTCCTCCCCGTCCCAATTTGGTTGACCACGGGGTGCACGTCACAGGTGTCGACATCCAAATGGTTGGGTGACACGTTTTCCTATCTGCGCTGATCAACCAAATGGAACAGCGCTTGTACAGAACCTGATTCTTGATCGTACGTGGTGGTCTTCGGGCCGTGATGATAAGCATCCTTGAGTGCGAAAAGCGACCGTCGTTTCCCCTGACGAGCCGAGGGCTCTTAAGCTGTTAAAGGACGTAATCTTGCCCACAGATTGTGAGTGTTTGCAAGGAGCAACGACTCTCGTGTTTCCCACCATGCCTGTCAAAGCGAATTTGCCGCTCTCTTCAATAAATCGGGACAGTTAATATATTAGTAGAATGTGTCCTAATAGAAATCTTCACAATCATGGAGGACCAATCTGATGAAAGTTAACGAGTTTCAAGGGAGGTCTGTGTGAGGCTCACGCCGCCCACAGAACTGTACACGATTATCCGAAATTTTCCCTCAACACCTGGGGCGAAAGTTGATGGTACAACAATGTATGTACCAGACTTCATCGGTACCAAAGGCGTTACCACTCCTGGAAGGGCATCCGAATAAGGGCCCGAAGATACAAGGGAATGATTTGTACGTTGATACAACGGCGCAGGGAAGATGGAGATGTTCAGACGGGAAGAAACGCGTGTTTCTAACAGCTGTAGGCGAACTCTGCAACAAGATCAGTTGCGAAGACTGTCAGATGTGTAGTGCCTGACGTACTTGATTTCTGTCGGGAATGACAGATGAAGTTCATATTGAGGGTTAGAGAGGTAGCGGTTGTGATTGTGTGGACCTCCTGCCGTTTCCTTTGTCCTAAGATGACAGTTGCCTCGAGATGACCCAGCACATTTGATTTGTGAAACATACCATTCTCCTCGAACAGTCTTTGTATACATTCCCGCACCTTCTTGCGGGATTAACGCAAGGGAATTCCTGAGGGAGCTTTGAGCGCGAAGAGAGAATCGGCCTTGATGGGCAGGATCAAAGGAGGATAGTACGACGGTATATTCCCCAGCTATGTAACATTCGAGATCAGAGAAATTAGAGCCGTGTCTTGTGGAGAGATAGAACTCACGAGGTAAATTCCTCGTGACAGTCGCATGCCCATAGCTATACGTCCCGGAACTTGCTGCGACATCTTGCTCAACCAGACTACACGAATTCGTGGCAGTGTATTTAGCATGTAGTATAAAAAACAGACTATTGGGCGACTCACTCAAACACTCGTGCGCCTCGCGACCAAACAATCGAGACATTCAATGGTATGCTGCGTGCGGCCTCAGCGAAGATCCGAACTTGCGCTTTTGTATTTGTGTCACCCTGAACACCATTTGGAGGAGAGATAGTAAGATGGTATTGTGGGTTGAGCATAAACGTCGGTAAGGTATAGTTTCCTCCAGATGTTTTGGCTGTGAGTCCACCTGTTACCTAAATTATCAAAGCTGGAACCAGAAGACCCCCGATGACATAATCTAGAGAGAAATACCTTGGTAGTGTAAGGTAGCTCGAGATTCCGATGTTCCCATCGCATGTTATGGGAGGAGTATGCCGAGACGGTGAAGCCTATGCTATGAGGATCGCCTTCGTAAGAGGCTGTGACGGATATCGCGGCAGAATTCGCGATCTGCGATGACGATATAACTTTTCGAATCTGGTGGGATATATATCACTTGAGGCGCCGATTGGGAGGCAACAAACACGCACTAGAACATGGGGACTATTTGTGTATACGCCCTACAACAAGGCTAAGCATGTCATCTGTGGTACGCAGTGGGAAAGCATGAACGGACCGTGGTATTTGGGATGTCTGCAGATCTTCCCGTGGTCAGGGATGTGTCATCGTACTCCGCCTGTAACGAAATGTGCTCTGAAGCTCGGCGTGTATCGGATCTGTGTCTCGTCAGTAGAATCCACACTTCAAAAGAATCTTCGGACGGGTCGGAACGGTCAAAACATAGGTAGACGGTGTGATGAGATGCTTGAATGCAACGGGTGAGCGCGCAGCAAACGATAATTGAAGGCTGCACTTGCAAGTTGCATGATCTGATTCAGGTGATTCTGAGGTCCTCCATGTTCTAAAAAGAAAGTCTGTCGTTGCGGCGGGAGAGTAGATGTAAGGATCTGACGAACCCATGATAATGAGCATGATGCTTGAACATATCTGGGTCCCAATTGACATATAAGCTCTCAAAAAGGGTGCATGCATTATCCCAATTCATCTTCAGAATGGCTACGATAGGTCAATTCAAAGTTGATCGCGAACTGTTGACATACGCACTACGTTGACCATCTTTAGCCGGTTCCGGTTCAGATGGCATATCTTCACACGTATCCTCTCTGCTTGATACTCGAGAATCGATGATATAGAGCCATCTATTTCCATCGCTACCCTCCTCCATGCCTGAAGATTCAGATTTGTAAGGTATTGTACGGCATAAGTAGTGCATGCATTACCTATAATGGCATAGTTGTGGGCCTTGAGCAGCTTCACATTTTGCCACTCGATCGTAGGTCGATCATCGGTCCCAGCCGTAAGCACACAGAGCCCTTTGACATCAAAGTAAGGAAGAAGAGTCGATATCAGAAAATTCATATACCTTCTGTAAAACCACGCAAGATCCTCGACCATGTCTGTTCTCTTTGAAAGTTTGAACTGCCAAGGGTTCGATTGAGCATGCCCGCAAACATCCATCAGATGCCTCACAACCTTTTGAGCCCAATGTGGTCTGGTATCCACCCTATCAACGTGCTGCAATGACATTCATGATTGATCAGACCTGTTGCTATTCACTTGAACTCACCAGATGTCCGCGCTTGAGTTCCTAGGATACGTGATCATTTTAAACTGAATTAACCGAGTGTAGTAAATACGAACAACTCACGAGCCAGGAAAATCATATCCACCCATCAGTTTTAGGTACTGAACCAGAGGAAAGGATCAGAAGCATGCTAATACAAGAATATAGCGATGTAACACGAACAGCCTTCTCGACGAGCGAGGGCCAGAGCTCGTGTTCACGTCCGGTGGACATACACATGAGCGACCCATCGGGATGGAAGGGAAGCTGGTCGTCAATGGCTGGGAAGCATGTCACTGGCGATCTACGGAATTTAGCATCGAGAACATACTGATCTGTACAACGAGATTAACGATCTTCCAAATGTATCTATCTAGAAAGGCAATAATCTTACGCGTCTTTGTATACCATTAAATAGCACCCGAAGGTCGTACGTTCCTGTCTTCGAGATACAGGGAACGCCTTCCGAGTCACAAGGGTATAGGAAAGGTAAAGCTTTCTAGTCTAACAAGTCATTGAGCTGTTGAGCAGAGATATCTCAAACATACTGACCCGAGAACGATGTCTTCGATAGTGATCTAGGCATACAGCTATAGAAGCACAAAGAGAACAATCTGCAACTACTCGCTGTATAATGTCCTCTGATTCGAGTTCGAAGGAAATCGACACTGAGTCACCGAAGACCTCGGACGGTGTTCGCCAGGCAACCGAGGCTTGTTTCTGTTCCGAGGATAGTACAAGTTGATGACTGAAGCGGATTTTAGAATAGTAGTGTTGTAATAACAAGATAGCACACCTAAGTGATTTGTCGGATACCGAATCAGAATCGGTCCAAAATGGTACTTGATCTCCATTGACCAGAGAGCCCTTCTTCAATACTAGGAATTGTTCATCTAAATTCAAATATTAGGATCAACACAAAGTACTACGTAGTCAACTCTGAAGGCTCGTTACCTTCGGATGAAGGGTCTCTGATCACAGGTGTGAGGTCGCTTTTTGCTGCCTTGATCTTCTCAGCGCGCTGAAGTGCTTTACCTGCATTGGACTTCAGCTTGGTTTGGAGCTTCTCGTCGAAAGATGAGCGGCTGAGGTGCAGGAACGCCTTTGCTGCTTCAATGTATGATTTGAATGCGGAATCGAGGTCCTTGTTCAACTCGGCTTTGGTGGCATTTGCATATAGCGCCTGCAACTAGGTTTGTAAAAAGGGTCACGGAGGAGTGTTTCAAAAGCCATACATCCGCATACTCAGATGTTAACCTGGGTGCTTGAGGCTTCATGGAGTGTTTGAGCAAAGCACTGTCACAGTGAGAGTTTCGAACGATAGGATACCGGATCTGCCCATATTTGATGGTGATCTGACGTCATGATCAACTTTCAAACCGAGCAGAACATATTCGGCCTCCTCGTTCCTGTATACCCGTCTCGTTTACATAGTATCAACGAACCACATCCATACCTACACTATGACCTTCCTGGTCTATGGCGTGCATGGGAGCCGACAAGAGTGACGTGCAGGTAATAGGTGGGCCCGGGAGTAAGGGTGAGTCGGGGAGATTTCGACGCCCTCCGAAGTCGAGCTTGAGACCTCAGACCTCCTCAGACCTGCTCCCCATGGGTCTAGGAACAATTGAGCGCATACAACTTCTTTTATGAACTGCCGTTGCTATGGAAGTTTAGCACGTAAGTAAGTACCCTTGGAAGTTTTCAAAATACGTCACGAGGTTGTCACTACGATGAGGGGAGACCATGCTACCTAATGCTACGGGGAGGGGTGGAAGGAGACTTGTAACTACTTGTGGCAAATGGATTGGAGATTCAGATATCAGTTGTACGTACTAAGTATGCAAGACGAGACCGAGACAGTTTGTAACTACTAAAAACAAAAGATGCTGAACGACAATTCAGTGAGACAGGACAAGGTACAGTATGTAAAGATCCAGATGCCGAATTTGAAAGGGGATTGAAAGGGAACGGTGATCAATCGATCAACAAGAGCTATGAGCACAAGATAGTGACGAACGAGAATCATAACAGGGTTGAAAACATAGGTGACGCCTCGGAGAACGAGCGGTCAATATCAATACTCCATGAAGTTTTGTTCGGGGATGCATCAATAGCACCTTCATACCCCATAGCGTTCTGCTAGACGTTCCTGTATCGCAGGCGGGAACGTCGACACCGAAGCCTGCCATCCTGCAGCATCGTGGTTCTTGAAACCGACTAGGATATCCTGGAACATCGCGTTCAGCTCCGGAGATGGGGCATTCCACCGCACAATCGCATTACAAAACCAAAGGAGACTCTGCCGTGATTGTCGAAAATAAGTATGTAATTCGGATGTCTACCTCAAAAAGGGCGCACCTTCGCAATACCCATAGGGTTTACGCGCACAAGAGTGCACAATCCCCGGAAAGCCGAATCCTTCTCCTCGTTGTCACGAATCTCGAATAGCGCTTGACACCAGGCCTGTGCAAAATCGGGAAGTAGCGGTGCGACCATACCGGGATGCATGAATCCAATTCGGCCTATTGAAACAGCCGCGTTTTCGTGCAGACTGCGTGGCGCCTTCGGATGAAGAAGGATAGGAATCAAACGAGAAATGAGAAGGTTCACCCATTGTTGGAACATGGGGTCATCTATTGCATTCGAAGTCAATATCATGCGAAATAAGAATGAGAATGCCACGAACCTGGACCACAACGCAGCGAAATCTCACCTACAGCCCATGCAGCATTATTGCAAGCGCTGATGAACTCAACCTTAGGTTCGGGGTCAAGCTGCACAATCAAATCTTGCATAACTGTCTCCATATGCGGCTGCAGGAGCGGGAAGCAGGCAATTGCTAGATCGCCAATGAGAGCATAAGCCGATTGCCTAACAGGCGCCTGAGGATGTCTCAAACACATGGTCAACAACTGAAACAAGTTCGGTTGCCCATTTTCGATGAAGGGTTGGAGTGACATGCCGAGGCCTTGAGTAAGACCGGAAAGTAGATCCAAAGCAACCACGAGGAAGGTTTTGTCAGGCTCGTCGAGCTCTGGGTTTTGTTGGTACGTTTGATATTGAACGATAGATGTCCTCGCGATGTTGAGGCAGCGATCGAACACAGGGCCCGCATAGGGAAGGAAGGCAGGTCCCATGGCGATCGTAACAGAGGCGAGACACTGGGATAAAAGATGAGCATAACAATCTTCATCGCCCAGACAAGATCAATGTTACCTCTAAAAGTGGTATGAGATCGTCATCATCGTCCTTCAATTTCGACCATTTGGTGGTCAACGGTGGCATCAAGATTTCAACATACAACGGATGCTGCAACGCAGACCCAACAGCGTCTGCCAACGTCCCGATTGCATCGTACAATATGAGCATGTTCTTGTGCTGGTATCGTTCGAACGCAAAAACGAGATTGCGTAGCACAGGCTCCAAGTAAGGAGCGAGCTCTGGTCCAGCGTCTTCCTCGAATGTAGCGAAGGCGCTGCATCCGGCTTCCTGAACACGCTTATTGGTGTCCAAAACCATGCGCAGTAGCTAAAGGCAGGGATAATAAGTACAGAACACACAGACGAGTTGACAAGTGCTAATGTCAGGATGACTTACGCCTTCCAATGTGGGAATGAAAAACTGGTTCTTATGATCTTCAGTCTGTCCGTTGACACACCAACCCGCATAGCGCCCAAGCGTCCAGCAAGTGATAGATCTGACAAGTGGCTTTTCGTGTGTTAAGTGTTAGATGATACGAAGAATACAGTATGTTCTGGATTACCTTGGGATCATTCAAGTTGCTGATTAAGTATGGAATAAGCATAGGCAGATGCGGCTCGATTGCTTCTATACAACCTAGGATAAGTCGACGATGTGTCAGCGATCAAGTTAGCTCGTAAGTCCGCACAACCAGACGTACCTTCTGCAACAGCCCCGAGTGCCAAGACCGCACTCTCCCTCAGTAACCAGTCGGTATTCCATAGTTTGCCCTTCAACGGCTCCAGCAAGACGCCCAGTAATTGCGGCCCGAAGCGTACAGCTAAAACATCCAGTGCCGCCGCAGCGCATTTACGCAAGTTCCACTCCGTCGCCATCTCATCAGCAAAGTCGTCTTCATCCATATCGTCATAATCTTCGTCGGAATCGAGCTGTTCTTCGCCATATGCGCCAAGTTTCTTCGATGGGTCTGCGCCGTTCGTATCTCCGTCCAACCCTTCACGCGATAAACCGTGGGACTTCCCGCCATAGTGTCGCGGTTTGATATCCGTGTCCTTGTCAGGAACTGCCGCATCCTCCGCATCTCCTTCCAGCCATAGCAAATCGTCCTCGCCGTAGACCATGCAATCGAGAAGTACCGGAGCGACTCTGGGCAAAAGCGGTCGCAAGTAATCGACCAAATCCGGATCCTCTGCGAAGGTCAGCCAGAATTCGCATGCTTCCAGCGCTACATTCTCATTCCTATCTTTTGTCGAGTACAGCATGTATTCTGCGACGTTCCCCAGCTCAGGCATGAGTTTGTCTGGTCTTGATGCGAGGAGTAATACGAGTGCCTGGCATACGTGACGACGAACAGCAGGATCCTCATCGGAGGCGCGCTTGAAGAGGCAAGCAATAAATGTGTCGATGTGAGCATAAAGCGCCTGTGCGTTCGTGGGTACGAAGAACGACAGACACGCGACTGCATGCGAACGGATCTTTGAGTTCGGATGTTCTGTCAATAGAAGGAACTTGGGGATCATGAAGTTCAGAGGGAACGTCCCATTAATTTCCACGTCCAGTTTGCGTGGATAATCTTCACAGGCCCTTTCTAGGACATTGAAGGCGGACTGATAAAAATAAGCACAGATGAGAAATCAACCAGAGGTCAGAGGTCAAGACACAAAGAAAAGGCAACGAGCAATAAGAACGGCCGAAAGAGTGAAACGCTCATGGAAATCCACATCATGATTTCACCGCTGAGCATGACAGTTTCCATGTCTGTAGATATCAATCCGAAGATCAATGGAATAAAAATGGGTGATTAGGCAAGCGCAGATGGCGAGCAAAAGATGCCATCTCCAGATGAAAACGGTCGACAGTCAAGGTGATTATGAACACCCGCAGGGGTCAATGTGTATGGTATCAGGCATGAGTGCACTCCGCTACTGAAAGCGATTCAGCCATTGCGAACCAGTGACGCCAGAAACCGTAGATGTCATTCGCAGAAATGATGTGGCACGATAATTGCCTGCATTAGACAATGGCTCGCACATCTGGAGAGACCGGTCGTAACGATCCCGAACGTAGAGACTTGACAGATTCAGTCTGACACGCAGCGCGTGATTTCATTTGGATCTATGACCGGTCGCCTGCCCCGGCCAAAGCTGTACGAGAAACTCGAAGGCAGACTCACCTCTTGCTGTTGCCCATCCGTGGTATCCAATAAAGCTACAAGTCGCATTAAACACTCGGGCCACTGCTTGGGCTCTAGAATGCCTAAGAACGCGACTATATCCTGACCCGCCGCATTGCGAATCATCGCGTTTGAATCATTGAAGGCATGAAGGATGGAAGCCTTGACAAACTCGATTACTTCAGGAGAAGAGCGAAGGGCGAGGCGCGCGTTGTTCTTCAGCAGGTAGCCCGCGATGGTTCTGATGCGATCCTCCTCTTGGACGAGTGAGGCGAGAATGTATGCCAGATAGGCAATGTAGTCTGGCGCGCGCGTAAAGTTGTTCAGTTTCTGCAAATTGAATGCAATGTACGATGAGTGGCCTAATCCTTGAGGAGAGAAGTATGAAATGAACTCACATGAGTGATGTTACGCTGGACGGCAACATTTTCTGTATCTGTAGACTCGTGAATGGTTTGCAGGATTTCACGAAGGCCTGCTTCCTGAGGAGACCAGGAGTTCATGACTGTATGCGATGAAGAGAGGGTAAGGGTAAAGTTCGACAAACGCGCTCGATACCCTGGAATAAAGTGAAATGTGTGACCGTGACCATTACATAATCAGGTAACGCTTACGATTCACTACCGTAAACCCTGCTTCGGATCTCCTGTTCCTTTGGATCGACATCACATCAGTCCAGCATCAAATTTCTGTGAGTTGTTCACGAATGCTTTGAGAGCTATAAAGATGCCACTCGAAGTAACTCACGGTCTATATGGATAAATCTTGGAGAAATTCAGGCTACATCAGGATCTACTCCTGCAAGGCAGGTACCAGTCAACTGGACCAAGTATCTAGGTTTGTTACATAACAAACGAGACTGTGTGAGTCCACGGAATCCTTTGGATCTATGAATATCGATTGGCTTTAAAACTTTTCCAGCACACCGAAGATCTGTTCGTCATCTTCTGATCGACCTTTGGTATTGAAGCATCTCTCGCGCAGATGCTCTTGCGCCTCTATGCAACTGATGCATTTCCAGGATATCCTACTCCTGATTTTTCCTGGCCTCATGTTTCACATCGCAGTGGTTATAATTGTGTGGGTTCCTCTTACCCCATGCGAGACCCTCGAGTCAAAGTTTGATGAACTTTGCTGCTATAGCCACTGGTCTCGATATGGCGCCTGGTTAATGTGGGCTTCGAAAGATGATTTGTGTTCGAGGCGGTGTCTCGCTGCTCCCCTTCTATCACCCTATCTATAGCCCTGTTCATTCATTAATATCGGGCTATGAAATGCAACCTAAACCATCGAACGAGCACACTTTTTCCAAGACACGCACATACGCATCTCTAAGACTTCATCCGTGGTGGATAGAGAAGAGACGAGCATACAACTTGGATCTTCGCGTATCGTATTGGACACATATGATGCACAAACGTTTGCCTTCTACTCCTCCATATCTTAGCTAGCGCAATCGCCGCTGTGGTACACGAGGATGGACTTCCATTACTCCGTCACAGTCAACGTCATACAAGCACTTCTAATGAACCTGTGGCTAAATACAATCGATAAGCATTCCCCCATCCAAAACATGAAACCTACATTGAGAGACTTTCGGTCTAAATGAAGGTCTCTGTCTCTACTTCACAAAGGCGGAGCGAGTGTATTTGTCTCGGTCGTTGGAGTGGCGATTCCTGACGGTGGCTCGGAAGCAGTAGTAATTCCTGGACTCGTCAAATCTCCGAGCGGGTCCTTGAAGTATGCTCTGAAGAAGTTGCGCCAGCTGGCCTTTGACGGCACGAAATGACCTGTCATCCCACATTTTCATGGGCAAGTTTGGGTGGCAATAGTGACGGGGGAAGATATGAGAGTCCACGTAAGAAATAGAAAGAGAAAAGATGAACCCACCGCCGTCATGCACCTCGACCCTCTTGTTCTTTGTAATTTCCTCCAAAGTTCGTGACCGCTCTTCGGTAACAAGAATATCGTTCTTGCCAGTTACCAACAAAGTCTGTGTCTCTAATGGTGTTATAAAGAGAGCTTCTGAGAGTGAGCCTGGCGGTTTGAACCCAGAGACAGCCACGCAGAATTTGCTATTTCAATCTGTGAGCTGAATCATCGAAAAAGTATAATGATGACCTACAATGGAGGATGTGGCGCCTTTCCATTGATCAAAAAGGTGGGATGAGTGTCGGGTCGTTCAAGCTAGTAAATGTTGATGTGAGTTCGAGCATGGAGATATGCTGCTCAAGAGATAATACCAAAGCAGAAAGCAAGACTGCCATGACCGCTCCCTGACTGAATCAATTGGTTAGATTTTCTTCAGGAGTAAAGAGGACGCGTGATAGACCTAAATCCAAAAATGCCCTGCGGGAAACTCCGTTAATGTAGGCATTTCGCTCGTGTACCGATAACGTACATCAAATTGCTGATCGCGTAGCAGATCTCTCAGGTATGCGATGCTGTCTTCCATACCAGTGGTCTGCGTGCGAGTGGGATCGGTTTTCCACCATGCGCGCGGGGTCAGTGATGGATCATCTGTACTCGTACTTGCCTCTGCCGCGCCGAAAGCTGCTAATGAATTCGACTGATCGGAATCAGATGATGAGGCAAAAGTGTTCGCAATATCGACGGGATGCAGAACATTCGGCGCATCGACGAAGACTTAATGATTGGTGAAGAATCAGCTTCGTGGGCTTGTTGATGCTCAAGGGGGCGTACCAAGCTCTATGTCCTTGCCACAGGACTTTCGCAAAGCTGCAAGCTATCGCTCGAGATTAATCGAACGTTTGGACAGTGTATCAGCTGATCATAGGATACGCACTCGTTTACCGAAGATGCTGGCGTTTTGGGTATAGCTGCGTGACCGATCGGATGAGCACAGCCTACTTCACGGATCAATGGAACAACTGACCCATGGAGCATGAGAATCTTGAGGGGAGACATGATGCTTGAAGGAGGATATGCGGCGTCAGTGAATGGGTAAAGTTGGTGATAAGCTGGGAAGACAGACCTTTCTGAAGTTTGGATCACTTCGGACTTCGGGATAGAGTTTGAGACCTTAGATATCTGTTGATGCGTCTGAAGGAGCTTTGTCCCTTGGTGCAGTTTGGATACCGAACAACTGTCGTTTGCGGTAAGGAGTCAGCCATGAAGATTATTGGGGTTCAGTATTTGAGCAGTGTGTTGCTGAGTGTTGTCGTCCCGATGAGGCCCGAAGGAGATCCGCAACGCATTCACAATCTTCCGGCGGCAACGTCGCAGTTCGAAATCTTTGCTTTCCGAATATATTTGAGGGTTAGGGTTCAACCTTTACTTACATAATTGGAAATAAATGTGGTCATGCTTGCACGTGAGGAGGCTGCACATTTGGAGACGTGCACAACTGCGTTGGCCTCTCTTCTTTAACCTAACCTTGATTTCGCGTACCCCACGATGGTGCTATGTCGGCCACTATTCGTCTTGATGACGACGTTTGCTGTCTGCGCGCTGGGAGAATCTACATATGACGGAACAAAGATCGCGAACAGAACTATTGAACGGGTGAGTCTCGCTCTCGAGTTGAACTCTTCTGGTAGAAATGGTCGTGGGTTAGGGGGAGGTATGTCTGAAGAGACGGACAAATTACACTCTAGATGACTAATTAGGCAACAAAAGCGCTATAGTGCTTCCGTCGAGTGTGGTGTCTGGTGAGGGCTTACAAGAAGTACTGACTTAGTTTGTGTACAGACAACCCAGCTGCGCACACATTCACTATACGCGCCATACATTGATCAAGATCTTCAGAACCGGTCAGTTGCTGCACTGAACATCCTCACCTATATATTCTTGGCAATCTTTGTCTCCCATTTCTGCTGTTTAACATACGAACGAGTGCTGACGATAGTCACGCTGTCTATGATTAGATGGTGGGATTTCGGTGCTGATGCCTATGTGGTATGTGCCTTCCATCAATGCTTTTTGACGAAAGCTTACCGTGACATGCACTCAGAACACCAACAAGCATGTACGACTGACTCGTAACCGACCGTCACTAATGGTACACTTACCTGTTTCATCGTCGTTTCTTCAGTAAGATCCTAAATTGCGTTCACAGGGATGGCTATGGTCCCGACTACCAATCACCGCGGTGAATTTTGTTATGGAGGTCGAGTTCAAGGTACGTCTGACCCGCAATACTGCATTGTGTATCCTTGCCTGTTCACTCGTTGATACCTGGGTGTGAACTAGATCTCGGGGGACTCGTCACATCTCTTCGGCGATGGCCTTGCAGTATGGTTCACAAAAGAGAGAGCAGAACCTGGTCCCGTCTTCGGAAACACTGGTAGTCATTTTAGTTCCTCCTTTCTACCAAATGCGAGCTGAACCCGTTCTCATTTCCATCGTGTAATAGATAAATTCACAGGTCTGGGAATATTTCTTGATACTTACGCCAATGCACGACATGGGTATTCTTTTCCTCGAATTGTTGCTATGATGGGCGACGGTCAGACTAGCTACGATTTAGGGAATGATGGTGAAGGTACTCAGATTGGCGCTTGCTCAGTGAGTCTTACTTCATATGAAGAAGGTGAGAAGAAGGCTGACTGTGCGGTTGTCAGGCCAACGTTCGACGGACAAATGTGGCCACCAAGCTGAAAGTGATCTATGTGAAGGACGCGGTTTTGGATGTGAGCGTTGTTTTCCCTCTTCAGTGCTACGGACATTGAACTCAGGCGTCTTCTGCTCGAAACCCAATAGGTCAAGGTCCAGTATAAAGGCTGTAAGATGAATTACTGGAAGGCAATATTCAATGCACTGACGCTTGCTATCACAGGGGACGACTGGTCGGATTGCTTTACCATCAATGGCATATCCCTTCCGCCAAACCCATACCTTGGCTTCTCAGCGATGACCGGAGATGTCAGCGACGCGCATGAGTACGCCCAATTCATCCTTGTCCGTACCCAGAAAAGTCATTCTCGTGCAGTATCATTGCCGTTACGACTGCCTCGGCTTCGCTTTCCTCCCTCGAAGTTCCACGGAACAAGATTTACAGTTATAACTCGACTGTCGGGTTCTCATTCTCGTTCATCAAGCTCTTCCTGTTCGCTGCCGTGTGTGGGGGTGGATGGTTTGGTTGGAAGGCATATGAGCGCAAGAAGCTCGAGGGTCGTAGTGGAGGGCTGGGGAGTGCAGGAGGGTTTGGAGGGTTTGGGAATGCGGGGTCAGGGCTCTGGCAAAATCCGAAGAGATTTTGAGAGACTACAGAATGGGCAGCGTTGCTGTGGTATTGTTTTGATAGGCTACTACTGCTCTGCTCTGATAATGATACGAGCTTCCGTACAACATGCTGCATTGTTTGTGTTGGACGTCGAGATCTCAGTAAATCAATCTCCAATGCATCCAAAAATAGGCGCGATGTAGAGCCAAATAAGAGCCAAACACATGGGCGAATTGTAGTGCCCACGTCGTCAGCAATGCGACACGTTACAGCCATCCGTGCACTTACGGCCTCACGTCCTCTTAATCACTCGCTCATTTGCGACTCAAGTCATTGTTACGCTGCACATCCAGACGAAGGCGACTAGGGAGCAACATGAATCTCTTCCGGTTGGTTGGTACGTGGTTCATGCTGTCCGTCACCGCTCGCGAATTGACCCTCGCAAATACGAAATGTTGGAACAGGCGACCTCTCCCATTTGGCCTCCATATTGATCCTGCTGCATAAAATACAGACAACGAGGTCGTGTCGCGGTGCGTCCTGCTCTGTCATGTTCGCGTGCACTGTGCTGACAGTTGCACATTCCTGTTTGACTTGCCCTTCGTTGGAATCATCTTACGACGTCTGCCCACCGCCCTCACGTTCACCCTTCGGAACGCATTCATTTTTCTGTACGCTCTACCCGGTGCGGGTCACTAATGACGGTCATGGCGGATAGGCATCTCGTTCAAGACGCAGGCAATCTATGTTGCTGTGTTTATCACACGCTACTTAGACCTGCTCTTCGGTGAATGGGTATCTCTATATAACTTCTTGATGAAGATCTTCTTCATTGGGAGCAGCTGCTACATCCTTTACCTCATGAAGTTCAAACATCGGTACGTGTTTGCCGCCAGCTTCTACACATGACACCATCTCTCCCTCCACCTCACTGCCTACTCTATCCGCTTCATCTTGATTTGATTATCTCGCTGATATTACAATAGACCAACAAACGACCCCTCTATCGACACATTCAAAGTCGAGTACTTGGTCGGACCCGCCTTCTTGCTCTCCCTCATCTTCAACTATGGCTTCACCTTCGCAGAGGTCTCATGGGCTTTTTCCATTTTCCTCGAGTCGGTCGCTATCCTCCCGCAATTGTTCCTCCTGCAGCGCACAGGCGAAGCTGAGACCATCACGACGCATTACCTAGCCGCGCTCGGGGCGTATCGAGGGTTATATATCCCTAACTGGATCTATCGGTGGGTATCAGGGCGTTGGGTTCCAAATCATAGCGTCTAGCTCATCAACTGCTCTTCTCACTCTCACAGGTATTTTGTGGAAGACGTAGTGGATCCAATAGCCGTCATTGCAGGCCTTGTCCAAACAGCACTTTACCTGGATTTCTTCTACGTGTATTTCACTAAGTACGCGCTCCATTATTCTTGTTCTCTCAAGCCGAGCTTTTCTGATATTGCTCTTGTGTGCAGGGTGCTGCAAGGACAGAAGTTCGAGCTTCCAGCATGAACCGTCAGGTTACGGTTGTCGTCCTTCGTCGAAGAGAATACGAGTGCGAAAAGGGAACGGATGTGCAGAGTCATATCTTATACATTGCAGCGCTCTGGAGCAGATAGTAGAGGGCCTTGCGTAGCTTCGTGCAGGCGGGCGATGTCTTCATTTCCTCAGCAGAAAGACTTCGGTTTCATGTCTCTTGAGGTTCTTTGACCACATCGTCATCAATGATGTGTCGTGACACATCGTGACGACGACCAGACCAAACAGGACGGGAAATATTTATGGTCAGATAAAACCACAAGACTGAATAAATACGGTCGAAAATCAGCAGCTGGAGGGTACAAGAGAGCTATGACAGAATATCAACAAGGGTGCACAGAAACGCACATATACAGTGAAAATATAGGTAATAAATAATTCGGAAATTCCATTGTCCTGGTGAAAAAAAGAACAGATGTCGATCAGTAGCTCTTAGAGCGTGCTCGAATATATGGCGTCGCTGCCATAGAACTTGAAGAGGCCGTGACTGCAGGAAGGCGTTGTGGGAGCCACATCGGGTTCAATCGACCATATCCTCCAGCGGTCGATGCTGGCGAGGGCAACCCGTGGTCTGGCAAGTCGTCCACGTTGATGATCTCTGTCTCCTGTGAAGACAATGGGGCTGCTGCCTGCCGCGTGGCGACATCTCCATTTGAGGGCGTTCGTCGACGGGGTGGCAAAATCCCTTGGTTCCGTCCCCACTCTATAGCTTCCGCGCGCTTGGCCGCGATATCCCCACCCTCGGTCCCCAGCCGGCCTTCGATCATCATGTTTTCCATCTCATGCGTCAGCAGGGCAAATGTGTCTTCATCTGGGGTAGACCCGAACACGTTCCGGCCGAGTGAGCTAGATGAGTTATCTGCAGGAGGTCTGATGCTGAACATGTCGGTCTTTGTCACCGTGTGTACTGATAGAGGAGTATCAGTTGCTGTCCGGGAGTAGAGAGGAAAGCATAACGGGGAACGAACATTCTTTCTCAAGAAGCTTGAGCTTAGCGCTCAGATTCATCAACGCCATTGAGGCGGCAGCAGTGGTAATTTTTGGTTCTACTGAGCTCGGGAATAGAACGGGTGTGATGCGCGACAGTCCAATACTGAGGAACAGAAATACCTAGTGGACAAAAATCGCGTGAGATCAATAGACCAGAAGTGTGCAGGAGATGCTCACTTGATGCAAAAGTTTGACGTGCTGGAAAGCCAGTCGGGAAGGGAACAAAAAGGTGAGGATGTTTCGGCCGTAGGCATAATACGAGCGCGAGGACGGGGCAGGACCGAAGACAAGAGACAGTTCAGCCGCTGTCAACGCAAAGAACATAACATAGCGCCACTAAATCCGCTCATCAGATTCGCAATGAAACAGCGGACCGAAATGGGACGTACAAATGCGACACCGTCACCTTTGCCAATCGCTGAGAAGAACAGTAAGGCCAGGCCAGAAACGATATGGAACCCTAGCGACATCAGCATTCCGTGATGAAGATATTCTTTGGCCGTCACGCAATTGTGGCATGTCAACACTTCAGGGCCGAATCTGTCATACGCCCATCTCTTCACCGGATCCTTCAAAGCCTCGTATCCTTCCCGGACCGTCATGAAAAGCACGGTGCCCTGTGGGCCAACTCGATCCGGATGATATCGCCTTGCGAAGCTCCTGAACGCCATTTTGAGTCCGCTGTCATCAACTTCCGGTGGGACGTTGAGCAGTTCGTAGAAATTAGGGGGGGTAGTGACGAGCGCGTCAACGAAGTTATAGATCATATATGTTAAGACGACAAGAGAAAAAGTGATGCGGTATTCCATTGGAGATGCAGGCTTAGGAAGCCAACGCCGGAGGACTCGCAGAAGGATATTGGTTATGAGGTCGGGAATGTATGACCAGCTCGCGAATCCGACTACCGAGCCCAACACAGACGTCATCGTCGATATTTGAGACCTGTGTATCATAGAGGAATATAGCGTCAGATTCACTGCAGTGAGGACGAACTACGAAGAAAATGGAAAGCTCAGATCGGACAAGGTCCGATTTCGCGTGTGATCTCCTCTCCTCGCCATCCAATTCCACACACATCCCCGTCGCAAACGCGAATGGAAACCTCGTGCCTGCAGCTGTACGCGCGCAACCACGCGCCATTTGCAGTGGACTAGAGCAAACGCGCTGTTGTACGGGCGCCCGCCCTCGTGAGAGAGCCGAAAAATAGGTGCGTATGAAATAGAAAAACCACACTGTCGACCACTCGCGCAGCTCAGATTGGCAAGTGATCTTGCCGTGTCTGCACGAGCTCGGCTGAGCGCATGAGGGGCTTCATCGTAAGGAAACCCGATGTAGACTCTGCCTTTGCTCGCGCGCCTTGATCCTCATGGCAGCGCGAGCCATAAAGAGAGCCCAGCGATTGAATGTCTGTTCGGCCTTACGATACGCCACGGAGAGCTCGAGACATAACGTATTGGTAATCGAACAATTTCGGTGGGCTCAAGGTCCACAGGATGCATGGAAGGGATGTACGAGGTCGACCCTTTTACTGGGGCATCTTTGCGATATAGAAGCTGAGTGAAAGAGAACGCACCAATGCTTTATATGAGATTGGTGAGCGTGTCAGTGTCCTTGTGTGACTATGACACGAGATGCAGAGTTTGTGGACGAAAAGTAGAGAGGGTTTTGCGGTCGAGAACAATGGGATATAAGCTGATGGTATCGGTTGTTCAGAACGTGAATCTACATCTTAAAGAGTCAGTGAATCTAACTATGAGATACCCGTTGAAGAATGGATAGAATTTGAGGAATAATACAAAATTCCAACTGTGGGCCACCCTCAAGCGGGTGACCAGCGAGAAACGGTGGCAGACAGATAACGCCAGCGATCGAGATAGATATACAAATGAATGTGGTGGTAAGGCTTTACTCACAGGGTGCCCGTCAGACGTGACGCCGGAGGGTTTGCGAGCCACAAGTTATAGGGAGGAACAACAAGACTTGGAGCTTGGAGAACGGTGGCACGGTGTGGCATTGTTCTGGCAAGACTCAAGTCGAGCCAATGGCAGCGTGGGAATATTGCCACCATTGGTTACTTGTTCGACATTTTTCTTCTTCACTCCAGCCTGATTTTGTGGATGCAACTCTGCAAGGAGAATCCTTCACACCCTTGCACGTTCCATCATAGTCAATGAAGCAACTGAAATGCTCCCTTTTTACGACCGAGGTTTACGAGATATTTCTTCCAAGTTTGTGTCTCATATGAGATAACCAGCTGAGCTACATACGCATCATGCTTCCCAGCGGCAAATGCACTCATCAGAGCATATGTACAGAAAATCTCCTCGCCTCCAAAAGAGTACATAATAAACTTCCATGTTTTCGAGACTAGCTCCCGTTGGCTTTGAACCACTTCTGAACCTCCCCAGAGACGTATCTAGGACAAGGGGTTGTCAACACAACGAACACATGATGGCATCTGACCATCCCACCGCTACAGACAGCATGCTACCAACTCCATTACTATTGCCATCTATACCGAACCAATCAGGAGATGACAGTCAGTTTGTCCTCGAGAGACGGCGAGACTCGGCTCTTTCCAATTTTGGTCCGATCTGACCGAAAACCTGGGGAGCCGCTGCTCTCCCGTATCTTGATTCACAACTTGATTCTCCTTGATTGATTTCCCTTCATCCCTCCTCAGGTGCGGTGCTGGGCATCTTTTTTGGTTTCTTTCTACAGTATGCGATCTTGAGCGACATCCATTCCCTTCGAAGCGCCGGCTTTTACTCGTCTTTCCTTCTCACTGATCAACGTGCAGTGCATGCTTGTGACTCGCCGTAGATCATCCTTTTTTGCTTTCGTCGTTCTCGATCCGCGCCCCGCCTTTCTTGTCTTCAGGTGTGAACTCGGGCTGGTTCCAGGCGCCAATTCTACCCCACCACCAACAGTCCCTGTGCGCCGTCACCTATTGCAGCCTTCACTAGCTCTCCAGCATCCACCGTGTTCTCACATAGCCTATAACGCCGATTACATATGGCGCTGGCGGAACCATTTCGCTTTATCTTCATACCTTTCTATCTCCTCCTACTCACACAATGCGCGCTCGCCTTCCCCATGCAATCTGCCCTCCTCCCACGCGCCCCAGCAATCGTTAAAACGTCAGAGTCAGGCAATACTACTACCGTTTCTGTCTTCGACTCTAACTCTCTGCAGCCCATAACGCAAACAAGCGCGTCAGACGGCAGTGGTGTCGGCTTCGCGTCCTCGGCCCCGTCTATTCTCTGGTTCTGTTTCTGCCTGCTGTTTGGCCTCCCGCTCGCGTTGGCCGGAATACGGGGGAGAAGGTTTACGACCGGCGCAGCTTTCGGCCTCGCTTTCGGCGTATGCTGTACGTCGGTTTCCCTCTCGCCTCGGAGATCGTGCAGCTGAATCGCAACTTTGTACGTGATGAATTAGCATGGGCCGCGTTTATCAACACCGTCTCGGCTCCAGGGATCGCGGACCTTCCGCTCACGCTGATCGTCTTCGCCTTCGTCTTCGTCGGCTCGGCGCTCGGCATGTTCTCCCTGGTGCGCGTCGGCGGGATGGTGACACTCGGCGTGGTGGGCGGTCTCGCGCTCGGTGTGCGGATCGTCGTGGTGAAGGACGACCTGCTCGTCGCGTCGGTGTTCTTCGTGAACTGGCTCGTGGCGAGCGTTTTTGGGCTGCTCGGCGGTCTCTTGGTCGTGACGAATCGGCGAACGGGGATCGTGAGTATCTATCATGGCCATTCTATATCTGACTCAGACCGCGAGCTGATGGCGATGGCGTTGAACTGCTTGCTAGCTCGTTTGCTCGGCATCCGCTGGAACGTTCCTCGCCGGCCTCGGTGCGGATCTTATCGTCAATCAGCAGGATGGGCTCAGTCGCGGGTACCGCTTTCTGTTCGACCGCAACACGTCTCATCTCACTGTGCGTCACCCCGTCGCGAGGTTACCACGGGGGTGTTCGAATCGCAGCGTGATCCTTTTCTAATTTTTTGTCCCCCCTCTGCGGCATCGCAGGATCTTCTCGTGCACGGCTATCACCCACCGGTCTCGGCCCAAATTAACATCGCTGTTTCCATAAGCTTGATGTATGCCCCCCTTAAGCCTTACCTTTTTATCACCAGCTCACTGCGACCGGTTTGCACCTCTTCGCTGCATTTGAACCCTTTCCTCCCACTCGCTCGCAGACCCCTCCTAGCATACCTGCAACACCGCCTCTTTCCTAACGAATTCTCGTCGACTCGCCCAGAGTCCGTCGTCCTCAACGACGCCAACCTCGCCGACTCTGAGAAACCCCGTAGCGACGCTCGCGCGCCCCTGTCGAGCGAGCCCGTCAGCAGGTTCAGCCTGTGACGACATCCTCCTTTCCCTCCCTCGTCCTGTTTTGTCGCTCGTCGCATCGCTTTAGTGCGCGAGAAGCGTTCCCTTTGGATTTCGGACACTTTCGCGTTGGCTCGGACTGTTTTTTTCCGGTGGATGTTTTCCCGGTGTTGGTTATTCCTCTTCTTTTCTTTCGTTTTTCTTTCTTGTTTTTTTCTGTTTTTTTCGGTAGTAGTCTACGGTCACGCTGTTTTGTCGCTTTTCTTTCGTCGTCTAGTTTTTCCTCCCACTTTGTGGCTGCGCGGCTGGGGCCAGTCACGTGTATACCTTAATTCTGGGATCCGTATGCGCATATGTATCAACTGCACGATTCACTGCAATGTAGCTTTCTGGTCACAATCAAGCGTGAACACATCTCGATCGGCCTGCAATCCTATGAGGAGCTCACAAGTGCAGCCCGAGAAATAACGATCGTCCGAGTTGTCCGGTGTACGAACGATGGAGAGTAATGCTACATGGAGCGGTGGTATATAACAGATAACACGATACAAAAATCCGCGGGGGCTCGTAAAGCGCGTCCGTGTCGTGCGAATGCAAAATATGCGTAGTGGCTACAGCGGGATAGAACGAGCGGAGGGACGTGAGGATGTTCGTATATAACGAGTGAGTGACAGTGCGCAACGCGCGTGAGCAGAGGGGTAAAGAGCGACGGGCCCGGCCTCGTCGCGGGGGATACGGAGCGGAGCGTAAGAGGAACGGAATGGAGGCGGAGAACGAAAGAGATACATATATGTAAAAAAAAATAAGAGGGAGGGAGGGAGGGAGAGGGAGAGGCCAGCGCTCATCCTACCAGACACGGCCCGCACGACTGCACGCCCGTCCCGCGCAGATCACAGGTCTGCAGCTTCCCGCCGAGCTGGGTGCCACACACCGCGCTCTGCTGGTCGGACGTCAGAGTGATCGTCTCGTTGTTCACGATACTGTTCGAGGAGAAAAGCGCAGGTCAGGATTTTTCGTCGCCGTGGATACGGGGCAGAAGGGGGAGGCCTTACAGGGTCTGAAGCGGGAGCTGAGCAAAATTGGAAGGCAGTTGGGAGGGGAGCTGGGCGTTCTTGACGAGGGTGAGGGAGGTGAGGTTTGAGAACGCGTCAGGGAACGCGCTGAGTCCCGTGGACTCAATGTGCAGTGATGAGAGCTTCGTGAGAGAGGCAAAGGGTTGAGCAGGGGAGCCGCCTACAGGGGATGTTAGGGCTGAAGTCGATCAGGAAAGGGAAGATGACGGACCCGGAATGACGTTGTTGCCGATGATCTGCAGCGTCTCCAAATGTGTGAGGTTGCCGAATTCTGCGGGGATGGATGCTGGGACAGCGGGGAACGTGAGTTGGCTAATCATATTAAAGAAAAGTCAGCTTGCGTCCAGGATGAAGTCGCAATTACGCACAGAGAGGAAACTCCTCCAGAACCGTCGCATTGTACGCCACCCCACGTACAAAATTTGACATCCTTGACCCATCCGCTCGCCTCCAGCCCAGCCTGCCCATTCGAGTCCGAGTCCTCCCACAGCGCGCGCAGGGCACAGAACTGAGTGGCATCGCGCGCGGCGGGATACACGGCCGTGTAATTGTACGAAAGATTGGACAGCAGCGGGAGACACGTCGAACAGGGATATGTCGTGGGCGACGTGGGCGCGTTGAGGGTATACTGCGTGATGCACTGTTGCGCGTCGACGGACAGCGTCGACGAAGACGAGGCGGAGACGGCTTGCGGGCCTGACTTGGTGCTTGGCTGTGCGAGCACGCGCACGTCGAGCACGACGAGGTTCGCGAGCACGCAGAGGAGGAAGGCCACGAGAATGATGACCATCGCCCTGCGGCGCCACTTGCGCGCGGGGTTGTCTTCGCATCGAGGACACGAACACCGCATGGGGCGCTTCTCAATGTGCAGAGGCGGCCACTGGCTCATCTCAGGGGGTTGCACGGGCACGTCGACCTCCGGCTCTCTGTTCAGCGTTCGGACGTCGAAGAACAGCTTCGTGAAGCGATCGCGGAACGTGGTCGTCGATCGCGGACTCTCGCGCCCGAGGAACTGGTTCTTCTCAATGTCGCGCGGATGGATGGGCGGTGACCTGTACATCGTTGACCTCGAAGAGCCAAAAGAAAATCGGCTGGTCGTGGGAGGGGTATGTGAAGAGGCTGGCAGGTGTCCAGCGCGCGAGTCGGGCGAGAAATGCGAATGCTCGATGGGGGCATCGATGTCGGCGGGTACGAATGAGACTGACAGATGCTCCCTGAAGCGTGACGACCCGTGCCAGGATGCGCGCGAGAGAGGAGAGGTGGGGAAGTCGTTGAGCGGGTTCATACGGACCGATGTTGGCTGGAGTACTTGGGTATCTGCGGAAAGGCGGTCGAGGAGGAAAGCGAGTGGTATGGTTTTTAATCCGATGGCATTTGCCGGTCCAAGCGACGCCCGAACGAGGCCTCAGGAGAACAAAGGACCTCTCGACGCAGCCCAACCGTCCAAACAGCTTGGCGCACAATAGAACAATGCCCGCCATAGCCCTAACCCCACGCCTTTGATGACTCATCCTCAGTCTCGTACGCGACCGAGGGCTTTTCCTCAAGCACGCTCTTCATGTAAGTATCAGAACAGCACTCATCATTCTCATCAAAGTTTGGTCTTTCCATGGGCCACCTGCTCCTTCTCGCTGTCGTCACAATGCGACATGTTCGGTTTCACCAAAATAACCCTCAACCTCCCATCAAAATCAAGCACCTATGCTGGTGAATGTTTATAGGTGCCAGGGCCGGCAGCGGGCATGGTACCATGAGACAACAATGAGTCTCGCGCTCCCACTCTATTGAGCTACCGCTTCGTTTGGACCGCTGCTCTCTGCACTGCACACGAGATACAGCGAGTCCGTCTTCGTACCGGCATTTTCGTATGGAACCGACAATCGAAGCCCAAATACCCTGATGACGCCGTGCTCGACCTCCGTCTGCATGTTTGGGTGCATGCTCAGTGCGTATTCTCTCGAATGCTTTATTTCTCAAAAGCTAATCAGGAACATATACTTTACACCTCGTCATAACCCTGCTCCAATATCGAACGGGATGCCCCGCCATCGTACTGCTTAATCAAAAAGGCGTCACTTGCTGAATATCTCTATTGCGCGTCAGCGTTCTGCATACATGCGCGTTGGCAGGGGTGAAGGCAGGCCGACGGTGAAACTTCCTAACGAGCTGACTTTATGAGCGCTTCCAATAGCACAAAGAAAGGCCACTGAGCCACTGGCGATAGGCATTTCCCAGCGGGTTCGACTTGGACCGATGGTCGTTCATGCCATCCTCGAGGACCGGCAGAATTTTCAAATGCAAACACTGTTCCCAGCCTTTTCGACTACAGCCACAGCGCCCTTTGTGAATGACGTTAGGTCTCCACCCTGCTATCAGTGATGACGCGGCCACTGTCTCAGCTGAGATCGCGGACACAGCTACCCGCAATGGACAATGTTCACATCGCCATGGTAGGTCATGGGAAGCAGCTTTCAATTTCAAGTGCTTGCAGTCTATTTGTGCACCATTTTTTTGACCTATCACAATTCTACGCTTTGTTTTCCTCGTTGTTGTCCAGCCCCTGCGATCAGCCTGTCTCGAATGCATGAGTACACTGCTCGGCACTTGGTGGGTCATCGATCGTCGAATGTCTATTCCTTCAACTCTTCTGTCCGCGCGCGACAGCATGTCGCGTAAACGTCTTTCAGAGAAGCCAACGGCTTTGTCGGTGGGTTCTTTTGATATGGATCTTTCAGCACGCCGACATAATCTCCCCTCTTTTGTTGAATCACATTGTAAGGCGGACATGCCGCAGCCATGCTGCTTCGAACATCATTGTTCCCTTTTTCTCGCATATTTCCAAGGAGTATATTTATTGACTCCGCCTGACTCCATTATCGAGGTACGAACATGGCATGTTTTCTGCGTTGACATATGAGCTTGCCTATCCGGTCGGTCATCTGCCTGTTTCGATGTGTTTAGATTCACTCTTTGAGCGAACACGGAGGATCTCAGTGTCCTTCGTTGTGCGAAACCTGCCATCGCTCGCGGTGCTCTCGCGTCCTGTCATGCACAAACGACTCAGCGCAAAGAAAGAAGCACATCGATCTTACCTGAGCGAAGCTGTAACTTCGAAATGGTCCTCGGTTTATAATGTGTCGTTCCCGTAAAATAATGTGTCTGTCTGCTAGGCGATTGAATAGAAATATATTGACCTTGATGCTCGTCGTCCTTTGGAGGGGGCGGATGTCGTACGCTGGGGGCCTGGGGGCGCCGGTCAAGTGTCTCCCTTAGGGGCCTTGGGTTTATATGAGGGTGTTTGAAGTCTAGAAGCCCGCTAAAAGCAACTCCGACAGGGTCATGGGGCCCTTATCTCTTGTCCTTTGACCCCTATCTGCTCGATCGCATCACGTTCTGCCGTCAGCCATGAGGACCCCATTTTACCTTTTCACAACATCCGCACGGGAGCCGCGTGAAATATTATGACCAATTAAATTTGTGACACAAGTGTCTTCGAGCATACTAAACGGGTGAATCAGTGTGGATTCTGGTGGATCGAGATGCAGTTTCGGCTGCACATGTTGACAACGAGCATCTGCGAGAGGGGCTGGCCAGGTTCTTGGCCCAGAAAAGGCGATCGTCGGTAGGCGGGGACCCTGCCAGACTTGAGTGAAGGCATATAAGACGATTAGCGACGACGATTTCCAAGATCGACCGTCTTCTTTCCTCTCCTTTTTCACCCCCGACCCTGTCCATCGCTGCGCAGCGCAGAACAACGGTGTTTTTTTTTTAAAACAAGCTCATTCTAGCCGAAAGCGCGGGAACCATGGATTCTCCTACGCGTTCTTTCGAACATCCGTCGTGGACGGCTCTTTCAACGCGACAATCCGCTTCGCCTGTAAATCCACCACCACAGCAAGCACAACCGTCGACCTCCTCTGCACCCGCAAGACGCTTCAAACGGCTTACAGAGCCGGGCCGACAAATCCTCACAGGTAAATTCCCTTTACTTACATCCACTCACGTCCATGAAATTTCAGCTAAGTATGTCGTCATTTGTTCTCTCTCGGCACGCGATAGATTTCTACGCGAATGAAACGCACTACCCCTCGTTAGAACAAAAGCACGCATTGCTCGATCGACTGCGAGCCGCAGGGGTAGAGTACCATATGACCAATCTGAATGCGTGGTTTACCAATCGTCGGAAGAAACAGAGTCCCACGCTCTCTTCGCGCGATTTATGTGAGCCCGATTCTTTGTTCAAATTTGATGAATAGTGCTCATTGTATGCTACTCATTGCCATAGTGTGGCCCTCGATCACTCAAGAAAAGGAGAAGAAGATCCAAACTCTTTTACATGATTTTCCTCAACCATCCAGGGACATGATTAACGCTTGGGCTACCGTAGTGTCTGCACAGCCTGAGCACATCATTTTGTACATCCAACACATGGCGTATAGCATGGAACATCACTTGCCACTCGCCACAACACCCGCGCACCCAGCAACGGCGTCATTTGCATCGATCGTGGCTGCGTCAAATGCCCACCTGGCTCGCCGACCGTCTGCTCATTCTTCGCCTTCCTTTGCACTCAGGCCAGTCGACAGTCCGATGGACATTGACTCGCCCGATGACGACTCTCTAGAGGCTGACCCTGCGCATCTCCCTACCCCTTCCGTATCCACTTCGCCCGAGCCCGCACCGCGCAGCTCCGCACGACCGCATCTCACCCCCATCCAGACAGCAATGTCCGCCTCACCTACTCCACCCCCGTCGATGAGCACAATCAGCTCATCACCCCATGGGTACACAAGGCGCGGATGTTCGCCGACGACGGCACCAACCACCTCGCTCGGCACGCGCGATCCCATATCTCCCGTCTCAGCGATCACTACGCCGCGCATTCCGCGCCCGTCGTCATTCGTGCTCCCGCGGCCCGAGTCGTTCGGGCGTCCGCGTCCAGGCATGCTCGACTCGCCCGCCGTCTCGGATCAGCGTACTAACCAGGCTCCTCTGTCGCCCCCTCCCACCGCGACTGTCACCGAGCCACCAACGCCGGTTACAGCTGCAGATCTTTCGTTGCTCTCCCCGCTCGAGCGCATCCGCGCCATGCGCCGCGCGAGCTTCCAGCTGTCGGGCGATGCGACCTCGTCCCCGATCCTGCCCCCGTCTATCTCGCGTGCGGGTGGCTCACACCCCTCGGCCGTGGCCACGACGACGACGACTGCCACCACGTCGACCACTACATACGTGCCGTTTCTCCCCCCGCTCCCTGCCGAAGCGCCCAAGACCCCTGCGGAATTCGCGGCAGCTCTCCGGCCCTACGCCGACTATCAGCAGTCGTTCATCCGACGCGTCAAGAACGGTGAGCTGCGCGCATACGGGTTCACGCCTGAGATGGTTCCGGAGTGAGCGAGCGGGTGGGCGTGCACAACACGGCCTTTTTTGATGGTGGCGACGACGACGACGACGGCGAGCAAGAAGCTGTCCATGAGAGGCGGAGGGAGAAGGAGCGGGCGAGGCCAGCGGTACCCGCCGCTCGTCAATTGTCGCCCTGCCCTGTTCTCGGCAACAAAAGAATGCCGTCTCATCATTCGCGCGCGGAGCGTATATGTTCTATTCGATCAACGCATTGCGTTGCGCCAGAGCGACAAGACTTGTGATGTTTGTGCAAATTGAACAAGCATCTGCTTACTTTCTTTGGCCTCACATAAAAAAGGTTTGAGTGTTTTGTGTTAAAGGTGTAGTGTTTGCCTTAAAATGTCTGTATGTTCATCATCCTCACACTGCAAGACTGCCTTGCTGTTTTTTGCTACATGCTTGTTGCATTATTATTTTACAAAAAAGAATCATAATTTTGTATGTTATATGTCTTCACAACATTTTGGCTGCTAATAGCAAATTTCATATTCAGTGTCAAGGCAGCATCTCACAATCTATCAAATTTCAAGAATCACAAAAGAGTTTACAAAAAAGAATATCATATCTGTCACAAGTCACCACAAGGTTTCAGTTGTGTGTGTTCATGGTAGTACTATATATGTCAGTACTACCATCAACACACACACAGCCTACCCCCTGGTAGACAATGAGTTAACAAATAACATCATCAAAATCCAGGCCCATTCGCAACCAGCCATGATCATGACCAATCCTCCGCCTCACAGCCTATCACAATCACCTCACAACGCGATTCGCTGTCGCTCCTCGGCAACTCAAGAACGAGCAACTATTGTCTCCTCGAGAAGCAGGAGAAGCATCTCGGTTATGGCGTGAGGACACGACGGCGGTCACACGCACTCACAGCAGCCTCATTTATCTCAATGATCGGGTCTCTCAACCCCCGCTGCAAAGCACAGGCGAGAGTTCTCAGGGGGTACAAGGATGTCAGCCAGAAGGCTTGACCCTCCGTTTGTTCGGGTCTGGAGAATGTGAGCCCCCGCTGGAAGATCGCACGCGGGGGCGAGTCCGCAATCTTTTGGTCGATCTCAGAGATCGGTGCCCCCGTCGGAATTACGTGCTCAGGGGCAAGACCAAGCAAGCAAGCTGCGTGGGAGGAGAGACTCGCACGCGAGCCGGGTCAGGCATGTAGGCTCGCGGATGACAATAGAGACAATTGTGCGTTCGTGCGAGGGCCGCGGTCGAGGTCGCTGCGCGGGGATAGCGAGAAGTTGAGGCTATGCAGGAGGCGGGGGATTGAAGGCCGCTCATCGCGGTCGTGAGCCATCGATGTCGCGCTGCGCAGTGCGGGCGCAATGCAGGCGCAATGCAAAGACGCCAGCACCTAGAGCAGTTTTGTTTGCAGGGATGTCGCGTCATGTCCCGTGAGTTGAAAATGAATCAACGCACGGGCTGCTCGGCAGGAAAGGAGGCGACACGCGACGAAGGGATGCGGGGAGGGTGGGGGTACGAGAGAAAGAGAGAACAAGGCGCCGTGTTAGACGCGCTCGGAGGGCGCAGGAACCGTGTCTGGAACGTTCCCACGATCCTCCTGCCGAACAGTCCCTGGGGCGAAGTCGCGCAGCGTCCCACCGCGTCCCACCTCGACGAACGATGCATGATTCTCCACCTCGTCAAACGCACGGGCCAGCCGGAGATAAGGTCAACCCTTTCTCACGTGGTTTACACTCGGGGCCCCGCCGCGCTCCCCGCTCAGCGACGAGCCGCCTCTGGTGCAGCCGGGGCCGGAATATGGATGGGACAGCCTGGCGCCCCTCGAAGCGGAGCCAGAGCGGAGTCGCTCCGTGTGCCCGCCGCGCAGCCATTTCGAGCGAGACGCCTTCCCCCGCATTCCCCGCCGACGTCATTTTCCGCCCCGCTTTGCGCGTCGGTTTTCACATGCCAGGCCGTTCCGTCTCGCCCTGCCAGGCCCCTGCGCTCCATCGCCTTGGATGCCGACGGGCACGAGCTGAGCAGGACATGATGCACTTAAGGATTATCGGCTGAAAGGGCAAAGTCGCCTGGCCCTCCGTTTTCACGTTCTTTTCCCTTCTCGTTCCGTCTTTGACTCAAGACCGGTCGGGTTCGATATCCTACGCCTGCTCCCCTCTCCACCCTTCGTCTCTCTCGCCGGTCCCGGCTCTCTGCTTGCCATCCGCGTTGCATCTGGAATCACTCGTCGCGAAAAGACGCTCGTCTATCAGCGTGTAAACTACATCGAACATGTCGAGATCGAGAGACAAGAAGCCTGTGGGCTTTGGTACCCACATCACCGCGGGAGGCATCGCAGGCGCGATGGAGGCGGTGGGTCTTGCTCTGTTTCCCCTCTTCGAAGCCTCGTCGTGACTCGCGCCTCTCTTCGTCGCGATACTAGCTCTGCTGTCAACCCCTCGACACCATCAAAGTGCGCATGCAGCTCTCGCGTTCAGGACGCGCACCAGGCGTACGTTTTATTTTATCGATGCCTCCCGAGCGTGTCTCGCTGACCGATGGGTCGCACAGACAAAAGCGCGCGGCTTCATCGCGACGGGAGCGCACATCGTGCAGCGCGAGACCGCGCTCGCGCTCTACAAGGGCCTCGGCGCGGTATTAACCGGTATCGTCCCCAAGATGGCGATCCGCTTCGCGTCGTTCGAGACGTACAAGGGTTGGCTGGCGAACAAAGAGACGGGCGTGACGAGCGTGGGGAGCATCTTCCTCGGTGCGCCTCTTCCCGCCTCTGTTCCGTCTCGAATATACCACTCACACCAGCGACGAATAGCGGGCCTTGGTGCGGGCACGACAGAAGCCGTGCTGGTCGTGACCCCGATGGAGGTTGTCAAGATCCGGCTGCAGGCACAGATGCACTCGCTCGCGGACCCGCTCGAAGCGCCACGGTATCGCAACGCAGGGCATGCAGTGTACACCATCGTCCGTGAAGAGGGCGTGCGCACGCTCTACCGCGGGGTGTCGCTAACCGCGCTCCGGCAGGCGACGAACCAAGGTGCGCACGGCGTTCGCATGTCAGAGCGCACTCGGCGCTCTCTGAACCGAGCGAGACTGACACGTTGATTATCTTTCGTTGGAATGGGGAACCAGGCGCGAATTTCACGGCGTATCAGGAGTTGAAGAAGTTCGCGCATCGGCTGCAGCCGGATCTCGTCGAGCTGCCTTCGTACCAGCACATGTTCATCGGACTCGTCTCCGGCGCCATGGGCCCCTTCTCCAACGCGCCCATCGACACTATCAAGACGCGTACGTCTTCTCCCTCCTTTTTCTGTCCACAATTCCACGACTCACATAAAAAAAACCAATAAAAAACCAATATCAAACACAAAAATGAAACTACACACGCGAATACGCCTCCTCAGGTCTGCAAAAATCCGCATTCCCACCCGGTACATCGGCCGCGCGGCGCATCGCGGCGATCGCGAGCGACATGTGGCAGCAGGAGGGCACGCGCGCGTTCTACAAGGGCATCACGCCGCGCGTGCTGCGTGTCGCGCCCGGCCAGGCTATCGTGTTTGCGGTGTACGAGCGCGTGCGCACGTGGATAGAGAGGGTGAAGGTCGATGGGGAGGAGGAGCGGTATAGCGAGTGATCCAGACGAGGAGAGAGGGGGACGGAGCGAGATGTGTGTGCCTGTATATTATACCCTGGAACGTGGGGTTAGCGAACTTTTTTTTTCTCGGTCTGTATAGTGTATTGTAACATCGACTACATGGTGACTGGGATACCTACACCCAGAGAGATGTGCGCGTATTGTCGGCGGAGGTGCACTGCGGCCCGGAGGTCCCGGTTGCAGGCTTCAACGTCTCTTCAATCTTTATAACGTTGCAACTCGCATCTGGGATCCGCATGATCTGTTGACAACAACAAAGGGCAACTCTCTGCTCATTGAAAGTATGTACCGCATGTCGCCTGAAGTGGAAAATCAATATGTATGGATCCCGCCGTCCTACACCACGTCTCACGGACCCTCTCTATCGACGACAGCGTCCCTTGCGCCCGATTCTGAGTTCGAGCAGAACTTTGCGCGGTCGGCAAAATGGTATGTTTCTATTTCTCCGAATATCCTGTGTGCTGCGCCAAGTCGTCCTCTTGTTGATGGATACTCCGCTCCTCTGATTTGCAGGTGTCCGGACGGATCGCTAGCCCTCGCACAATGTGAGAACAGGACATTCGAGATCCTTGACCTGTGCGTAGTTGCTTTTTGAGGAAATCAGAATCTCGAACAGACATGTCTCGCTCGTAGCCCGCCAGAACTCCTTCAACTGGCATTTTCACAAACAGGTAAAGGCAGCTCGCATCCGACTTCATTGGCCTGTCATGCATAATCTATCTCTGCAGAGGAACCGATGACGTCGCTGCCCTCATGGCCGAAGCATCGTGTCTTTCCGCAAGCCGCTCCTATCCTCGATTTTATATGGTACCCGCGCGCAACGCCCCGAGACCCTGCCTCGTTCTGCTTCGTCGCGTCTGTGCGCGAGTCTCCCGTGAAACTGTTGGACGCCTCGACGGGCCGCGTACGTGATTACACTTCGGGTGGATATTCCGACGATTGACTGGTGGTTCGTGCAGCTTCGCGCTTCTTACAAGATCGTTGACCACCGCGAGAGGCAGATCGCCCCACATAGCATGTCGTTCAATGGATCTGCCGACAGGTATGTGTGCCCGTACTGTGTCCACGCGCTCTGCGGCTGATATTCAGCGATTGCGTTCCAGGTTGTATTGCGGTTTCGAGGACGCTATTGAGGTTTTCGACCTGAACAATCCAGGCGAAGGCACCCGTCTGGCAACAACTCCATCCCGCAAAAGCCGCGATGGATTAAAAGGTGGGTGCCATTTCTATCTCTCGCCAGCCGTGGTCCTCGATCTAATGTGTCCGGATGATGCAGGAATTATCTCCGCTCTTGCTTTCTGCCCTTCCTACGACCCGTCATCGAGTATGTTTGCCGCCGGGTCGCTCACGCCGTCGTCCAGTGTGTCGCCCAACATCGCGCTTTTCAGCGAAGACACGGGCAGTAAACCTGTTGGGTGGATCGGAGACGTGAAGGCGAGCGTGACACAGGCACGTCCAGATTTCCTCTCCAGATTTCCTCTCAATATTGGATACTTACTCACATTTGATCGATTGACCAGCTCGCTTTTAACCCGATGAAACCGCACGTGTTGTATGCGTCTTTCCGGCGGCATGGTGCAATTTACGGTTGGGATCTGCGTGGAGACACATCGGTGCCGGTGCAGATTTTCAGACCGAATGGTGGCGGCGCTCGTCCGAGCACTAATCAGAGGATCAAATTTGACGTCGATCTGAGTGGGAAATGGATGAGTGTGGGCGATCAGGTATGCACGTCGATCGATCTTCGGCGATGTGACATGATCTCACATGGGGAAACAGCATGGGGATATCTCTTTATTTGACCTTGATAAACCTGAAGCAGAGGATGCGGAAGGCAGTGACCATGCACTAGAAGCGGATGCAGTACTCAGGTACACTGCTCATAAAGGTGGATTCTCAGGCATGCTTGGTTTGCGAAAGCTCAACATGTTCGATGATTTAGACGCCGTCGGCTCCGTAGCTTTCCATCCTCTGCGCCCTTTCCTCCTGTCCGTTTCTGGCTCGCGACATTTCGATATAAATAGCGATATCAACAATCAGTCATCGTCATCTGAAGAGGACGAGGAAGAACACCAAGATTCGTTCGAGACGAAACGAACTGTGGTGAGGAAAAGCAGGCAGCGACGTCAGCCTTCTGTGCGCGACAGCATCATCAAGTTGTGGAATTTTGAAGACACTGATTAAACGGTCCGAAGGTCAGTGTGCTTCCCAATTCACCGCCCTTTCGGAAGAGCTGATTTTGGCTACTTATCAAGCCGGACCGCGAAGTCGATGGCGCCTTTCGGATGGATCGTGTTGCGCTATTCTCCTCTGAGTGGGGCTTCTTGGCACGACCCTTAAATTGTATCTGGATGGCACGTAAACTTCTTTCCCCGACCATCACAGGCCCCAGAACGTGTCCGTCTGATCCAGAGGCGGTGGTTTCATACGCATTGTACACGTTTTGTTCGGCAATGAGAGCAAATGCACGCGTACGAGGAGTTCGGTAACTTCTGTCTGACCCGATGGCAGATCATGCGTCGTGCGAGGTAGTGCCCTGAATATCCAATGTCTGCTATGCTGTTGCCAGTATGAATCGAGTGACAGAACGGGAGCAGAGTCATACTGATACGGTCCCCAGCCAAATACAACCAAATAGTGACCTGTTATCAGGAGCGCTACTCCAGAACTGCTGGCCTTGTTCCGAACGACCATCATGTCACCCATCCTCTCTGTCTCCCTCGCTGCACTGTCTTTAGCGGCTGTCGCCGCCGCAAAGCCGCTGTCGACTAATCCCAACTATGTCCCTCGTCATGGCTCTCCTTTCTCGTATGCGCCATTGCTTGTTGCTGAACACGAAGCCCCACACGGCATCGTAAACAACTCTTATATCGTGATGTTCAAGCAGGGCTTGCACCCCCAGGCGATGGACAACCACCTCAACTTCCTGCAGATGGCGCATGCGGAGGACCCTCTCATGGGGGACGAGAGCGGCCTTCGTCACGCCTATGACGGACACGTTAAGGGGTACGCGGGCTGGTTCAGCGAGGGTGTGCTGGAGAGGATCCGGCAGATGCCCGAGGTCGACTTCATCGAGCGCGATCAAATAGTACGGACACAAGATACGCAGCGATCAGCGCCATGGGTACGCTTGCGGCGCTTACTTATCACGCGCGTATGGACTCACCTGTCACGCCATCATTAGGGTCTCGCACGCATCAGCCATCGTCCCAAACTCGGCTTTGGTACATTTACCAAGTACGAGTACGAGCCTTCAGGCGGCGAAGGTGTCGATGTATACGTCATTGACACCGGGATCAACACCAAGCACGCCGAGTTTGAGGGTCGGGCGGCCTGGGGCAAGACAATCCCGTTGAACGACGTCGACGATGACAACAATGGTCACGGCACTCACTGCGCTGGTACCATTGCGTCGCAGAAGTACGGTGTCGCCAAGGCCGCCAACGTCATCGCTGTCAAGGTGTTGGGCTCCAATGGCAGCGGTACGATGTCGGACGTCGTTGCCGGAGTTGACTTCGCAGCGAAGGCCGCCACAGCCAAGGCGGTTGCCGCAGCAGCTGAGGTGAAGGCGACGGGTAGCACGAAGCACAAGGGCTCCGTCGCCAACATGAGTCTCGGCGGTGGCAAGTCACGCGCTCTTGACACTGCTGTCAACGGTGCAGTCGACACTGGCCTTCACTTCGCTGTTGCCGCTGGCAATGATAACCGCGACGCATGTTCCTACTCTCCTGCCGCCGCCGAGAAGGCAGTCACTGTTGGCGCGTCCACGCTGGGCGACGAGCGCGCATACTTCAGCAATTTTGGTCCTTGCGTTGACGTTTTCGGACCAGGACTCAACATCCTCTCGACCTGGATCGGCTCCGAGCACGCCATTAACACCATCTCCGGCACCTCCATGGCGTCTCCCCACGTTGCGGGTCTGCTCGCATACCTCCTCTCCATCTACCCTTCCGCCACGTTCAACCCCTCGGTCTCTTCCCTCATCCCTGATGAGCTCAACTCTGCGCGTCCATTCAGTGGATCCTTCAGCCGCCTGTACGAGATGGCGTACGACTGCGTTCCAGGATGGGCGGCTGGCTTCTTGCCTCCTCCCCGTCTCGTTCAGGTCATCAGTGGAGAGGGGTCGAACGAGTTCAAGACGCTGAGCCCCGCGCAGTTGAAGGCTGCGTTGGTTGCGCTCGCGAGCCGAGACCTGTTGAAGGAGATTCCTTCTGACACAGTCAACCTGTTGATTTTCAACAACGCGACGACCGTCTGAAGAGAGGATGCTTGATAGAGGGCTCGGTGACATGTTTGTTACGACATTATTACTGTTATGTTCTGTAATCTAGTCCTTCACGACTGCTGTACACAATCTACGGACGAGTATACATACACATACTTTGCGCATTTGCTGTTCGCTGACCTGGGATCTGGGTGAAGCACCTCAAGTGAGGATGGATGCGCCAAGTATCGCTGAGTCTGAACACGGCTTGTCACGAAATACTGAACACCAACATGCTCTGCAACAAAAAACACAGAACAATGTGCGAGTAAACTGTCCACGGCCTCCGGCCCCGACCTTTACTTAACTGCACGATCTGCAGATTGTCTGTTTCCGGCGTGCTGCTCCACACGGAGATATGCCGAGAATGTGTGAGCCTTCTGTGAAGGGTTTTCATCTAACAGTAATGGAGTCTTTCGACATTCATAGCAATTCTGCATCATGGGAGACGGCCGGCTCTGATATCAAGGTTCATCGACAACTCGAAGTGGAATGCATCGAGGTCAGCTACTTTGGGCCAGACCATGCTGCGTTTTTCTCACCATACATTCGTCACACATCCAGCCGTAACAACTCCTCGAGGCTGTCTTCGAGTTAAAACACCAACTAGCCCTTCACAACCACGACACCGAGACATCTTCCTTTGACCGAATGTCTGTTGATCATACCTTCGATGGCGTCAATGCGGAGGCAGCCCTGGAGATTCTGGATGCCAAGTGGTATAGGGAAGTAGCTAAGAGAGGGCGATGGATGGACCTCATTGGCGATTATGCGGGCAATGAACGATTTGTTCTTGATGGTGGGATATCTATAGTGATGATTGGTGTCTTCATCGTTCATCCTTTCTTCGTAGGTGATGCTCTGCTGCAAGACGTCTTGGATGACCCGTTATTGGCCCTTGGCCGCGAACATGGTACGTACGCTTGGCTAAACGCTACACTAACGGGCTCATATTGTCTGCCTAGATCCCAGTTTCCAAATTCTGCACGCGTTGCATTCGATGGAACGATTGTTGGGCGAGCTTCTCAAGCGTGCTGCCGTGTTTGACGTTGTGGTATGGGAAGGTATGCCTCAGCTGTCGATACATATAACGCGTTTTTTCGTGACCGGGTGCTTTCTGTAGATTCTCGACACCTCACATTGAAGACTGGTAGTCTTGCACTGGTGTCAACTTCGCGTTCTCTTGCAAGAAACCTTCTCCTCAATCACCTCATCCATCACGCAACAAAGATGAACGTAGCCGTACATATCTTCCAAAGTCTCTCTGATCCCGCATGGCGTGCATATAGACTTGCAACACGAGTGAGGACTATGATCTTCCTGACATGAAACGTTGCTAAAGGAGAACTCCAGCCCATGTTTGTAATGACGAATGACGGTGGTATCGTCCAGACGAAAACTCCATTAGAGGCAGAGCGCATCATAGCGCAGCGTGCATTCATATTCGGACTCCTTACATCTGGGATCGCTGTCACTCTTCTCCACGGCAGTGAATTTCGCGACTCGAAGGTATCGTGTACTCACAATCAATATGCTTGTCGTTAATTTCGGACTTCCTCTAGATATTCGCTTTCGTGCTCGAGCAACGGTTCGATGTTGCCGCAGCGAGAAAGTTCTCGGGAGTCATACAGACGCCGTTTGAGGCGTCATCCAGAGCTCTACAAACAGCTGATTCTCAACGTCGTAGCGTGGCTGGGATCTCACTGCCGGATGCTCCTTTAGCCTCAGGAATCCCCGTTGACTCGGTTCTCACTGAGCTTGTCAAGTTATTGCTGACCAGTCACGGTCAAGATTTCACTTCGGAGTTGACGTACCTGTTTGCTCTCCATTGTCTTCTCGTGACGACCTTATCCATAGATGAGAGGGCTAGGCTGCTTGACGATCTGCATCCCGATCTAATGAACATTCTACTCACACACTTTCTTCCCAAAGTTTACATCACTCTTGAGTCGCTGACATCAGGCCCTGGCGTGATCGTCGACTTCGATGGTCGCGTCTTCGTGAGCCTCGTTAGGTTCATCATCACGCATAACGATACCTCCATTGCAAGCCTGCTTGACCCTGAGATGTTTTCACGAATGGAGCAAGTCTGGTCATCTGCACATGCGCCGCTGATCCATCTATCAAAACTTGCCTCTGAATTCCCAAACCCAGCCGGAAGCGTTGTTCTCAGTACCGCTACGGACACAAGATCGATCACACTCCTGCCTTTCAACAATCCAGTTTTCGAGTCCGAACTTGCTTCAGTGCACGTTCGAGTGGCAGATTCGATCACGGATCTTCAGACCACCGCACCGGAGTTTAGCCAGGGGACCATATTCCCCGACACCAAGCACTGGCACAACCATAAACGAACGATTCTGCCCAAGCATCTTGGTGGCGATGAGCCAAAGCCAGATACTGCGCGGCTACGCCAGCGAAAATTGCGGAACGAACAGTTCTTCATGGCATCCCTCCAACGCCTTGCCAATTCCTTGACTGGGACCGTCGGTATCCCGAGTACCCCGAAGGCTATTCTGTCGGTCAAGGTAACATTGGGTCGTCTCTCGACCAGAGTCGCGGTAAGCACATCTTGACAACCTCTGGCTTCCAGTAGTCGTCTGCGCATGAATGTGATGCTTATGATATATTATTTCAGGAAAAGCCCGATCACAATGGGCAGAGCAAGAAGAAGTTGAAAGCGAAGCCAATATCGAATGCGGAGAAATACAAGCAGCAAAACTTGAAGGATAAAAAATCCAAGGATGAAAACAAGTTCCAGGTCTGGTGGCACGACCGGCTCGCTGAGATGTCGAAGATGGAAAGCAACGAAAAAAGGGCCAATCATCTCGCCTTTTTACAGGATTCCGACCGGTCCAGCAGGTCGAGCGATCAGGCGTGGCTCACCTTGGAGATGGACTTGTATAATATCAATCTCCAACTGCTGCGGTGGATAGCAGAGCCGGAGCGTGACAGCTCAACCATCCGCGATCGGTATACTGTGAACATTATCCGCGTCACCAAGAACCTCTATGACCGGGATGATCTTACGCCCACTGTGCTTGCTATTCTCGAATCTGTTCTTATCGCCTTGGGGTTCTCTGACCATATCCCTTCCTTGAGCTCTTCGGCGGTGGAGCGGGCAAAACTTGAGGACGATCGGCCATTGACGTTTGACTTTGTGAAGCTGATCAGGTCGAAGACGAAGAAACCCGTCAAGGACTTCGAGTTCATGCATATCACTGAAGACTCCGTTGCATGGCAGCTACGTTTGTTTGGCGAGCACATGGATAGAAGCATGGATAGTTCACCGGACTCCCGTGTCAGTTTCAACCCTGATGCTTGGCAACGTGAGGTCTTGGACTGTCTTGATCAGAAAGACTGTTCCGTTCTCGTCGTTGGTGCGTTCTTGCCCTCACGTCAATCAGCAACGTTGCTGATGTTTCTTGTTCTAGCGCCAACAAGTGCCGGAAAGACGTTTATATCGTTCTATGCTATGGAACAAATACTGCGGGACTCTGATGACGACATCCTCGTTTATGTTGCGCCTACGAAGGCCTTGGTCAACCAGGTCGCTGCTGAAGTCTATGCTCGATTCAAGAAAGATGTCCCCGGTCGTAAGTAAATTGAGGTATTCATACATATATGACAACTTGATATATTCCGTTTCCGCAGGCACTTGCTGGGCTATACATACAAGAGATTACCGTGTTCACGATCCTCAGAAATGCCAGATCCTCGTCACTGTGCCGGAAATGCTCGCCATCATGTTACTATCCCCTCCTCTCGCAAATACGTGGACTCCGCGCATCAAAAGGTAAGCTAGCTCGATTTAACTATTGGGACCCCGGTATTGATGCATAATTTAGGATTATCCTGGATGAGATTCATTCAATCGGTCAGCATGAAGGTGGTGCAGTATGGGAGCAGATTATACTGTTGGCACCTTGCCCCATCATGTACGCAATATTATTGTTCACTCCTTGATCTGTGCTTGACATCTGATAATATTTTCCAGCGGCCTTTCTGCGACCATCGGTGAAGCTGAAAGATTCAATACCTGGTTGGAACATGTCCAACAAGCGAAGGGCTTCCGACACAAATACATCCACTATCCGCATCGTTATTCACATCTCAGAAAGTTCGCCTACTTCCCACAGATGTCAAACTCCAAATTGTCTTCCAAGTCCGACTCTGATCTCGATATCGAGAGTCTCGACTTTTCTGACCCAACGAAGGCGCAGACAATGTCGGCCAAATTTGCTGGATTGACAGAGTATAGATCGAAAGACCTGATGAGATTTATTCACCCTGTCTCAGCCCTGTCGTTCGGAGCCTCCTCTCTTCCATCTGACTTTTCGTTGGAGGCCACCGATCTACTTCGCTTGTATCAAGCACTGCGCTCTTGCGGTCCAGGTGTCGTTGAAAATCTGGAGCGCCTTGAACCGAGCACGTTTTTTCCTTCTTCGATCTTCTTGAAGCAAAAGGATATACTGAGGTATGAAGCCGCAATGAAGGAAGTGCTATCATCTTTGCTCGTGACGTCAGATATGGCATCCATCTCGTCTCCCTTGAGAAAAATAGTCGCTCAGGTACAAGACCCCATCCTGGCCAAATCAGATGAGAGCATTCTGAACACAGCACCAAGGCTTCCACTATTTCTAGGCGGCTTGGTCCCGCTGCTCGCAGACCTTCACGCTACTAACAACCTGGTTCGGTGTTCCTCGCTTTCGTTATCAGAAGCTTACTGACTTCATCTATTGTCATGTGTTCCAGCCGGCTCTGCTGTTCAATTTTGATAGAAACATGTGCGAGAATATGGCTGCGGAAGTTCTTCGTACTTTATTAGAGAGTGAAAAGGCCTGGCGCAAGAACAGCCCCGAGTGGCAGCGCAAAATAGATCGTTGGGAAGAGTGGAAAATTTTACAGCAGGAACGCGCTCGCCATCCTACAGTCGTACGCAAGAAGGATGCTGAAGATATGATCAGAACAGAGGATCACTCCTGGGAGAGTACTTTCGACCCGAGAGATCCATCCCCTCAGTTCACATTCACTGGCCTCTCGAGGTCATACGGCAAGAGGGAACTCACAGAAGACCTTGAGGACCTATCTTGGCGAGCACATCTTCCTGAATGGGCGATACCTGCATTGCGGAGGGGTGTTGGTGTTCATCATGCTGGTATGAATAAGAATTACAGGAATCTCGTCGAGCGGTGAGTATAACTTTTTTGCTCCTCCACCCACGGTCGCTCAAATGCTTCTCATAGATTATTCCGTATTGGCTTTCTGCGAGTGGTCATCGCGACTGGTATGTTGTTTCCGCAGGAATATGCAATTGAAACTGAATATATATTCTAACAGGCACATTGGCGCTTGGTATCAACGCCCCCACTAAAACCTCTGTCTTCTGTGGAGATTCACCATTCCTTACAGCTCTTATGGTGAGTGCGCAGTGTCATAGTTCGCCATCGTCCTACCTCTAAACATCGATATCCAATCCAGTATCGACAATGTTCTGGTCGAGCTGGTCGTCGAGGATTCGATCTGCTTGGTCGAGTCGTATTCTACGGGCTGCCATTGGACCGCATTCAGCGCTTGATGCTCTCAAGGCTTCCGGGACTGGCTGGCAGTTTCCCAATGTCATCGACACTATCTCTACGCTTGTTCAGTCTCCTCCATGGTTCGGACAATTCGCCTTACGCTGTGGGAGCTATCAAGAGCATCCTGCGACTTCCCCAGATCAGTTTCGGTTCCGATATAGGCCAAGATCAACTCTTGCATCATCTTCGATTCAGCATAGAGTACCTCCGACGCGCAAACCTCCTCGATCAAGACGGCAGACCAATCAACCTCTTCGGCGTTGCATCCCACCTCTATTACACAGAGCCGAGCAATCTTGCCACTGTTGCTCTGCTCCAAAGTGGTGTGATTCACGATATCTGCAGTCAACCTATTTCGGAAAAAGCTCAGCTGGACTTCCTAATTGTCGCTTGCCATCTTTTCGGTCGGAGGTACCTCCCAGAGGCCTATACCACTCACCAGAACATTCGCGAGCTCATTGGAAAGGGACCGTCTCGCGTTGTCCTGCCGCCTATTCCAGGAACTGCGCGCAAGGTACTAGTTGATCATCACGAGGAAATCGTGAAAGTCTTCACAGCATACGCAGTCACATTCGCCAGTCAATATGCCAGTACTCTCAAGTCAGATGACACGCTTCCCTTGAGCGAAAAGTCATTCGGGCACCGCCAGGAATCCCAGGAGACGCCCGTGATCACTTTTTTCAAAGAGACCGCCATCCGTCCAATCGCTCGTTCGCCCTTCATCGCTAATTCAGGCCACGCCGACAATTTCCACAGTGTACAAGAGCTTGCAAACACCGTACGAAGAGGGATCCATCTGAATGAGTCAGCTGTCCCATCGCTCGACCGTATCATTGCTGTGCCAGGCGACGCAACAAAGCCTTTCGCCCTCAATGCCCATATTCTGGATTTCTACTTGCACGGGCAAGTCGATGCGTTGGTCAGGTATAATGGGATCAGGCGCGGTGATGTCTGGTATATTCTCCAGGATTTCCACATGTCCCTCGCTGCCATCCGTGGCGATCTGGAAAATCTGCTTGAAAATATGTCTCGGCAGCGGGTATCCGCGGTCAGTGAAGACGGAGGAGATGAGATTGACAGTGGGTATGGCACGCTGGACCCGGCAGAAGCGGAGGAAAAGCAGGATGTACAGAACAGCGCATTACATGTGTTCCAACGCCCTGCAGGTACGTCGGATCGTGATTGGAAGGTCTATGAAGTGGTGAATACAGTCACGGAGGAGTTTGGAGCGAAATTCAAAGCGATGTGGGCATAGTCTGTATGGAGGATTGCGGTGCAATTGTACGAACATTCTTGAATCTATATTCTCGCATCTCAGTGGACAGTTCAAGTCTTTCATTTGATTTATCTCGAAGGAAGAGCCTCGGACCAAACATAGTATCCTGAAATATCAGGCCCCAAGGCCGCATCGAAGAATAAGATGAACGAATGAGGTGGAGGTACATAGCGTAGATGACACTATTCGTTCTTGTACTCGTAGAAGCCCTTTCCGTTCTTCTTTCCATACCATTGCGCGTCAACCATTCGTTCAAGAAGGACGCTAGGGCGGTATTTAGAGTCCCCGGTTCCTTGGTAGAGCGTTTGTTGAATGGCAAGACAAGTATCAAGACCAATGCTGGACAAGTTACGTCAACATGGTGGTGATTCCGAACAAACAAAATGGTACTCACAAATCGGCTGTTGGAATAGTGATCGTGAAGTTTCAGACTGAAAAAAGACTGTATAAGATTATTCGTACCTAGTTGCAGCGGTCCCATCGGATGGTTCATGCCAAGTCTCAGAGTCTTGTCTATATCGTCGCGAGTTGCCACCCCCTGCGAAAGTTGCACGCTAAATGCAAACCGCACAGAGAAGAAAAAATTGAAGTACCTTCTCGAGCCACATGATTGCCTAGACAAAATATGTTCATCAAACGGGCCTTGCTCAGGACGATAGACGTACCTCGTTGATAAAGGGCATTAAGAGAGCGTTAGAAACAAATCCGGGCACGTCCTGCGAAGTTGTCACTTCCTTGCCGCATGCGATTGCAAACGAGCGTGCAGTATCCAATGTTTCTGGAGATGTTTGTAGGGCAGATATGATCTCAACGAGTTTCTACAATCATGAGTCAGTCTCAAGTCACGGTTGGAGGGTATATAATGCCAAAGCACCATAACAGGTACGGGGTTGAAGAAATGGAGCCCTATGCAATGTTCAAGCTTCACTAGGAGACATAATTTGGAATACAGACAGTACGGACCCACTGTACGTGACGCGCTCTTCTTTCCTGCTTCTGATGCCGATGTCTGTCCTTCAGGGATGGTAGCCGCAGCAATTTTCGTGATAGATATTGAAGAGGTATTCGTAGCAAGGATAGCATCTGGTCTCAGTTCCGCAGATAACGATTTGAATATAGTCTGTTTTAGAGAAAGATTCTCTGACACTGCCTATGAAGTCGGGTGCATGTGAGGTCGATCAGTTCATAAATGAGAATTGAAGCCGCACCTCGACGACCATATCTACATCCCGGAGACCCGTAAGACCACGAGCTCCGTCAATAATGGTGATACGGTCTCTCGCCTCCTTCGCGTCGAGCTCCTGTATCTTGCCCTTCGCTACGTCCTTCGCAAGCAGCTTGTCCATGAACTTCAGACCTTTACTGATCTGCTCGTCGGAACGGTCATGGAGAAGTACGGGCACTTTAGCGCGTAGAGCAGCGACATACGCGATGCCCAATCCTACAGAGACATAAATCACCATGGGTATCATGAAGGTTATGCAACGTACCCATCTGCCCTGCACCCAACACACCGAGAGATTTGATTCCATGGGAGACAATATGAGCCATTATTTTCCTACGTTATACTTACGTTGTCCAGTGGGTATATCTCTGTGCGTTAACTTGGATGGCCGACTCCTCGCTGAGGACAGTAGCGTTGGCGATACTTTCAAAAGACAAACAAGTTCCCCGCGTTCCGGCAGTGTTCCGGCACAGTCGCGTTTCAGACAATATTCACGTGATTCTTACCTTGCGGTGACGTCACTGACGATGGAGCTCTGCGTTTGACGTTGACCGTCATTGCATGAGGACGAACATGATCATGTCGAGCTCAATCCAATTTCGCTTCTATCACCGCCCGGCGCTGTACCCTCATCTTTCTTCTGTAAGATGACTAGTACATTACCACCCATTGTGCAAGCATTCTCGGGCGCCATTGGAAGCGCAACAGCGAATGCCATTTCATACCCACTGGACTTGGTGACAACTCGACTGCAGACGACGAAATCCAAGAATTTGCATGGTGTGTCTTACAGCCTCTATGAAAGTATAAAGTAATGCTCATACCTCCCCAGGAATCAGAGGTGCGATCACGATCCTCAGGTATACAGTAAAGAAGTACGGTGTCATTGCTTTATACGATGGGTTGAATTCCGACAGTGCATCCACTGTTCTGTCAAAGTAAGCATCCTTGACCTTACCAAATTATAAAGCTCAAACGTTCGTATCAAGTTTCTTATATTTCTATATGTACTCTTTTCTCCGGTCTCTTCTCATACGCCGCTCGTCAAATCGTTCATCTTCGAAAACACCTATTTTATCCGTCCCACGAGAGCTCAGCATCGGCTTTATAGCAGGCGTGGCAAGTCGCTTCATTTCTAGCCCTCTAAGTATCATAACTGTCAGACTGCAAACGGAACGGGAAGGGAGTGACGACGAGCTCCGGGAAGCGGAAGATGGCGAAGGAGAGAAAATCAACAACGGCACCACAGCAGACAAGGGTCTGTATGGAACAGCCAAGTCTATCTATGCAGAGGAGACCTTGGCTGGCTTTTGGAAAGGTCGGTTCTCGCTCAGTGACTGGCGTGCTTGGAAATCTGATCGTTGATCTAGGATTCGAATCGACAATACTCCTCTCGCTCAACCCATCTCTTACATTCTCGTTCTTTCAACTGTATCGTCAGTTCATACTCCGAGGTAAACGTAAACAAATGCCTTCGCCCCTACAAGCTTTCCTCGGTGCCGCCTTCGCGAATTCTTTAGGTTGGTCGCATATTAACTCCACTCTTCCTGCAATTGCTGACTGGCACACAATTCGTAAACTCAGCCGTAACCATCCTCTACCCACTGATCATCGCCAAAACCCGCCTTCAACTCGCGAATTCCGAATCGTCAGGCAATTCGCGCCTCTCGATCCGAAGTGTTCTTCATGATGCATATACCCAGCGAAGTGGGTTCCCTGGTGGATTATACCAAGGCCTAGACGCACAGGTTATAAAGGGGTTTTTGAGTCAGGGCATCACACTAATGGTGAAACAACGGTAATATCTATCCTTCTCTGATAGGCTCGAGATAGCTGATATCTGGACAGCATCGAGCAGGTCGTGGTTGCTGCTGCGCTATCGTTTCAACGACCACGGTGATAGTCGATGTGACTGATATTCACTGTCAGCTGGGTTTACTTTTTGCGGCCTTATGCAGCCCTTTCCGAGCGTATAAAATGTCTTCATTCACATTGCCGAATCCTCGACTGACCGTCGTCTAGGAAAACGCGAAATTGTTGTTAACGATCTAACATTAGTCTCAAGCAATCTTGAAGTCGATGTCGGTAGCATTTTTTTTAAAAAAAAACCTGAATATCCTTCACAAATGCCACATTATCATTTCAAAATTCCATGCGATACTGTAGATCTCGAGCGAGGTCAATTCTAAATAGGCCAATGCGGAAGGCAAGCAGAGACTTACTTATTCGACCACTATCACGCGGATGGACCGGACCTACGGCCCGCCGCTCATAATCATCGTGATCTCAAATGCGATACGAAAGTGCAGAGGCCCAGAGTGCTCAACGGAAAAACACTTACATACCACCTATATGTCGCCAACGCAATTCATCATCGACCTCAGCCATCCACTCACAACAACCGGTGGAAGCTACTGCTCCGACCACCCACACTACGACTGTGAACGCATTTGCTCTATCGCGGCAAGTGGCTCAAACGTATCCCTGCTCAATTTCGGTTCCCATACAGGAACCCATATCGATGCCCCCGTTCATTTTATCGAGGGTGGTGCAAGCATATCTGATCTCGACCTCTCTATTCTTGTCGGACCAGCTGTGGTGATCGATGTGCGTGGGAAGAAACCGAGGGCTATCATATATTGGGAGGATATAGCCCCATATGAGAAGAAGTTGACGTCGGGGACAATGGTACTATTCTGCACAGGATGGTCTAAGTACTGGGGCCAGGAGGAATACCCAGCGAGTCCACGAATCGACGTGGATGCAGCAAGAAAGATTGCAGATCGTGGAATCAAGGTCATTGGAATCGACGCGCTGAGTCCGGATGGGATAGCGCAGCACGGCGAGGAAGCCAAACATGAGGTGCATCTAGAGTTTTTGGGAAGGGGAGGGGTCATTGCAGAGAATCTGAACAACCTGAACACGCTGCTTGAGGTGAAGGATCCCATCGTCAGTCTGCTTCCACTACAATTGGAAGGCTGTGATGGATCACCAATAAGAGCGGTAGCTTGGGCTCAGGCAGGTGAGTAATAATAAATAACAGTTGGTCCTGAAGCGTCGACTGAGAGGAACCTTGTTATTAGACTTCAACAAATAGGCTCCTTGACTCACGAGTGATGGAAGATGACGGTACACCACGACTAGACTTATCGAGTCGGTGCTGATCGCTTGAGACCTTTTTTTCTTCCCATACACGCTTCATCCAAACATCTCGAACTTCTTGACACCATGACATCGAGTACAATGAGACGACCTGCATGAATCCGTGGTGAATTCAGGGGGACACGATGCAGTTGTAGAATCGTCCATGATCCGTTATTCAAGCTATAGCATGTAGAATCAGCACCATAGTTGAATTCTACTGTTCGGACACTGAGTTGAAGGGTACGTGGCTATCTGAATGATTGACTTGGAGGATTGAGGTGGAAAGAGAAAAGCAAGAGCCGGGTTGTCGGCTTCAGCAGACTCAGTTGTATACACGCGCCACGTCTCCCGGCTCAACAACTTTCGTGCTCTTACCACCGTTTTCTTTCGCTCTCGTCCACCTAGAACTAGACGGGAGTGATGAAGGTGCCAGCCTTCTCTACCGCTAGTAGTCTACTCTTACTCTCTTTCGCATCATGTTCCTTTGCTGTGAAGTCTCAGGACTTCAAAACGTGCTCGCAAGCTGGATTCTGTCGACGCGGGCGCGCCTTGGCCGATCGGGCAACAGCTAATGGCGATGCATGGCGTTCACCTTACTCGATAGACCCCGCTTCAGTGTCTATTTCTACATCGGACGCAACCTTCACTGCAGACATCAAGTCTTCGCTTTACCCAAACATACAGTTCGGCCTTGACGTGCGGGTGTTGGATGATGGTGTCGTCAGGGTGCGGATGGACGAGGTCAATGGACTCCGACAACGATACAACGAAGCAGGACAATGGGCACTCGTTGCGGAACCACCAGTCAGCCGGGATATCAAGTGGACTGTGGGGAAGGAGGGTGTGCGAGCAGTCTACGGGAAGAAGCAGGATATGGAGGTCATTGTTCAGTATGAACCATTGCTCGTGGTCTTGCGCAGGAATGGGAAGGACCAGGTGGTTGTGAACGGACGAGGTCTGTTGCACATGGAGCACTTTAGAACAAAGGAGGCAGAGAAGCCAGTCGTGGCTTCAGAGGACGGATCGGACGAGCAGGAGGTCATGCAAGTCAAGCCGACGGCGTGGTTTGAGGGCGATGCCGAGGATGCTTACTGGGAGGAGACCTTTTCTTCGTGGACGGATTCGAAGCCAAAGGGTATGTGCCAATCTTGATACTCAAAATTCTTCTAATTGATTCAGTCTGTAGGCCCCGAGTCGCTCTCCGTCGACATCACCTTCCCCAATCATGGTCACGTGTATGGCATCCCGCAACATGCAACATCACTCTCTCTTCCAACGACTAGGGGCGAAAATGCATTCTTTACCGACCCATATCGCCTGTATAATGCCGATGTATTTGAGCATCTCGCATCGTCGACCATGTCTCTCTACGGCTCCATTCCGGTTATGCATGCGCAATCGGCGGAGTCGACGGTTGGCGTTTTTCATCTGGTCGCATCCGAGACGTGGATTGATATTGCCCATCCTACGGACAAGTCGACTGAGACACACTGGATATCTGAGTCGGGCATCCTTGACCTGTTCATTCTGCCTGGACCTACGCCGGCTGACATCTTTGCTCAATACACCCGTCTTACGGGTACCACACCCCTCCCTGCCGAATGGGCACTAGCATATCATCAGTCTAGGTGGAACTATATCAGTTCGGATGATGTTCGGGCTGTGCAGAAGAGGTTTGACGAAGAAGATATGCCGGTAGACGTGTTCTGGCTCGACATTGAATATGCAGAGGAACACAAGTACTTCATCTGGGATCAGAAGGGTTTCCCTGATCCGGTCGACATGACCAACGATGTTGCCGCTGTCGGACGCAAGGTATGGTCACCGTTCTTAGCTCACTTCTCTCGCTGATACTTAGTGACACAGATGGTTGTGATTATAGACCCTCACTTGAAGCGTACTGACAACTATCCCGTCTATAAAGGGGCTCAAGAGATCGATGTTCTTGTCAAAACCAAAGATTTGAACGAGTACGAAGGCTGGTGCTGGACCGGCAGTAGCTCCTGGGTTGATTTCTTCAACCCTGATAGCGGGCCCTGGTGGCACTCGCTGTTTAAGATCACGAAAGGGGAAAAATGGTCCTGGACTGAAAGTACGGAGGATGTCTATATCTGGAATGATATGAATGAGGTTCGGATTCAACCTTGGTTTCCATTGACAACTTATATATGTAGTCTGTTGACAGCCCGCTGTGTTCAACGGGCCTGAAATCTCCATGCCAAGGGACAACATCCACCATGGTGGCTGGGAGCATCGTGATCTCCACAACATCAATGGCATGCTTCTTGTGAGGACACGACGTTTCTCTTTCCTATACATAACGATTAACTAATTACATTCACAGCCCAAAGCTACTAGTGAAGGTTTGATAGCCCGATCGGACCCACCCAAGCGACCTTTCGTGCTCGCCCGCTCGTTCTATGCTGGATCTCAGCGATATGGTGCCATGTGGACAGGTGATAACCTCGGGACATGGGAGCATATGGAAGTAGGACTCAAAACGGTCCTCGCTAACAGCATAGCAGGGTTCTCTTTTGGCGGCAGTAAGCAAACTGGAGCCTCCCTTCGATGCGGTATCTAATATCGCATTCTTAGCTGATGTTGGTGGTTTCTTTGGCAATCCTTCCATGGAGATGCTTGTCAGGTGGTACCACTTTGGGGCCTTTTCACCTTTCTTCCGTGCCCATGCCCATATTGATACGAAGAGACGAGAACCATTTTTGCACGATGAGCCCTACAAGGGGATGCTCCGGGATATCCTCCGCCTCAGGTACTCTATGTTGCCGATTTGGTACACTACGTTCCACGAATCAAGCAGAACAGGTCTGCCAGTCTTGAGGTATGCTCGCAGGTGCATGGCTTTACGTGTCGTTGGAAATATAACCCCTCCTTAGGCCTCAATATGTCATGTTCCCACAAGATGCTGCAGGCTTCGCCATCGATGACCAGTACTACTTGGGAGGTTCGGGTTTACTCGTCAAACCTGTCACCCGAGCCGGCGTTACCGAAGAGTCGGTTTACCTCTCTGATAACCAGGTATTCGCCCTCACGCGTCAGCTGTATACCCGTATCTGATCGATCTATGACAGGTATACTACGACTATTTCTCGCAACGTGCTTATCGAGGTGCGGCGGCGGGGAAGACCATCACGGTCCCGGCGGCGCTCCATCAGGTGCCCTTACTGATCCGTGGCGGCTCCATCTTGCCTACGCGCGAACGTCCAAGGAGGTCCTCTCCCTTGATGAGAAAGGATCCCTTTACACTCCGCGTCGCGCTGGACAACCAGTTCGGCGCACGGGGCGAGCTTTATCTCGACGACGGTATCACCTTTGCCAACGAACAGGGCAACTACGTGTGGAGGGAGTTTGTTGCGGAGAAGGGCAAGGGAAAGACGGTGCGCATCTCCAGTCGTGACAAGGCGGCAGCGCAGGGCGCGCTGGTGTCGTATAATCCCAAGAATGAGTACGCGAAGAGCATCGATGGCGTACGCGTGGAAAAGATCGTTGTCCTTGGACTCGTGGGAAAGCCGACCAGCGTCACGCTTGGGAACGGCAAGGTGCTAGAGTGGGAGTTTGTACCCGGAATAGCTGCGGCGGAGACAAAGGAGGGCGAGGCAAGCGTGTTGGCGATTAAAGATCCCAGGGTGAACGTGGTTGAAGATTGGGAGATCGTTGTCAAAATATGAGATACCGCACTGGAATTTTATAATATTCTATAATGATGGTGTGTCCGTGTGTGATAGTGTCGTGTTATTACGAAGGCAAGTATGGATGCTTAATTGGCAAAAACAGGGAGGGCACTAGCAAAAGCTGGCGCGTCTTTAAGATATGCCCATTGGCTGGATTGAACAACCGACCTCACCATTACGAGTGGCGCGCTCTACCACTGAGCTAAACGGGCTTATAACAAGTCTTTACTTGGCTTTATATTATCGTTTAATTAGTGGTCTCGTCATGGGGTACTGCTCCTAAGCTCTAATACAGCACTAATACAGCCCCAATTCGCCTCGCATGCCCCTTAACTCTTTCAGAACACCGCCGGCCAGTATCCTCCATCCTAGCTACAAGTAGGACACGCGCAATTCGTGGCATATAAGAATTATTTGTACGCTCAGCTCACCCAAAGTTCGTCGTCGACACTTGTTTTCCTTATCTCGCACAATTAGTCCTGTTCAGACTACTTTTTGCAATGAAGATCTACGCTGACGCTCCGCCATTAGCTATGTCGATTATTGTCTTCCATCATAAGGGACCCGCTTCCCTCAGCTCGTTCAACACGTGTCGATGTCCATAGACATAGTTTGGGCCCGATCAACATACTGCAGTCACGTAGGCGCTGCACTATTTCTGCGCCCTATCTAGATCATGTATGGTTGGCACTACTTCCTTACCCCCTCTCAACGCTCTCCAATGCGTGACTTGGGTATTCTGGGGTGTGATTTACAGAGAGAGACAAGAAAGTTCAATATATACTCTCCATGATACCTCAGGAAGAGTGTTTCAACGAGGTCCACGACATTACTCCTTCGGATGCATAGTGCAGACGCTTGGCAGGATTTACGACATGATGCTGTATAGGTAAGTGCATAGGCACTCGGTCTTTACGCGGAACGTCCAAAACAGCACTGCTCTTCGTTCCTTATTATTACGTCGATAGAGACGAGAAGCTTCCCCAAGAACCCTCTCAACCCGACCTGGTCAAACTCCCATGAATCGGTCATGGCAACTGACTTGTGGGAACGGTGAAGTTCGTGGGTAAAAATAGGTTCATCGGGTTGCACATACCGGAGCTGCATTGGCATCTAATGCTTTCCCTCTTGTGATATCAGGGTGATCTCAGGGTAGATCTCAATGGAAGAGTGAGTGACATTTCTCTTTGACGCCCGGGTCAAGCATGAATTTTACGATCTTGAGGCAGGGATGATTGTGCGGAACTTGCTCGGAGAGAGGACAGTCGACAGTTCCAAGAAAGCGGATGCATCTCATCACGCTGTGTGAGAAGCCAATGCCTATCGACTACCGCTTAACCTAGACCCGATAGCCAAGTGGGTGCCTGGGTCGAACTCGAGTTGCCATTCCACCTTGGAAGAGCGCCCCGGCACGGATGAACAGACTTAAATCAGCTTTCCGGTGAATGCAACATGATGCTGACGGACTCTTCTGCAGGTATCGATACAACTAATCCTCGTTTTCCCACAGCGCTCACCAATTGTGTAGCATCAAGTGTAAATCGAGAATGCAGGTCATCGTGCGCACAATTCCCGGATGTTCTTTACTTGGCGGCTTCAGTTTCGCGTGAGTATCTTCCCTCAGATCCTTGTTCTTTTTTGACATTCCAGTGTTCCGTTTCATATGCTACCGTCTGCCGCGCCCGCCTCCTGCAAGCATCAAGGTAAAAACTTGTTTGCAATCATCCTCGGAACACATTTGATATCAGTGTTTTAGGAAAATCGCTGACATCTTATTGGAGATGGACCGTATCCGCACTGTTCATATGGTTGAACGGTGAGATATTTGACAAATGTCATTCGCCATTGCAATGAAGTACTGTGAGTTTTTTTTTCGTCTCCATGCAGTCTGCGTCAATATTATTGGTGCCTTGGTCACAAAATTTATTGCCTATAAAACCAGTTCCAGAGCATGCTGGGAGGCCCGGGCACTGCAGTTTTTCACTACCCAGCTTCAGTATCAGCTTTACCCATCCTCTATGGCACTGAAGATCCTTTCCGTGTTCCTCACCCTCTTCGGTGCTGCCAACGGTGCGTTATTGCGCATCGCTTGACTTCTACAGGACTGACAGGACTGAATCGCTCGATCTCAGCGGCCATCACCCGGCACGTTGCGTGTCCTGACGGCATCAATACTGCGACAAATGCTGCCTGCTGTGCCCTGTTTGCCATCCGCGATGACATTCAAGAGAACTTGTTTGATGGAGGCGAGTGCGGAGAGGAGGTGCACGAATCTCTCCGTCTCACGTTCCATGATGCAATCGGGTTCTCGCGAGCTAAACGAGCTGCCAAGCAATTCGGGTAACGATTTTTCGTTTCAGTTTTTCGTACCGTGCATGATAATGTCCCACCATCATAGCGGCGGAGGCGCCGATGGCTCCCTCATCGTGTTCTCCGACATAGAAACAAATTACCACGCAAACGGTGGCATTGACGATATCGTAGAAGTACAAAAACCCTTCATCGCCGCACATAACATCACCCCAGGCGATTTGTATGTATTTTCCTCCAGTTGGACGACGAAAAGCTGAGCTGAGCTCTCTCCTACTGTTATAGCATTCAATTCGCAGGTGCGATCGGTGTCAGCAACTGTCCTGGTGCTCCACGCCTGGAATTCCTTTTGGGTCGCCCCGCGCCCATGGCTCCTGCTCCTGACCTCACTGTTCCTGAGCCCTTCGGTATGAAGTAACCGTTTTCTCAGAAGTCATCGTAAAATTCACAGGAATATAATCTAGACACCGTTGACAGCATCTTGGCCCGCTTTGCTGATGTCGGCATATCGTCAGATGAGGTAGTTGCTTTACTTGCATCGTAAGTTCTTCTAGTAGGCGAGTCAACACATGTGCATTGATATTCATGTTTCTCAGTCATTCCATTGCCGCTGCCGACCACGTAGATCCTACTATCCCCGGGACACCGTTCGACTCTACACCATCTGTGTTTGATTCCCAATTTTTCGTAGAGACCCAACTCCGCGGTACGCTTTTCCCAGGGTATGTATTTGGTACATCCATCCCAGAAATTCTCCTCAAACCAACTTTCGTATCAGAAATGGTAGCAATCAGGGAGAAGTCGAATCTCCTTTACGGGGTGAGATCCGCTTGCAATCCGACTTCGAATTAGCCCGAGGTTGGTGCTATCGCTACGGAATTGTTCGCTACTCATCACAATCACCCAGATTCTCGCACGGCGTGCTCTTGGCAAGGCTTTGTGGGTGAGCACACATCGTTTTTACATCTGGAAATAAGGCGTTGACCTTTGTTCAGATAACCAGAAGAAGATGGCGTCCGAATTCAAAAACGCTATGGCCAAACTAGCCGTCCTAGGACAGGATATCTCTCAAATGGTGGACTGCAGCGAGTTGATCCCTGAGCCGAAGCCGTTAACAGTTTCGGCTCGCTTCCCTGCTGGGTTCACCATCAGTGATGTCGAACAGGCGGTAAAAAGTCATCCTATTTCTACAATTATCAAGGTACTGATACCTATGAGCAGTGCGCTTCCACCTCGTTCCCTACGCTGGCAACCGATCCCGGCCCTATAACTTCAGTTGCCCCTGTGTAAGTTATGAGGCCTTGTCGCGTGAACCGATTGTTAAACAGATGTTGTACAGGCCTCCTTCCTAATCATTCGGCCTTTTTTAGTGTTCACCGGGTTGAGCTCGACTTAAAGAGCGAATGGAAAGCTTTTTTTTCGCCCAACAACATGTGTTTCCAGCGCTGTCAGACTTACCCAGCTAAACAACTTCGTTAATAATCATGTTTTCTTTTGCCCGTTTCTGGAACTTATCTGTGTGCTTCTATCTCTCAACAGCAAAAATCCACGCTGGGTAGCATGGGAACTGCCCGTGTGGGTCAATACGCTTTCCCTCCAACAGTGGATCGATTGATATTCGAGAATTGACTCCAGAACAGGCCAATGGCACCAGGCATCTTAGTACAAAATCATCGATGTTCTGCCCCCGTGCTGTATCTTTCGATGGGATCAGCGAGCACAACTGCCGAGATCGGATCTGTCAAGATCTGTCACCCTGGTCGAAAAGTCTTTCCGCGACACTTGGTACTTATGTGCCTACGATCATGACTTGTGCTGAACCGAACGGTTTCCATAGCGGCTTCACTGGGATGATGGAGGACACTCAGCGCCTTCAGGGTCGAGTATCCACCTGTAGATCATTGGCAACGATGGGCGGGCCATCTCACATCACAATCAAGGATCAAAGAACGAGTATATAATTCGTGGCGCAATCTCCATTGAGCGCTTCAAGCTGGCCTGCTCCCTCCCTACTGTTCTTGTTGCATTCGAGGCACTGGTTGCCTGTCAAATATTCAATATTCTTCTTATCCCTCCCGTTCAAAACATGCGCTCCTGGACTACTTTGACTGTTTTTTGTGCCCTGTTCATGCTCTTGAACATAGCCCTGTGCCTTGCCGCACCCCTCGCAGCGTGAGTACTGCATACACTTCCTTGCAGGTTACCTGAGCTGATGCTAGCAATTATGCTCTGAAAGTTCGCCTTCAAAAACGATAGCGCAAGAGAATATCGACGAGCAGCCGACCGGCGACACATTCTTGGAGGCCGAAAATGCACTTCTTCCTGATTTGTGTGCTCAAGCGAGCTCAATGGGCTTCTGTTTTGCGTTCTGCAATTGCATCTCGCCTCCCATTCCTGCCGCTACCTTGACTGCTCTCATTCCCAGGTATTTTCTTTCAACGAGGTGTCCGCATCGTGATCTCGCTGATCCTATCACGACTCAGCGTAACGCCGACAATTCAGGCTCGGAGCCTATTTCTAGAGGCTGTCAAGGCTGGTATCATCCCTGGAATGGTTGGAGATGGCAGCGACGCAGATTTTGTCGACACCGCCAAAACGGTCAGTACAGCAACCATCTGTTCGCAGTTGTTACATATCGTAACATACTACCTTTCCCAGACTTGACTGAAATAGTTTCGTGAGCCGGAAGTACGAAGGATTGGCTGACGGTGCTGCCTTGGTGATTGCCCGCTTTCTTGAACGTTTGCGAACAGACATTTTCCGCATGGACGTCCGATGGTGTATACCTTACTGGGTTTGGTCTGCTCTGTCTTACGGTGAAATACACGAACGGCTAAGTAGAACAAGCAACAAGTTCTGACCTACATGAACAAGGACCAACATCTAGAGCATTCACCGCGCATCATCCTTCTCCATTAGCACGATCGCCGCTTTTTGAAGCATTGCTGACATTTTCCAAGTCTGCCCCACCCTGACTAGTAGATGGCTGGGTGATGCCGTCAATGTACATCTTTGCATGCGCCTTGGCTATTCTGTTCACCACGCGTATGTCGACCGCGCAGGACTTCGTTCGCGATCTCTGTCGTGAATAAAAGCTCGATGAGCATAAAAAATAGTCAACTGACACCAAAGGCAGGCCTACCAAGGCGAACTCCGTGCCTCTGTAAATGAATCCCCACAGCTCCTTGAATTCGGGATGGGTCTTCTGAATGCCATAGGCGGTAAGGCAATCGACGGCAGCCTTTTTGACCAACTGCATGACAACTCAGGGTCAGACGTTATGTGGCAGAGGACAAGCGTGACATACAGATTTGTTGGCTTTTTCTAGTTCCTTCACGATATCAGTTTCCTTGGCCTTCCCCTTACTTGGTCCAGTCATATCGCTCGCTGGCCAAGCTAATGAGCGCGGCAATGAGGGAACCTTGAAGACGTCATCTTCGTGGCTCTTGACATCCATACCGCTGGTGCCCTTGATAGGAGCTTTTGGAATCCGAGTCATTGCCTCTCGCGCACGACTCAATGTCGCGCGTTCATCCACTTCTTGTTTGCCATTGTCTCGTACGTCGTCGACGAAAGTTTTTTGCTTCTTAACTGAGGCCAAGTCGACGAGGGTATCATTATGAGAATCCATGCGCCGTTTCGTTCCAAAAGAGATTGGTGGAGGGAAGCGCGGGGATGGGTCATCTGGTCGAGCGACGCGTGTGGGGACTGGGGCAGGCACTATTCGCGCTACGCGCAAATGTAGGCAAGGAAGGGATGAGCTAGATGTCAAAGAAGATGTCGATGGGGTCGGTGGTGAAGGCCTTGGTCGAGATGGGAGTTGACCATAAATCATAATCTCCGAGCTATCTTGGCTATCTGAGCGCACATAGGAGAAAACATATTAGCGAGTCAGAGAGTCAGTAAGGTTTGTAGAGAACCCACTAGGGTCTCCGAGCGTAATTCGGATGCCATGTTCTGTTGTGTTATCTGCGGATATTATAGGAAAGGAACAGAGTTGGTGTTCTAGATATAGCTTGGTCAATGCGGCTGCTGGGTGAATGTCACTGTCGAGAGAGGAGAGTTATATCGACACACTCAGACGGTAAATTAGTAGACTGACAGGCTGACGCCGCCTGATCGATCCAGGTGAACCGAGCTCAGTTTTGCCGAGCCCGAGAGGCAGAGGGTCCGCCCACGCATACTTTCGAGTGCAAGAGCAAGGGGATTGTCGAGAAGATTGCTGCCAGAATCGTCATCGTGCAGAGGAATGGTGAACGTCAATCCGTCTAGGAGCAGACGAGACCCTTCCACGGATAGGGAGCCCCTATAAAGAAGACGGTGACTCGGAGGTGTATAAACATAGGTGGTCTGCCTCAGAGCACCGTCATTCCGAGAAGGTTGATGCCTAGTGGCCGAGTCTGCTTGCGAGTAGGACGGCGTTGACCGAGATGAGATCATGATGTGCGCGACTGAAGATTGGCGATCCAAGATGTACCCAGATGAACTCTTCCGGAAGTAAGCACACGCTGTGCATGCCAGGAGCACTGAACGCCGTGGACGGGCGTGTCGAGCAGGCCATGAACACGCACATCAACTTGTGGAGAGCACGCGTTGTTGACAGCTATTTGCACCGCAGACCCCGTTTAAACGCGTCTGTGGCTGTGACCTGCGTGAAACCACGTTTAGTACTTCTACAGCGTTTGGCCGTTCAGAACCGCAATTGTCTCCAAATGTTCAGGCGCTCCAGGCTTCAAGATGCCTCGTGTCTGTTTGCCTTGTGGTCAATGCGTGGCTCTAATGGGTACAAAAGAACGGATACAATTAGGGCCTCTACTTGACTTGATTCTCCCTCAATTCTCCACCACCCTCGACTCACAGTGTGAGTCAACGTTTGAGCCTATTTTTTGTTATAAATACAATGTGGTATCCCAGATCATGACCCGTTATACATCGCGTACCTCGACCTTATCTCCCACTGTTGGTGATCAGGAGGGACAAAAAAGGCAGTTCGATATCGACATCAATACCGATGATGGCTATACGCTTTCAGCCTTTGGCGATATCTCTATCTTCGACGGATTCTTCATCTTGACATCAACCTCACTGGTCGATGTCGATGTAGGGTCCAGCCGCCGCCGTATCAGAACTCGCCGCCCACCGATGCCGCGTAAATTCTCTTCCAGATCAGTTTCAGATTATGAGGAAACAGCTCGAGAGGTGATTATTTACTTCACCGTCCACAACATTGTTGGTGAACGAAATTATTGATTCTTTTCTAGTATCCCCGATTTCCCTTTCCTGACCTACCAACTCCTACCTCTCCATATTCAGCGGAGGCAGAATTTGAGGCTCTCTTCCAGAGTCTCAAATCTCACCGAGCGTCCTACACAGCGCCAAGCCATAATCTTGCTACTAGATCATTGGCTGGCAAACCAACGTTACGAGTGGAGACGTCGGGTCTCAGCGACAGGAGGATACCACTCAGAGGGTTTTCTAGGGCATCGAACTCTGGGGCCTCGCCTTCTCTCGGTGCGCTACCTAGGCAATCTCCCGGCATCGCGTTGTCGGCATCGCCGATTCACCGAGAGACGAAATAGAACGTACCTAGAGGACTGTCTGAGCGTGTGCCGATACTAGCATGATGCTAGAAGTATTCGAAAACTGTAGGTTGAGGTTTTGCGGCAAGGGAGGGGGATCCAAGGGAGGGGGATCGAATGGACCGTACGGATCATTTCACTATAATGTCAGCGCACAAGCTTGAGACAAGTAAGGAATGTATATTACTAATTATGATACGTCTTCTGGATCGCATATTTATCACCGTCTAATTTACTATCATCTTTTTTATCCTCGCACGTGCGCTTCGACTGCAACGATCGTCAAATCGTCGATCAATATCAATGCTGTTTCTCTGGACCTTCTTGCACCTTCTGCCCAAATGAAGGGGCCCTTGCCACAAACACCCAAGTGACAGGCTGGCCTTCTGTCACCTACCGAATTCAATGCACAAGTCTTGAATTCGACACAAAATTCCTCACCAGCATGCCGTATTGCCCACGATGCCCGCGACCGAGGAAAATAACCTTCCTCGCTGTTGATATTTCCGCTTTCTCGTCATCATCATCCGAATAAGGTGCCATTTCCTGTCCCAGAATAAAATCATTTGAACTTTCGTATCACAGTGGCAAAAGCTTTATAACACGACCTACCTTGGGACTTGCCGTCGTTGACATGGCTCAGGATTTGAAGCGAACAGGAAACGTGTGGATGCCTCGCGATTTTTGCCCACTATTTATGGTCCTGCATCTTGGCTTGTGGCATAGCGTCAATGACATATCACAAGCGTTCGACATTTCCGCCACGTTCGCTTGACCATCGGCCGTTATTTCGCGTTTTGTCTTCCTTTGTCTTTGACTCCGGGTATGATGACCAGATCCAGATCGCGACGATGCCACCCTGTGCCACCGCGGCATAATGAAAGAGAAAATCGCCGTTGCCTCTCTTCACCCATTCTTATCCCTCCTCGCACTATTTGCTGAACCTCAAATCTATCGACTCACCATACTACAAAATGGATGCCTCAAAAACAATTGCATCGTCGCGCTCACAAGTACTTGTGCGTGTATTTCTTGTCTAACTGTCATTGTCGTGTTCTAATATCTGGAATAGCGACCAACAGTGGACATCGACAACCTTAGACGAAGAGAGGAAAGTTCTTACTCAGATGCCTGTCCTGACAGACTGGATATGCAGCGCTTCATTCATCGTCGCGCAAATACAATGCATTCCCTTTCTATCACAGGAGCACAGCAACTAGCCTTCCCGTGGCCTGCCGATACCTCCCACTCCTCTCGAGAAGGGTCTGTATCATTGGATACTTCTCGGCTGGGTGGCATAACTAGAGCTTCGGTTGAGTCTCCGAGGACACCTCTTCGTCGAGCGTTGGGATTTTTCCGCTCTATCGTCCCTTCAAAACGTACTCAAAGACCTGCTCAGGCCACGGATGCTATCCTTCCTAGTCACTCGCTCTCAACCGAAGGACATCGTGCCACCCCACCAGAGGAATTTGGCAGGCTTGACGGCTCTACTTTGCGGGGCGATGACCCAGAGTCTGTTTGGAAGGACTCAAGGAACACACCATTTCCAAGAACACCAAATAACTCTGATGCTCACGCCAGAGTACCCGTTCAATATTACGAGTCGCCTTTTCGCCGCCATCAATTAGGCGCTGGGCGTTCTTCTCCCAATGTCTCATCTCGTGGTAGGAACGACGAATATAGGCGCGTTCGGGCAGTTTCGTTTAAGACATCGGCTGAAGCTCATCCATTTTACCCCATCGAGGCTCCCAAACACATCCGGAAGCTCCCGTCAATGGCGCAGAGTTTGCGGTCTTGCCTACCGTCTCTTGAGTCACCTAGCGCATCCTCTGTCTCAGCTCCGGTCAACCCCCACCTGCTTTCAAAAAGGTCTTTCAAGCAGCTGCGGAAACCTCCCTCCAATGTGTCTATGGATGTCTTTGTGACGACTGAAAAGGAGGTCTTCAGGTAGAATTCCTGATGGACTTACAACTAGGCTATCGTGGTTCGACCACAGGGCTTATTGTTTAGAGCCTTCCAGCTTTGATATTGTGATTACACTCAGGTCTATGGTCGTCTGTAGGGGTTAATGTTATTGTTTTTAATATTGACGTTCGCCAGGACTAATTGTATTACGTTTACCTGATGATAACCTGGCGTGGGAAGATATCGGAAATACAGCAACAGAGCAGGAGAATACTGAGACATCTGGCTTCCGCTCGCTCAACGTGCTCTCCACACCCATCCACAACTCTACCATATGCTAGATTGAATTTTTTATCCCTTTTGTCTTGCTGCTCAACCCCGCTGCTCATTGTGGTCTGCTGTGCGGCCTCGACTGGTAAGCATAAAATCTCGTTCTGAGAGCATCTCACACTTCCATTTTGTTCCCAGCTTACGAGCGATGCCCAACGGCACTATGAGTTGCTCGGGTGAGAAGGATGCCTGGGAGCAGAATGATTGGGTGATTTTGTCGAAGGATTGGTGGCGGGCGACCCTTAGTGGTGTCTCGTGGACTTACCCCGAGGCACGACGACGTGTACGAATGCGAACATCTCCCATAGGTCCCACGAAACCCCCGCACTACCACGACAATCTTCTCGTCGCCCATTCTTCCGGCTCAGAGCTTCTCATTTGCTGTAATAGGTGTCAGGAGATCCGTCACCGAGTGTTTTCTTGCGATGCCTCTCGTGGTACGGGCGGAGATGTAGATTTGAATCCTGGCTTATTGGGTGTCATGGGCGCGGACTTGATTGTTCAAAGGTACGAGAATGCCGTTGGATTTCTTACAGCTCCTGGGGAAGAGGCGGCTGGCGCGGACCTAGCCGCACAGGCTCGCCGCGTTTCTCTGTTGTGTGGCAACATCCCTCCTACGGGCTCGGCGCAGGAGAGTTGGGAGAGAGAGACTCAAGCGATATCGGGTACGGTGCTACCTCGATTGGATCATAAGGTCTATCACGCCGCAGTCGCCTCAGTTACTGCAAAGGCGAACGTCTGGCCATCTATTCTCGATCTCGATCTCGAACTGCCCCTAGAAAAGCAAAAGTGCGAGATCATAGATCTCACAGACTCAGAGCAGTCAGTCGAGTCAGAAGAGATGCCGTCGACGCCAAAACCTCAGCGAGCGTATGCTAGGGCAGTGAGCGATGACGTAGACTGTGAGTGTGGCTCACGAGTGAGACAGGCTTTTCACATACTGACCAAATTATTTCATCGAGGTAATTTCTCGAGGTTAAACTCCTCGCCCCAGCCGATCTCCCCCTCGTCGAATTCTTCCAGCCCCCGGGTATCTGATGAGCTGCGGTCCGAGTCGTCACACACGTCGCACACTCGCTCGAGCTCCTTACCACCAAGTATGAGCCTGCACAAGGACGAGCAAGGCTTCTATTATTCTGTGTACGACGGCTCCAGGGACGACTCAGCGTATTTACCGCCGTTCTTATTGAATGCGTCCGCACGAGCGCGCAAGCCTCATTCTCGCACTCGGGAAATCATCGATCGTCTTCGCTGTTCCACCTCTTCTCGCGGCAGGCAATTGACCCGGTCAGAAGGAGAACAAGAAGAACTACCATCATCGAGACCGGCGCAACTTACGCGCGAGACTGTGCGCAAGTTGTTCCAAAGAGGGAGCGATGGGTGGATCAAGATGTCCTCGGGCGAGAATGGCGAGATGCCCGCACCTTCGAACGATTTTGCGCCGCGGCAAGATGTGCTCATCAATCCAGCTGAAGATGCCGATACGGAGGACGCTTTTATTCCTTACGGCTCTACGATACGACCACCAGTCTTGGCTATCAAAAAGAAGGGTTCGGGGAACGTAAAGCAAAAACACAATCGTCGGTCGTCGCATCTCGATGGTTGGATTGATCCTTCACGTCCAGTACCCACTCGTCCTCCGCCCACAGCGCCGGCCTCTGTCGGGACGTTTACATTCCCCCCTCCTCCAGCCTATCCCGTCATGTACCCTTCCGGTGGTTATGGCATGATGCAGCCATATCCTGCTGCGCCTCCATTAGCACCATATTCAGGTCCGTACCCCGCATACCCGGGTGTGGCGCCGTATCCTATGGTTTCCCTACAGCCGCCATTTGTGTCTATGCCCCCTCGTATATATGCTTCCACGGGGTATAGTAACGGAGCCGGCCTGGGACCACAGGGGACTAGACATACTTCATGGTGATCTCAAGAGCCATCTTAAATCATTGCTGTACTTCTGTCGCGCACCGCCTCGGACGTTGTTGTAGTATTTTTCTTTTCACCCCGACTCTCTAGCAGATCTCATCTCAACCATCCTTCTCCATCCCCATAATCATCGGCGCATGGACATATGCTTTTTGTTCTTCATTGCTAGGTTTTTCAATATTCATGATTGTCATGGTCGTGTACGTCTTGCTGCATTGCATTCTCTGTCATCCCTGCCCTCCTCTGCCTATTACTGGTTTCTTGGTTTCTTGGTTCGCTTGCCCGTCTCTTATGAATTCCAGTCTGGCCCATTGCTTGCTTTACTCCTTTTGGACAAATACAGTGGTTATGCTATTTTCACTGTTGCGAGGATCTCTCATTTCATTGCTGAAGCGCGTGCTGTAGATTGGATTGGTAGCGCTCTGTCGACTTGCGATCACTGCAGCTGAGGGATATGTGAGTGATCCATGCGCGTTGGAACGCGTTTCGCATATCCTTTATTGAGGCTTTCTTTTTGCTCTTGCACACGAGATCTGATCATTATGGTCATACAGCCGTGATACAAATGTCTGTGCACCGGTCAGTCAGAATAGTTACGATGACTCATGCCCATAGCACACAAAGAAACCCAGTCCAAATTAGGAGGACAACCGTATGACAGCCACCACTAGCTAGATGAGGCTCTATTGTACTTTTGTTGGGACAAAGAGACTGCGGTCACGAGTCTCGTCTCCGCTTTATCCGACCTTTACTTTCCCTGGAGAATTAAGGTGAGCTCGTCGCTCTAGGCAGATGACAAGATGCTCCCTACAAAAGTGTGGATCTTTTTCGTTTGCGGCTATCCTTCTTTGAAGCACCCCTCTGAAGCTTTCGTTTCGCAGTAGCTTGAGGGTTTGTGGTGGCCTTGACACTCATTAGCCTTCAATAGATTAAACGATAGTTCGCCTTGCATACCTTCATGACCCTCGCAGTTCTACGCTCTCTTTGTACATTGAGCACGCCCTGGCGAATCTTGTTATATGTGTTGGCAAACTTGGTTGTTCCAACCTTCTGTTGTATGAGCTCCTGGAGTTCCACGACGGTAGTCTTCAACTCGGCTAGAAGCGACAAGAAGGAAGCGAAAAGTGAGCATACATGAGCAATAATCAGGGATGTTTCACGCACCTATATGATTATCTCGGATTGTATCGTCCTCTGTTATTCGATACGACGGCGAAATGATGTGGACGAGGAATGATTCGACCCCGGACGCCTCCATATATGTGACCATGGCAGCGAACCAGCGGAAGATGGCGGAGGGCTGACGATACCATGTTTCCTGACATTTCAAGTCAAGTATTTTAAGTGACTGTGTTCAAACTGATAAGGAGATGGCCGGCACTCACAGGGTTTGACGATCTATTACGGCGAGCAATGTAGGCTGATCTGGCCTGATACGAAAGTTTTGAGAAGAGCCAAGCGAGAGGGTTATCCTTTCTTTCCTCCGTTTCCTCCTGCTGTTCTTCGTCCCCGTCGTCTGCCTCATTGTCGCTGTCATTGTCATGGGTGCCATCTTCGTTTCCTGCGTCTTCGTCTCCTGCATCTTCATTTGGCGTTTCGGGAGAAATCACGGAGATAGCGACAAAGCACTTTCCGATGAAGAATAGATTCTTAACCACCTGTAAGCTGAGAGGATCGTCCAGATGAGGACTTTTAAGCTGTGAACACAATTTATTCGCTATATCTTTCATGTCCAAATCGTCCAGTTGTGATCCCGCCGAGAATTCGCCCTCCGTGTGTGGAGGGATCGCAACGCCAGAAAACAAGATACCCAGAAGCCGGCAGGATGCTGTGCGGACCCATGAATGGGGGAACAGAAGATGTGAGACGACGGATGGCCATGAAATCTTCTGAGAGTACATCGGGTTGTTGGGGAAAGCGCATAGAACCTTTGCCAGAACGGTCAGTACGTGATAAGACGTCTGCCATTCTACATCGATATCCATTCGCTCTTCTTGATCGTCATCATCCTGTTCCAATTGTTGTGCGCTGTGCGTAAGGGTCACATTCAAGTCGTCGAGCATGGAAGGAAGGTAAGGTGTCGCATTCGACTGGAGAACCTCAACTACGTAGCCGTACACTTGAGACGTCAGCCTTATTAGGTGAGGCTGGTTTTTCTGGCTGTTCCAGGAGTGTAGATGGGACATGATGACGCGGCGGTGATTCTCATCCAACCGAGAAAATAGTCGCTTGACAAGCTCTGCAGCCACTTCTCTACACTTCGAGGAGTCATCGTTAGCGATGACCATGACCAGCGCCACGAAGAGCATGTCGCTGTATTCGCTTATCAAGATGCTGTCAAATTTGACGACGATAGCGCTGAGTAGTTCCATGACCGATTGTCGTCCGCTTTCGTGAACATACGACAAGTTCTTGGCAAGGAATGACATCTGATTCCGAATGCGACCCTTCCCTTGTGGGTAGTCTAGCAAGAACTGCAGCAGTACGCCGCGACAAAGCTCTTGAACTTGTGAGGATTGATTGGTGACCATGACCTCGGATACCTTGTCCATGATGTCGTAGATCTCTGGAACGACAAATTTGCGAGCTACGATAGCACGAAGCATTGTGAAAACAGCTGCTTGGCGCGAAGGCTCCTCTATATCTGGCGATAGAAGTTCCAAGAGATAAGCCAAATCTTTCTCTTTGACTTCGGCAGTTAGCCGATCACGCAAGATGATTGCCAGCGACTTGAAAGCCGTTTGGACAACTTCAGATTCTGTGTTTCCGGTCTGCTTCACGATGTCGATGATTTGGCGAACAAACACAGGGAGCGACTTGCCATATCTGGTCGAAGGACATTTGGCGATCGATGCAGTGGCCTTCAGTCCTTGAACGAGAACATAGCTGTTGTTGGAGTACAGCGTGTTTCCCACGACTGGGATGATTGAGTCCAGACGTGCGATGATTTCTGCATCCTGAAAGTCAAAGCGACCTCTCCGAAAAGCAGTGTTAAAAAGGTCTAAGCCGAAAACCACAAATCTAAGTGGAAGTATAAATTGGAGACCAAAAATTACAACAATTGCGTGGGCTCACGTACCGGAAAGAATTTGTGGCGTAATGGTCATCCACACTCGCTACATCCCGCTTCACCTGAACTATCGCATCACCCCTAACCCTTTTCTTCCTTGATGATTGCACTACATGCTGAAGAAAACGCGAATTCTGGCTGATGAGTGTATGACACAAGACCAATAACTCTGCCGGGACAAGATGATCGTTGGAGTTTAGTCCGGCGGCAATTCTTCGTAAGACATCGTCGACCTGCTGCATTGTCCTCGCGCCTTCGGTCTCTTGCATGATACGACGAAGAGGAAGAAGAAGGCTACTGATTTTAGGAGGCGTGATGTACTTTGCGATTAGTCCGAACGAATCAAGCGCCTTCGACGATGACGAGCGGACCTCTCGCATTTTTGTTTTGAAACCTTCTGATTGAACGTCTTTCCCAGGCTCTCCAAAAATGACTTCAGCCGATACATGAGCAACGTCAGCAATGCACCCATCCAGATTACTGAACGAGCTAAGATGCTCGGCGCTTGTGATATGGACCAGTAGAGTGTGCGTCACGTGTGACAAGACATGTAGCTGAGGACCGCGAAGGAGAGCTCCGCGCAGCTCACGTAGTATCACCGGTAGGTACGATGAACCTAGGACGATGGCGATCTTGCATAAGGTTTCGCGCGCAAGGTCTCGTGTCTCCTGTGACTTGCTACGTAGAACTTGAGATAAGATTGTCAAGAGTCTCGAAATCTGAGGTTCCCGAGTAGCCTCTGGGAGGTGCTTTGCAACCATGACGATGCCGATAGCGATAGGTATACGTAAGCTGTCTTCCGTCTCGTCTCGTTTTTCGAGGTGGCGAAGCAGGGCAGGTAAGAGGCGGGCATTGACAGCATCAGCAATTCGGGCTACACCAGCTTGCTTGGGTATAGGTTCGATATCCAAAATCGGGGGTAAGTCCTCGGCACTGTTATCAGCTTCAAATATCTCAGTATCTAAATCTTTTTCGACGTCTACGAGGTCAGACATGGGGAAATGAAAGTTGTCCAAGATGGAGACGAGAGTGCGAACGTATACACGTTCGGAAGCATCCTTGACCTTAGAAAGCCTAAGGTACTGTTGAACCAGAGCGAAGTATGGACCCCATGTAAGCCGCTTAGCCATATGGCCTGTCGTGATGATTGCTTCGTTGACCAAGTGATGATCTACGTCCGAAGTTGAGGCAATGAAATTCCCTACCAATGGAACAAAGACTTCTGCAAGAGTCGAGCTGCGTAGATGATCGCCATCACAATGTTCGGCCAATCGTCGTAGAGCCCTCGTTCGACGATGCAACTGAACATGATGGATGTTGTTGAAAAAGTTGGCTTCCTCGTCTCCTCCCGCAAGCAAAATCCTCATTTCCTGTAGCGTATTCAGCCCATGACAGTGAGTTACTGCATAAGCGATGACGTTGAGAATCTCGACCCGAACTAGCTCGTTTTTTGATCGCAGTCCGTTTTTGAGAGCAGGATAAAGTTTGCGCAAAAAGATGGTCTGGTACTCCGTGTCTGGATTTGCGTCCACTGCATCAACAAAGTGTTTCATTCCCTGAGACGAGTTAGTCCTGATCGCCAGTTCCGTAGGATTTTGTATAGAGTGGAGGAGGTTATAGAGAACTGGGAGCCATGTCAAGGGTGTGAGGGATTTGTGAACAATTTCATTGAGAGAGGTGAACGCCTCAAATCGGCGATCAAAATCAGGCTCGTCTGTGCGTTTTGTCGAGAAAGCATTGAGGGACTCGACAAGTTCGGCTAAGGAGTGAAGGAATGTATTGACGGAGGCGAGTTGTTTGAAAGCTGCAACGAGAGCCAACCTTGCCTGTCGAGAACGGACAGACTGGAACAACGACGATAGAAGCTGATATAAGTTGGCAAAGGCCGAGCTAGAATGATCATGAACAGTAGGCACGAGAGGGATCAAGCTGGATATGATCTTCAGTAAATCTGCCTTGACTTTCTCGCTGACAAGCTTCGTGTTCTTGCGCAATAATGGCGAGAACATCGACAGGAGCATGGCCGCTTGGTCACTGTCGGTGAGGTGATGGGAGATTTCCGAAAGGATCGTGATCTGCCGCTGCATGAGGGGATTGCTGACCAGTGCGTCCGACTTCGTCCTTTCGACCAGCAGAGAGAGGTTGAATAAGAGTAAAGACACGTGCGGCTTAACGATGCGTTCTGATAATTCTTCATATGAACTTGAAAGGGAGAGTATTCTGTCAATGATATCGAGAACGCGAGAAATCACAGCGGGCTTCACACCAGGAGCGACGAGACAGGCGTAGATCTGAGGCAGGACCCGCTGGTCAAAGTTGACCAAAAACTCTGCGTATTCCTTCCTTGACGCCCAGACATAAAAGAGCTCGAGGAGTGCTGACGGGGCTTGTGTACCCTCCCGATCAAGCAAGGCAAGGCGGGGAGAAATGAATGAGCGGAATGCGATTTCCATACAAGGTGAAAAATCGAAGGCCACCGGACTACGGAAAAAATCTGTGAATCTCTTCAAGCTGAGTTGTCGTACCGTGCGCAATGCCTTTGAGGAAGAGATTGCATCCGATATGCCTTGATGTTCTTCGTGTTCTTGCTCCTCCTCGACGGCATGTTCCCCATCTTGTCGAGCTGCATCTATGCGTAATTGGGCGCGGGCGGCAAGACTAACAACAGTTTCGAGGAGTAGATCCCAGTACGACACTAATCTTGAACCTAAATTTTTGAGAACATCTCCGAGAAGGTTTAAGAAACCAATCTGCTGCTTCTCGGAAACATCGCCATGAATTTCGTAAACAACAAAGCCATGGGCTTGACCACGAGCACCTGGGGGAATAATTGGTTGTACCATGAGATCCACGAGAAGGTGTAACTCTTCATCTGTACAGCCAGCCAGAGCAGTCAGCACAGAAGCATGTCGATCTGTACCACGAGACCGCCCCTTTCTTTCCAACATCACGCCGAAGAGCAGTCGCACAATGACATCAATAAGCATAGGGCGATCTTCCGTTCCAAGATTGGCGATGTCGAGGTTCGTCAGTTCATCCCGCCATCGTGTCTCGTCCAGAAGCTGACGTAGAGTATCCTCATGAGGAGTCAGATGCGAGAACTTGTAGGTGAACAAGCAAGATAGAGCAAGCCCTTGAAGATCGCGATCAGGATGGGAGAGTAAGGTGATGTACAGCGCACGAAGCTTGTCGGTAGAATGTAGGACCTTTGGGTTCGTAAATTTCGAAAAAACGGTCAACCAGGCGGTAAGCTTCCTGCGAGGAAGCTTGTGTGGCCCGGCAGGACCGGCCTGCTCGAAAAAGAAGGGAATGAGTGCACGATTGTGCTTTTCAGCCAAAAAAGCACAGTGCTCAAAGACCGCTAGCAACTGGGATCTGTACATTTCTTCGTCAAAGCGATCGTCAACTCCTTGAGCCTGATCGACGTGTTAGGCACAAAGCAAGAAACGAATTAGAATTTCTTACTTGTATTAGACTGCGTCGGGTATGAGCGCCTCCCTCCCATTTTGCAACTGTGGTTCGAGTCTTGTGGCCGCTTGGATCTCTCCATGTCCGTTCTTCCTCGTCAACATTGTCCAAATTCTGAACCTCCTCAAATCTGGATATCCATTCCGGGACCTCAACTTCTTCAGTCAGATAAGTAGCCTGCATTTCGCTGAAAATCGTCATCCACACAAGATCACCGTATCGTGAAGCCAAAGCTGATAGAGCCTTAGCCGCTGACGACCAGAGTGGTCGCAGGTTCACCTTTAGTTGAGCCAGGATCCAGCGAATCGCAAGATCGGATTCCAGACCAACACCGTGCGCGACAGCTTGCTCGAGTTTCACTATCCGCAAACTACGTTCCCGTACGCCCTGAACGTCCAGCGAAACATCTTCCGCCTCCCGTATCTTCGAAACAATTGCTTGCTCTGCGAGTGACATACTGATAGCGGAGGAATCCAAGAGACGAAGAACATTTTGTCTCAAGTGGCGCGAATGTGAGAAAACGGAGCTTCGCAGACGAGGGTAGACCTCCTGAATCGGGATCGCCTTGAAGTGAGCGGGGCTGCGATCATGTTAGCATAAGGAGATGAGAGAGGACAATTCGTCGTACCTTGCTTCAATGAGGCTTACCAAGGCGCCCAGAACATGTTCTGACCAATACCATCTACTAATAACTGCTTGTGTCCAAGCATGTAAATCGATGCCAACCCATGTCTTCGTATCCTGCTCTGCAAGTGCCTTCATGCAGGATGCAAGAACCCACGTCTTGTTTGCAGGTGAAGCTCGGTAATCCTTCTGCACGTCATCGGGGATGTCGAGCGTGGTATTGATCAGCTTGATGAGAAGCTTTGAAATCGATGGCATGATACCAGACATTGTCAAGATATGTTGCAATTCCTCAACTCGTAGCGATCTTTCTGTCTTGAAACGGCTCGTCGCCCAGGTCTGAACCTGTCGAATCCAAACTTCATCCGCATCGTCGAGTCTCTTCGCTTGGTGCAATGTAGCAAGGAGCTCGAGGATGTCCAAAGACCGACCCTCAAGTAGTTGCAGAGTTTGTTTTGTTACATGAGGGAGCTCAACAAGCTTCCAACCCTTCCATCCCAAGTCTGATAGTGCGCCGCAAAGTTTTATTCCAAACAAGGCGTCTAACCAAGAAAGTTCGACGAGCTTGCGACCCGGGCCGATCCACAAAGACATGTCGCCTGCGGTGAGCACAGATGTGGCGAACGAGAGATGAGAACTGTGAACGGATATTGGAATGGACAGAGACGCCAAGACAATAGCGGATAGATGTTTTGCTGAAAGCAATGCAAGTCAGACTAGACGATATAAGTAAAGAAAATACGTACCTGACAATCGAGACCCTTGACGGATAGAACAGGCAATAGAGACAACGTCCATGATTCCACCCAGGCGCTCTGAGTCCGTGGACTCGACTGCCTCTGTGAAGCATCGAAGAAGGACGTCTGCAATGGCGCAGAACTCGTCGGCATTTTTACAATGATGAATGAGAGCAGTCAAAACGCGGCGAATACATGTATATGTCTTGGTGCGGTCTTCAGCTTGGAGGAAAGAGGCGATTAGAGGAGAGATGATTGAGGACGAAGCTGTATGTAGGGTCTGGGATACAGACTTGACGAAACGTTCAGTTTAGCATGGTACACAGACGAGGAGTTACTCACCTTGCACGCATACACAACGGCCCATGCACATAAGTCTTCTACGCCATCCGAATCCAACATCATCAACTTCACTGCCTTTCCCCTGAAGTCTGTCTTCAGCCGCCTCAGCAGCGAGCCCCACACCTCCGCGACAGCTCTTCCAGCTTCGGGATTACACCCCCGCAACGTTGGTTGAGTTATTTTCCATGTTTTTTCAAGCATCTCTTCGTTAGCGGAAGGAATGAGGATGTACTTGAACAATGCGGATAGTGTTGCAAGCAGAGCAGTCAGGGCTTCAGGGGAAAGCGACCGGGAAAGGAGATGAAGAAGTTTTTGGAGAATGTCAAAGTAAGAAGGTGCAAGGACAGAACGCAAGTCATGTGCAAGCTTTTGCATGAGACTAATGGCAAGTTAACATGTTAGTATTAAGAGGAATCACAAGACGTACTCAAGTAGTGCTCGTAATGCCTCATCGTCTGCCCTGTCAAGTGCAGAGAGCCATAGTGCAGAGATGTCTTTCGAATGGTGGAGGAGTAATGGTAATGATGCGGATAGTCCGTCAGCCTGACCCGCAAATTCGACGAATGCTGGGGAAAGGTTCAGCTGCTTCCAATGATTGAGAGCCTCGTAGAAGTGAGATTCGTCGTCCTATGAGAAATTTAATCGGACAGATTAGAGGGCTATAAAAACGTCAATGCGTCGCACGTACCGCAATATCATGGTCGAATCCTGACTGAACCAATGCCGATGGAAGATGGACTTCCTTCAGGCTCTTCTGGTAAGATTTATGCTGCCCAAATCATTGTATCAGTGTCTCAGCACTAGCCATCATGAGCGACATACCTTGTGCCGCTTGACTTGTATATATGGTCCCTCGTCCATATTTTTCCAAATTCTGAGAGCAAGCGAACTCGTGAAAGACCGGGAAGGAGTTGAAGGACGTAGCGAAGAAGTTTTACCAAAATATTGCACCGCTTACGGTGAGAACTTGACTTAGATTGGTGCTATGGTCCTAATTCGGACGAATTGTGCTTGAACTTTTGGCAAAATTTATGTAACGGCAGCAGATCTCTTTCACCTTCAATTTCTATTCTACAATCTGCCTCGAACCAATATTTTCGCGAAGCTCAAGGCTAAAACACGCAGGACTGCGAAGCCGGATATTGAGCAGTGGATTGGCTCTACGTCTCTTGACGAAATGGAATCTGCAGAGGGAAGTTACGTCTGGCACAGAGATTGCGTCCTTGAGCAATGGTCGCCGGGTTTAGAGTATGCACATAACACGTTGTTGACGAGCAAGACAAGTGTGCGCGTGCAGTTTCTCCAAGAAGAGTTGTTATCATTGTCTAGGAGAGATGGTGAGCTTACCTATACGCTTTATGTGTACTTCTAACACCCTTCCTCAGATCTCAACCTGTCTCAGACACTGGATATCTTCAAACTTCTTACCGAAACTTACCCACGATATGTAGATCATGCGTCGAGAGGGGCCGTAGAGGCCGTCGGATTGGAGCTCGTACGTGTAGATGAAGCGCGAGAAGAAAAGTTGGGTGTCTTGGAACAAATTGTAGGGTGGATATCGATTGAAGTGGGCAGAATATCCAAAGGAACAACGTATGTGCTCCCTTCAACGTATATGCTCCCTTTGGTGGTTTACCCCCGTGTTATGCTCATTGCAGCTCGTATGCTCCATCGGACATGTTTGTTTTGCTGGGCTGGTGCTGTGGGCTATACGCGGTCTGCGTCGAGATCGACAAACACTTCGTCTCTTCGCATTCTTGGAATCTTCTCACTGGATCTCTGGCCCTACTCGTGGATACTCTGATGAATCCAACCACATGTGCGAAACCCTCGATGAAGAAAAGTGTCTTGGTTCGAACACGGCGGGCTTTGCGATCGGTACGCGACAATAATCACGACCGAAGAGGATGTGCAGCTGTACTAACTTATTTAAAGGCACCACAATACCTGATGGACCTCTTAAACACACTTATATTGCATTCCAAGTCGTCCTCGTCGCCCCTTGCGTCGATCCCTCTGCTAGGCATTGCTGTGGACGTTGTTGGGCATCTGAAAACCGTCAAGGATCAAAGCCTTAAGTCTGTCCCAGAGAACATCAAGGTATGTGTCTTCGACTCGTCTTTTCGCATTCTCCACGTAGACGTATGGCCTAAGATATCCGCGGGCTCAGTTTGGGGCCCCCCAATCGTGCAAGGCGACAATATCTTACCTGATTTGCACGCGCTTCAGCGAATAGCTGATATATATCTACTTTAGATCGAAATCATCACTTTATACTCAAGCTCAATTCTCATGGCCCGGACAATCGTATCAAGTCATGTTTTGGTATACGAACAGCCCTCATCATCTATACACTGATATCCTAACTTCATAGTAGACTTCCCTCAAAGGCTTTCTTCAAACCCTTTCTGAAAGCGATTTCTCTCATCAAATACTCCCTACGATGGAAAAGGCACTCCTTCGTTCTCCGGAATACGCTTTGGAAGGTGTAGATCCATATCGATTTCACTCCTCAATGACGCGCTTACGCATTCACAGTCACACGCGAATTCTTCAATGTTTACCCACATACCCTCGACGTCGAGACATTCCGCCAAATTCTGACGCCAACGCTAAGCTGTTCCAAGTCGGCCAATTCCTTAGTTCGTTCAGGCTCAACGTTACTATTCAAGATCATCATCGGAAGAAGCTCCCCTGATAGTGTGGAGTTTGCGGCTACAGAACTTCTCAACCTGGCAAAGGCAAATACGTCTTCGGGCCCTGATCGACAAATCCTCTACATTATGCTCGGGAGCCTCTTGCCTTCCGAAACGGTGTCTAGGTCCATGCTCCAAATCGCCCCGGCGCTTATTGTGAAGGACACTCGCGATGTCACGATATCCGCTCTCGGCTCCGCCCTGGCATCTCACGTTCTGTTCCATCTCCGCGAAAATAGACCGTTACCTCCCGGCACGTTAGCATCTCTGGTAAGTGGAATGCAAAGCACGAAGCCTGCGATTCGGCGTGCATTTTTATCTTTGGTCGGTGACGCATTCTGGGAACTTGGAAGCGTCTCGACAGAAGAGTCTCAGCACCTTGCTAAGGCAGTATTTCAAGCCTTCGAAGCGAGCTTGAAGGCGGTGGCTGCAAATCCCTTGACTGGGGCATTGGACGGTTATGTGGCCTTAGGGATTTTACTTGGACCTTTCTCTCGCTCCGGCGCCTTCGGTAGTTCTATCAAACTCCATTTTTATATACCGGCAATTTTTCTAATATCATTCTTTGCTGTGTCATCTGTAGAGGATGCAATTGCGCGCAACGCTATCGTCCAATCCATATCCGCGACTTCTTCGAAGCCGTCATTCCTCTTATGGGATAAAGTCTACTTGAAAATAAACAACGAAGAAGAACAGACATGGCTTCTGAGAGCTCTGACGAGCACTTTGATGTTCTATCACAAGGAATTGTCAAGCAACCAGTCGTTCAGGTGCGTCTGCAGTCAACTCAGATACGCTTGTACGCTTCCCTCAATTCATTGATGCAGGACACAGCTCGGTTCGGCTTTCCTTCATCTTGCTGTCGATTGCCAAAGTCCAGAATTTCGCAGACAAACTATATCTACTGTGAATCGTGTGGCATCCTTTTCCCCACAGGTCGTCAATGCTGTTGTCCACGATGCTCTACTGGCTCACGTTGTCCGAGGCAAGGCTTTTTCACTAAAACAGCAGAATGGGACTTCAGACGATCACCAGCCCACGAGGAACACGCAGCCTCGACTAATGGCTTTCTTATCGGCAAGTGTGTCCTTCAGCGATGATGTAGATACATTTAAACGAGAAGAGCTCCTCTCTGACCTTGTGATTTTGGGCCATCACCCATCGATCTGTAAGTCATCTGATATCCACGAGACTGCGGCTGACGTTCATTTTCTTAGGCGGAAATTCGAGACAAGCATGGATAGAGCTCTGCCAAAAAGCACAAGTTGATCCAAGGTCACTCGTGAATCATCAATTGGACAAACTCTTCCAAATCATTTTAGATGCCAGCGAGGATGACGGGAAGGTGCAGAAATTAATATCATTCTCATTTTCACACGTATGTCAAACACACATTTCTTTCCAGAGCGAGTCGATCAGGATCCGCGAATCGAGCTATAGAGCGTTCACAACCCTAGCGTTCGTGTCGCCCGATACGGTGCTTCCTCGGATCATGGAGCAGTTGCGCACGGATCTTGATTCTGATGTCAAAACGCTCAGTAATACGGATGTGGACATCTGGAGTGCTCCCGAGGGCACTCCCTTCATCGATGGTAAGAACAGGTGGATACTTTTTCTCCTGTACTGATTTTTGTAAGCAGTACTATTATTGAAGAAAGCCCCTGAGACGCAGACGAAAGGCAAAGGAGCCGATTTGGCGAAATGGGATGCCGAAATTCGCAAATCTCTAGCTGGGAAAAAAAATGTGGCCGCTCCCATACTATCCAAGCAGGACGCAGCTTTGGTGAAAGCGCAAGTAGAGAAGGAATCACAAATTCGCCGGCGCGTCACTGGGATCAAAACAAGGTTGGAGCGTGGCCTGCAGGTCATCAGCCACCTCGTATCGGGGAATATCGACGGTCTGCATGAGCATGTTTCGGATCTCGCAGGTCTCCTTTTGTACGGAGGCTCCCTCGGCAAAGGATCGGCACTTGTGGGAAGGAGCTCTTTCGACACTTATCTGGTAAGGGTTGTCGATTCTCAATGGCTTTCAGAAGAATTCAACGGTCGCTTGTAGGATTTATCGAAATGCTGCTCTGTTCGTCTCGATACATTCGGAACATGGACCGGAATTGCAACTCTACGCAGCCTCGAAATGGCTGCAGTTCCAGAAGAATTGAAGACCGAACCGATCAATGGTAAGCTGGATCAGTGCAATTGCATCATTGAAGTGCACTGATCGTATTCCTAGAACTGCTCACAAGGGTTTTATACCGGCTTCGCTCACTATCGGAACAGACGCCGCTAGATTCAGCCACCTTCTCTTATATATTCCCTCTCCTTCGACAAGTTCTTTTCCAGGGCGGCATCGGGCTCAACGAAGAAGATGATCCACTCGAACAAGTGTCTCTGTCTCTGAGTATCATCAAATTCCACTGCGGAGAGTGTGAGTTAAAGCGTGTTCAACCCTTCACAAAAGTTCAATTTCGATGTTTATCCTGTTCGCAGTCAATGATGCGGCCTTCCCTCGATTTCAGATCATCGAGGGGTTGCTTCATGCCATGCGTCACCAGCTAAAGCTCAGCAAAGAAGCTTCTTCAACACTCATTGAACTCAGTCAAGCTATTTATCCGAACGCCACAAAAGACGAAACTGCGTTACTTCTACGTGGCACTCTATCGCAAGAAGCTCACGTTCGCACGTCTTGTCTGCAGGCCTTGCAGGTAATGAGTCGATCCCGTTTTTCTTATTCTCTTTTTGACCCCGCTATGGGACAGCCCTTTGACCTGACCGACCTCGACTGGTCACCAGCACTTTTGGTCGCGGTTCACGATAGTGATGAACAAAATGCAAGGCTCGCAGGGCATATATGGGAAGATAACGGGCTAGACATCCCCGAATCTTACCTTCCAGATCTATTAACCTTCCTTGGTAAGGTCCCTTTTTTTGCACCCGATTCTATCTAATAAACCATTAGATCACGAGAATGCCTATGTACGTACCAGCGCGGCAGCTGCGTTTATAGAAGCCGTCGACCACTGGCCATCATCCACGACATCAACTCTTATTGCCCTGCAGGATCTCTACCGTGATAAGGTATGTCGATGTTTATTATCCCCGTTGGGATTCCATAGACACCATCGATTCCATCCGTCTTTTAGGCGAAAATCCTTGCTCCTGAATTTGATCAATACGTGAGAACGATGTTTCTTATTCCCGTGTCCAAATTTTAACTTTTGTTCAGGGCATGCTTGTTGAACAAAGCCTTGATCGCACGGACCCATGGCAAGCACGTTTGGCAATTGCTGAAGCGTTTCAACATTTGGCGCCCCTGTTCACCAAAGCCGACGTCGCGCCTTTCTTCGAATTTTTGATAAAGCATGAAGCTCTCGGAGATCGCAATGCAGATGTGCGGAGAGGGACTCTCGATGCTGGCAATATCGTCATCGATCATCACGGCTCTGCGCATCTTACGGATCTCATCCACACTTTTGAGGATCACCTAGCGCAATCAAACACATCGTCCGAGACTGCCGACTACATACAAGAAGCCGTCGTCATCCTTTTCGGCCGTGTGGCCCGTCATCTTGACGTAACGGATTCTCGGTTGCCAACCATTGTTACACGGCTTGTTGAGGCTTTGAAGACCCCGTCAGAACAGGTCCAATTTGCTGTCTCTGATTGTCTGGCCCCTCTCGTGAAACTCACCAAATCTTCGGTTTCCACGCTTGTCGATCAGCTTTTCGACGAACTTTTTGGTGCGCCCAAGTATGCCGCTCGACGAGGTGCTGCATATGGCCTCGCTGGAGTTATCAAGGGCGTTGGTATCTCTGGGATGAAAGAGTTTGATATACTCACACGTCTACGAACTGCGACCGAGGACAAAAAGCAATATGAACCGCGACAAGGTGCCATGTTCGCCCTCGAGACATTTTCAAGCACGCTTGGAAGGCTTTTCGAGCCCTACGCAATTCATGCTCTGCCTCTCCTTTTAACTTCGTTTGGCGATTCGATACCCGATGTGCGCGAAGCTGCTACCGATGCCGCACGAGTTATCATGGGTAATATGTCTGGTTATGGTGTGAAGCTGATTCTGCCAGACCTTCTCTCAGGTTTAGATGAAAAACAGTGGCGAACTAAGAAAGGATCGATCGAACTCTTAGGAATGATGGCCTACTGTGCTCCGAGACAGCTTTCGCAATCACTTCCGATCATCATTCCCCGTCTCACTGGCGTTCTGACTGACTCTCATGCTCAAGTTCGCGCTGGTGCGAACAAGAGCTTGAAACAATTTGGGGAAGTCATTAGCAATCCGGAGATTCAAGTACTAGTTCCTATATTCTTGAAGGCCATGGTCGATCCATCCAAGACACCCAATGCTCTATCTTCTTTGTTGAAGACATCCTTTGTACACTATATTGATCATTCCTCCTTGGCCCTTGTACGTTCTTTCGTATTTGAAATGTGACCTAGACACTCACAGTACTTGGAGCTCAGGTCATTCCTATCTTAGAGCGTGGACTTCGAGAGAGAAGCGCCGACACGAAACGCAAAGCAGCTCAAATTGTTGGTAATCTAGCGTCTCTCACCGATTCAAAAGATTTCGTGCCATACTTGTCATCCCTCTTACCAATGGTCCATATCGTCTTGGTTGATCCTGTTCCAGAGGCTCGGGCCACTGCGGCTAAGGCGTTAGGTACTCTGGTCGAGCGTTTGGGTGAAGTGCATTTCCCTGATCTGGTGCCGAGTCTAATCAGAACCCTCAAGACCGATACGTCCGGAGTTGATAGGCAGGGTGCAGCTCAAGGGCTCAGTGAGGTCCTTTCGGGTCTGGGAATGGAGCGTCTTGAGGGACTTCTGCCTGATATCATTGCCAATGCCCAATCACCACGGAGCACTGTCAGAGAGGGATTCATGTCACTCCTTGTCTTTTTACCCGCCACATTCGGTACTCGCTTCCAACCTCACCTACCCAAGATCATCTCCCCCATCCTCAGTGGGCTTTCAGATACAGAGGAATATGTCAGAGAGGCTGCTATGCGAGCAGGACGAATGATTGTCACTAATTATTCCAGTCGAGCGATAGACCTCCTTCTTCCGGAACTCGAACATGGAATGTTTGATCCTGGTTGGCGCATCAGGGTACGTTTTTGTACACAAGCCCGGAATCATGACTGATGTATTATGCAGCAATCTTCCATCACGCTAGTCGGCGAGCTCCTTTTCAAAGTATCTGGAATCAGCGGCAAGTCCGAGATCGAGGAAGACGATGACGGTGTTGATGTGGCCGTGGCGGAGACCTCTAGGAAAGCACTCACAGAGGTTTTGGGGGCCGAACGCAGAGACCGCATCCTCTCAGCGCTCTACCTTGCTCGCCAGGATGCCATTCACGCTGTCCGCCAGTCGTCAATACATATTTGGAAGGTGCTTGTCGCCAACACCCCAAGGACCGGTAGGATTTCTCTCTTTTCCGTAGACATGTTGCTAACCCAAATTCGCGTCGTTTAGTAAGGGAAATATTACCAGAGCTTGTTTCTCAAGTTTTGCTTCTACTCTCTAGTTCGGAGTTTGATCAACAAGAGGTATTAGTCACGTCGACAACATCCTATTCCTTTTATTGAATGGACGATGTACAGACGGCAGCTCGTACAACTGCAGAGTTGTGCCGCAAATTTGGTGAAAAAGTCATGGGCGAAATAGTGACAACTCTCCGAAACAAATCAACCTCACCTGATTCTAGGACAAGACGGAGTGTCTGCTTGATGCTATGTGAAGTCTTGTGAGCAGTATCAAACCCCCATGGTCACAGCAGCTCCCTAACTTTGATCTTCAGAACTAGCTCTAATGATGCCCAGCGAGAAGGTCACGAAGACGATATCATCTCCATGGTTAGAACATCTCTCGTTGACGACGACAGTAGTGTCCGGTCCGCGGCTGCGAAAGCGTTCGACGTTCTGCAAGAACATCTGGGCGCGAAAGCGATCGATCAAACGATTCCCACCTTGTTAGAGGCCTTGCGTCAACCCGGTGAGAGCTCCGGTACTGCACTCAAAGCCCTCAAAGAAGTGATGAGCGTGAGTAACATCCACGGAGCCATAGTAGGAATTTATGCTAATCCTCGATTAACAGGTCCGAGCATCCACCGTGTTCCCTGTACTGATTCCCACTTTGACCACCACCCCCATGACTGTCTTTAATGCTCGAGCACTGGCGTCTCTTGTAACTGTAGCCGGTAACGCGTTGAGCCGGCGGCTCTCTGTTATTCTTGGTACATTGGTCAAGGCCAATGAATCATTAGACGACCAACCCGATGAGGATCTCCAAGAAGCTATAGAGGAGGCAATCAAATCCCTTCTGGCATCGGTGAATGACCCAGAAGGATTGAACACGCTAATGCTGCTCCTTCTAGGATGGTGAGTCTACTTTCTCTCTCTGAAATTTGATGTTCCGACCAGGTCACATATAGGGTCAAACATGATGATCCCAAGCGCCGTATCAGCGCATCTAAATATTTCGCTCTATTTTGCCAAGTCTCTGAGCTCGATTCATCATTGTACCGTGTGGATTGGATTCGCCAGCTTGTCTCGTCATTAGACGATCGCGATATTGCGGTTCATACGGCTGCGTGGAACGCATTTGACATATTTGTCAAGTCTATTCCGAAGGATGAACTCGAACCTCTGGTCGTGCCTCTTCGAAGGACTATTGAAGGAACCGGGGGTCCTGGTTCTACCGTTCCAGGCTATAGTCTTCCCAAAGGCATTGCTCCCTTTGTCCCGATCGTCATCGCAGGTCTTACAACAGGTAGTAACGAGCAAAGAGAGCAGGCTGCGTATGCGATCGGCGATCTCGTCGAACGGACAGAACAAAATGCCATGAAACCCTTTGTTGTCCCCTTCACAGGCCCTCTTATTCGTGTGGCCACTCAGGCAACGACCTACCCGCCGGCTGTCAAAACTGCCATCCTGAGTGCACTAATGACAATGTTGGAGCGGATCCCAGCGTTTGTCAAGCCCTTCTTTCCTCAACTACAGCGCACCTTTGTCAAGAGTACGAGTGACGCAGCGAGTGCTGTTGTTCGGACGAAGGCTGGGCAGGCTTTAGGTGTTCTGATGAAGAATCAGCCGCGTGTAGACCCAGTTGTCGCAGAGTTAATTACAGGGGCAAGATCGAACGATGACAGTATTGCGGGTAGTTTGATTCTCGCTTTGGCCAACGTTGTCAGGAGTGGAGGAGATAATGTTGGTGAGAAGGCCAAAGAGTCCGCATTGGAAGTCGTAGCAGATGCATTCAAAGAGAGCCATGACGGTTCGTTCACGTTTTGTGTTGTTAGACTTCGTACTGACCTGATATGCGACAGAACATTATCTGCAATCAATTGCACAACTCTTCGCGTCGCTCTCTCTTCATCCCAAACTTGTTCAGCCCATCGTCGAGTATGTCCTCTGCTATGTTGAGCGGTTTGACCTTTAGCCTAATCTGACGAACATCTAGGACCTACCTCACAGGCGGCACGCCTCCAAACATTCTATCTTCACACTGCATACTTGCAGTCTTGTCGCCATCTGATGGAAACGATCCAGAAATCGACATATACAGTGTCTTCCATGACTTACGAAATGTCTTGCAGAAGCTACAGGAAAACATTGGGACGGACAAGCCGAGTATCGCTCGTCCTGCGCGGGAAGCCCGAGATCTACTGAAACGGCTAGACGAAACATTACACGGATCGTAGGGCTTAGTTTCCTAGTGCAGCCGACTGCCAAAAATCGAGACTCAGTCTTATCTACTGTTCTGCAAGATCATTGTATATTAATCAAAAGTCGGTATAACAAACGATGGCGTTAGTGGAGTCGTGTGCGAAAGGCTTCTGTGAGTGCAGGTGAATACAGTGTCTCTTTTTCAGGTATTAAGCAATTGGTAGGTCTGGGGATATGCGAAGTGAGTCGATGATGGTCTGCAATCCTACATTCCCTCCAAGTCTATCGATTTCTTCGTACGTTTGCTTCTCGAGCTTGTGCAGCACCCGCAGTGTGTAGTCGAACGATTTCGTGTGATTCTGGAGGTACGAAATTATATGCACTTTCAGGGTCGGCGTTGTTGGACGCTTCTGGAGTACATCTGTGTTGCGTGTCTGATAAGGGCTGCACATGAAGACGTGCAGAAAAGACTGACTGAGTACCTGTCGATTGGACGTGTCTGCACGCACGGCGTGCACAATTGGAAAAGAGAATTTGCCTTCCGTCAGGTCCTCTGCGAAACCCTTGTTCGTAGCATACTGCGCCGATCCGTCAGCTTCATCCACACAGCCTACCAGACATGGCTTACTTGTGTGCTCTGTAAGTTCATGTAGTCATCTCGTATCTGGAAGTAGATGCTGATGAGATTGACTAAAGGGACATAGTCGCTATATATCGACGTGAACACTGGTGTCGAATGCGTTATGGAAATTGACTTACACGTTGGCGTTAGTGGTGGCACAAGCCATCATCAATTTGATGGCTACTCTGAAAAGACCACCTGTCTCTGAAAAAAAATCAAGTTTATCTCAAATCAGCTCGTGCTGAAGTGCAGCTTGGCGATCAATCGAGTGATATTAGATCGAACTCAACTGTTGTTCACCATCGCGATGTATTCCTCTTCAGTCGGACATTGTAAACAATCTCTCCAAAGAAGCTCAAGGCCCTGGCCTCGATGAAGATTGAGAAGTTCGTCTAGTATGGGTCAGCTTCGAATCAAGTTCATTGAATGAAGGGGTCAGAGACCGTTCACAATTCTGTCCAGTTCGGTATTCGAGTAGAGTCTCTCTCGGGGTGCTTCGGTGTTCACAGCCGATTGCGAGGTCAACTCTGCTGACAATCGCCTCAAGGAGAATAGTTCTTGATAGGCAAGGAAATATGCGTAGTTTGCCGCATTGATGGTCTGTGGGATGCCGTATATCTTGTGTGCAACTGCGAAGAATCACAGACATAGCGCAGTCAGTTAGCAAAACAGAGAGCACGTTTCCAAGTTGTAGCCAACCTGGTTGGCCTCTTCGCAATTGGGAATCATCCTCGATGTCGTCTATCCTGCGCAGATCTATGTTAAATTGCCATCAATGGCTATGGCGAAGCCAAGTGCTCACAATAGGCTAGCATTGTGAAGCATGCTAATCACTCGCGCGATGACTCGTAAGCTTTGGACAGGGACGTTCAACCACTTATTAAAAGCCTCTATCATCTCTCCCCTAATTTCTTTACCTGGATTAGAAGTGATATACGTATATGGCTCAAGCAAACCCTAGAAAGTGATGTTCTGCATCATGATGACGAAGATGGGCAATGCGACTAACAGAATCATCATGCTTTAGCGACTCATTTTTGGAGATCTTTTGAAGAAGATCATCATATTCATCCCCCATGTAATACGTTGCTTGTAAAGGATAAGATACGGAGGGGCAAGCTGGTGGGTGTGCCGATTTAGGCAGTCTGTCCACGTAGAAAATATTTGGAGCGGAGTTGATTCCTCATCGGTATGAGATCATTGTGAGATCCGACCTATCCTCAGTGAAGCCTGGATGAACTACATATCTTGATGGTGACCGAGGCCCAAAATCTCGATGATATATTATGAGTACACTCTCACCGTAAATGTAGTCGGAGAAATGGTCGCAAAAGAGAAGGGCAAGCGCACGTTTCATTGTACATGAGAGGGCCAATAAACTAACAGCACAACCACTGATACAATAGAGTGAGTACAATTGACTGTTTGAGTCGTCAGGACTTCCATAGCGGCATGGACCTGTAACCATTAGATAGATTCAATTACATCTGCTTCAAAAGACCCTTTCTTTGCCCAAGGACTCGGTCGGGGAGGGCCCCAGCTATGTGGATCCGCCTTCTTTGCCCAAGGACTCGGTCGGACTGCCCTATTGCGGTCATCTTTGGTGTCTATCGCATCTTTGGGAAGGGGTTGGTTATCATATTTTGGAGGGGCGATGATGATATTCTCTTTTGATGACGTAGTTATAGCATCAGGAGCAATCATCTTCACATCTACGGGCGGCTGCTTCGGATAGGTCTGAGCATGCACCCCAGCGCCCTTGGTTTCTTGGGTATGAGACTGCTTGTTGTCTACCTTATTGTTTACCGAAGGAGGCGCATTCGCGCTTGCCGGATCCACTGGCATTTGAGAAGATATTGATTGGAGACCAACTTTGGAGCGCTCAGACTGAAGCGCCAAGGGTTCCGATCTGAGTGGTGACGCTCCAGCCAACAGAGAACATGGTGTGTCGGTTTGCAGGGATTTTGAAATCAAGTCCTGCACCCGATGTGCTACTTCCTCTGATGAAAGCTTCATGGTGCTACCACTGCCGTGAGAGCGTGTTGGTGAGCCACGGGGATTCTCTCGGATGGATTCGCGGATTGTCATGATGAGGATTATATCGTCGGAGGACAGTCTGCGGCCTTCTTCGAAACTAAGCACTTCCTGCCTTTGACACAGAGAAACGTAAGCAGGGACAAGCCATTCACCAACGGCATATTTGTTCCCATAAACAAGCTTGTCGACAGGTGATGCTAAGCCAGTCAATCGCGTGATGGCAAGCCTGCGGATGGAATTGAAGCTCCACATGTTAGCGAGATGAAGAACAGAAGCCCATCCCTCGACGGTGCAGACGTCAGGCTCGTCAAAATCCCTGGCAAATGAATCAATGTGGCCGTTTAGCCACTAGTTTACGGCACACGACTGAAAACTTACGTGGGATACAAGATTGATAAAAAGGCATCAAAATCACGGCTTTCGATGTCATCGATGTTGATGACTGTCTTCAAAATATCAGCCTTGTGGAATTTCTTGGCCGTGTCGAAGTGTAGAGGAAGGAGATGAATTGAAAAGTAGGACGAGTCTCGTGTGAAGAAGTACTGGTGAACACAGTAAAGTGTGCTTTGGACCTGAACGTGTATCAGATCGATGCCACGGCAAGTATACATGATGCATACCAAGAAAATGACGTTCCCATCCTCGAAGAAAAATCTGTCATGCTTTTGTGCGCGTTGGGCTGTTTCATCCAATATGTCGTCTGTGTCAGAGATTGTAGAGACTTCGTTCAATTCGGCAGCGGTCTTCTCCGCACCGGCCGGTATAACTGATGAGTTTTTCTTCATGGAGTATAATGGCCAACAACGGTTTGTTACGGTATTCAGGACAGATATTGGACGACAGGTCGATGAAGGTCTTCAGATTGAGCTCAAGCAGATGATGAATAGATTGTACTGCCAAAGTTCGTTGTCTTTTACCAGAAGCTCGATTCACAAGTAGCAGCACGGAGAGACAACACTCACCTTCAAGCTTTAAGGTGTACGATGGGATGGGTGGTGGTGATTCGGGGAGTTGCGCTGCAGCATTGCAAGGTTGCACTACGGATCACCAATTGATGCCCAATCGATCGTGTACATGACTCCCTGCCACACGAGGCCACACGAGGACCCCTCGTGCTTCAGTACAGGCGATACGGTGTGAAACATCGCAAGGATGGTTCACTTGATACATGTGCACCGGCTAACTCAACACCCACAAATTCGTGAAGAAACAGCGTGGACCAAGCTGACTTAGAAAAGTACAAGAGATAGAATCACTCTAACATCTCACCCAGCATACAAATCATAGTGTACTTGGACAGCCACGGTCGATAATGTAACCATACAAGGACACAATAGACATCAGCCTAGGTGGGAGTTGTTAGACGATAACGGTGAACAACCATAGCGACGCTCACCGAACTACGACAAGTCCATTGGCGCCTCGCCCTCCCCAGGAAAACACAACTCATTCTCTTCTCCGACCGCATCATCATCATCTTCGTTCCAATCGCTCGTCGTCTCCCACTCATTCTCAAATTCTATGTCCATAGTCAATTCGTCTTCTCCGTCTCCGTCATCTGTCAGAGGCATGAAGGATGCCAACTGGTGGATTCTTGGCGCATGTGATACAGGCTGCACCCATCGACGCTCTCGAAGACGCTTGTGTCGCTCTCTGTCTTCCTCAATGCGTTTGAACACTTCATGGCGAGGGAGAGGAGCAGGATCAGATGAATGAGAGGCTAATGGCGAGGGTATGGAGTGAGGAGGGGAGTTTGTGGGTGCGTTACGGTCATCGAGTGAAGTCATGGCACTGTCAACGATTTGAGGGTCTATTATACGCTTGCTACGCCAGCTTTCAAGTATCTGTGTGCCCGAATCAGATGAGTGTATAGTGTGCGGCGAGTGAATATACCTGTTTGGTACTCATCATATTAGGGAGGCCTTGTCTCCCTTCGGGTACGACATATTCGATGATCTTGCCCAAGTCTCGCGACACATAGTCTACGTAAAAGCAGTTATTTGAAGACTTGTCTGAGCTTTGGGAGGTCGGATGCGTCTTTGCTAGAAGCGACGTCTCGCAAAGAGAATCGAGAAAGTAGAGGATGTTGATACGATTGTTGATAGAACCCTGCCCATGGCCGTCACAGGAGAAGAGACAAAAGGAGTGAAAGTACGGACTTTTTGGCATTCTTCCACTATGCAGTCCCACAAGTCCTCCCCGCATCGAGAATAATATTTGAGGGCATATCCTACGACTTTTTGAATGGACTGTTGGGAGCTGGTAGGTTATTCAGACTCCAAACTGCTCGCGGACTGCAAACGACCAACTAACGCATTCAGCCTCCGTAGCAGGGTAAGGAATTGCATCCTTACTTCAAAAGGGTCCATGCTGGATGATATGATACCTCTCCCCAGAGTCAAAAGGTCAAAAAAAAAAGAACGCAGAAGTATATGGGCAACAGCTGGGGATCTGACACAGGGCGCTGTACTCGATCATCCTTCCGCTTCAACGCTTACCAATTATGTAATTGAAATGGCTTTTGTGATCCAACTGGATTTTTTCTTCTGGGTTCAATACCGAGCTAATACAGACTGCCTTCTTATCGTTCACGGATCCCAGCCTCGCATTGAGTAGCGAGGCAGCGATCAATCGCGGGAGATGCAGCAAGGCCTAGATGTGTGATTATTTTTGGATAACTCATATCTTGCTCATGTGAGCGATTTTGTTCCAGTGCGCACTGCGCAGCAAGCGTTTAGCAGTAAAAACACTTCCTCCTTGGCTTCTTGAGCTCTCCATCGCCATGCTGCTGCGATGTCTGCGATGATTCTGGAACTGCCTGAGGAGGACAATGGGTATGTACTGTGCTACGGCCCAACCAAGGTCATTTTGAACCGGCATTCACTTGTATATTGACTTATCATTTCTCTCAGCATCAGCGTCACCTTGTTGGGCAAGAAGGCTCATAGCGCTCACTGCGCAGCCGCTTCTTCATCTTCTACAATCTCGTGACTTGACACTGCGCACTGCGAGTGTTGCGTCCTTATCCTCCAGGTCAATTATAAGTCGTGAGCATTAGGCCTCTCGTCTTCTTGTCTTGTCAGTGCACAGTGTTTTCCTCTCCATAGATCTCAACGATGCTGCTCAGCAAAGATGCTGATAGTTTGACAGCCACAGCTGTAGAGAGTCCGTCCATGTTAATATCGGACCCAACCCTGACGGGTCAACGGCGGAAGCTGATCGACCTAATGAATCGTTTGCAAGATGTGGGGTATGGCGTTCAACCTATTTCTCGTGGTATACCCCAGTAATATCTATCATGTCCTTCCACTAGAGTACAGGACATGGGAGACCTGAATATTCCGCTCATGGCAGTTATTGGCTCCCAAAGCTCGGGCAAATCGTCCTTGATTGAGGCGATCTCGGGTATAAAGCTTCCACGCGGGGCCGGTACTTGCACAAGGTAGATTTCTTGATCTATACATGTATTTCTATCATCCATCGCTTCGTATCAGGTGTCCCACGGAGTGCCGTCTGAGCTTTAGCGATCAACCATGGAGATGCACGGTAACGTTGCGTTTCATATCCGGATCAGATGGGAGGGATTTGGGACAACCCCATCATGAACTATTCGGCGAGACGATTTTCGACCCGAGCTTGGTTGAAGATCGTGTCCGTAGGGCGCAAAACGCCATATTAAACCCGTCCAAAATTTCTCAGGATTTCCTGCATGGGTCTATTGCTCATGATCATGGCCCCGAACTTACCTTTTCGAGAGGCGTCGTTTCTCTCTCAATCACGGGCCCAAAATTGACAGATCTCTCCTTTGTCGACCTTCCTGGTATTGACTTCCTCGCCACAGATGTATGCTGCTCCTCAACTCATCTCCGTTTCTATAGGTCTGATACAAAACGTGGGGTCTCGAGGAAGACAGTCAGACATCTCTCTCATCACGGAGCTCGTCAAGGGGTACATCAGCAAGCCTACTTGCATCATCATACTGACCATGAACTGCGAAGGTTCGTCATATGACTGAGTCCTATGACAGATGCCTGACTTAGACTACAGTTGATTTTGCTACACAAGGGGCACATGACTTGGCCCGAAAGTACGATCCTCAGGGCAACAGAACTATTGGTAGGGCTTTCGTGCTTGTAGTGACTGTCGAGGTTTCTCATCGCTATACCCCAGGTGTCTTGACAAAACCCGATCGAATTGCCCCAAGAAGCGAGGACTTATGGACGCGGTACATTCGTAACGAAGAAGAGCCGCTGAAGCACAATTGGTATTGCGTTAAACAACCCAATGCCTCCGAAATGGAACGTGGCATCACTTGGGAAGAAGCCCGATCTAACGAGGAACACTTCTTCCAGAAAGTCGAGCCATGGGAAAGTATCGAATCCACTCACCGGCTGTATCTCACCTCCAAGAACTTGGTCCGCAAAATGAATTTAGTCCTTTCAGACTTAGCCATGAAGCGGTGCGCAAATTCCTCTCTGACTCCTAACCATCTTTCCAACTCGTCTGTGCAGAACACCCCAACTAATAGAGGAGGTCGATCAGCTCATCCGCGACACCACTGAAGAGATTCTATGCTTGCCGAAGGCACGGTCGAACGACGCCGTCAGTGAAATCCACGACATGATTACTCGCTTTGCTCGTGAGGTGGAGGAGCACGTCGAGGGAATCAAAGAGGATGCCTATTTCTTCCAGGTATTTCGCACGGAGAAATTGCATTTCATGAAAGCGATTCGTTGTACGGCGCCGGGCTTCCGCCCGTGGATAGAGCCAAAGTCAAAACCGAAGGCATCAGCTAAGCCAGATCCGCGGGAGCCGCCAAAGACTTTGCCCCCGCCTGATTTTCTGGCGAGTGAAGAAGTCGACTTATCTCCAAAGCCACTGTCAGACGACGAAGAGCCTCCAGAATCTGGACTAAGTGCAAAGGCCATCTTCATGGAAGAAATCCAAGACCGCATAGAGAGGTAGATAGATCATGATTTCAGTTCTTTCGCGCGGTCTAACCACTTCGGGTAGGTCTATCGGTCGCGGGCTACCAGATAGCAATCCAACATCGGTGGTGGACTTCTATATAGTTTCGGCTATCAGGGAATGGCGCTCTCCAACAATCTCGCTCGTGGAAAATACCCACACCACGATCAAAGATCATATGAGAAAGATCATAGAAGAGCATTTTGGAAATTTTCGACAAAGCGATCTATGTGATAGCGTGCAGTGCGTTCAGACAAGTTTATTCACGAATGGAGTCTGATGTGCCCAAAAATTGTAGACGTGCGGTCGACGATCATCTGAAACGCTGCAAGGAGTCCGCACGCTCCCGTGTTCAGTGCCTCCTGGACCTCGAAAAGACGCCTCATACCGACAACAGGCACTACTTCAGCCAGTACAAAGAGAAATTTTTTGGGTATTACCGGCAACTTTGGTCGCAATATTCTGGAAAGCAGGTCCTAAAGGAGCTCAATATGCAGCCTTACAACCTGCATAGTAAAGACACTGTGACGCCAGAAGCCAAAGCTGGTGTCGAGCAAACGCTGAAAGGTTTGAGCAGATTGGGGCTCACCGGCATCGAACCTGCCGACCTGACGAGAATTCTCCCTGAGGGCCCTCAGGACCAGTTGTTGGAAGTCATGGCCAGGGTCCAAGCGTACTTACAAGGTTCGTTCTGTCAGTGGTGTCTATGTCTGTTCCTTGACGCCTTTGCAGTTGCGAGCAGACGTTTCGTGGATTATGTTCCCATGACTGTGGATCAAGAGCTCCTTCGCGGTTTGAGCAAAGGCCTCGTGTCCGCTGTGAAGAAAGAGATCAATTTCAACAGGGTTGATTTCAAGGACTATTGCGAAGGATTGTTGCAGGAACCTTCAGACATCGGTATTGCTCGAAGGAAGCTGCAGGAAAAGCTTGATCGCCTGCGTCTAGCCAAGACAGAACTGGCCCACTTCTCGGGCGGGAGGATGTCTTCAATGTAGCTTGAACTGTGTTCGGGAGTATGCACAACTTCTCACATAGCCATGCCTGGATGTCGTACGAGGACAGCTGTTGAAGACAAGTCATCGTGTTTATATGACTAGTGTTACAATTTGGTATATAATCGATACTGTCATGACTGTCGTGATCCTCAAGCAATCGTGAAATTTGACGACGTTCCCGTGAATGGGGAGATACTGCCAATTAGAGGTTTAGAATCCCCAAAGTACTGGATGCGATATGTGCCGCCTGCGAAAGTCAATGCATTCAACGCTTGGTCGCGCACCAAAGGGAGCGCTACTTACTAGGCGTGGCAGACTCGATGGTCCTATGCGATAGTATATTCAAAAACTAAGCCAATGCAACGAGCACCGGTAGACTTACCATGTAATGTTGACAGAGCTTGTACCCAACACCTGGACGATGCAATAGTTCCGATGAGTTCAGATCATGCAGCTGTATTAGACGAAAATCCAAGTCTCACCGTGTTGGTCCTCGTCCAGTGATACAGTGTCGATGGGTGTGAATCGGATCGGTATCTCTGCCATGTCCCGCCAACCAGTCGATCGACGGACAGGAAGGTCTCTTCGAGCCGTAGGTTGTTCTAGACCAGTGCTAAGTAAGCAATAGCGGCGGGCTTATTGGAGGCGCTCAACTTACGCGGGGATTGGCGCCGACAAATTGGATGGCGACCGTGTCTCCGACGTGGTACGCCGAAGAACTGACGTCCGAAATGACGTCTCCAAAACTTTTTCCAATCGGCGCGCTGTCAAAGACGACGCCGGTCTAGAGCAAAAAGAGAAAGCAAGTCAGAATTTGTGCAGGATGCGATGATGCACAAAAGACAGCATACACGAAGTGATATCGCACTTCCAGTTAAATCTGGCGGGGCAGGGTCTGATGGAGGTGACCCCGAAGTATTATCCGCCAGATATGACACCAGGCTGCCATACTTGTCGATATATGCATCGAGGGTCCCTGCGATGGCGTTAAAGCGGGATATAATGCATGGAAAATCACAACTGACATTGTCCGAAGATCGTCGAGGCTCCTTCGTACCGCTGCACGCTATACTCCTCCTTCGTTGCAACGTAATGCGCATACGTGTTCGCTGGCCCTGCGATAACGACATACGCGTTTTGGCCGATTACACCCTTCGCGATCAACTGCGCTCGAATGGCATTTCTGCAGAAAAGCAGGAACTGGCTCAATGATCGGCTGTCTCGAAGGTGGGTATGCGGACATACCGCATACGCCGGCCGGACATGGTGGTCAGTTCGCCAGGCATGACCAGCATGACTACGTTGCCGACGCGTAGCATCTGGATGTCGACCGTGTGCGGGGACCAGGTGTACGGTGTGTTCGCGTAGCCCTGCCATCATGGATGCATGAATGGTTCGCACCCAAGCGATCATCCACACTGTGCATATCTGCGACGACGTACCGTGTCCAGCAAGATCGGCTTCGGATACTGACACGCGACTTGTTCCGCGGGCGGGTAGGGAGTGACGACGCCTAAAGAATGGACAGAAAGCGTCGCGACGCGGATCGGCGGGATGCTCGTTTGAGTGCTTCCAAGCGCACATCGCGAATTACCCACCTTTGACGATCTCCCAGAACGGGTTCCTGGAGTGGGGTGGAAGTTGTCAGCGCTGCGCGGATCCTCTTCCCTCGATATGCCACGCACTGAGGCTTGGATGAGTTGTCGCCTTGGACAAAGTCGAAGGCGCCTGGCCCGTCGCTGTCCGAACGCATGTCAATCGATGGACGGAGAACCGTATGCGCGCCCTCTTACGTGGTTCCGCCCGCAAACGAGTATCCTGAAGGTGAAAAGCAGGAAGAACGTTCGCTTCAATATGACAGGGCGATCCCGATAATTCCTCACCCATAGCCGGGGGACATGTCTGGACAGTCGTGCCATTGGGCAACGTGAACGAGTGCCACGTCCTATTCGATTCTTAAGTTAAAGCCTCGAATTGGCTCCAACGAGGACACACACTACACTCACATGTTCAAATACGTGTGGACGCTCCGAACAGTGCCAGACACCGGCGCTAATTGGCTATTCATCAGCGTCTTCGCTCCGTCCACTTGCAGCTGCGCAATGATCCTGTTGGACTCGAAATCTGAGGTGCGGAATCCAGGGCCCCTGCAGCATGCGCCAACGTCAACGCCAGCCTTTCGAGCGACGACAAGGCTCTGATGTCGACATACCGTCCATGACAGTCTTCGACGGTCCCGCCACATGTTGAGCTGTTAAAATCGCACGGCATTCCGTCGTACGATTTACCGGGGCTCTCACAAAACGCGCCGAGCCTACCAGAGGCGAAAAATTGAGCACTTCTTAGGACATCAAAAAAAGAACGTGGATGGACGTACGTGTTAGGGCTCGTATCGCCGACGTTGGACTGCGTGAAACCCGCAACGAAAGTGTTGTTTCCAGGCATCGAAGAAGGCTCGACCATGGCTAGAGAACGGGGAACAACGATGACGAAACGATCCAGTATAAGACGTTGCACTGCTTACCCTCATACAAGTGCGCCGCCATGCCCTTATTGTCGCTGCTGACGAGCGTGTTGTTCTACACCACGCCAAACTCAAACTCAGTCGTCGCGCGCATGAACAGAGAAACGGCGCGCACCTCGTACAGACTAGTCCCGTGGACCGGAAAAAAGCTCAAAAACCCGCGCGCGTTCCCCTGCGCGTCGTCAAACCTCAACAGCGAAAGCTCCTTGTCCTGGTCGTACTGGTACAGCGCGCGCTCCGCCGCGGGGTTCGCGAGGTACGCCGACGGGCTGCGGTTGATGTTCCCGTCCACGACCGACGTGTTCCCGATGCTCAACTTCCCCGGCGCGAGGCTCGCATGCGCGCGCTGGACGGCGAGCACCGTGCCCGCAACGATCGCGTCGGCGGTCTCCTTGACGTACCCGAGCGACGTGATCTGGGGGAGGAGGTTCTCGAGGTAGCCGCCGACGCCGGAGTGCTGGTGCGTGCTGACGAGCGCGACGTTCGTGTTCGAGTACACGCCTGGATAGAGCGAGGAGAGCTGCGAGACGACCGAGCGCCGGATGCCGGTGTCGCCCATGGCGATGTCTACGCCGCGGGGGTCGATGGTGAGAGATCTGAGGGGCGAACGAAGAGTGGGTGGGAGACGCACCAGCGTTGATGAAGACGAAGCGATTGGAGGGGTTGGCTGCGTCTGCGACGATCCATGCTCGACTGCGTTGTCGCAGATGCAGCCCGGTGTCCGTTTGTGCGAGGGACGCGTAGCCCTAGCATACGTCCAAAGATCAGGTCAGCATCACTGTATCCCCCACGGCAATCCGTCCAAACCAAACCAAGGATCGAAACTGCAGTCATGCCATGCCGGCACCCCGTCACCAAAATTGCTCCAGCTCAAACCACGCGCAAACTCTTCCACGTTCGCGCCTTCCACGTCGTCTCATCGAGCTTCCCGCGAAGGCCGCATCCCCCGCCTTCGACTGGCCAGCCGCACGCAGAGACCGAGACGACCGAGGGCCACCCTCGACCGCATCGCTAGAGGGGCCTCCAGCGAACGCCGAGCTGACCCCCCTGATCAGGACGCGACGCGAACAAACCGCATCTACGCCGCTCCCGCTCCCGCCTGTCGTCCTGAAACACCGTGACAGCTCCAAACCTTCTCAGGCGAAAACTACGCTCCGCGCCGCGAGACGCCCCAAAGGGCTGGACGATCGGCTCTCCCTGCAGGCAGGGGATGCCGCAGCAAGGGGCTTCTGCGGTCGGCCGTCGCACGCGCTGCGTCACTCTGGACGTGATAAATGCACTGGGCACCACGGACCCGACGTCCGCCAGCCCCCCATCCCCATCCTCTCTCCGTCTCACCCCCTGGGGGTCCATCACCGCCATCAACTTCTAGGCGAACACGGGCTCCGTAGACATCAGATGATAAGGACACGACCAGAGACGCGACCCCAAAGACACGGGCATGGGTATGACACGACACGAAGGAAAATTCGCGTCGAACCCTGATTTCATTCGTTTCGTCAAACCCGCTCAGGGCCCTGTTTCACGCCGAGGCACCAACGCGAGCCCCCAGAGCAATTATTCTTAAACGAAGCGCTGCGCCCACGTCGCAGCACCGAAGAGAAGCAGAAGCGAAATGGAGAGAAGGGGGAACACACCATCATGTTCGTTTCCACCACCGGGCTGTAAAATCACACAGGCCAAGGAGGTCAAGACGCGTGACTCGGTCAGAAAAATAAACGCCGCATTCACCCTGTTATGTCGCCGATGCCTACGCAGGTGTAACAAAAGCGCCGTCAGTCAGTGAAGGTTTGTCTTCGGGACGCAGAGCTTGATAGACGAGAACAAATAAAGCATAAAACCAACTGCCAGAAGCCCGACCGAAAGCAAAACGCCGCGCCGCACCGAACCGAGCCTACAGGCTGCCCTGCTCTACAGCCTTCCGTCAAACGAAATTTGTTCGCAGCAATGGCAGTAATGGCGGTGGGGGCGGCGCCACCGCCACGGTCCTGTCCTGGACTTTTTAGGCATTCCATCGAATATTCGTGCGACTTTGACTCAGCGACGTGGAGGCCTGTCAAGGCGTGCGTCCGGATTCACGGCAGAGATCCTCGAGTGTCGAATAGAATCGTGAATCAAATGGGAAGGACACCGGCTGCCAGGAGGGCTGATCTCGAGACGGTTATGCGGTGCACAGTCCACGATCCTTTCGAACGCTCGCTCGCTCGCAGACTGGGACAGGCACGTGCACGCGTGCAGAAGGACGCGTGCCCTCGAACTTCGAACGCGCACACGTGCGACCCAAGCAACGACACTCCAACCCCAATTGTCTGGTGCGGCAAACGGCCGCACGAACCATCCCTGCTAGGCCGGAAGCACCTCGGATATTTGAAGCGCCCGTACAACGAAGCTGGAGGGCCTTCTCTCCATCACGCTCATGACCACCCAGGACCCTCGCTTCGCCCACACCGCACATGTTCGCCCCTCAACCATTGAGCATCACCCCCCGCCTCCCGACCAACACGCTATCCACGCAAATAAATAAATGCATGAAACGCTCACCCAACCCCAGCAAGTACTGCGCCGCGACGGGCTGCACCCCCAGCGCGGTCTGCGCGCCGGGGCCCAACACACTGGCCGACGCGAGGAACGCGGTGACGCACAAGGCCGCGCGGTTCGTGAATTCAACGATGTAGCGCATGAGGGGATCGAAGGCGCGCGCGAGCGGCTGCACGGCGTACAGCTGCAATACGGGCATGTGGGCAGCGTGGGCGCGTCTTTATATGCTGCGGAAATAGTACTACACTTGTCCGGTGACGATAGCGATATTGATTGAGTCCTGGAGGCTGGCCGCGCGGGTTTCGGTGGCGACGCAAACACAAGATAGTGGTTAGGCACGGCGAGGATCAGGGATCAGCGGTTCGTCAAGTTAGTAGTTGGGGTGGATAATCCCGAGGATCAGTACGCGAGGGTTTTCTGAGGATGTGAGGTGCGAGGGCAAGGTGCAGGTGCGCGTGCGCAGGCGTGTGCAGCGTGTGTGACCCGTCCTTGTATCGTGATCCGGGACCGAGTGAGGTATAAAAGGGTGGACCGAGGTGCCCGGGAAGGTGCCTCGAGGGATTCGTAGGATCAGTGGGGACCGGGGGACGAGTGAGCGCGCGCTGTGGGGAGCTTCGTAAATTCTGATAAAGGCGGTGGGCGGGTAGCAGGTGCGCTGACACGGACCGTTTCGTCAGTGGGCTGCAGCGCGCGTGGGTCGGGACACATGTCCCTACATCAGTGGGTTGCTTCTTGGCCGCCACTTGCGATGATCCTCGGTTATGGGGGAGATGACAGGGAGAGAGACGCGGTCAGGCGCTGCGTCATGCAGTCATCGTGCATGCTGCACGACTGTGTTACGCGGTGGCGTGTCGTTCGTAATGGCCGTCACAACTCCGCGATCCCTTTCAGACCCGCAGCTCTCCTCTTCCTCGTCGCCTCCTCCGCTCTGCGCTGCGCGCGCGACCCCAGTTCGCTCCACTATCGTCCATCCAACGCGTCCATATCTACGCCGCCACCTTCTTGTCTTCTTCGACCAGATAGAGCAGCGCGAAGAAGCAGATTAGGGGCGCAGGTGGTTTCTGATGCATGAATATGCACGGCGCACGATGCTCATACGTTGATAAGTGACTTCTGGACCTGAAATGCGAAGCTCGAAGGACACCTTCTGTGCCTCCCTCGACTTCTTATCGTTTCTCATGGCGGAAAACAGACTTTTGCGGTGCGCGTCGATAATCACATGCTCTGCGCTCTATGCCATACCGTTCCAAGGAGAGGCCTCAGGTCTATATCAATGGACGCTGCTTAGCCTGCTGGTGCGTGCCGATATGCGTCCCTTCAACTGCGCTCCTCCTGCGCGAGGACTACGATGTCGTATTCGTGCTGTGCGACAGAAATCTTGGACCAACGTTCGCATTAGTGAGTCCCATTCCCTCCTGCCTCGGAGCCAGGGATTTAAACTGATCCAAAACTCTGCATTTGATTCGTGGTACACCCTCATGTGCGTAACCGCGACCTTTCTATGCATCCCTACCTGCGGTCGACGATATATACAGTGCGCCGCGTCTCTCACCCGCCTCTCCATAATCATATTCCCACCGACTTCGAGGCGGCATAACAGCACATTCGTCCATTTTATCTCCTCGTGAACGCCAGCGCTGCCCACCGCGCCCGAAACATCTCGCCCGATGGATGGATTCGGATGCCTCTGCTGTCACGGTTTTCATGTTCTCTGCTCCACAGTTTGTCTTGGGACTGCGTGCACACGTTCACCGTGTCCCGCGCCGCGCACTCCACCGTCGTCACAGTCTGCGCCCTCGGACGTCCTCGCTCAGCTTGGCCTTCTCCGCCAGGCACGCCTGCTTCTTTGTTGCTCTCCGACGCGGCCACTCAACAATTAATGATCCTGTACAGCATCTGTCGCGCCCGGATCCGATGTCCTCTGCCGGCGCGCTGCGCTCCCGCGGATTCTTGTCGGATCCGCGGTATGTCTGTGCATATAAGCACCCTTGGGGTGGAGTTTCCTCACCCATCGACGCTTCCTCTGTTGACTGCGGGCCTTCTCTTGACCACCGTCGGACTCTCTAGCCCCGTCGCATGCACATACGCGTCCTCAGACTTCCCTCTTGCCCCACGCTTCTGCCGTTGACTGAGGTCTACGTAATGCGCTCCTCCCTGCAGTCGACCCGTCCAGTACCCTACCAGCACCCTACCAGTCCCGCCGCATATACCCGAGGCCCGACGCCACAAATAGCCCTCCTCCGCTCAGACTCCACGTGACGCGACTCCTGAGCACAGGTTATTCTGGAGTCTGGACACAAATACACGTATCCGGTGTGCTTCTATTGCCCTCTTAACAGTTTCCATTTCTGTACACCTCTGCATCGCTGACTGGGATAGCTTGCGAGGGCCGGACCTCGTGCTGTCTCTCTGCTTCGGTTTGTGCAGATGCCGAGGTGGAGTGGGACGCGGGGTGGTGGTGGGGCGAGCTGAGCACGGTGGTATTTTTGATATACGAGGGTCATGCTCGTGTTGTTGTAACCCGTTTCGTGAGCAGCTATAAACTGTTGTGCCTTTCCATTGGCTGGTAAAAACGAGAGAGATTTGCGCGCGGATGATCTACGCGCGTCGCGCGTGACATCATCAGTTAAGGCACTTTCCCAGGGCGGGCTGAGTCTGCGTGCCCGAATATTGACGGAGGGGTGATGGATGTGCGTTGGATGTGATCTGATCAGAGCACGCACAGTGTACTGTACGACACTCGCAACCGGGCACCTCGCGGACGAGCCGAGGCCCTCGACGCGCCGAGCAACGGTAAGCAAACGGTGTGCAGAGGCCACGAGTGGGAGTGGTAATAGGGTCCAATGACATGCTATATTTGGACACTCACGCTGCAGGCGCTCCTTTCTGAAGCCTCCAGCATGACGCTGCCAGTCAGCCCCTCCGAGGCTCTTCCGTCCTACCACCACCATCACCCCCTGCTCCTTTCTTTCCCCTCTCGCTGCTGCAGCCCACGACAACGACGGCGACCTCGCGAGCATGGCTACCTCGCGCCCGCTCTCCGACGCTACCGACGCCTCGTACTCCACGCCCCTCCACACTCCTTTGCACCTCGACAGCCCCCCGCTCGACCCGCCCTCAGCGCCCTACTTCGCCAACTTCGGCGCCCTCAACCTTGGCCCCTCTCTCTCCCCAACCCCAAGAGACTCCTACTACACGAACACCGCAGACGCAGATGAGCCTCGCGCCGGCGCCTCCCCCTCAAACTCCACCCCCTTCCTTACAGTGTCGCCAGGAACAGCAGCAGCAGCAGCGGCTGCCGACGCCAATCCTGGCCCCTCCCGCGCGTTCCTAGATGCCGCCGAAGATGCCCCCGGTGGCGCGCTGACCGAAAAGGGGGCCAACGCCCGCGCCTCCCGCACGCCGCTCTATAAACGCCCGCTCTTCTGGCTCTTTGGCGCTGCGGCCCTGGTGGCCGTTGTCCTCGCCGTCGTCCTGCCCGTCTATTTCGTCGTCGTCAAGCCGCGGAACGACGCGAACCGCGCCGCCTCTGGCTTGTCGTCGGATCCTCCCGCTGCAGGTGGGAGCGGCAGCAGCGGCACCGTCGGCGGGGGGAGCGGGAACCCCGCCTCGCCGAGCGGCGCGACGTCGGGTGGGAACGGCTCGCAGGTGACCACGGATAGTGGGGAGACGTTCACGTATCTGAACCAGTTCGGAGGATATTGTGAGTGTTCTATTTTTTGATCCGCGCTTCGTCGGTTGTTCCTTCCTTCTTCTTTTATTGCCCTTCGCGGATTCGATCTTTTTGTTTGTTTTGTGGGGTGTCTGTTTCCTCGTTTGGGTTTTGTCTGCGCGGGGATAGGAGCGATGGGGGTGTGGGTTATTACCCGATTCGATGTTTGGTGCTTGATACTTTTTGATGCGTGATGCGTGGGTGCGGGGTGCGGGGTGGGTGGGCCTTTTGCGCAGCCGTTCGCAGGCGCGTGTGTGCGTGTCTCTGTGAAAATGACTCCGCCTCGCACTGGCATAGTCCGCACCCTCTCACAAGCATTACTTCCTCTCGGCGATTCGAACGCGAATCGCACGTGCACCAGTTCAGTGGGTAGGGTACGCGGTGTCCGCTTTGGAGGCGTCACGCTGTAGGATGTGCCGGGTCTAGGTGGGGAAAATACAAATCTGTGTGCGGGCGTGGTGCGGTTCGTGTCCGCGCACACGCTACGTCTGTGATGGCGTGCGGACGGCACGGCACGGCACACGTCCCCAGACGTCCCGAATCCGTCCATCCGCTCTCTCACGTCGAGCGGTCGAGCGAGCGGTGCCACCACCGGGAACAATCGACGCACGCGTCGACGCCTTCGTGTCACCCGCGCAGCGCAGCGTTGAGTCGGGGCGATTCGCAGTGTCGCGGACGTACCGCGCCAGTGGGGTGATAAGGCGATGGGACGGAGAGTTTGATCGCCTGGCTAGAGCATATATGCTGCTTACCGCCGCCCGCGCCGCGGTGATGCAGACTGGGCGCCGTCCCATGCGCCTAGGTGGTCTCGCGTTTTTCCCGCGCAGGATGGCGAGCGCATATACCCACGCATATGCACATCTGCATTTGCATACGCACATCATGTCTGCCCGTTGATGCGCTGCCGATTCGAACGGGCTTCGACGCGCTCTGATCTGGGATCTGGATCGGGGCATCATCACTCTCTTCCTGTCAGCCAAGCTCTCGATCTGTTGGGGCGGGATGACGGGTTGGCTAGAGGGGCTGATGGACGGGACCGCGCTGCTGCGACAGGTCGGCGTGATGCTATTGCGATACATGGCGTCGCGCGTGCTCGCTTCCTGGCCCGTGTGCATGTGGGCCCCCTTCCTCTTCACCCGCGTCTCGCGTGCAGTTGGCGATCCTGTCGGGCGGATTTGGGAGCAGGCATTTGTGCTGGGGACGGATCTGCACATCTTGTTCGCGCTTAGCGTTTTGTGTGCCGCGTCCCGTTTCCCATTCTCCATTCCCAGTTTTTCTTCTTCGTTTCCATTTTGGGTGGAGACGCGGCACGTCCTGCGTCTCTCACTTTCTGTCTATTTCGACACCGATTTCGTCTCGGACGTGAGCGCGATCACGATCGAAATGCTGACCGATTCATTTTTTTCTGTTCTCCCTCCGCGCTCTCCTCGATCGCGCCGCGATCAGGGGTTTACGATCCAAAGGACCCGTTCAACAACAACGCGCGGCCAAACTCGTGGACGCCGCCGCTCAACGGCAGCTGGACGTGGGGCCAGGACCACGTCTACGGCGTCAACCTCGGCGGACTGTTCGTGCTCGAGCCGTTCATCGCACCGGCGCTGTACCAGAAATACCCGGGCACGGTTGATGAGTGGACGCTCAGCGAAGCGATGGCTGCGGACACCGCCAGCGGGGGGCTGCAGCAACAGCTGGAGAATCACTACAACACGTTCGTGGTGCGTAAGGCGCTGGCTCGGGTGGGACGGGTCGCATCGGCTTGGCTGATAGTACCTTCTTTTTCTTGCGCGCCTGCGCCTGCAGACGGAACAAGACTTGGCCCAGATCGCGGGGGCGGGGCTGAATTGGATTCGCCTCCCCATTCCGTTCTGGGCGATCGAGACGTGGGAGGGAGAGCCTTTCCTCGCCAAGGTCTGCTGGAAGTGCGTCTTCCTCGTCGTCTACCCGATAGATCGGCTGTTTGACCGACCGGTGGCACCGCGCGCGGTCGTGTATTCTTTCGATTAGGTACATTCTGCGCGTGTTTGAGTGGGCGCGCAAGTACGGGCTGCGAATCTATCTTGATCTGCACACGGTTCCTGGGTCGCAAAACGGTGAGCAGCTCGGTTCGGCTCGACTCGATGGCGGCGTGGGGTGGTGGCGTTGATTGGCGACGCTGGGTTCTTGTTTTCTTTCTTACTTGCTTCGCTTTCTGCGCAGGCTATAACCACTCCGGGAAGCTCGGACAAGTCAACTTCATGAACGGCATCATGGGGATCGCGAACGCGCAGCGGACGTTGGATTACATTCGCATCATCACCGAGTTTATCTCGCAGCCCGAGTACCGCGACCTGATACCCATCTTCGGCGTCGTGAACGAGGCCTTGGTGCAGACCATCGGGCTGAACGAGATAACGAATTTGTAAGCACGCGCAGTCGAGCTCGTCGGCTGTCGGATTGACTGACGGGCGGACGGGCCCAATGCGACCTTGCCTCGTTCGGGCGTGATAGCTACTACCAAACGCACGAGATGATTCGCAACATCACGGGCCTTGGGGCGGGCAATGGGCCGTATATCGCCATCCACGACGGGTTCATCGGCGTATCCAAGTGGGCCGATTTCCTTCCTGGGTCCGATCGCATCATACTCGACACCCACCCGTACTTCGCGTTCGATGGACAGCCCAACAATTCGCCTATTGTCGACGACGACGGGACGGGGGAGCCGGGCGGTGTCTGGCCTAAACAGGCGTGCAGCGCGTGGGGCCCGAGCATCAACGGCAGGTACACGCGTGTTCGATAGCCTCTTGCGTGCTGAGCTAACGATTTGTTGCCCGTGCAGTCGGTCGGCGTTTGGAGTGACGGTGGCGGGTGAGTTTAGCAACGGGTACAACGACTGCGGGCTGTTCGTGAACGGCGTGGGCAACGGGGCCGCGTTCGGGGACTGCACGACGATGAACGACTGGGCGAACTACAACGCGACGTTCAAGGCGGGGCTGAAGAGCTTTGCGCTCGCGAGCATGGACGCCACTGAGGATTGGTGGTTCTGGACGTGGAAGGTGCGCCCTCTTGCCGACGTGACGTGCGCTAGAAGGCGCGCTGACCGAGATGGGGGATGCGCCCTGCCGCCTTCTCTCTCTCTCTCTCTTTCTTTTTTTATTCGAGCCAGATTGGCAACTCTTCGACTTCCAACAGCGTCGAAGCGCCGCTGTGGTCGTACAAGCTCGGCCTCGAACAAGGTTGGATGCCGACGGACCCTCGCGAAGCCGTCGGTAAGTGCGCCGCGTTGGGTGCGACGAACGCAAAGTCGGCGTTCCCCGGGACCTACTCGGCGTGGCAGACGGGCGGTCAGGGTGCCGGGACCATCGCCGCGACTGCCGCCGCAACAGCGAGCCAGTGGCCGCCGACGACCCTCAGCGGTGTCTCTGGAGTCCCCATGGCGGTCCTGCCTACCTACACGCCGACGTCCACGATCTCGACGCTCCCGCCCCCGACGCTGACGGCCTCGGTGACGCAGGGAGACGGGTGGTTCGACGCGAAGGACACGCAGGGCGCGATGACCCAGGTCGCGGGGTGCAGCTATCCCAACGCGTGGGACTCGGCCGGCGTGGTGACGCCGACGGCGGCTTGTCCCGCAGGCGCCGCTGTCTCCGCGGCTGCGACCGAGCCGCCGACTCGGCAGGCCGCATTCTGACGGGCGTTGGTGGTTGAGCGGGAGGAGAGGTCCTGGCGCAAGTGGCGCGGCACGTCTGGGGGGTTCTAGCGCATGTGTGAGGTGGGGTGGATCTGTTGATTTAGCCTTTCTTGTTCGGGTCGCGCGTGGGCAGTCGGGCTGCTGGCGCTGTGCCCCGAGGCCTTCTCGCGGAGGCGTTGATTCTGAAACCTTGCAATTGAGGGAGGGTTCTTGTGCATTTCGGGAGAGAAGGACGGAAGGTGGGGAAGGTAGGAAGGGGGTGGTGGGGCTTCATGGATGCCGGTGGGCGTTCCGATGGACAGACGGACGTTGGTCATTCTTTTTCCTCTTTTCAATTCGCGTCTCGTTTCTCGCGCATTTCGGGACTTCTGATGTGGCCCGCCCCCCGCGGGCCGCGCCTGGCATCTGGCATTTAGCTTTCTTGGGCGTATATTGCGGTCGGGCGAGCGCGACGTGCTTGCTTTGGGCACGAGGCTGGGCGAGGTGCGACACGCTGATCGCTAGCGCGGCCGCTGCGTCATGTTCGTCATCCCTGGCTTCGCGCGCACCGAGTGGCGGTGCTTCTAGCCCGGTCCTCGTTGATGGCGGCGCGGTGCTGTCGACCTATATTCAGATTCTGCCTCGGCTTTTTTCCTGCGCCTTGAACAGACGCTGCAGTGGTGCACACACACGCACACAGACTCACATACACATACCCCCGCATACGGTCTTTCTCCTCTTTGACATTCGGTTCGGTTATACTTTTTGGTCTCGAATGGCGGACGCGTCGCGTCGCTCATACTTATAATTACATACGCGACGGCATGGTTTGTTCTTTCATCTCGTTATATTTTTTTTTATATGTATGTGTGGTGTTCGGTTTTGTACGCACGTCACATACGCTTTCCCGTGTCGGCGATGGACCAGTCTCAGTGACGCACGAGCTCGCCCGCTGACTCGCCGCTATACCCCATATACACGTCCTGCGCACGCCTCTGGGCCCGCTATCTATCGCGGTATTAATAAAAGACGACGGCATTTGTCTCGCGCGTGCGTGGGTTCGTGACATAGGGGCTACGTACATGCGTGTGGTTCGCGCGAGCTCGAGTCGCGGGTGGGCTATCGGGCTTGGCGAGCGGATCGGTTCGCGGGCTCGTCATGCGTGCGTCGGCTTCGAACGGGCTGCGTCGACGCGGCGTCTCGTGCGCGACGGGTGGGCCTGCCGCGGGCGAGGAGTCAGGAGTCGGTCTGTGGGGCCGACGTCCCACGTCTCGTGCGCGCGTCCGGGTGTGCTGATTGCCTGATCTCCCGGTTGCACGGGACCGTGATCGCAGCGGACGCGGTGTGGATGTGCGGATCGCCCTGGGGTCGCGGTCGCCTGCGGGAGGACATGTCGCGGCGCCGTGCGGGCATACTGTGGACGGGCAACGCGACGCGCGTAGCGGGGCGTCAGGTGTTCGAGTCACCGTGCAGGGACAGGGGTGCGGTTGCGGTTTCGGGCGCGCGGGAGGGGCGAAGGGGGCTCTGGTGACGGAAGCGCACCCGGTGGGGCGTGGGCGGTGACGCTGCTTACGGCGTGGGCCCAGAGAGAGAGAGAAGAGCGAGAGAGGGGGGCCGTACAGTAGCTGTGCGTTGTTCTCGGGTTCTGTGGTGTTTTTTTTTCGAGGCCATGAGGGGCCTTGAGGGGCGATGTGCGACCCGATCGACGTTCGAGGGCCGCTGGCACAGCGTTGTTCGCGGGTTCTGTGTGGTTTTTGGTGAGAGCGCCGTGAGAGTGCCATGAGGGGCGATGTGCGTTCGAGTGCCGCCGGCACCGCAACATGCATGCCTGACTGGGTCGCGCCGATCTAGTCATTCGGCTTTTCCGGCTCTCATGAGAGCCCGCCGCGGTCGATCGAGGCGGAACACTGGCGGAACGCGAGGGCGGGGGCGCGAGGAGGACGGGGGTGTTGACACAAGGTGCGGGTGTCCGCGCGCAAAAAAAGAAGTGGGACGCACGAAGGGAGCAGGGGGATGCACGAAGCGGGTGCCGGGTGGCGCTCGGGAGATGAACGTCGAGATGGGTGGGGGGTCGGAGCGTCCTGGGGCTTCTGCTGCGGAGTTTTTTTTGGGTGCTGTCTGTCGTCGCGCGTTCTGTGGGTGTTCAGATCTTCAGGCCTCAGGGTCCTGATCCGTCCACGTCGAGCCGCACAGGCCGCCGGGGCGCACGCTGCTGCAACTCCGAGTGGAGACGTGTAGCGCGTCGGTGGCTGGCAGGTTGCTGATGCGCACATATGGGGGTACGGGAGCGGTTCTCGAGTCCAGACGACAGACGATGCCGTGCGGTGCGTCTGAGACGTTGACAGGTGCCGTCAAGGAGGGCGTCGACGCACCGGTGTGCAGGGGCCCTGCTCCTGCTGCGAGCTCGTGTTCGCTGAGGCCGCGATCTGAAACGCGACGGGAGGGGGGCGCGCGCGAGGAAGCGTTGCCGGATTGCGATGCGATGACGAGCTGGGGACTCGTGTCGTATGTGCTGGTCTCGCCGTACGTACTGGCACACGCACACGCGTGCGTCCGTTTGACGTGGATGTGCGTCGCGAACCTCGGGGTCCTATGTCTGGACGGGTACGGTGGCGCTCTGTTTGAGGGTGAGGGTCGGGTTCGAAAGAAGGGGAAGGCGCGGTGGGAGGCACGACGAGCGAAGAGGCGGACACACAGGCGGACGCGAACCGGGGCGAAGAGAGCCGCTATCGGTGGATGAGGCAAGGCGCACGGGAGCCGCATCGGGACTCAGGGTGCGTATCTCGGAATGGGCACGGAAAAGAAGCGCCCGATGGGGGTTCTGGGCGGAGTGGCGCGTCGCGACGGGTGCGTGGGTGCGGTCAGCGTGGGGGAGGGGCAGGGGAGCGGAGGGATCGGGTGGGCAGAGAGGGCGCTCGCGGGGTAGAGCGAGGATGGAAGGAGAGGGCCGCGGTGTGCTCGTACGGCAACCGTCCTCAGGGATGCTGCGAGGGGCGCGTTTCAGGCCCCAGCCTGGGCACGGGCGGGGCGCATGAGCAAACCGATGCCGGCTCGGTGAGTTTTCCTTTCCGTCGTTCCGTCGCACATTGCACGACGAGCGTGGCGGCCGGGGTCGGTCGAGCGTCGACAGAGGCGGACGTTTCGATCCAGCTCGACGGGTGCAATATCAGACCCTCGTCCTCGCTCGACATCATTCGAGGAACATCCAGAAATCGAAGACTGCCGCCGCACACCAGAAAACAGGATCATCCGTGCTCCCTGCCCGCCAACACACTCTCACCGTCACCGAGCACGACCATCGCCATCGCCGTCGCGGGGGGGGTCCTTTTCCAAGCCCCTTGGCTCCCCCTGGGATCTTTCCCGCACCGCCCCTGGCGAGCAAAGGCCTGTCGTCTGATGATGGCTGCAGTGATGTGGCCCACAGCGTCGAGCGAACGACGATCAACCTTGCAATGCTCAGATGCAGATCGCTCGGCGCCTGCCGACCCGCACCCCGCCGCACCGATCATGGCAGTGTCGAGGGATCTATGTGGGTCCAGACGTTCCGATTCCGTTCGAGACCCCGTCTCTATGTACAAGTGTGATTCCAATGCATCTATCTTATCTGCGACGCGGGATCATGTGCAGCCCCGCCAACATGTGAATGTGCACACATCGGAGCGAGTAAACTCCCTGCCCTGCGTTCGTCGCAGCGGTTCATCAGACCGCCTCCGACTTTCCACACCAGAAACGCGAAAACTCGGCGGTCGCCTCTCCCCCTCCCCCGTTCGCGAGTTTCTCCTTATGCACATATTGCGATGCACCCCGAAGGGCATCAACAAACGCTTATTCGACGACTGAACGGAAGTTAGGAAGGAAGGAAGATGGGCGGGAGGATCCATCGATACTAATGGAACCCGACGCCGCATCCGGCAGTCCGCGAGAGCTCGCGCGTCGGGATGCACGCAGCTGCCAAGTAGGCAGGCGATTGAGTTTCCTCGCCGATCGGATGCGGCGCCGCGCGTCGCACGGGCAGACAGGACAGGACAGGACAAGACACGACACGACAAGACACGACAAGACAAGACACGACAAGACGGGATAGGATGAGATAGGACAGGCAACACAATCACGCGCGATGTGCGCACGGAGGGCACGAGGATAGCAGACCTTGGGTCGAAGAGCGCGCCAAATTGGCCGTTGCATGGTGCGCAGACACAATCACGCGCGGCGAACTGGTTGGGGTTGGGAGTAAGAGAGGGCGCGCACCACGACACTGCGTGGCGTGGCGTGGCATGGCGTGGCATGGCATGGCATGGCATGAGATAGTGACCGCACAGATATAGAGTTGCGACGACGCCTAGGCCCGCGTCCGCCGCTCGAGCACACGGCGCAGGGCGACAGGAATGGATGGACGAACGGTGGATCGCGATCGCGATCGGGGGGTCACCCGCGGGGCGCCCTCCCCGCTTCCCTCTAGCCGCGCTGACATGCCGAGGGAGCAGAAAGGCTATCGGGGCGTTGTTCGGGCGCAGGGACGTTGGGGCGGGGCGGGGGGCGAGCAAGGAGCAGACAGGGTGTGGATCGGGGCGCTTGTGGTTCGGTCGGGGACGGTGGGTGCTGGGCGCATGCGATGGGGCACTGACGTGATGGGGGAGGGAGCCTGCGGGCTGGGTGCGCGAGCCGGAGAGAGGGCACCTGGAGCGATGGAACTCGCGATGCGACGGGACAGAGAAGGAAAGAGGGAGGACCGGGAAGAGAGACGCGAGAGGGAGAGAGCGGGGCGTTTGGGCTAGCGCATACTGGTTGCGCTTGGAAGGGTGGACGAGGCTAATTTGCGCGCCCGTCTCGACGAAATGTTGGGGAGCCTCGTTCCGCGTATGGCCAAGGTGCTGCGAGGACGCACGCGCCTCTCGAGGGCGTCCGTCCGGAGACGCATCTGGCCTCTTCATTTGCGTTTAGCTTCCCTTCCGAGGCGAGCAGAGCAGAACAGAACGAGGCGAGAACGCACTGAAGAGAGAAGAGAGAAGGGCAGGCGAAGGCGAAGGCGAAGGGTGAGTGCAAATTGCAGAACTAGTAGAATGAGGGTGCAGCCAGAGGCGCCGGGGCTGCCAGTGATCCGGGCGCAGTTGCGAACAACGTGGTTCGCAAGCGTACGGCATGATGTTCCGAGCGCAGCATGCGTTCGACGCCAGATACTCAGCCAATTGAATCCGCCAGCGCTCGAAGCAAAACTCGGAATGTGGGGCCGCATGCAGTGGGCGGCAGTCCGACTGGAGAGAACCCTGGCAGCAATGGGGATGGCAATGGGTCGCGCTGTGGCTCGGTTCGTCGCCGCTAGAACATCGAAGGGCGAGAGAGGGTGAGCAGACGACCCGGAAACATCGAAGCCTCGTCCAGCGCCAGTCGCAGCAGCAATTCTGTCCCCTGTGATACGAGCAAAAGAAAGAAAGAGAGAACACAAAAGCGAGCGAATAGGTTCCGATCAGCAGAGAGTAAGCAATGACCGCGCCGTACGTACGTACATGCCATCAGCAGCGCCTGCCTGCTCGTCTCCTGGGCTAGTCTCCCTGTCGGGATGCTGCTAGCAGCTGGCGACTGGCAGACACCGCCAGCACTAACTTAGCATCACCGCACGAACGACCCGCGCAGAGCGATCCCAAGCGATCCTCATTACCACATCTTCCGACCGCCTCCACAGGCCAAGCAAGGCTCGTCAGCCTCCCGTGATCCGAGGTCCTACAGAACCGCAACACCCGCTGAGCGAGCAGGCCAAGCCGGACGCGCGATGTCAAGGCGGCCAATAATCGACAATTGGTCGTTGGTGGCCGGCGTCGGGCGAACAATAAACTTTCATTTCGGACGCAGAGCGCGCGATCGGGCCAGCGGAGAGCGGCTCGAACCGAACCGCGCCCCGGAGCGCGTGCTTCCCGAGATCTGCATCGACAATCGCACGATATCATCTGGCATCATCATCGCCCACCCGATCCAGTGCAGTCCATTGGTCCCTCCCTGATCGAATTTCCGGCTTCGAAGCGGAAGCAGAACAGCGGGCGGGGACGTCGTCAACTTGCTAGCGAGATCGAATTTACCTCCTTGCGCAACTTATTATGCGTGCATGGATCGCGCGGCGCGATGCTCCATATGTGCGCTCTCGTCCGTGGCCATTCAGTCGCGTACAATAACGAACGTACGTACGCAGACGAGCGAGCGAGTAAAGCGAGGGCACGCGCCGCCGACTCGCACGTCCGCAAAATTAAGTTCCCCGAATCCGAATTCCGAATCTCGAATCTTGGTTCTCGAATCTCGAATCCATCTGCGCGGTGCGTAACCATGGCCCTGCCAGGCCTTGCTCGCGAGCGGGACGGGAGCCCAAATGCGGCGCGCAATGAATCGACCCGGAGAGGAACCTCGTCCGGGCGGGGTACAGCAGCGGGCGGACTCGCACGACCCCACACGTCCATGTGCGTCGATACTGCCACCGAGCCACGCGGGCCGTCGGCGGAGCGTGCGTGCGTCGAATCACGACGCGCAGCGAGCCAAGCCAGCACTCCCTCGCGGCGGCTTGCTCGGTCCAAGACGCAAGAGTGCCCAGAGGGAGCAGCAGCAGGGCCGCGTCTAGGGGCCACGGCTGGGCAGGGCGGATCAGACGACGGGATCGACGCGGGCGCGGTGCATAATACCACGCCTGCATGCGACAGGTTACGTGGGGCAATGATGCGCCGCTCGGAGCTGTCGGGGGCGGGTGGGGCGGCGGATCCCCCGCGCTTCCTGCTGGCTGGCTGGCTGGCAGCTTGCTGGCACGGAAAGGGAAGCGGCAGAGGACGGCGGGGGCGGGTGGCGCGCGGATCTGCGGGGAACGCTCTGCGGGGTAGGCGCGCGCGGCGGGCGATGCACGGTGCATAGAACGGTAGCCCCACACGCCGTCCGTCCGTCCGGCGAGCGAGCGAGAGAAAGAGCTGCGTGCATGCGTGCGTGCGTGCGTGCGTGCGTGCGTGCGAGCATCCATGCGCGGAGCACGCACGCACGCATACCATACAACGCAACGCACACCATACAACGCAGCGCACGCCATACAACACAACACAACACAACGCAGCGCGTCCGTGCGACGCGCGCGTCTCCAGTGGCGCGCCTTCCGTCCCTCCGCCGCCCGCGGACTCCGCGCGCAGGTGCGATCGGGGGCGCCGAGCGCGCGGAAAGCGTGGTGCGCCGCGCCGCGCCGCTCCCGTGTCGATTTGCGTGCTTTGGGCTGCGCTGCGCTGCTCTGCACTGCTGGGGGCACGACGATCCCCCAGTCCGCGCGCAAGCGCGCGTGCGGGCGGGTCGGCGGCGGTGGAGACGGAGGCGGCGTGGCTGCGCCCGCCCCTCGCCTCCGTCTCCCAGCCAAAACGCGTCTCGTGTCGTGTCGTGTGCGTCGTGTCGTGTGCGTCGTGTCGTGTCGTCCCCTCCCGCCCTGCGCGACGCCACGCACTCGCCACAGGACGCACAGCCCCCACCCCCCACCCCAGCTCGCCTCCCGCCTCTCCCCCAAGCCCAAGCACAAGCGCAAAACGCGGAACGCGCGCGGGATCGCCTCGCGCCGCGCCGCGCCTCATCAGCGAGGCCTAGAGCACATAGCAACGGCCGATCCCACCGCCCAACGTGACGTGTCGCGACGGCATTGAACCAGACATTGGACGGATAGACGGAGATAGACGGCCGGACGGCCAGATAGCCAGATCGCCAGACGGACGGACGGGCGGACGGACGGATGGACGGATGGCGTCGCGTCGCGTTGCGCTGTCGGGGACGTCTGCGCCTCAGGGCCCAGGTACGCGCGCGCGATGACGGCGACGGTGCCTCGTCTCGCGTGCGCAGCAAGCCAAGCCAGGGCAGAGCAGAGCGGGACGGGGCAGGGCAGGGCGGGGCGGGGCGGTGCGGTGCAGCGCAGTGCGGGGGGCGCAGGCAGCTATTAGCCAAGCGAGTGAGCAGCCAAGCACGCGTGCGCGAGTGTGCAGATCGCGCGTCGGGGCGCAGCGCTGCCGCTGCCGCCGCCGCCGAAACGAGGAGGGCCGATCGCGCCTCGTACGTACCGAGGAGCGCACCGAGTCGTTTACGGTACGGTACCACCACACGGTGCACGCTACACGCTACACGCTACACGCTACACGGTGCGCGGTGCGCGGTGGCCCATAAGTCTTGATTGATTGTCTTGGGTGATCGTATTGGACGAGAATTGTCTTGGGCGATTGTATTGGACGGGCGTCTTCCGAGCGCGGACGCGCGATTATCGCTGCTGGCTGGCTGCGGATGGCTGCTGTTGACTGGCTGACTGGCTGACTGGCTAGCTGGCTAGCTGGATGGTGGTTGGTTGGCTGGCTGGATGGATGGATGGACGGTGGTTGGCTGCTGCTGGCTGGCGAGTGGCCGCGGCCAAGGCGTAGTATTGAATCGGCTGGCGCGCGATGCGATGGGAGGCGAAGCGAGGGCGAGAGCGCGCGCCGAGTCGGACGCAGATGCGAGGTGAAGATGGTGCTGGTGGTGGAGGAGGTGGGCGAAGATGCGGAGCGGGGCCTGGAGTCTGGAGGTGTAGCAGACTGCAGCAGACTGCCGCACCGAGACGCGCGCGCCGGCGGCGGAGACGGGCCTGGACGAGCGGAGGCACGCAGACCGGGACCGCACTTTCTAGAGCCGCGCGACACCCGCGTGCGCACCCGCGCACCTACGCACCCACCCGGCCCCCCTGCGCCTCCGAAAGCCGTGCAGCCGCACACCGACCCACACCCCACACCGAGTCAAGCGCGGGTGCGGATCGCGGTGCACGATCGCTGATCACGGATCGGTGCAGCAGCAGCCGCGCGCCAACCGACAGTTTTTTTTTTCGCTCCGTTGCTGTTGCTGTTGCTGTTTCGTCGTCGTGCGTTATCGACGACGGCCCTATGGTCGTCGCCATTGCGATACCCGCGAGCGCGTGCAGAACGGTCGCGCGACGAGCTCCGCCGTGCCCATCCTGAGTCGCGATGGGTGCGCGAGGCGACGGGGGTGCGCCGGCGTTCCTTCCGTATATGGCTCCGAGGGTCCTCGACTCGGCGCGACTCGAGCGGGCGCGGGCGGGCGCGGGCGGGCCGGCGTGCACGGCGATTGGCTGTTGGCTGTTGGCTTGCCATTGGCTCAGGCGATAGCGGCCCTCGTTCGTCGGATTTGGGGACCGGGGTGTGCGATTGGTGGAGTGGGCCGTTGGGTTGCCGGTGGGGGCGGCGTGAAAAGAATTTTGGGAGGACCTACGCGGCGAGTGGGTACGTACGGTGATGCGGCGGTACGACGAGAGGCGCGGCGGGTATTGGACGTGGGCGGGTGCGACAGGGGTGACGTGGGTGCTTGGACGGCGACGAGGGGCTTGTTGGGTGCGGGGGCGTGGAGGGGGTGGACGGACGGAGGGGACGATGGCACTCGTGTTCTAGCGCGGAGCCGGGGCGCGGGTGGACGGAAGGGACGGATCGAGATGGCGATGGGGATCTGGGGCGTCGTGGGGCGCCGAGTGGGAGCGCCGATGCGGGGACCGGTTCGGTTCGGTTGTGGTGCGGGGCGAGCGGGTCGTGCTCGCGGACGGACGGTGCGGCGGGGGGATCCGAGGACGGGCAGCAGGCTGGCTGTCGCGCGCGCTCGCACAGCAGAAGCGCGGGGGCGGGCGGACGAGGGCCGGGGACAGCTCAGAGGGCCGGCGATGTGCGCGCCCCGCATCCGCCCCCCCGTTTCTATATAACGCCCCGCTCGCTCTCTCCTCTCCCCGTTCTCTGCCCGCTCCCCCTCCTCCTCCGCTGCGCCCATGTCCGCCTCCGCCCTCACCGACTACGTGCGCATGTCCGCCGTCGACGACCTCTCCTACCCCCTCGTCGGCGACGACCGCACCCGCGACGCAGTGCACACCATCGTCAGCGGCCGCAAGAGCTGGAAGACCCTCAAGGGCAAGGGCGAGGCCGTATGGCCCCCCTACCTCGAGGCCGCCCTCGTCGAAGGTGCGCACCCCCCCCCACCCCACACTCCTCCGTCTGCGGTCCCTCACCCGCACCCACCCAGCCCTCGACAAGTACCGCCCCGAGTCCTCGCGCTCCACCCGCTCCCTCTCCCGCTTCCCAAACCGCAACCGCTTCATCTCTGACTACATCTACCACGTCACCGGCAAGCGCAGGACCGCAAAGCAGGTCGGCAGCCGCCTCCAGCAGCTCCGCGACACCTGCGGCGGTAAACGCAGTACGTGCACCCCCCCTTCCTCCACTAACGTGCCCTCACGGTACACTCAATCCCATGCAGTCCTCAAGCTCCTCTCCAACCGCGACTTTTCCACCCCCGCCTCCGCAACCTCCACCCCCACCGCGCCGCACCACGACTCCACTGGCGGCGGCGGGTATCCCAACCCGCACTCAGGCGCGCCCGGCTCGCCCTACCTCCCCTCCGACGCCCGCGCCTCCCGCGCTCTCGTCACCATCGACGTCCTCCCCGCCGCCGCACCCTGGTCCCCCTCCCCTGCCCCCTCCCCCGCCCTCGCCCCGCTCGCAGCCCTCACACCCGCCCTCGCCCCGCGCGCAACACCCCCGCGCTCCCCGCGCCGCACACCTCCGCTCTCCCCACTCACCCCGCTCTCCCCCACCCCCACCACCGCCTCCTTCTTCCCCACCACCGCCTCCTCCCCACACATCGCCCTCCCCTCCCTCCCCTCCCTCTCCTCCTCCACCTCCTCCACCCCCTCCTCCTCTTCGTCCCTGCTGTCCTCCCCGGCCCACACCCCAAGCTCCACAGCCCCCGTACACGTCTTCCGCTCCCCGCGCCCCCGCCCCCTCCGCGCGATCGACAACACGGTCGCGTTCGCGGCCCCCGCACGCGTCCCCGCGCGCTCGGCGTGCTCGGTGTACTTTGATGGCAACTGCGTGCACTCGGAGGTCACCGCCATGGCGTGCGTGCGCGCGCCCGCGTTCAAGTCCGTGCTCGCGACTTCGGCGGCGGGAGGAGGGCATCTCCACGCGATGGGCGCTGGGTCGGGGTTTGGCGCGGGCTCGGGGTGGGCGGATCGCCTTGGCGAGAGCGTCAGCGTCAGCGTGGACGGCGTGGGCGGGCCGTTCGCGGAGGGGGAGGGGGAGGGCGCGGGGGAGGAGGACGTGAAGAGCGCGCCGCTGTATCTGTATCGCGCGCCGCTGGTGCCTAGTTTCTGGCAGAGGCTTTGCGAGGCGAACGGTGCGTGGGGTGTTTTTTTCGTTTTGGCGTTTTGGCGTTTTGGCGGTTTGGAGAGCGGAGAGCGCAGGGCTGACTCGAACTTCGATCGCGGGCGCGGTAGATCCGGGGCGGTACTCGATCGTGCAAGAGATCCAGCAGACGGCGTCCGTCGCCTCCTCCTCCTTCCGCGCGTCCTCGTCCTCCTTCCGCGGGCCGTCACCCTCGGCGGACGGGAGCGCGTCGGACGAAGAGGGCCGCGATGCCGATCGCGATGCCGACGTGGGCGCGGGCGTGGGGACCGGGCAGGGGCAGGGGGTGCACGCGGTGCTGCTGACGATCGTGTATCAGCTGCAGGAGGCCGAGGCTTCTGGCGCGGCGGGCGCGGCGGGTACGTTGGGTACGTTGGGCGCGGCGGGCGCGGCCGGTGCGTTGGGTGTGGGGCCTCGCGTCAAGTCGCCGGCGTCGCCGGCGTCGAGTTCGAGGACGAGTTTGAGCTCGGGTTCGAGGACGGGTTCGTCGGATGGGTCGACGGCGCGGGATCATCATCATCAGCAGCAGCAGCAGCACACGCAGCAGCATCAGCATGGGCAGCACGGAGGACAGCAGCGGTTGAGTGCGGGGCGCCAGGAGTTGGAGGACGCGTTCATGTGCGACGTGCGTGTTTTTCTCTAATAACTCCCTCGTCCTTCTTTCGCCCAGGCCGCGCCGGCGGGCGAGAGTCTTTTCTGGCGGCACGTCGGTGTCGATGCCTGTTGCCTGTTGCCTGTTGCTGACGCGCGGCGGTTTGTATGCAGCAGACGTTCTTGGGGCTCCCGCTGTCGCCCGCCGGCTCGCCGTTCGCGGACGCGCGCGCGAATGTTAGTGCGGGCGCGGGTGCGGGTGCGAGTGCGGGTGCGCATGGCGGGTTTGGGGGGATGGGCGCCGGGATCGGGGGGATGGGGTCCATGAGCGGGCTCGGGTCCATGAGTGGGCTCGGGGGCATGAGCGGGCTCGGGGGGATGGGGAGTATGGGGAGTATGGGCGGGATGGGGAGTATGGGCCTCGGCGGGATGGGCATGGGGATTGGGATGGGCGGGATGGGCGGGATCGGGGGTATAGGCGGGATGGGCGGTATTGGGGGGATGGGTATGGGCGGGATGGACGCGTTTGAGCTGCTTGATCCTGAGCCGTTCGGGGCGCATGGGCGTGGACAAGGACACGGGCAAGGACACGGGCACGGGCACGGGCACGGGCACGGGCACGGACATGCGCACGCTGGGAGCGGGAGCGGGAGTGGGGCGGGTGCGGGAGGGTGGTATTCGCCGTCGCCGGTCGCGCAGCAGCAGCAGCAGCAGCAGGGACACGGGCAGCATTGAGCGGATGGACGGGGCGCGCGGGCGGGAGAGCCCGGTTTCCCTGTCTCCGTCTCCGTCTCTGCCTCTGCCTCTGCCTGCCTCTGCCTGCCTCTACCTCCGCCCCCGCCCCGCCCCCGCCTCCACCCGTCGTCGTCGTCCTGTCTCGCTCGCTCGCTCGCTCGGTCCCTCTGCTATTTTTTCCTCGCGCACTTTTCTGGTCGTTGGTCACCGCTCTGCGCTGGCTAGCTCTCCGTATGCCGGCCGCGGCGCCTTTTTGCATTCGCTCTCTGCCTTTCTGCATCCGCCCTTTCGCTTTTCTGCATCTGCATCTGCCTGTCGCCTCCTTTCGCGTTCGCCTGTCGCCTGTCGCCTTTCTGCATTCGCTTTTCCGCCGACCCCTCCTTTCGCATTCGCCTCTCGCCTTTCGCCTTTCCCCTTTCGCCTTCCGCCTTTCTGGCCTCAGCGCCCCGCCCTCCAGCGTCTCGCCCCTGGTACCCTGATGCTGATCGTAGCTGATCGTCGCGCGCGCTGGCACTGGCGTTCCGATCGTCGATCGTCTGATTGTCGTCTGTCGCACTCGTATCGTTGCGCGCCTCAGCTCGTCAGCTCGTCGGTTCGTCGGTTCGTCGGTTCCTTGGTTCCTTGGTTCTTTTTTTTCTGTTGTGGTTCGGTTCTTTAGGACTCGTTCCGCACTTGGTTGTGCCTTGAGCCGCTGGGCAATGAGCGGTCGTCAGCATCAGCATCAGTATCAGTATCAGCATCAGCACCAGTACCAGCATCAGCATCAGCATCAGCACCGGGAAGGATCAGGATCAGCGTCGGTGTGGTGCAGTCGCCCAGTATACGCTCGTCCGTGGGTGCCCTGTCGTCCCCGTCGTCTGCGTCCGCGTCCCCATCATCTTCCCCGTCAGCGCTCGGCGTCAGCGTCTCCCCATCTCGTCTTTTTTTTTTGCTTTGCTCTGACTTGCCTTGCATTGCCATTTCGTTCTTGTCCGGCGGCGTCTTCTTCTCCCCCGTATGACCCGCCCCCTGTTTTCGTCGCCCCCGCCACCGCCACTATGGTGCGCGATGTATGCCTCTCCCATCCCCTTCCGCTTGCCCTTGCAGTTTTCCTTTGCAGTTTTTATCGCTTGATCCTCGCTCGCGCCATCAGCACCAGCGCCAGCGCCAACGCCGCCCGTGCATAGATCTGTTTTTTTTGTAGCCATACCCCCGTGCGCTTCGTCGCCTCGTTGCTTGCTCGCTTGCTCGCTTGCTCGCCTGCACCACTGCCTGCTCCCCGCTCCCCGCCCTGTCGCATTATCGCATATCTGCATATATCTGCATATATCTGCGTATTGTCCGCGTATTGTCTGCGTATGCCCGCCCGCCGAACGGACGGTCTGTGTTTTCGTTTGCTCGGGTGTCTTTATTTCGTTATTCCTGCATCTGTTTTTGTTTTTGTGTTTTTGTTTTTGCGTTTGCGTTTGCGTGTCTGCTCGCAGCTTGTTTGATTTGACTCCCGTCGGTTCTGTTACTCTAGTATCTGCATGTTCGTGCTCTGTCCGTTCCTCTGTCTTTCTATCTTTCTGTTTTTCTGCTCGATCGATCATCGCCCCCGCGGCCGTCTTGCTTTGTCCGACCTCCCTCCCGCTCCCGACTCGTCCACTCCGTCGCAGTATTAGTAATTCCACCCCGCCCCGTCTGTCCATATCCGCTCTGCATCGCTCCACCATCCGCCACAGCTCACCATAGCTCACCAGCCTTGGCTCATCCACAGGTCTCGTATTCTCGCCGCCTGCTCACCTGCTCGACCTGTTCGCTTGTTCTGCCCTCGCTTATTATCACAAATTTACTGTATATCTTTCCGGGCTCGGCGCGACACCGAAGGAGGAGGGGGGGGGGTCCGCCGCTGCTCGTGGAGAAAGTCGTATATAGCCGCCCCTGCGCGTGTTCGTAGTGTCTGTCTTATTCGTATTCGTATCAATATCTGCATTGGCATCTCGTCTCGCCTCGCCTCGTCCCGCTCCACGCGCCGCTGTTCAAGTACTGTGTTGCTGCTGTCTGCTGGAGCCCGTGGGCGATGGACGATGGACGACCCTCGTTACGTTACTCGCGTGGTACCCTACGCGCTCTACGCACTCTACGCACTCTACGCGCTCTACGCGCTCTACGCACTCTACGCACTCTACTTGCCCTCGCGATCGCGATCCTGTCGTCGTCGCCCGTCTTTTCAAAAATACGATATACAAAAGCTCGCCGGCGCGGGTCCCTCCTGCCACCCCGCCCGCCCCGCCCGCCCTGCCCGCCTCCGACCCGCGCCTCTCGGGACCCCAGCGATAGCCGCTCACAATTACTGTCGCGGCGCACGCAAGGCGGTGGGCTGCCCGGCTGACCGTTATTTATCATTCAGCGGGGCAGTAGCGAATTCGACGCATACCAGCGTCCGCGGCGCGCCTCGGCGACGCAACTTGCGCTGCCCATTTGGCCAAGCGCACTGCTTGATAGCAGGCAGGCGTGCTTGATTAGTGCGCGTGGTGTGGCCTACGGCCGACTTGCATGGCGCGGCCTGGGCTTCGTCTGGATGGCCCTGTGTGGTCCCTTACTCACGGCCGGGAACGTGATTCGCCGACGACAATTGAATGCCTGGAGGTGGTGGTGGTAGTGGTGGTGGTGGTGACGGCCGGTGACTGTATGCGAGCCCCGGCGCGAGGAGCGGAACGGGCCGCGGTAAATGGGTCGGATCCGCTCGGCTGGGTCCCGCGTGGGAGCGCGCGCGCGCGCGAGGGTCACCACTGGGTCACCTGGGTCACCTGCCCCCCCGCGTCGCACTGCTGCGGGAGATTGGCGGGGAAATGGGGGGTCAGATTTGCCCCGCCCGCCGTGCCCGAGTCTGGAGTGCTCGCGGCGCGGTGCGGTGCGGTGCGGCGCCAGCGTGGGGGAGCTCTCGGTTCGGGTTCGCGAGCGCGTCGGGAGCAGAGGTGGGGGACGCGGGGTGCTGGTTGGTTGGGCCAGAAGAACGCCGGAAGGAGGGGATTGAGAGCACGCGCTGCGCGATCGTTGTCGCCGCCGCTGCCGCCGTCGTGATCACGGCTGTCAGCCCATGATGGGGCTAAACACTGGCAGGGGGAGATCGTGCCGAGAAATCTCGATGGGCGATACGGCATGTCCATAATGACCATGATGGCTTCTTTGCGCGATTCGGGGCAGAAGCAGAAGCGTATGCGGCAGAAGGGGTAGTCATGCAGGCCGCGCCGGGCACATACACACATGGGTATGTAAGTGTGGGCATGGGACAAACGCGTTCTGGGCTCTCTGGGCACAATTGTGCAAATGGATGCTTAATGAAAGAAGGCCCGGATGAATTCGACTGGGCGGCTGTGGCACTCGGTACGCTTCGCTTACTTACTTGCTACATGAACTGTGTGCGCTTCTGCGTCCCGCGTATGTATTGTATACGTACGGCTGGCGGGCGAGCGATCACATTGGCCGGGCGAGGAGGGGCTGGGGTCCGTCGCGGGCGCATTCAGGATGACGTCTGGATTCCAGAAATGCGTCGCGCCTTCTGGGTCAATTTCGAAAGCGTATCGATGGTCGACCGACCGGCTGCGCCGTCGCCGCGCAAGGGGGTGTGCAGAACGCGGCCACGATTGCTCCATGGAGTACAAGGGCAGAGACCTCGCGTTTACGAATACAACGGAGCCTCGCAGGCGGGCGAGGGTCGGCGGTAGGCAAACGTGGTTATGTCGGGGATCGGGTACAGAGGGATACCCGAGTTTGGAATCGATTGGGGGATTAGTGCGATTGGTGCACCCGAGCGTATCGCAGGGCGCGTGTGGCGAGGGAGCGAGGGAGGCCTGGGGCCTGCCTGGGGAATACAGTGCCCTGGCAGCTGGGATTGGGGCGCAAGGGGAGTGCGATTACAGCACGCGGGGCCCGATGGCGAGCGTGATCGTGTCCGGTGCCAGGGTGGGCAAAGCGCCGCTGAAATGGGGAAAGCCGCAGGGGACAGGCGAGGTCGGCAGGCGAGGCACGATCCGCAGCGCCTGCTGAACGGATCGAGGCGAAACAATACGCGACGAGCGACACCTGCTGGACAGGGTGGCGCAAAGGGCGCGTGTACGTAGAGGACCACGCATCTCGAATGCAGAGAAGAAGATTGTTCTGTTTGCATCTTTGTTTGTGTATATCTTTCGGGATTCCGCTGTGGAAGGCTCGCACAGACTGTTCCACATGCGGTCAAGCCAAGCCGGAGAAAGAGTTGTGACGGGGAGCGGTGCTGGTGAGGGTGCTCCTGGCTAGCGCCGATGGGAGTGCATCGCACTCGCGCTATCTGTTCCGTGCGAATGCCGAACCTTCTCGGTGGGCCTGAGAGTAAAGTTGGGACGTGTAGATCGAACAACTTCATGCGATCGTGCGATCCGCTGCATCCAAGGGGGGCAGGCCGGGGGATGAAGTGGACGATGGTTTGATGCGGTGGAGAGAAAGCGGCGGGATTATCGCACCCTGTGTCGTTCAAGCTCTCGATACTCCTGGTCGCCCTGCAATTGAACGATTGTGGGAGCGAGAAGCTCCGCTAAACACCAAGCTGTCTTGTCGTCATGTGCTAGACAAATGGGGTTGTGGGGTGCGAAGAGGACATTGATTGGAAAGCCAGTCCATTGCAGTTGTTTCGACATAGGCAGTTCGAAGCTCGAAGTAGATGATATACGAGGCAGAGTTCAGAGCGGTCGTCCAATGTGAGAGATGGCGTGACCTGATTGACGCTGGATGAACTAGATAGACGTCCGTCCGATATGGGTGAGGACCATCCTCTCACACCAAGCGACACCCAAAGAGACCTTTCGGTCTCAGACATTCAACGGAACGAGACGGCAACTTGAAACGCGGATGCACATGAACCGCAACCGCCCTCCAGGGCACCGGGGCTCTCTGGAACTGACCAACGCCGCAACTCGCGTGCCAGTTGGCTCCAATTTATTCTTAAGCCATCATCAGAAGACGTCCCTAGGAGAGCGCATACTCGAGAATAGGTCCGCTGCCAGGGGATGTGCGCGCGCATGTGAATATGCCATGGGAATCGTTGGGGATTGATCATCGATGGGGCGCTTGCCTGGAGAAAGTTCTTGGGAGTCGGGGCTTGGAGCTAGACAGTCTGGGCGGAACAGGTCTGGAGAAGCTAGAAGGTGCAGACCGATTGGAGAAGCTACGAGCACAGGCCAATCCCATTTTTTGTACGTATCGCTGAGGCGCCGTTCTATGTCAATTGGGCGAGTATCTCGGGTCGACGAGCTTGAGACCAGAGTCGGGACGTCATCTAGTGGGATGGCAATCAAGGGCCCTCCTGTCCGCGACGGGCGAATCTGGCAGGTCGCTGAACCTAGCCGTGTGTCCTGCACATCTGGCAGCGAGTACCAAGAGACCCAGCGGGATTGCGAGACCTGAAATATGTCCACGTCGGAAGTCCATGAGTGCCTAATTTGGTACCGAAGAACAAAAGAGATCAGACTCACTTCGACCGCACCAGCCCGGAAGCCGAACAGCAAAAGCCATCAGGCAAACCAGACCATGCGAGAGACTGACTGGCGGACATGGGATTCAGCTGGGAAGGCCCCAGTTGAACTTTCTATCACGTCAGATATCACAGTGAAAGAGTCAAATGTTACGGTGGATGACTGAATGATCACCCTGGATGGAAGATGTATTCATTTTCTGACGCGCCGCCAGTTGTCGCTGCTCTTGCTCGGGACTCAGCATGGAGCAATGCACGCACGCGCCGGACATAAGCAAGACAAAGGGTGGAAATCATGCGCAACGTTCATCCTCGCCGTTTCATAAGCTCCGATCGAAGTGAACTTGGAGTTGAAAGTCTAGTGGTGGATACTCCGAACCTGAGGTGGATCTGCAAACCGCAGACATAGATAGACAATGCAATAGCTTGAATAACTTGAATAGCTTGTGGTGAGATACTGAAAGGGAGGATCCCATACGAAGAAACAAGAGCAGGCGGGAACGGCGCGGCTCAGGCGGGCGGGCGGGCGGGCGAGTGGGCACGTACAACCAATTGTGACGTCAATAACTGAAGCACCATCGTATTGAATCGAACAGAGCAAAACACATGAGAGATCCAGATGCAGTCACGTAAAATGAGCAAATGAAAAGGGTGATATGAAAGCACTACTACCTTTGGAAGGTTACCACCCCCGAGGAGCGTCAGCCTTGGACTGTTCAGCATCCAAAGCCACCGCAAGTCACTGAAGGAAATCAATACTCCACCGCGTCATCGTCGTCAGCCTGCATAGGCGCCGGCTCATCCTTCCGCTCAGGCTCAGCAGCAGTAGCCTTCTCAGCTCCGTTCCTGCCTTCATCCGCGCGTTCCACGGGTTCACTACCATTGGTAACAGCGGGAGGCTCGTCGACGTCCATATCAGCGTCACGCTTCTCGGTTGAGGGTACAGCATGGGACTCGTCTCTACGCGGTGAAACGACGTCAGCCCCCGTATCCCCATCTTTCACTTGCTGCTTATTGGCCTCCCGTTCAGCCTTTTTACGAGCCTCTTCCTCTGCGGCACGGTGCCGAAGTGTGCGAATCTCTTCAATACCAGCGGTCCGGCCGGCGCGGAAAGTGTTCCACTCTGTTTCGGCAGCTTCTTTAACCTACGCGCAGGACATGTTTCAATTCCATTTCCTGTATATCATCAAGATATTGGTGGCACGTACTTCAGCTTTGCGCTTTGCGAGAAAAGCTTCTTGAGATGGAAGGAGAGTAACAGGGAGATAGAACAAGGGAGGTGGATGAGAACGAGGCGGTAGCGATAAGGGCGCGCGTGTCGATGCGGGTTCTGAGTCGTCGATTGGGATGTCGTCAGATGTAGAAAGGAAATTGGAGAGAAGTGGTAGTCGTGTCCGACGAAGCTTGTGCTACAATGATAGCGTAGAGTTGAAAGACAAGTTGTGCATTATGATGGCGTGACATACGATCGAATCATTGAGCTGCAGCTCCTCCTCCTTCCGGTTCGCAATGGTCTTGTCCTTTTTTGCCTCTTCGGCTCTCCTGACCGAGTCAGTTTCTTTTCGAATCTTGTCCTGCAGTCTTTGTTCAATCAATTGTCGTTTCTTGCCCTAGTAAGTCGCGCAGTGTCAGTAGTCTCAAGGATGCCAGATGGGGTCCATGCTTACCGCTTCGCTAGAATTTCTCTGAATATCTTCTTTCTTCGCCTTGTTGAGTGTTCCAAGAACTATACCAAAAATACTTTTGCCGCGTTTGCGCTCCCTGGATTCAACGTTGAGGTCCAAGCGAGGTCGTTTCTTAGTTCCAGTTGCCATTGCCGCAGGTCCGGTCGGGATGTCTTTGTCTTGCATTTGAGCGTCGACATCTGGTTGCTGCAATTCGGCTGTAGAGCCACGATTTTGTCTAGTTGCCCATCAGAAAGGTGTTTGATGGCCATAAATGAGAAGGAACACACTCTTCCGCAGACATTTCGCTGGCTGTAATGGTAGCAAGAGACAGATTGAGACAAGAACAGGCGGAGTTCGAATTCGATTAGAACGACGCGTAGCCTCACGTAGCACATCTAAGTTTGCTCATTGCTCTCGACGACGACGGCTGTAATGCCTCCAAAGCCTTCGGGATTGCTCAAGAAATCTGTGCCATCCTTGAAAGACGTGAGGAAGAAAGCATCGACCAAGCAACCTCTCCCTGTCTCAGAGCGCCTGAAGCGCCTGTTTAATTCACTGTGTGCTCAGATCGACGGCGGTCACTTCACGAATGCAGTCAAGACATGCGACAAGAGTGCGTGTTCAAGCTTTCATTTGATTTCTTTCCATCCAACCTGTCTGTTCCTGCAGTCCTTCGACTAGACCCGAAGGATAAGGATGCGCTGCAAGCCAAGCTCTTTCTTCTCTTGCAAATTGAGCAATACAGCGCTGCTCTGACTTTGTTGGACTCCCTTGGGTCATCCTCCGAAGGTGCTTTTGAGAAGGCCTATTCGCTATATCGCTTGCAACGCGAATCGGAGGCATCCCAGATATTAAATGACATCAAGCAGTCAAATGTCGACGATCGAGGAGTCTTGCATCTGGAAGCTCAGCTGGTATGGGTGCTTGTATGCATTCGTGCATTTTTCTCCTCATGTTTTCCGCAGAGTTACCGTCAAGGATCTTACCACGCCGCTTTCGACCTGTATAACCAGCTTCTAGACACGGCCGATCCGGTGCGTCTATTTCCCCGTTCACTTCTGCATTCAGTCCCGACCGTTCCACGCAGCAAACTGAGGAGCACTCCGATATCCTCACGAATCTCCAAGCATCCCAACGACATCTAGATTTTATCAACACCGACTATCTTCGCGTCCTTGACCAACTCCCGATGTCCGTCACGAATAGCCTTGAGACGTCCCAACCGCCGGTACACCCGACTACTTCATTATTGCCCTTGGCAAATGCACCATCTGCCGAAGAGAAGATGACGAAACCGAAACTGAAGAAGGTGCGCACACGCCGTGTACCTGCCGGAGTTGTCCCCGGCGTTACGCCAGCTCCCGATCCGGAACGTTGGTTGAAGAGGACGGAGCGATCGACGTTCGTGCAGGCACGGAGCAAGAGAAGGGGTGGTGGGGGCGGAGGGGCCACGCAAGGCATGGTAGAAAGCGGTGGTGCAAGTGGTGCCGGGGGACAAAGCAGAAGTGGCGGTGGAAACACAAAGGGAAAGAAGAAGAAGTAATGACTGAATGTAGGAACACTATGTGAGTCCTTGGATAAGGGAGTATGTCTGCTACCTGCTCTTCTCGTACAGCTGACTATGCTTCGAATACAGCTTTGATGGATGTTGGTCTACTCATGTCTCACACGTGCGGAGAATCCTTCAATCTCGCCTTCTTTTTGTCATCCCATTCACCTTTGACGAGAAAGCCTTCTGGTCTGTTAATCTTTCAGATAGATGCTTTACATTATAAACGTGCTTTGGGGGAATGGCTTGGTATGCACATCTTCTACTCTCATTGCCAATTCTTGAACGATGTGGTATAATGTATGGTCATAGAGCTCGTGTTTTCAACGCCCTCGGTGCTTGCAGGCGACACGACGCATCGACATCGTTTTAGACATGTTTTCTGACATTTACGGCATCTTGTTCCTGCCTAGAACCCGATGGCGTCCGCGAGACCTTACCTTTTGTCTCTTCACGATCATGTCCACAGATATTGAATGGATCTCTCCCTCTGCAACTTCAGGAGCTTGCCCTTCCTGAGTGCCCAAGCATACGAGCAAAGATGGACCTAGCACCTTTGCTGTACCCTGCATGGCCGGCTCATGGTATCAATGCGCATGATCTCCGCGCGTGCGATCAGCCTGTTAATGTCGCCTTGCAACGAGCTCAGCTAGCGTTCCCCCCTCTATATCACATGAAACCTCTCCTCTTTGCACACAGCAGCTCGCCCCCACCCCCCACGTGGCGGGGTCACCGAGTGTGGCAGGGTCACCGAGCGTGGCAGAGCCACCGAGTGTGGTATATATAAAGGGCTTGTTGGAGGTCAAGGCTCCTCAGACTTGCAGTCTACTCGAGTTCACTCATACCCCTCTTACATTATTGCCTCATACATCACCGATATGTCGCACCCTACAGTCCGCGGCGTCGTCGTAGTTGCTCGCAACGGCGACCGACTCGAGTATTCTCAAGACACGAAGAACTATAAGAGTTCGCACACGGAGTGCACACCTTTGGGAGAGGTAACTGAACTTTCTTTCGATTTATTCTCTTCCTTCATATCCTTGATTTTCTTGAAATGAAACTGATCAACAACTGTGATCGGCAGGTTCAATCTCATCAGCTCGGCTCCTACCTTCGTAAGGAGTACTTCACACCCTCCTCTCCTTCCTTCATTCGTGGGGTCCGTACGGACCTTGTCGATACGAATCAAGTGCAAGTGCGCATCAAAAACGGGGGCGAAGGTCGTGCAGTTTTCGACTCTGCCATCGCGTTGCTTCAAGGTTTGTTCCCACCGACTGAGAAGAACAGCATCACGCTGGCCAACGAAACTCAAGTCGTTGCTCCACTCGGAGGTTATCAATATGTTCCCGGTATGACCCTCTGTCTTTATCGAACACTTCTTGGTTTGACGTTGGCGGTGGTGGCATCAAGTGGAGACCGTTGAACCATCCAATGACCGCTCACTCGAAAGCTGGACAGACTGCCCGGTATGTCAGCCTCCATCAGAGCTCTGGACTGTCCTTGATCTCATGTCGCGAATAGGCCTTCGAAAATCACGTCAAAGAATTTTATGCTTCCTCCAAATTCAAGGAAACGGAACGGCTGGCGGAAGGTTTCATGAGGAAAGCAGATGATTTCGCTTTTGGTCGAACGACGAACCTCGAGAATGCAGTACGTTGTTAAGTTATTTGATGCTTAAAGAGCGTTTTCTGACTGTGCCACTCCGCAATAGGTGAACGTGAGTTCGTTCATCTCCGCCGCGCCGATTATTGCATTGACATTGCCTTCAGCTGTACGACTATATGAACCACGAGCTCATCCATAACAAAACGTACGCCCACCGCCTTCCGCCGACCTTCATCGAGCAGGCGCGCCATTGGGCCAACTTTCACGAGAACGGTGCATTTTCTGACGGCGATATCGGTGGCATCGGCAACAGTATGTTACAGTTCTTGCATAACCAAAATTGATCTACATTATCATGGCCGATCGTCTTATAACGTCTCCAGTATCTGATGGACTCTTGATTTTTTTTTGCAGTTGCCGGGCGCACTATCCTTGCTTCTATCAAGAATTCGCTGCAGCGCATCACATACGATGGCGACCCCCTACAGTTCCTCGTAGAGACGACTACATATCAGCCGTTTATTTCGCTGTTCCATCAAATCGAGTTGATCAAGGACGATCCCAGTCTTCAAGGCATTCGTGCGTGCCCTTGTGTCCTTCATTCTCATATCGTCAGCTACAATGAGGTCGCTCTTTTATAATAGCCAACTACGCCTCCGCCCTTGCTATCGAGCTTCGTCGTGGGTCTCTTCCGGACAACCGCGACTTTGTCCGGTTTAAGTTCAAGAATGGTACGAGTGAAGGATTCCGCACCCTCCACGCTTTTGCGCATGGTGGAGATATGCCGCTTACTGAGTTCATCTATCGTATCGAGGTTTGTGTTCTGTCACGCTGCGGATAAATGACCCTTGGATACTCATGATTTATGATATAGAACGCGGTCATCAGCTCGAATCAGCAATGGCAACGCGTCTGTGGTGCTAAATCTACCAACTCGTGGCTCCCGACCCTCCCATTCGGTACAGACAGCCCTGCGGAATCGCGTCCCACTGCCATTGCCGCACACGGTGCGATGTTCGCGGCGCTCCTCATGATGGCCTTCTTTGCGATCACGTTCATTATACGGCGTGTGCAGTTGTCTCGTGCACAAAGGATCAGGCTTCCTACTTTCGAGGTGTGTTCAACACGTTCAATTAAAATATACAATGAACCTAACAAAAATGCTCCAGGATCACAACAATGCTGGCCCTTCAACAGTTCTCATCCAGACGTCTGATGAGAAACGCCGCTATATGTGATTCTACCAGCACAGGTACAGCCCACCGTGCTACGTGACTGCAAGGATTTACATCTGTATTGCAATCGAGCTTGGATTTGGACGATATGTTTCGGATAATGCGATAAGCAAACACGTTTCATCTTATCTCTTGGTATTACTTGTTTGTTGTTATCACCCCCGATGTTGTTTGTATTCTCACGGACGCAATTCAGTACAACTTGTTGTTCTTTACCTCTTCCATTCCAGTCTGACCACGTCAGCTGTGGCCATGACCCCTTGGTCTAGGCTTCTGACTGTGGAGGCCCGGTGCAACAAAGGCTTCAATTCAGCTCTTAAGTAGTGAATACATCCATCAGCTCTCGCCTCGCGGAATTCAACCTATCTCTCCTTTTCTTCAGCTCCTCTCGCCTTTCCACGATGTTCGCGGGTTCCTGCAATAGCCTCCGACAATTCTCGAACCCCTGCGGGCCGCTGACCCCTAGCCCGATGAAGAGCGCATTCTCTAAGCCTGACGCGAGTCCGCGTATGAGCCCTTGATCAAGGGTCATGGGCACCATGTCGACGAATCGCTTATACGCCACTTTGAGGATGATCAGCTTCAACGGAAAAAGACAATGCAGTACGACAAAACAACCTTGAAAATACGCTCTGACATCTGCCATGATCGCGATTCCTTCCTCCATTGGATCTTGAGGGAGCACCCGTGTAAGAGCGGCAGGGCTGACATTTTGCAGCCCCATCTCCGTCAATCCGGCCAATGTCTTCGTGAGCGCATCTTGAAATGAGCTTGAGCTAGGACTATCCAAATTTCGGATAAAGTCGTTGCTTTGACTGGCCTGGCGCACGCCTTTATAGTAACCTAGGAATTTCGATCTGTAGTCACTGAAGTAATGCTGGTTGCGCGTGAATGGTTCCAACTCAGCCTCCAGTAGAAGAGTAATGCGCTTGAATGTTTCTTCAGAGAGAGCGCGGAGGTGGGCCAACACAATCCCGCTGTCAGACCAAAGTTCAGACAAATACGCACGGAAACATTGAAATACTGACGAAATTCGCTGTTTCAGCCCGCCGTGCGCGAAATGCACGAAATGCTCCTCTATGGGGGTCATGATGTGTTTTTCGAGGGTTTTGCTTGTTTCCTCGAAAAGTCGCTTTGAGGGCGCCGTCCAGTTCTTAACAACTGCGCAGATCAGATCTTTGGTAACAATAAACGGATAGTTGTTCGGAAGCTCCCTTGTGATAGCCCTTCATAATAATCGATATCTGCATTTGAGCAGGCAGACAAATAGGTGACGGTCACTCACATTTTGGCCCTATTCACGACGTCATCCACAAAGATAGACTCATTCTCATCCACTGAAACAGGCACTCCATCGCCTTCTTCGTTTACGAGAAAACTGGCAACCGGCATCTGGCCAGACTGCATCCCCGCTGCGACACGGTCCCAAGGATTAAAATTCGGTGCTGTGAGGCGGATGGCTTTCTGAAAGGCGTCTTGTGCTGGATGAAGAGTTTGGTGGAGACCTCCAGCTCGTGGTATTCCTTCCGTGTGTTTTTCGACCGCGCGAACAAAGCTACCAATCATATGCAGAATCTCTGCGACAGGTTGATCCGAGGGCGGTCGCGGGAGATGATCAATGGAATCCTGTGTTTGTGTAAGAAGTCTGTCGATCTCGTCTTGCAATTTCGGGAGCCTGATCCCACGAACACATCTGGCTGTTAGAAGAATGCAGCCGGTTATATGGAGGATCTTACCGTTGCGAAATGAGCTCGGACAAAGTACCGCTCAGTCGCTGCGTCAGCCTATCAGTACCCAGGCGCTGCTGGTAAGTCCATTCAAGGTTGTTCCATGGGTTAGTCTGCGAAAAAAACTCGCGCTCCTGTGAACGAGCGCCCTCCCACGTTATGCCTTCTGCGAGTGTTTGAGAATTAGGATTCTTGACGCAGAACCACTGAAGGAACTCTTCGCCCTGAATGTACTTCAACCAGTCAGATTCCTCTCCAGGAGATATGCGGTCAGGCTTGGTTAGGACACCTTTGGAGAGAGAAAATCAGCGAAGGACAAATGAATCATGATGAGCATACCGATCGTTCTAGCGCCACTAATATCATACTGCGCGGCTAAGTACGAGGCCTTTTGATTCTGAAAATCAGCTAGACAAGATGTTATTCGTATCGAGGCGTAAAAACGAAAAAAAAAACGAATGAATCGCACTTTCACAGGCAACGGTGAGAAGAATGATACAACTCGGCTTTTGGATATGATCTGCCGCCAAACTCTCAACTAGGCCAACATCAGATTGTCTCCCTCCGATGCCATGGGTGGCGATCAACCCTATATCCCTTCATGAATATTGGTTCTCCTCGAACGATTGTAGGGCACATACCCGGAAGATCGACGAATGTCAAATCGGCGAGGTCCCTGCCTCTGATCTCGAGACATACATAATTAGCTGAGAAAGTCAGCTCGTTCTCTTGAAGCTCCCCGTCCTCAGCATCTACAAAATCAAAACACGATGTATTTGGATTCAAAATGGCGCGTTGCGCGCGCCGAATCCGATCAGTGACATCCGTTCTTGTGAAGATTGGATCACCAAATTGTTCAACGCAGATATCGTTCAACGGGGTGCCATACTCGTCGCTTATAAAACGCAGAGAGATGGTGCAGCGCCAGGGCTCGTCAGAATATATGAGTCTGCACTCTGTAGGACAGCTTGACAACAAATAATGAGTATCCCATGAGACCAGAGCGGATAGTAAAAGATGAATACCGTGTGCATGTCCCGCTTGCGCGGGGCAAACTAATCCCCGAGATGGATTCAATCAAGGAGGATTTTCCCGCACTCTGGGAGCCTATCACCGCAATGGATGGCAGGTCCAAATCGAGCTGAGCCCTAAAAACAGATTGAAAATTTCTCGTACGGAAAAGGACGAGGAACAGCAAACCCCGTATCACGAAGTTTGGTCATCAGATCAAGCATCCGCCTTCTGTGGTCGGACAGGAGGGGATCAGAAAGCCCCACCCCATGATCAGAGGATGCGCTTTCAAAGCTTGAAGCTACACTTTGCTCGTCGGGTTCCAAGTGTGTCCCGACCATAGTGAAGATACGTCGTGGATGTGGGGTGGGCGTTCTGGTCTAGGGACCGTTGGCCTATGGCCTATGTACCATTCAGTGTTTACGCTGTTCAACTCCGCAATGCGGATGCAAGAAAGAAGGTATCAGGGCGTCAGATAGTGTATGTCATTCTGATCTTCCTAAACCATCTGCACATGAAGTTGGGATTCATAGCTGTATCTGGATGAAGTGATTCCAAAATCAGACAATGAGTATGCTAAAATAGATGACGATCAGAAATCGATGAAGGAGAGTGTGTTCGTCGGGAAAAAATATGCCGACGTGAGGAAGGCTAGTTACCGTATCAACGGAGAACGTTGTCTGAAGCCATGTGCCCCGTCGCGCACAAAAAGGAATTCATACTTGGATCCGCCGTGGCTAACCTTTCTGTCAAGGAGAACATAGGCATATTGAGACTTCGAGTGGACAACCATCGACGATCACAATCATCACTTTAGATATTGTTATGGCCGCATATGTTTCCCCGCCATCACTTCGCATTGATCGATACATCTTCACGATCGGTCGCATCCCTACTCAAAATTCCACGCATTGAACAACTCTTGTCGAGCAGACACCAGTCGCTCCACCTTCTTCTTCAGCTCATTACGACGGGATATCACGTCCGGAGGTTCCTCAAGGAGGCTCTGGCACCGGGCCACCACATCGGGGCTTCCAAAATCAATACCGTCTCTAAGTGCTTTCTCGAGTCCGTTTTCAAGACCTCGGACCAGCTCTTGGTCAATGGCAAGAGGGATATTGTCGCCGAATCTTTGGAACGCGACTGTGTGCGATACATTCAGATTTAAGATCACAAATCACGCGGACGCTTACCTTGGAAATAAGCACTAACGCTGGCCATGATGTGCAGCGCGGGCTCATTCTGGTCTGGAGGCAACAGCCTCGCCAGATCTGTCGGCTGAATGCCAGGTAACCCTACCTTGTTCAGGTTGGACAGGACCAAGGACATCCCACTTTGGAATTCCATCGACGCCGCATACACAGCGTTCGGGTTGTACGGCCTGTTCCTGAGATCACCAAGGATGTTGTTGCCCATGGCTTCCTGGCGTCGAGCTCTATAGTAAGTGAGGAATTTGTCCTTGTATTCACTGTAATGACGCGTATTGCTAGTCTGCGCAGCGCGCTCGAGCTCGAGCAACCAATCTGTACGCTCGAGGGTCATCAGTGTGCATGACTTGATGTGTTTGGTGATGATTCCACTGTGCCAGCTCGTCAATATATAATGCACAAAACCGAGTAAGGAGTAGATGTGAGGACTGACGTGATCTTCCGATGTAATCCACCATGCTTGAACTGACCGAAGTGCTCCTCGATAATCTCCATGATGTATCCTGTGATAGTTTTGCTGACACCATTGACCAATCGTTTGGTAGGCTTGGCCCACTGTGCAACAAACACGTCGATAAAGTGTTGCGTGGTGACAAAGGGATAGTTGTCGGGCAGCTCGCGGGTGATAGATCTACAGGATATGCGCTCATCAAGCTCAGAAACAGAGGCGAACCAGATCACTTACTTCTGCGCCCTTCGCATGACTTCGTCCAAAAATATACCCTCGTGCTTCGAGGTCACAAGCTTCTTTCCGTTCGAAGTTTTGGCAGTAAGGTTTGCTGCAGAAGCCATGTCGAATGATTGTTCTTCAACCAGGAGAAAGTCAGGCAGAGAAGATTTCTGGTTCTCGTACAAGGGCGACTTCACCCATGGGCGGAAATCGGGTATAGTGCCAAAAATCTCTCGCCGGAAGTTTGTGACCTCAGGGCGGTACCTCTGCAGCAAGCCATCCTCACCCGGCGTGCCCGAAACATGCGCAGATATGTCGCGCGCAAATTGATGCAGGAGGTCGAGCAGATCACCGACTGCATCCTCAGACATCGGCTTGGGCAGCTCTTCGAGACTTTCTTTCGTCACCTCTATGAGATCGCCAAGTTCTTCGTCGAGCTCTGGCAGCCTACACCATATCCCATTTGAAGAAGTCGTGACATGAAACGTAGAAAGCTCGCACCTCTTGGAGATCAATTGCGACAAGATGGAGCCTAGATTCCTGACAAGATTTCGAGTCTGGAGACGGCCAGAAAAAGGCCACTCCAGGGACGACCACGGAGATGTCTTTTTGAAGAAAGTGTGTTCTTCTATGCGTGCTTTCTCCCGAGTGATCCCCGCATTCAAAGATTGAGAGTCGGGTTGCTTGACGCAATACCAATGATTTTCAAGAGGCTCTACCTCGTCGCGAAGATAACGAAGCCAGCCCATCTCCTCAGTCTGAGGAATACGATCCGGCTTTGTCAACACACCTAGAACAGCAGTAGTCAGCGATCGTCTTTACAAGCGATGTAAATGGTATAATAAATCCATACCGATCGTCCTTTCTCCGGCGGGGTCGTGCCTACGAGCTAATCCTGGTGCAGCCTGATTCTCAAACTCGGCTATGATTAAAAGATCAGCGACGGATAACCTCAGTGTGCCGCGAGCCAGACTGACTCTCCATTGTCACGGTTAGCAGAATGATGCAGCTAGGTTTGCTGATATACGACTCGACAAGCTCCTGAACCAAACAAATATCTGTTTGATTCCCACTCGTTCCGACGTTCGCAATAAGGCCTATTAATAGGACGTTAACACGTACTCAAGAGCCGCAGAAACGATAACGGAGAGCACCAGGCAAGTCGATGAACGAAAGATCAGGCAGGCCTTCCCCACTAATCTCGAGGCAGACCAGGTTGGGTGAAAACGACATTTGGCGACTGCGCTCGAGATCCTGGAGTCTGCCCTCGAGAAATTCATTGTAATCTCGATTAGGATTTAAGATGGCTTGTTGAGCACGAGAAATACGATCAACGAGGGCAGTTTTTTCGACAATGGTGGATCCGAACGGGATGATTCGCGGCTGACCCAAGGGGATGCCGCGCTCATCCGTATTGAAGCGGATGGTGACGACACATTTCCAAGGCCCCTTTGAACCTGCCAAACGACATTCGGTAGGACACCTATGCTAACACTATGAGCAGCGTCACAATTCTGACGGTCGTGTTCGCTGCTTACCGAGTGCATGTCCCGCTCGCTCGGGGCAGGCTGATGCCTGAGATGGCTTCGATTAGGGATGACTTCCCCGCACTTTGCGAGCCTACAACAGCGATAACCGGAAGGTCGATGTCCCCTTGCACACTGCGCGAAGGTAAGAGCAAAGAAAAGATGACTGGGACAACGTACTTACCCAGTGTTGTGAAGACGATTGATTAAATCCAGAAATTCGCGTGTGTGAGCGTATGCAGAGTTCAGCATATCACATGTATCTTCAGTATGCGAGTCCGACGGCGGGATGGAGTGGCCATCGTCTGAAGAGTCTACTATCATTTTGAGCGTAGATGAGACGTCGTATAGGATCATGATGAAGTGCACCGTCATCTTAAATCCTCCTGATGTCTATGGAAACGCCTGCAAGGAAATGCTGTCAGTGTCATCGACATGAGGTCGGCCAACTCTATTCTCATGTGCCCTCGTGCGAAGTCCAGGGAAGTATATTCAAAGAAGGAGATTTCAGGTAATGTGTCCTTCTCCGAGTGATCCTCTCTGGATGATAAAAGAAGAAGTTGGATGAAAAAGGACCTTAGTTTTCCTTGAAACCGGCCACGACCTGAAGGACTGAAGTCGTACTTCTCTCCGAGTTCCCACTCTTTCTGTTGTCAAATAGTCCAGAATCGTAGGATAGAAGCCGCGGTAACATTGACTACCTTGAAGTCTCAATTAATAAGTAAGGGCATGGGCGAGAAGAGAAAAGATGCTGAAAGAAGCAAGCCTTGTGAGGCGGCGCTGGTGGCGTGGCCCCGTCCGGCGATTAAGGCAAATGCCGGCGCAGCTCTGGGGCCCAGCTTGCTTGCTCGACGGAGTTCATTCTCGTTTCATTTTCCTTCCCCGGCATCGTTGACCGCAAACAAGCCCACAAGGCCTTCTCCTCGACATCCTCTGTGCTTTTATAGCTGCTCGGTGTGTACAGGAAGACTCACACGGACAGCGCGACATCGAGATAGCGAGACCATTGCTCTCAGTACAGCGGCGCCTCTCCTGCAGACTATACGCACTTGCCAGTAACTTTTGTCCTTCCTTTCGCCGCTCTCAAGGATGCTCGCACTTCCGTGTTCTCTTGTGTTTTTGCTCTTATTCGCCCTCGTGAGCGCGCAGTCATCGTCATCTGTGCCCTCTAGCTCAGCGCGCTCGGCGTCTGCTTCTCAATCTTCGTCCGCGTCTGCGTCCAACGTCCCCTCGGCAAGCGTCACCCGCACGCTCACGTCCGTCACTCTCACCGATGCTAGTGGCTTGACGACCATCATACCCATCACTGTCACTCCGAGCAGCAGCGCGTCCCATAGTGGGAGCGCGACCAGCACGGCCTCGTTTCCTAGCTTAACAGGTTATTCAAGTTGCGGTGTGTGTTTTTGGGATCATTAAATTTTTCATGGTTCTAGATGCTGACATATGGTTTATGCAGTGGTCGACTGTCTTACTCATGCTGTCTCCGCTGCAAATTGCTCGAGCGTCACGGATGTGAACTGCTTTTGCGAAAGCAGGTTCGTTTCATTTCATTAATTTCCTTTTCGTCTTCTTCATATCGGCGTGATTTGTCTACCATCAGCCATCACATACACTCATTACACCTTTGATTTTACACTCATCTATATTCCACTTGCTATTCACCGCAACTCACCGCCTTTGTAACGATATCTGCAGCGTATTCCCTCCAAGCTACGAATCCTGTGTTGAAACCTCCTGCGCCTCCGACCTTCCCTCTGCCACGTCTTTAGCCAACCAATTCTGCGCAGTCAGCTCGCCATCGACCTCTATCTCCTTCACATCCCCCACTTCGACACCCACGTCCTCTGGATCTTCCACCCGTCCTTCATCATCAACACCATCGAGTACCACCTCGCAAAGTGCCTCCTCATCCGCCTCCTCTAACGCTGCCGCCGCTCAACGGGGAATAGGCGGCACTCAAGGTGGCTTGGCTACAGCAGGCATCAGCATTCTGGGCTCCATCCTGGGGGCGCTCCTTGTTTGAACATGATTCGGGCTGAATTGAGATGAGATGAGATGAGACCGGCAATTGATGGAGCATTGCTGATGGAGAGAGCAGTCGAAGAAGCTAATTGAGAGCCCAGAGTGGGCTGGACAGATGTTGTCGTCCGCACTGGAGTAGAGCCCCCCACTTGCTGCCGTACTTTCCAGGACACTTCTGCCAACAATTTCTCTTTCTTTGATCCCACCATACATCACCCTTACACTTACACTCACGTCGCTGCTTCCACATATATCGTTGTCAATTCGGACATATAGCCACTTATGTACTTAGTGGTCGCAATTGCATAGCATGATACATATGATACGTCAGAGCGCTCGCGAGCAGCGGATCCCCACTGCCCGCGGCGCCACCGGCGCCTTGGAAGGAGAATCGCGATCGTTAGCGCCTTTGGGCCCAGAAACTAGTGATCCCGAATCCGTGCGCGTTTGTATTGTTCAGGTGAGAACTTGCGTACATTTGGGTTGAACACCGATGCGCCAAGAAAGAACTTCGCAATCTCATCTTAGATTTCCAACGCCGTTACTTTACGATACTCTTCTGTTTAAGGTTTGCTAGAAACTCAAGCCGTTTCAAAATCCTATGTCAGGGGAGCCAGTGGGGAGCCTCATGACGGGACGTCGGCATCTCCGTAATCGTATAGCTAACAATGTTGTTGAGTTACAGATTTGCGGTGATGGACTGTAGATATCCCAAATCCGAACTCGAGCTGACTATGAGCTGGATCAAAAATACCATATGTATTGACTACGACGGTCCAGGTTCACAGGTTACAGGTATTACATGGAGCAAGGCACATATAGCATAAGGACGTTATTCAAGCAAATTATTTGCTGATGTAGCAGCTGCGAGATTTCAGGGTCAGACTCGAATATTATATGGCCCGGGTTCGAAGAAGTTGACATACATGTAGTGGCCATCGCAGGCATTCGGGTGGCCCGAGGTGCTACCATAGTTGAGGCGCTGTTTGAAAGGGGTAAGGTTGTTAGATGTACAAGAGCAGACAGTATAAGTCAGAATTCTTACCCAGCGGTTGCCTTCATCGACGAAGTCATCGGGGTTACCCAAGGAGACATCACCATGAGCAGCGCCGTTGCGAGGGATGTCTAGCGATAGAGACATGATGAGCGACCCCCCAAACGGGGGAGAATAGGAGGAGACGTACAGCAGATGTAGTGCCCGGGGCACGCGTTGGGGTGACCACTGGTGCTACCGTAGTTGACCTTGAAGCGGTTTCCTTGGTCGGTGACGAGGTCAGGGTTTCCGTAAGACGTCTCTCTCTTGGCCAGCTAGACATAGGTGACAGAGAGGGTGAGGCTGCGATGCTCGAGGGCGGCGATGGTAAACCCTTACAATTCCAGAGGACCCTTCAGCTCCAGCGGGCATGGGGTTGGCCACGACGAGCTGAGCAGCTGCGAAGACGGCGGTGATGAAGCTGGCGGTGAACATCATTGTATCTGGTTGAGATATGTGGGAAGAGTTCAATCGATGAGAATGCAAGGAATGCTGAAGTATGTGAAGAGACCCGCTCCCTCTTTTATATGTTTCCCGACTAGTATCTTACCAAGAAGGTTCTGTCACAGGACCACCATAGACGACCGCATGTCCTGCCTCACACAGCTGCTATGATGGAAATGATAGCGCTCGTGGAGGATGACATGGCATAAATTTCGCACTAGAGGAAATTCATATTTTGCCTTGTTCGCCGATGACCATAGAGTTCATCCTCGATGCTGTGCTTCTCGCCAAATCCCGCGTTCGCTGGCGCCAATACTGACAGGCGGGTATGCCTCGAGCGCTCGATGATTTGGAGTTAAAGAAAATTGTCACCCGATCGGTCCCAAAGACGCCTCGGCATGACACAGCTCACGCTGGAATAAAGTGCCCCAATGCCAAGACCATGCATACTTACCGGCCTTTCCAGAAGTGGGTTAGATGGCTTGATTGTATCATAGTCATAGGGGTTCCTGCACGGCATTTTCAGGGTTGTTTCAGTGCACCAGTTTCAACGGTCTGAGTTGGAGTTTAAGACTCACCTGCTCACCCGATCTATACCTCGCAAGTCATAGGGCATCACAGTCCGCGGGGATCAGCATGTGCATATTATCGATGATGCCGCAAGGGGGCCAGTTGTTCCGTGTGTCCAAGATGTGACGCCAAGTAATGAGACGCCTAGAGCCCATATACTCCAGGTCGCGCACGACTCTCTGTCGTGTTATTTCAATGGAAGCCGTATGAGCCCTTGAGATGATATTTGTACCAAAAAAGCGTATTCGATTCTTCGTCGCTGTGTTAGTTTGGCGAAAACAACAGTGCACTACAAGGCGCATGGTTGTTAGTACCCTCGTGCACCATAAGTCGAAGGATCCACGCGCAAGACGGGTGCTGATTTGAGGTGTGAAGAACGTCTTGAACCATATTCGTCTTGATTTTGTGTTACAATCACCGTTGATTGGCGCCCAAATACCGTCGATTGGCGCCCAAATACCGTCGATTGGCGCCCAAATACCGTCATCCGTCATCCGTCATCGGCCTACAACTGGGTCAGTCCAGAGTCATCATACCACCGACACATCTTTGCCGGCTGGCTAGATCAAAGAGGCCCTGTGGTGCGTAATAACCTTAATGACCCCTCCCGAGGCTCCGACGCCAAAAAGAAATACGAAAGAGTTTGCAACCCACATTCTACATTACATGCCGCTATTCGCGATGCTTACTTGAAGTTTGAGGAGTGAAGGCATCCCATTCGCGCAATGGGCACGATGGCCCGATGGATACAGAAAAGCGATGACGCGTTCGAAATACTTATACATTGCATACTCGCTGTCTTCTTACATATAGTGAGAATACTGCATAGAGAAGTCACAAGGGCTCGATATGGGGGACAGGACCGATCGGAACAATTCGATGAGGGTTGACCTACAGAAAATCAGTGTTACAGACAACTCCTGAAGAGGCTAGACGCCTTCGCCGTTTATAATGGATAGAAATGTACCATGGGGTGCGACCAATAATAATGGGTTTTGATGTGATCAAAGTCAGTTGTGGACTGGAAAGCATCGTTTTGCCAATAAAGTTTGCGAAGCCAACTGTCGTAAACCGATGGCAGAGTGTATTGGCGGCATAGTGATTAACGATGACCTCCACGAGAGCATGAAAGTCCTTACAGGTGAATATTCGGGTAGCCATGACGAATAGTGCGAAGATTGCATTTGAAGTGTCCAACATATACAGGGTCGAATCGTATCTGTGTCCGAAGAGAAAGATCAGAAATTCAAGGACGAAGGACGGGATTTGGGATGAGAGCAAAGCGCACCAAAGTTACGAACAGTCGAATGTCGGCCTCAGTGAGGCGATCCCCAATGAAATAAGTCTTGTCCTTGAGCATGACTTCTACACGATCGAGAGACTCGAACAGCGGAACAACAGCCGCCCTGTACGCATCAAAAGTCGTCGCAAAGCCTGACTTGTATACACCATCTGCGGCCAAGCGTCATGACGCAGAACTGCACACTGAGGAAGCAACCGACAGAATGAAGACGCACTGTTAATGGAGTCATAGACCCATTCGTTGACCTCGTCGATTTCCTTGCGAAGATGCTGGGGATAGAAGTCCAGCTCCGCCTTCTCCTTCGAGATCGTGTCATTGAACGCAGAATTGAAGATGCGAATGATCTCGGAAGACTCGTTGTTAACAATTGTATGTTGCTTCTTGTCCCATAACACTGGCACAGTGAACCTGAATTAAAGAGAACGTTTATCAGCGATATACGGGTAGGTCTGTAGACAAGGCAAAGCTCACCTGCCAGAATATTCAGGGTTGGCTCGGAGGTACAGATCTTTGACGTGCTGAGCGTTATATAAGGGATCGACATCCGCTCCGGGAAAGTTATCAACAGAAGCGAACGGCCATCCAAGTTCTCCCATATGAGGAGAGACGACCGTCACAGCTAAACGACTGACATGAGAGCGGAATGAAAAACCATTATTGAGGCTGCCTCACGAACAATATCCTCAAGACCCTTGAGTTTACGCATGATGAGCGTACGTGTAGCCCAAGCTACAAAAACTTGAGTGCAAATGACATGCAGCGAGAAAGAAAGGCACTCACGACATGCATAAGAAACATAGAGGTGATAACGGTCTGAGTTCACTGATCAGCCAATGCCATCGTAAACTCGGTGAGCCTAAGGGACGGACCCTTCTCCGGCGGAAATTGGCCTCCCTTCTCCACAGCACTTCGAAACGTTGAAGGAAGGCGCTTGAAAGAGCCGTCTCCATCGGTCCTCATTTTCGCGATGTTTGACTGGTGTGAGACGTCTCGGGCAGCTGCAGCCATTCTGAATTCTCTGATGGCAGGTATTTGCGTGAATATCCGTGGAAATAGAAGGGTTGTTCGGAATGGTGTCGAGGTAGAAACGAAGAGGCGAATTAGGGACATAGGCTGCCGAACTGTGAGATAACACCGCGGGCAAAGTTCGACGGAATTAGTGATTCCAGACTGATTACCTGATGATTTTTTGCCCAAAAGAATCAGTATGAGATCTACGAATAAATCTTAAACAAAATAGGAATGTGCTCCTCAATCTCCACACAAAGTGTGCTTGGATTACATCATGATCCAATCAAAATATTTAAGTTTAAATCACAAGAAACTCGCAGATCACATCCTGAACTCATCTAAATAGTCCACAGATTCCAAGCTGATCCTATTGTAATTAAATTATTGCTTGATCATTTGATCACAATGGGATCAGCTACGAGAACCTGCAGTGTCTCCTCTCTCCACACCTGAGACACTCGTCTCTCCCACTCCAGCCCACTCCCTTCTCTTTCGGCAAACTATCGCTTTCGGGAGATATCGAGAATATGGCTGGGGATGACGTCGTCTCCAAGGCGACCCGCCTCACCGAGAAGTACCCAAACGCCTATAGCGATTTCTATGGTTCAGGTACTACAAGTCTGGTCCTGACTGGCTCGTACGCAAGAGACCTCTGGCCCAGGGCATCGTCCGTGAGCCTCGCCTGGTTCACGGTCACGCTATTCAGCTACTTGGGTTTCTATCGGCACGCGCATCTGTGACGAGCTTGAATCCGTTGGCATAATGTGGACGTCCGTCAATCCCCTCGCCTACGCCAATACTGGGGAGCCCAAGCCGTTTTTATTTATTTTTATTGAATCCAGTTTATTGTCCAGGCAGGGTAATAGAACCCTATGTCAGACATTCGAATACATGGAACTCGTAGTACTGCTTTCTTCAGTCCCGACCCGCCTCTGAACCAGCAACTATCGCCTGATGTGAAAGCGTTGGAGTTTTGGCAATACGAGGGAATGTGGTGTGTAGGCTGGGTCGTGTATGAGCCCAAGCCGTTCTGCCCTCTTATCACATGCGTCGGTGTGAATCCCGGTTCCCTCCTCTACGAGGCCACTGTTGCTGCTGCTGCCATCGTCAAGAACATCCTCACCGACGCCGGCTTCCCCGACATCGAGGTGGCATTTATCGAGTCGGCAGTGACTCGTTTTACTGGCCCAAAGCTCCTCTCGTCTAACCCCCTCATCGACAGCGTCCCCGACCTGCGCAAGCCGTTCAATACCGCTCTCGGTCTCTCTACTGCGCCTCGCAAGTACCCGTACTACGAAGGGACCGCCGCCCTCTACTTCCGCCTTTCTAAAGACGACGACCGTGTCGTGACCCTCACCTGCGCTCACGTCTCTCGTCCTCCTCATGTCTACCACAACACAGGCATGACCCATAAGGAGGGTAGTCAGCGTCGTGAGGAAATTGTCGCGCTCGGCACCATGGGCTACGACAACGGCGTCAAGGCCATGATGGCCACTATCGGCGACTGCCTCCATTCTATCGACGCTTGGAACAATGTCCTTCGCAGGCTTGGGGACCCCGTCGAGGGAGAAAGTGAGAACGTGACTGAGAGTCGCGATGAGCACTTGGATCTGGTGACGGAGGCGACGAGGGAGATCCAGAGGGTGAAAGCGATCTATAGTGAGGCCATCGAGAACTACACCACACTTGACCAGCGCACGATTGGCTTCGTCATTCACTCGGAGAAGATCGAGGTCTCTGTCGAGCCCTACAAATTCACCAAAGACTGGGCTCTTATCGAACTTTATAATGATAAGATTGATTGGACGACGTTCAAAGGCAATAAGCTTTGGGTCGGTACGTCTTTTTTCCATATCTTTGTCTCCATCTCCCGTCTTTTTCATCTCTCGTCGCGTTTTCCATTTACTGTCTTCTTATCTTCTTGTCTTTACTTTTATTTCCCCCGCAGGTGGTAAACTCTCGATCTCTGAGTATAGAAACACGTTGTTCCCTCAGCCCCAGGATCGAAAGAACTACAGTTACCTTGAGGATGGTCTCCTCCAGGCCTACGACATCGTCCGGGAAGCCAAGATATGCAGCCCTCAACAACCCGACGTCCACGGCAAGAATTGCCTGTTTGTCGTGAAAAATGGGTTGACCACGGGGACCACCGTCGGTCGCGTCAATGGCCTCGAGTCCTTTAGGTGCATTTACGAGGACTACGGTATCAGTAACAAGTCCCTCGGAATTGCTGTCTTACCCTACGACAAGATGCACGGCAAGTTTTCCGATGCTGGCGATTCGGGTTCGGTCGTCCTCGACAGGGGGGTCGCATCGTCGGAATCATCACTGGCGGCTCAGGACTCACTAACGAAACCGACATCACATATCTCACCCTTTACTGGTGGGTCGAGGAGCAGGTCAAGGCCAAGTTCCCCGGCTGCTCTCTCTACGAAGTTGTCCAGTAGGTATGTCGCGAGCTCGACAAGCTTGACAAACTCGACGCGCACACCTCTTCCCACTTCCCCGTCATTATGCCTCTTCTTTTGCTTTCTCGTCTCGTCATACTCGCTCCTTGCCCTTTATCAGCCCTCGTATGGTGGCGTTAGCCACTTCATGTCACGCCGCAATTAATTTATTTTTGTCTCCGCACCCAGATTTTTGGACCTAGGGAAACTGGTTTTCGAAATACAGGAAAAAGTATAACCATAACCCTAAAGAATTTGTGAAAATCACCTCGAAGACCCGACATCCTTGTGTATATTGCGATGACCAGATGCTTGCTCATTCATTGCAATGACTAGCATCGATGTTTCGTTTAAACAGTGAGGTATAAGAAGTAATCCACAGTGTATGTATCATAGCTAGGCAACAACAGAAATTGTACAAGTATTCTGAATTTTTCCAGTTCCTTAGGCCTACCTCCGCGGATGGGCACTTTTGTCCGGACTGGACTGGGGTTGTGCCCTCCCCACCTATTTTCAGGGGTCCTGGTGGGATTCGGTGGGACTCGCGAAGGGAGCGAATTCACTCGACAAAAAAAATCGGCAAATGCTGCAGGCCTGACTGGACTTAGAATGGGTACAAAAATGCTGAGCCGGGAAACATAGCGCAAATCCAACCCAGAAGTGCACAAAATGGGGAAGGACTTGGCCTATTTTTGCCCTCAAATATACTAAATTTCCGGGAAACCTTCATAGGAGCTTCACGGGGCCTATACAAGTACAACTAGAACCAAGACGCGATCTTGCAAACTTGACGAAGGGAAGATAATGGTGAGCAAATATACAAAATCACATTCGATAAGCAGGAGGAATACTGGACACAGACCAAGGGTTAGCTTGAAAATCACAAGATCATCAGAGAAGCATGCCTTGTTATTTGATGTCCGTGACAGGAAGTCGCACTGATATCCGTGAACCCTCATACCCTTCAACCTCAGACGAGTTGGCTCCAGTTACAATACTCGTCAGCTCGCTAGACGCAGGAGGTGACACCGAATCAAGCCTGTGATCATCTTGCCATTTCTCTTGCACCTCTTCATCGTCGTCTTCGTCTTCGGGGCTCATGCGGGCTCTCTTGGTCTCCCCCTCCCGAGATGACAGCTCCTCAGAGCGTCTTTTCTCCAGCCTCGGCACAGTATCTGCTACAGTGATTGAAGAGAATACGCCACCAGTCCTGGCTCGCTTCGGTGGTGTCAGGATCCGAGACTTGTCGCTTTCTCTGGAGAGGCTCACACCACCTGATGCCTCGTCAGGGGATTCGTCATCTTCGTCTAGTTCTCGTGAGGGTCGCTTGCGAGGGGTGACTATCGCAGGGTACTTCACCTCTGCATCGTCAATCACTGAGTCAAATTCCGACCCATCTTCGTCTTCGTCTTCAGCTTCCTCGTCCTCGTCCTCGTCCTCGTCCTCTTCTTCTTCTTCTCCTTCCTCATCTTCCTCTTCCTCTTCCCTCTCCTCCTGATACTCAGCCTGAAAGCGGGTCTCTTCAATCTGTATCTCCGGTGCGTTCACATTTGACTGTGGTGCGGTTACGGGAGATTGTGTAGAGATGACGGTACTTTCCACAGAGGCAATTGCAGCAGCACTGAGAGAGGAGCGCATACATATTCTACACCGGCATTTATAGAGATCAGTGCATGCTTCACGCCATACCTATGACAGAGTCAGCGAGTCAGCGAAAGCGTAATAAGAGAGAACGTACGGTTCTGAAAGCCTCTTGGCTGTAGTTTGGCATATTTGCCAGCGAGACTGGGACGAAGGGAATCGAGTGCATTAATTTTGAGGGCTGTAGGGAGATGATGTCGTCGGTGGGGCCCAATACATTGCTGTCCGAATCAGAGTCGTGCTTCTCTAGTTGACTGGGAATGGGAGGTGGCGATGGCGTGGTCTGCAGCGTTGTCGTACTGAGCACAGGGCTTGTGGTATGCGAGCCATCCGATTTGGAGCTCGAGCTCGAGTCATCATCCCGATCCTTGCCCCTTTGCTCCGCTGCTCGATCGTCGAATGATAGCTCTTTGACCCATGGCCAGCCTTGTTGGAGAGTGCGCAGCACTTCATCCATTCCCATTCGCGATACACGGACGACTGGATCACCTCGACCTTCCATCTCGATTCGCTTCGCAATGTTCATCATAGCGGGAAGAACGAGAATGCGCATCTGCCTTTGGAAAGCGCGGTAGAGTGTGTCTGCGAGGGTGAAAGTCGGAGCGGCGGGCATTCTGAGTGTACGCGCTGTCGGGTGCGTTTGACCACTACGTTCGTCATCGAGGGACCACGGAATTGGATGCATCGTTGATACCGATGCAGGTCTATTATTATACCAATCATCGGCAGGGCTGACCCAATACCCATCCAGGATTCGTACCCGCGCCCAATCGTTTACTGCCATTACGCGGACCTGTTCGGGATCAGGCAACCCACCCTCGAAGTCCTCCATATCAGCGGAAGCCATATCCTCGAAGCTTTTGTCATCGCCACTCAGAAGCCGGTTAGAAGCGACCATTTGCTCCATCTGTTCCACGAAACGCGTGAACCGTCGGAGCCACCACCTTTCGCGAGTGATTTCCACGACCTCCATGAGCGTCCCTTCACCCATCTCCACGAAGTTATCGATAGCCTGGCGGGACTCCCAGTCTGACACAGCCCAGTGAGGTGGCCCACCCCCCATTGCTTCTCGATCTGCTGCTGATGAGTACATGCGTCGCCACAGCCATTCCCCCCTACATGTACGACAAGTAGTTGCCACATTAGGCCAGGTGTCGTTATCCTCGTTTTCGACACAAGCAACGATTGCAGCTTCCGTAGTGATGACCTCGCCAGTCGAAGGCGCCTCGCGAAGACAAAGGCCACAATACAATGCCTTGCGATGATCGCGGCAGGTCATGATGGTGCCAAGCAGTGGCACATTTACCGTGCGCTTTCCCATGCCAAGGCCACTGTTCGAATATGGGTGGTTGATCCTGCAAACGTAGCAGGAACACGACGTCATGGTTCGGAATTGTTGATAGGGTGTCTGAGACTGGGTGGCGGCGGAAGTTGTGTTGTTGATTAGGGTCGCGTGCTGCGCTAGGATATCCATGGGGTCCATAATAGCACAGGCATGTGTCCAGAACAAGTGGGCTTGGACTATCAATGATCGAGAGTGAGTGCCACCCGAGGAAAGACTCAAGGATGCTTACGAGCTTTGTGCCATGCTGGGCACACATTCATCATACGTTCCAAGTCGAGCGCGTCACGAATTACCGTGTAAGCTATCCTGCACGGCCATATATCTTTCACGCCCCATGTATTAGGGCAATAGTTGGATGCAGACGCGTCGAGCAAGTAGTACGTCGCGATCACGCTGCGAGCGACAAATATGAACTTGTTGATTGGAGCTACTAATCATAACTTGCATACCGTAGGATTTCCGGTGGTAGTTGTTGCCATGATCTGTTTGTAAGTTTGCCTTTGTAGCCTGTTGTCGTCGTCGAGGACGATGAGGATTGCATTGCCGGGGAACGGTGTGACGATGAGGGTCACGAACAGTATGTGAGAATGGGAAAACCAATCACGCCACGTCTGCGCCACAGCGGAGTCTGGATTGTCATTTTGTTCTATTGTTAGACTTGGAACGCAGGATTACTGCAGGCAGACCAGGTACTGTAGTAGCAAGTATTGTCAATCGAAAACCAAACACGAGAGTTTATTTGGTGCCATGATGATAGACTCAATGAAGGAAAACAATTCTGCCCCAGATGCGGGAAAGTTACACATGAAGGCAAAGCTGGCGAATGTGCGCGAAACAAAGAAGAGATAACGTAATCTTACAAGAGAACTACACTCGTGATACTAAGCTCAGCTAAGTGAACGCTCAATATGGCCCCGCTTACCGCTACCATGTCGTCAACTCTCACCCAATCCTCCAACGCAGATGTTCTGAAAGCTCTACTTGCCACCAAGGCTTCAGGTAAGATGATCTCGAACGCGGTTGTGCTGTTAGAAAGATTCATTGCAATGATAGTCCACTTGAATTCCCCTGACGGTAGGGTAAAAGCGAGAGCGTTGACAGTACTTGGCAGTCCGGAAACAGCGTGCCTCACGGCGCCAGGCGGAATGAACCAGGTGAAATGTTTGAAGAGGAAATAGCGCTTGGTCAGATATACACCGAAGTTGGAATTTGTGGCAAAATTGCTGTCGTAGTAGATCTGCATGTTTGAGTGAGCATACAAAAAGTGAGAACATCTGAACAGGCGACTTACAAGACCATCATTCCAACCATCCGCGTTGATTTCATACGGGCATGATACGTCACTCAGGGGGTCACATCCAAGGCCACTACTTGCTGAAAGCCACCAGTCAAAATGCTCGTCCTGGCTGCAATATCAAGAATAATCACCTAGTTGGATTGGAATGATCCATGTTGAATCAAAAGGTGCTTACGCTTGAGTGAATGCTTGATATACGAGGCCGCCTGTCTGTAAAGCAGACACTATTGTTGGACTACAAATTCGTTTATTCAAGCGATATGTTATGTGGACAACTTAGACTTACTCATATCGTCCTCCGTAATTCAACGCGCCGAACGGTTGGGACTCATCTCTTGCTACAAAACAACAGATTTCACTGAACCAGCTAGGAACACCACCCGAGAGATTGCGGGCGGTCTGGCCAAGAGCCATATCCTGCGCGTTATTGGCGAAACCGTACTGGTGGTGGCTGACAGCGGATAGGCTTGGTCCTGCTGAAGACAACCAGGAAGGTGCATCCGCGGTAAAAGTGCCCTGAGATAATATTGAGATATGACGGAGCCAGATTTAGTACGACTGTCTCACGTAGCTGCTAGATTCGTCTGCCATTATTCCGACCTCTTTCAGCCCAGCTGCATCGAGAGTGCGACGTAGAGTTGTAACAACTGCTGCGCGCTGATTTGGTTCCACAATCATCCCTTCCTGACCACATAGTTCGTCACCGCTATTGAATCCATTATCGGGCTCGTTCATCGGCGAGATAAAGTTGATGTGCACGCCTTCTTCGCGCCAGTGATGGACGATATCAACGATGTACGTGGCATAATTCGGTATTGAGGCATTGACCAACGTGCCTCCGCAACTGCGATTGTTCGAAGTGAAAGCAGGCGGGGCCGAGTTGACGAACGCCGTCAAGATTGCTACGCCGTGGTCAGATGCGGCACGCAAAAAGTAGGACCCTTGCGGATCTGCGCTCCAGTTATACACTCCAGGAGAGATGTACATTGTTTCAGGTGCACGACTTGATAGCGAAATAGTGACGATGCATCAGAATGAGCTCAAGCTCATGAAGGAAGTAACAGTCGTCACTTACCCAATTGTCCCAACGTGCACACCGCCTCCGCCAATGTTATAGCGATATGATGTCATCGAAAGAGCCTCTCTCCCAAACAGTAATTCAGAGACGTTATTCTTGACCTCGTCGGAAAAGCTGTAGATGTCGAGAGGCCACCATGCACCACTTGCGCCGATCCCATTGATGGTTTGGAAAGCAGTAGAAGAGACCGTTGCCGCTGCGAACAAATTAGATTGAAAATGCTTCGTAACACCGAAGACTTCAAATAAAGTGCATACATCCAGAAAGGCCAAAAAGTGGGGCAATGGTTGTTATCAGCACGTTGACCTTGTAGTAAAGCATCAGCTGCGGAAGTGATGTCGTTGACGGTCGTGGGTGGAACAAGATTCAATAGTGTTGTCCGAGAACCATGAAGGAATCAGCTCGTTCTTATATTCAGCAGTCCCGGTCCATGCAATGATACGATATCGAGTGAAAAATGGTATGGGGTTCTGCGCAGGGTGGCTATATCAGCAGGCCATGAAGGAGAGATAATTTACGAGCGGTCCATCGTGGGCATGCGACGCGGTCTTCATGAATCTCGCCCAAAAATAGCTTGCGTAGAGTGTCCTCGTGCTCGATAGGAGGTACTTCTGCCCTGAAGGAGATGCAACAACTGATCAGTGAAGTCATATGTCGAGAAGGATGAATTTGGTTCTGGGACAGGACGCGGCCCGGAGACTTCCGAACCGGACCCTGGATGACTGGGAGTCTTGGATATTGACATCCCGTTGTTCAAGATCGAACAGGCATCCACAAACAAGTGATACAAGCTAGAAAATACATGTGCATAGATAGGAAACGACAAAGAAGGCTATCAGGTGTCGCAGGCTTTGGTGTCTGAGTGCAAACGGTCTTCATACCTAGCAGGATCGAATATCTCTACAGATCTCTTAGATCGATATGTTTTCAATGTCCAAGGTCTACTTACTTACTCGAGACGGTTGTCTGGAGGGATATATTTACATAAGCATTGCATAAGAGCCTGAGGCTAGTTGTGTGTGTGTGTGTGTGTGTGTGTGTGTGTGATCGTATATTAACGTCTAGTGACAGCGCGCCGTATGTCTAGACGAGTAGCAATGTGTACTCTACGGAGATATGGACTAAATGTATGCTGTCTGGTGTGCTCTGTATTGGCACTCAAGAGGCACGTGATTACCTCGAGGAGGTTGGGTCGCATGGCAAAGATTAAGGGGAAGTATAGTAAGGTATAGTACTCATCTGGATGTTCTAGTGGTGGGCCTGAAGCTGATTATTGAGTTGATCGACGAAGGACATGAAGGGGTCAGCTCATAAGAGTACAGGAGTAAGGTCATATCCAATCGATCGATCGACCACCCAATGACCAGTCTTTAAGATAGCGAGACAGCGCAAGCATCAGTCAGCGATTGTTGCATGTAGTCTGATGCTTCGATAATTCCGATGACCATGGTGTTCGACGTGGAGCAGTGATCAGAAGGCAATTGTTTCCCAGACGATGAAGGATAACGAGGCTCCAAGCATGTGCCAGAAAAAGTGGTAGACTGGATTTTGGCAACCAATCACTCAAGTCGAAGCCTGTGGTGACGCTCGGCCGAAGAAATCCTAAGCATGTAGTTATGATCAGGCAGACACCAGACCCTGAGTTTGCAAGAGAATCGGAGTGGGTGCATACTGACGGTGTGTATGACTTCCTGCGATGGTTGCGTCTCCCCGAGAGGAAAACCCATTAGTAGGTGACCTGAGGAACGGATGCTTTGAACTCCGAAACTCTCCGCGCAACGGCTTCGTCTCTGAGGTTTCTTGGTTTTCTTTCATCATTTATACACAGATCAGCGCATTGGCTTACAACAGAACGACCGTCCTAGATCGAAGTCATGTAATGGAGACTAGCGCATTGTGTCACCACTGAACACTTACCCTCGGCATGGAGGAAATCCGGGAGATCTCCTGTGTTTTTCCTCGGGTCCAGCTGATCACGAGGGTCCAAGAGGGCCCGAGCAGTGATGGGAAAGTAAGTGTTTTCGTTCACCGGACATATCTCGAAAGGTCCTGCGTGCCGAGAATCTCCCGAAGAGGCTTTGGGCATGTACAATTCTCGCCAGTGAATTACATACCACATGTGCATTGGCAGCACATCTCTACATAAGATGTGAAAGTGCAAGCTCACAGTCGTTCGTGCACGCATTCTGCACAATCTAGAGAATGTTGCTTTCTTTCTTTGTCTTCTCTGCAGTCTCGTTGGGTATCTTCACTAAAGGAGTGCTTGCGCAGCAGGGTGCTTGGGCACAGTGCGGCGGTATCGGTTGGACTGGTGGAACGACCTGCGTCGCCGGGTAAGAATCATTGGTCTTGTTTAAAACCTATCCAGACGATGACAGACCGACATCTTTTACCCCAGCTACGCTTGCACGTACTCGAACGACTGTAAGCCCTGCTTGGAACGGTCTTCCATGCGAATGGCACTCGAACTTTTACAATAGATTATAGCCAGTGCGTCCCGGGCACAGGCACTACTTCCTCATCGATCGCGACCACATCGACCTCTGCTACCGAACCTGCCCCTTCTAGTGTCAAGGCAAATTACTGGTTCAGTTTGTAAGAAGCTTGTTTTGTGAATATATGTGGGTGATGTTGATAATTCATTGCAGTGGCGACTCTTACACGCAGACCGGGTTTATCACTACGGATACCCTTCCAACACCGGGAAATCCACTCGGAAACCCACCATATCCTGTACGTTGGTCCACCACAATCATGTATTATCTCAATAGTACGACAATCATCTAGGGATACACTGCAGTTGGTGGGGTCAACTGGATCGACCAAGCGACAACTGTGTCGAACCACTCTCTCGTGCTAGCTTACAATTACGCATATGGTGGTGCAACCATTGATGCAAGCTTGGTAACCCCTTACGAGCCGACGGTGCTTTCGCTTACGGACCAGGTCAACGAATTTCTCAGTCAGGCGAATGTGGGAACCGGTACAAAAATCTGGACAAGTTCGAATGCACTATTCTCCGTATGGATCGGCATCAACGATATCGGCAACAGCTACTATCTTGGTGGAGATCGAGCTGCGTATGTCTTAATCCACTATATGAATTATTTATTCTAAAAACTGAATATTCGAATTAGCTTTTCTGATACTTTATTGAATGCTTATTTCGCCTTGATCGAGAAGCTCGTATGTCGTCGTTTCTCTCTCTGTGAATGGGATCTAATATTGGTTTACTTCTTCAGTTGTTAGTCTGTACCACAGTCTTGTTGTATGGTAGACTGACTTTTCTCCGAACCAGTAACACTGGCGCACGGAACTTCCTGTTCATCAATGTGCCTCCAGTTGATCGCTCTCCGATGGTGCGCTGCTCCCCTTGACCAATTGACCGAGCGCTGACTGTAGATTGAGTAGATGGTGGCGCAGGGCACTTCGGCGACGTCTCTCGAAAAATCTGTTATCGCTGGATTCAACTCTAAACTCGCTGCACGCGTCTCAAACCTGACCTCTACGCACTCTGGAGTGAAGACATGGCTCTGGGATTCAAATACAAGGTTTTCTCAGATCCTAGACAACCCTACAGCGTTTGGATTCGTCGACAACTCCTCATATGGTAACACTGGGGATTTCTGGGGGTGCGTACGTCTCTTCGTCTCCTTGGATCGTGTATTCACCATAGCGATGGGAACAGCAACAATTATCACCCGTCCAGCAGTGCTCAGGTTATCTTTGGCAATGACGTCGGGTCTTTCCTTTCGGGTTCGGTTTGGTGAACACACAAAGTTGAATCACATGGCGTCTAGATCATCAGATGCTATAAAAGTAACGATGCGCATGAAGTGATCAATGCTTCACAGTATCGTGCTATTTCACAGCACTGATGACACAACTTTGTTTATCCTTCTCCGCAATTCAATGCAACTCTTTGGAATTTTTTTTGAGAGATCGTGAGGATGTTCGGGAAGGTATACCTACCTGCTAACTTACCACCATCTTCTCACCCATATATGGTCTGCAGCTCAGATCATCTGAAACAGCAATCGCAAATACTCTAGCCCAAAGCAGTTTTGGGTCTCGGAGCGGGGATTCATAAACCCCTATGCTGATCGAGATCGTCACGGAACTTCTTGCAGGTTTGGGCAGTGGTGCAGTGGCCTGTGGGAGACATAATTCGTACTGAGAGTTGGACGAAGAAGACGAGAAAAACCACTGCATGAGGTATCTATGAAGCGTATCCAAGTGATGCGAATAAATACAGGGGTATTGTGCAAACGTAGGCTCTGTGAGTATGTAGACGTCCGGAAGATGGTGATACAACATGGAGGAACAGCTAAATTCAGTAACTATTCATTCGCACTGCCATATATAGTATCCTGCTGCGGTGTACCACATAAGCCGAGCCTTGGGATGTGCTCCGAGCGCTTTTCGCATCCGGCCTAGAGAGGATGGAGTATTGAATATTGTCAACTTCTGATGTCACCACATGGGAGGCAAGACGACGTACGAATATGATTACCTTTAGGCATCTCATTGCACTCCACGCATGCCTCGATAGAAAAGTTGTCGAGTATGCAAGGGATGTAAGGCGTGTCCGGCGTGTTCAGCGCGCGGTCCAAGTATACCGGCCAGCTGATCTCCTTTCTAAGAGAGTCTGTGACTGACCTTTTGAGTTCGATGCTGATCAGTCCAGACTTGGCGAAAAGCTGCATGTTTGGATCGCGCAATTTGGCCAGCAAGAATATCCGTTCACGAGATATAGGAAGACCGTAAAGAAGACATGGTGGAACCTCCATCCCGGGTCGAGGCACAAGAGCGCGAGGAAGGTTGGGCAAAGGCAAAAGCTTCGCTAATTCTGCCTTCGTCTTCCAGATAGAGATCATTAGATACAGGAGTATTTGTAGAGAAAGATCCTGACATATATGTGATCTGAGGGATCCCACTGAAGTTGGAGTTTTTTCGGTACTCCTCTGAACGCTTTTACAATATGCTGCTGTAAAGGGAGAGATCGAGTGGCAGATACTTTTCGGAACTCCTCTACAGGAGAGGTTGTTGGAGTAATGGTAATATCGGGATCGCAATGGGACGACATGTCGATGGAGAAATGAGCATATTGCTAGGCCTAAGCAATCGAAGAAGGGAACTAATTGGTTTGGTTTTCGAATTCCTCATAAATAACGTTGAGCCGATCATGTGACTATTCAGCACGTCCCACAAATCCATGTGATGGAGCTATCTCACCCATGGCTAGTTTGATACGTTGATTGAGAGTCTTATACTCATAATATGAATACACAAGACTCTCGATGCCGACAAAAGCATATGCGAGAGAAAGTAAGCGGAGAAAAACAAACGTCACCCCAAATCGTGGATCTATATGTGGACAGCTCATATATGGCCTCCAACCCTGCGCGAGCTGGGAGAATTCATCGCCGTCGGACTACTGCCAAGCATGCTGACTACTCTACCACCCTTCCCTCATACCTATATATACCCATCCCACCCCCACTCATGTCGAACTCTTCTCTACCTTTACCGGCTCTGCTTGTCCCGAGGCTGCAGCGTCTGCACCCGGAGCCGCGGGCGGAGGCTGGGCGCCTACGAGTGTGCCGAGCGTGCCCCACAGATTGCCAGACATCTCACGGAGAGCGGCCTCCTCCTGTGCCTTCTTCTGCCTGTCGAACTCCTCGCTGTGGTCGCGAATGTATTTCTGTTCTTCTAAGTACCATGCCTGCGCCTCGCGTCGTTTCGCCTCAAGGTACGTCTCGGGCACCTTTGACGCCTGAGAGAATAAGACGTTAGCAAATAAGAGCAGGGAGTAGGCAGAGAGGAACATACACGTGCACCACCACCTGTGAACAGGGTGCTGAGCGTGAAGCCGCCACCGAGTCCCTGGATGTCAACAACAGAGATTAGACACCACACCACAAAGCGATACCTGAATCACAAAGTGATACGCACCCCACCACCATGTGCCTTCCAGTTCTCAATGAACTGGCGCTTGCTCTCCGCCTCGCGTTTCGCATACTCCTTCGGGATATCCTTGCCCTCGTACGCCTTCACCATTGGCCGCACATCCGGTGGATTGTAGATCCCGATTGCTGTCCAGGGAACCAAGTTATCAAAAAGTCGAGTCCATTAGATCAATACGTAGGCGCTTAAACATCCAGCGATGCTAAAACACTCACACTCCAAAAATGGAATCATCTCCACTAATCCCTTATCACCCGGCTCACCCTTCCACGGCTTCATGAGAATCGTGTTTTCGGGTTGTGCTACATGTTCAGGGTGGGTGTCTAGTAGTATGACGCGCTCGAGAGAGCGGTTGAGGTAGGTCAAGTCCTTGACGGGACCGCTCTCGGATGCACGTGTTGCCTCTCGTGTGAGTCGGTAGGCAATAAAATATGTGTATGGGTCGAGCTTGTCGAGGATCGGGTAGGCGGTCTGTTCATGGGAGAGACATGGATAGAAAGGGTCAGAAGGTGCTCAATCTGGGAAGAAATGAGAAGTCATACGTAGTAGTACTGCGTCGTGAACACAACGACCTCATAAAATTGCGAGAGGTACGCGATGAAGTAGTCCACGCCTGGGCGCTTCGCCGTCCGCCAACCATGCTGCCTCTACACAAGAGAAGGCCCAAATGTGAGATTATTGTTAATGGATGAGATGGTGGGTAATGGGCAAGGCAGCAGAAGAGGCCAAAAATGTGAGCGGACCGCATATAGCTGCTCGAAGGGTCGAATGGAATATTGAAAGAATCGAAGTAAATTATACAGCGCCTGCGGCGCTCGAATACAACCACGTAAACACACGGTACTTTCATCGGCCATTGTATGCGCGTACATATAAAGGCCTATACCTGTGAACCGCGGGCATTTTGAAGTGACTCCTAACATCGAACATCGACCGCACAAAGAAAGACAGCGCATGCAGGGTACTCGCTAGAAGCCAATGATTCCATAAGCGCATACATGCGCCTTATTCTCGTGGCTCTTGTGGGGACGTCAAAGTCCATGCAAGCAATAGGGCAAGAAAAACGATGCAAAAGGAGAGTCAAAAACTCACATCCCATGTACTCGTCACGAGCAGATCATCAAGCGACAGCAGCAATGTATATGGCTTCTGATGCGGAGGAGGAAGAGGCGGCGGAAGGAGCTCAGGCCATGCAGGTTTTGAAAAGTACTGTCACGCAGTATAACATAGAGGGAATAAAGTGATAAGAAATGCTTTAGTTTGGGAGCTCAAGGTGATATATGTATGGACATACATCGAACATGGATGTGAACCGCTCCGTCGTCCGACCCCAACGCGTTGCAGGTGCTGTTTTTGGAGTCTACAGGAGAGAAAACATATCAGCATACGTGATCGAGAATATCGCATGCGTGCTGGCCTCGCGCAAACATAAAGACACGCCGATAGTGGGAAACTGACCATTCTTTTCTCAACAAGTTCGTCATCTTCCCATTCACGGCCAAGCCAAATGGCGCCTCCGCCGAGTGCAAGCGTAAACATACCAAAGCCGAAACGAGCCATAGCGCGGCGCTTGCGCTCGATGCTCGATAGACTGTCCCTGGATGAGCGCGCACCAGTGCGACCAGCATCGCTTTGTGTTGGCTCAGGCGGTGCAAAATCAAGTGAGAGAGAAGCCGGTGCGGGTGCGGGTGCGGGTGCGATCGTGATTTCGGAGTTTGCATCGGAGAGAGGTGGTGAGGGTGAGGGCTGGGATTGAGACGGAGGGGATGCTGAAGCGGCGGGAGGGTCTTTGCTGGTAGATGGCGAGGATGAGGGGGACGGCACGGGGCCCTTTGAAGTTGTCTTGCGAGATTTTGAGGCAAGACCGCGGACAGCGCCCGAGGAAGATGCACAGGAGGGAAGGGAACGATGGGAAAGTAGAATACGCTGCGGGGTGGAGCGGCAAGCCGCACGTGTGAGAAGCGGTATTGGATGCATGGCTATCACGGCTTGTGCGCTGCGACGACGGTGAGGGCGAGCACGACGCAGTGCACGGCGAGCAAGCGAGTCGGTCGACGGTGTCGCGTCACGCCGAGTTTTTGGCTTTGGTCTTGTTTGGTGCCTCGTCAGCTGACGTCAACGCGTCGTGTTCAACGAGTTTGCCTTTTTTTCTCGTCAGTGACTGCATCGTCCATCATATCCTTCTTCATTGCCTCGATCAAACTTCATAACTCATTCGTGGTATCACTAACAGAGTTATCAATGTTGAATTCGGAGGCATCTTTGCTTCTCTGGCATTCTACGGTATCTGTCGCATATGATCTTTCAAAATTTCTCTGCCTTTCTCCAGATGGTAATAGCTTGAATGACTGCATTATGGGCAGCATCATAAGATATACTGCAAAGTGTTCCTAGATTGATAGTCCATATCTCTCCCCTTCTCAAATGCTTGACCTGACTGGTTATGTGATTTCTATGTGACACAATGCTGCTGTTGTCAAGGCAGGCCATGCATGGAGAGTACACTTTTGTGATATTGCTTGTTATCATGTTGGCAGTATCAAGATCAGTATGAGACTGCTGCAAGTACTGCTCTGTCTTTCAGAGGAATGTGCCCAAATGACATCTGCACTGTGCTTGCCAGGTTGGAGGATTACATCTCTAAACATTTGGAAATGCACTTAACACATGTGGAACTGTGTAGCAATGCTGTTTTGCTTTCGGCCTGCTCTCAGTGCCAAATGTCACTTTGCTTTGCTTTCTGTTAGAGAACCTTATCCTTGCATTCATGTCATCCTGATTTCCATTTAATCTGATAAGTACTTTCCTTTTTTTTTACTATGGCTGATTCACTCTATCTTGCTCTATTATAGCTGCTCTTAATTAATCATTCCTAAGGTGGAATAGATTGTATACAATCATGATTTCTGTTATGATCACGTTCTGTCGGGCCTTAACGGCGGTCTATACCGACACGATCATCACAAATATCAAGCGGCCTCACAAAGAGAGGCGTACAAACAAGGTACAGATAGTAACCTTGGTCATCTACTCCCAACGGATCACCTTATCGTTGGTCGAGTATCACGGGCCTATTGCGTAGCGGGCATGGAACGCCGCCTTACAAACTACTCACACATCGGGCATTGAGCTCCTAGTCTTTCCTGGCCGGAAGGAGACTAACGGAGAAACACAAGAGTAGTCGTTATTGAGAGAGAACGACTTAGAGTATACCTACGGATACATATATGGTATTCTCACGCCCTACTTCCTAAAGTAGTATAAAAGGCCCATAGAGTAGGCTGAGGTTCTTCAGTCTATTCTCTTCGTTCATTGTGGTCTTCCTACCACAGCACCCTCATCCACTGTAGTCTTCCTACTACAGTCTTCATTGCTACATCGCAATACACTTCTGGCTCCTGTGCTACATGTACAGTCGAGACCGCCGTTCCACACATCCTCCACAAGCAACCTAGGGAAGAACCTCCTACTCTTGGGGTTACCGACAAGCAGTCGTAACACTAGAATAGACTCTTCTGCCCCTACCTTGCTCGCACTAGCTTGCTGCCACACTCTCTCTCATAACCTTCCTTGGTGGGGATAATAGACCCCCATTAAGAAAGCGTTACTGCACACACTCTGGAGCAAGACCTAGGCCAGGAATACCCACCCGGCACTAGACGCATCAATAACCAACTCCGTCACAACAATCGCCCGATCCGGCGCGAAGGGGACTTCTGGGTCTACGAAGACAACAACAGATACGCTCCCCCAAATTACGATAACTGCTCATACCGAAACGGGCGGTATTACTTCACCCTTGAAGACGGAACAGAAGAAGAGGATATTTGGAACGAAACAGAAGCTCAGTGGGAACTAGCCCCACAATACAGGGAACCGGCGCCGGTAATCCCCGAAGACTCGGAGCAAGAGGAAACGACCTCGGAATCAGACTCCGACTCACCAGACCAAACACCGATCAACACCCGAAATGAACCGCTCGCCAACATGTCGGGACAAGCTTCGACTTCTACAGACCCCCCTTCCGCGACAGTACAACCCGGAAGAGGGAAGGTCAAACTCCCAGACAACTATACAGGCAACCGCATTGAATCCCAGAAATTCATGCTCCAATGCCTCCTTTTTTTCGCAGCAGAATCCGATCGGTACAAGACCGATCAAGACAAGATATCCTTGGTACTCTCATGCATGAGATATGGCACGGCAGGAGCTTGGGCCGAGAACTTCCTCCTCAAATCAGTAGAAGCGGACCCTCCCACTGATCTAGGAACCTGGAGGGACTTTTTAACAAAGTTCAAGCTCCAATTTAGGGAGACCGGCAAGACCGATAAAGCGCGAAGCGCACTCATGGCCTTCTCCCAAGGACGAATGACGGTTGATGAATATTCCAACCAATTCATCCTCATTGCCGCCGATGCCGACATCTCCGACAAGGAGCAAGTCCCTTACTTCCAACGCGGGTTAGACCCGCGCGTCATGGACAAAATATATGACAAGGAAGTTCAACCAAAAGACACCATCCAGGATTGGATTAACACAGCCTGCGAAATAGACGGACGACTCAGAGCCAGATCTGCTCAAAAAGCCATCCTTGCCAACTCCACCTCCTTTCGCAGCGATTATCTGAATCGTTTCCACACCCAACCAGCCGTCCGTTATAACTCCACAACTGCCCCTCGCAGAATGAACAACCAGGTGGTTGACATGGACATTGACGCTACCAGAAAGTGTAACGCCGAAAGTCAAAAGAGAAAATTTGACGGCAAGCGAACCACCTCCTGTTCTAACTGCGGAAAGCCAGGGCACTCTAGTGCTAACTATTGGTCACCACGTAGAGGCGTTCGCCCAGTTCGAGGAAACTCGAAGAGACGCCTGGGTACGACAGGGAGAGGAAACCGCGCAGTTGATTTGGAAGGAGAAGACGACGCACCCGCTATGGGAGACCAAGCGGGAATATATTGAGGAATGGAGACAGAGGATGTTCATCGCAACAACTAGCGGGTACCACAACCTGGTCCTTCGATGGAACGTCCTCACTCTGCCCCATCCGGACGACCCCAAACGAACCATGGGCAACGCGCTATGTTACCTAACGGACGACGGGGAGACGGAAGCGTCAGTCATTCTGCTCGAATCGGAGCAGTGCTCGGAGAACTAGGGGAAGATGAAGCAAGAGAAGTGATCTTGAGACACGCGGAGCGTTTTTCCTGACCTCTCCCTCACCAGCGAAGGAGAGAGGTCAAGAACGACCCGAGTTTGATGCCCGCACTTGTATTCATATCGGAGCAATGAATGACCGTATCATCACTCCCATACGCCTGAACGTGAAAGTATCAAACAGGAGTCAATACGCTGGAGCAAAGGCAACCATCGACTCGGCATGCGAAGGGGTTATAGTAAACAAAACTTGGGTCAAAAGACATCGTTTCCCCACCTATACACTCAACAACCCCATTCGCGTCCGAAACGTCGATGACACCATTAACAAAGCAGGTCTCATCCGATCCGCCTTGGATGTGAACCTCACCATTCGGGACATCAGTGGACGAACGCATACTGAGCGCGTCCAGATGTTTATCTCCAACCTAGGGAAGGACGACCTTATCCTAGGAACAGATTGGTTGAAATACCACGATCCCTCCATCGAGTGGAGGCGACGTGAAGTGCACTTTGATCGGTGCCCCCAGAAATGCCAGCAACCACATGGGTTCACTAGGGCAAGGGAAGAACCGCAAAACAATAGGCGGTTATCAAACGTGGAGCCATGGCACAAACCACGCATTAACGAGCACGAAAAACAGCGCCTAGAACATCTCCGAAGACTATCGGAAGATGTAGGACTCCGCGACCATAGCGGAACGTTTGGTGTCCAACTACGAGCATACCTCAAAAGAAAATGGCTCCTACAGGACATAAGGAAATACGCAGAAGAGAAACGAAAGGCTCAAGCCAAACCATCTCTTTCACCAAACGGGGGAGAACCTGATCTCTCACATAAAAACTCAGGAAAACAGGCCACAGAGGAACCAGTTATTCGGAAACTGGCTCCCGAACCGTCAGGATTTGCCAGCTTCGACCAGGATTTGGAGGATGAAATTGTCGTCACCAATCTAAAGGAAAGAGTCCCCAAGGCGCATCACGAATTTTTGGACATTTTCAGCGAACGAAAGTCGCAGTGACTCCCAGAGCACATTTATTGGGACCACGCCATAGATCTGAAACCGACTTTCAAACCTCACGTGCCAGAAATCTACGCCTTGAGCCCAGAGAAACATGATGAACTAGGAAAATTCATCAAGGAACACCTCACTCGGGGGACCATCCATCGATCCACCTCACAAACGGCAGCCCCATTTTTCTTTATAGGAAAGAAAGATGGAAAACTGCGCCCGGTACAGGACTATCGCCATTTGAACTCGTACACCATCCCAAATGTGTGCCCCCTTCCACTGATCCAAGAACTATTGGATGTGATCAAAGGGGCCACCATTTTCAGCAAATTGGATGTACGGTGGGGATACAACAATATATGAATCAAGAAAGGCGACGAGTGGAAGGCAGCTTTCATCACTCCGCTGGGCTCTTACGAACCCACGGTGATGTTCTTCGGCCTTACCAACTCACCAGCCACCTTCCAAGCCATGATGAACATGATCTTCAGAGAACTCATCACGGCCCGGAAAATAACCGTATATATGGACGACATCCTCATCTTTTCCAAAAACATGGCAGAACACATCCAGGTCCTGAACCAAGTTTTCCAGATCTTGCGCGACAACGACCTCTATCTGAAGCCAGAGAAGTGCGAGTTTTATAAAGAAAAACTCCAATATCTGGGATACACAATCTCAAAAGACCATGTCGCAATGGAAGACTCAAAGGTGGACGCCATACAAGATTGGCCAGTCCCACGCACCGTCCAAGACATTCGCTCCTTTTTAGGTCTAGGAAACTTTTACAGGCGTTTTATCGATAAGTTCTCCCTTATCGCACGACCTCTGCACGACCTCACCAAAAAGGATGCAAAATGGAACTGGACTTCAAAGTGCCAGGAAGCTTTCGAACGATTAAAAAGGGCATTTATCAGTAAACCCGTTCTAAACTACCCGGACCCCATGCATCCATATCGACTAGTAACGGATGCCTCACTAATCGCTTACGGAGCCACCCTCCTGCAAGAAGGAAAAGATGGCGACTGGCACCCAGTCGCATTCCTTTCCGGGTCATTTTCACCAGCAGAACGGAACTACGATGTCCACGATCGCGAACTCCTGGCCATCATAAAAGCGTTGGAACACTGGAATCACTACCTTGAAGGTGCATGACACCCTTTCGAGATCTGGACAGATCACAAGAACCTGGAACATTTCCAAACAGCGCGCGATCTCTCACGACGACACGCCCGTTGGAGCCTTTATTTGAGCAGATTCGACTTCACGCTCAGCTATAAAGCAGGATCAACAAATCATTCCGATGCTCTGTCCAGGCGTCCAGATCTAAGTGAGGGGGTGGAATCTGACAACAAAGCTCAAATTTTGCTCCCGGCCAACCTTTTTAACAAATCCGACGACACTCTGGTAGAACCGTCCCCGACACGACATATCAAGTCCACAGAAATTGCATCCTCGGACCTCATCTCCCTCATCCGACGCTCAAAATCGGAACATGATGCCCTGACAAGGGTAGCCCTCGCCAAACTTTTGCGAGTAGGGCCACAAGGAATGAGAGGATTACTGGGACACTGGACACACGAAGACGGAATCACCAGACGAAACAGCCACATATGTGTCCCAAAAGACGATGCCATACGAAGACTTATTGTCAAAACGCATCACGACGCACCCGCGGTAGGACACCTGGGGAGAACAAAAACATTGGAAATGGTACAACGACACTATTGGTGGCAAAACATGACAAAGTTCATCCATGAATACGTGGACAGATGTGCGGTATGCCAATCAACCAAGAATCTGACACACAAGACGCACCCTCCTATCCACCCTTTGGAAACCACCAACGTCCCCTGGCGTTTCATCTCGACAGATTTCGTCACGGACCTACCCGAAAGCAAGGGTTTCGACTCAATCAACGTGGTAGTGGACCAAGGTCTGTCCAAAGGCATAGTCATCACCCCATGCAAGAAAACGATCACGGCAGAAGAAACAACCGTGCTTTTCCAGAACAACGTTTTCAGTCGACATGGGTTGCCGACCAAAATAGTATCCGATCGTGGCCCTCAATTTGCGGCCAAGTTCACCCGAGAACTCTGGAAACGGCTAGGAATCACCGCCGCTCTCAGCACGGCTTATCATCCCCAGACAGACGGAGAAACAGAACGAGTAAACCAGGAGATTGAACAGTTCCTGAGAACGTTCTGCAATTACCACCAAGATAACTGGGTGGACCTTTTGCCGTTTGCCGAATTCTCGCACAACACGCGGAAACATTCAGCCACCGGAAAATCTCCTTTCGAAGTGCTATACGGGTTCAATCCCCCTTATTCAGCCGACACTGCGCTGGAGACAAAGGTACCCGCGGTAGCTGAACGCATTAAGATGATCACAGAAGTCCAGGAAGAAGCCACAGCCAGCCTACAAATAGCCAGCAATTACGCCAAGGACCGGGATCTCCACAGGAAACTCCCTCAATGGAAAGAAGGAGACCAAGTATGGTTAGAAGGAACCCATATCCGGACAACCCATCCAAAGTTCAAGCTCGCTCCTAGGAGGTATGGCCCCTTCAAAATATTGGCGAAAATAGGAACCCTGGCATACAAACTTCAAATTCCCCAACAATGGAAAATCCACCCGGTGTTCCACGCCGCAATGCTAACCAAGTATAAGGAAACCGAAGCACACGGAGAAAACTTCGCAAGACCATTGCCGGAGGTATTAAACGATGAAGAGCATTATGAAGTGGAAATGATCGTGGACTCAAAAAGACAAGGACAGGGAACCAAGTATTTGGTCAAGTGGGTAGGATATCCCGAGGCAGACAACACCTGGGAGCCCTACACTCTCCTAAAAGGAACAGCGGAAGAAGTCATGAAAGAGTTTCATGACCAATACCCTGATAAACCTCGTCCGGGAGCACCCTGAAAAGCGGAAAGAAAAATCTATAAAAGAGCGTCCGGAGAGCTCTAAACAGACCATCCTCCCACATCTTCCCCCACTTTTCTCTCAAGCTCCTTCTCCTTCACTTCAAATGCTCCTTCACGAAGACCACGATGCTTCATCACCATCAAGAAACTCCTCCCCCGATGTCGTCCTTATGGTGTCCAATCCAGACATCGGACGAGTGGATAGAGGAACCAGTCCTCACCCAAGCAATGCTGGACGAGTTGATAGAGGAACCAGCCCTCACCGTCCAGAGCCCGCCGTCGTCACCCTCGCTCCACACCTCAATAACTTCTCAGATGACGACGCCGAGGACTACGCCAAGTTCAAAGAAAGAGAAAGAACCCGCCGACCGTCATCCCAGGGGCCCCCACGAGATGCATCACGGAATGAAAACCCTGATGACAGAAACCTACCGGGCTCTGACGAAGTACCAGTGGGAGTTCCACCTCCTGCTACAATCGCGGCGAGCATTGGAGCTACAGGTCCCTCGGGATTACGAGCAAGAACAGCAGCTCAACTCCCAAGCCATGGAGAAACTGAATCGATACCAGTTATACAGGGAGCTACACCTCCGCCAGTACCAACTGGTGGACAGATTCCCCGCTCCATGGGAAGAACTACCCTTGGTGCAAATCCTCACGCCGGAGAATTGGAGCGACACGCGGACACGCTCCTCCAGCGAAACACTATCTCCGCGGTAATACAAATGGCCACAGCCATGGCCCTACAACGACTCGCTAACTTCGCTGCAGGGCAACCTGGGAATGAGCATAGCGACATACCTCGACGACTGGCTAGTGCCAGTCTCCAGATCAGAGGACTCGCCCTCCAAACAGACCCTGACACCGCCTCTTGGTATGAACATAACGACGGACGACCACGAGCTCTCCTCATCCATCCCGACGAATTCTCCCAGTATGTCAACAGAGAGCTCCTTCCAGCTCTCCTCTTCACCGGAGAACTGGGCGCCGTCCAACCAAGTAGAACCGACCCTTTCTGTGTTGTCGTCTGGAATGTACCACGTCCCGGAGAATATCCC